TGGTGTGTGTGAAGGTTAGTGTTTCTGGTGTTTTGGAGATTAAGGTATACGAAGGACGGGATGAACTTGGCGTAGTGCTCTCTCTCTCGCATTTGACTCTATGTTGTTTCCTCTCTACCTACAAGGTAGTAACCAAGGGCCTTGCTTCAGTACGTGCCGTTATCCGTTATCCGAGGGTCCCGTTTGGAAAGTCATCCATGATGGAAGGGGAAGGAAGGTTGAATGTCGCACATTATTAGACGGTATGATGTCTTTTTTCATTTGTTTGTGTTCCGGTCAGCAAAGATGGTGCGTTGGCATCTGCGCGGATGACGGGTTCCGAAACTAGGTTCTATGGACTTTTCCTTCTTAACCTTCTTTTTTTGGGTGTTGGAGACCGAATAGAGTTGGCGAGGATGGTGAAGATTGGATGGAGTGGAGGTACGAGTTGCGTCAGGATATACCATTCACACACACGCTCTTCGCTGATGACTGTGGGAATGAGGTAGGAATGCGAGGGAAAAGCATGTGGTCAGCTGAAAGGACCGACCATCATCAACGCACGCGGATTCGTCTCATCTCCAACACATACGCACGGGAGGTAGGATTAGAGAAGCGTCCTTGGTTAGGTCCGGCGTCCGAAGGGGAAAGGCGAAGGAAACAGAATAGGAAAGAGACTGTTTTTCCTACTTGGCCAACTGAATTACCAATGTCTTCCTTACGGTCACGTTTCGGGGATACGTTTCGGGGACGGTTGGGAAAGGATGAGGATTTGGAGATCCCGACGAGCTGGGGAAAGTCAAATACGAGAACGAGAGAGAGAACGGCAAGAAATGCTGGAATCTATTCTTCGAAACCTCAAGACCACCTCGGTGCGTTTGCATGGTGATCGACCGCTCTCGCAAACACAAGAAAGACGAGCCAAGAAACAGGCATCTACAGCTATAGTATTGACAAATACCAGAATATATACAGACATCTTGGCCAGACCAAGATGTGCAGCAATACCCCACATCAGGACAAAAAAAGTGACCAAGAGCCTGGAATACAACAAATAAGTCAGCTCAGGACTAGGCTGAAGCATGATTCAGCAAGAAAGAAAAGGCCCCTGGCCACGTCTCTAACGGTGTCCCTTCTTTCCCTTGAACGTCCCCTCATCAATCTGGCGCTGGCACTGCTAGGTAAAACGGCAGATCTCAAGTCTTGGCGTCAAAGGGGGTGATGGAACCAGCGACGGCCAGGCCAGACCCGGGATTCCCGTCCTCGCGCGCGCCGAGCCCCGCCACGCACCACCCGCGCGCAGCGGATGAGAGCGAGAGACATAGAGAAAGGATGCGGAAAGAATATCTATGTAGTGCCAAGGTCGCGCGCACCTCACGTGGTTTCGTGGTTTCCGGCCTGTTGTCTCTGACCCGAGCCGAGAGAAAGGGCTGTGGCCATAGCTCAGAGCTGGAAAAGGCTGAAGCTGGACTCCCACGTTTCATGAATCCCCCCCAGACTTGACCCAGGTGTCGGGGAAGAGGCGAAAAAGTAAAAAGAGGCAGAAACGACTGTGTGCAGTTCTTCATACACAACCGGGTTCGGCCCTGCGCATAAACGCCGAGAAGTCTTCCAAGAGCCGCATCTTGCCCACCCCCCCTTCTAAGCCTTCGCTGACTTGTCTGACAAGATCTCAGCATCCTCGCTTGCGACACGCGCACTGTCTCCTGCAACGGACACAAGTACCATCAGATGAAAGAATTTGGTGGCGGGCCTGCAAACCGATAGCAGACCACAGCAAGCTAACAAGCTTGGGCGACTCAATGGGTTCAATGGATGAGGTATATACAAAGGCACAGCGGCGCCACATGCTTCATCTGATTATATGCGACTTGCAAGTCCATGTTTGATAGAAGCCAAGTCAAGCAGGCCAAGTGGTCTCTGCATGGCGATGACCAATTCGCTGAGTCAAGGGCCTTTGGGACGATAGCCTGGATTTTTTATTCTAATTACAACGGTTCCTTAGACACAAGATGATTTGATTTCGTTCAGCATCTCCTTGGTCCTTCTCAGGACGTTCCTCGCGTATCGGGAATCCGGGGAAGACTCAAGAGAGACGCCATGTCAACCTTGGCGAAAGGTTCATCTACATGAAGCGATGATAGCGCTTGCCACCTCATTGCCATAGATCCAGAGATCAAACGAGGGTGAATAGGCTTCCTCTGAACCTTGCCTTATGGCTACTCAAGAGGCCGTCGCACAAAACGAGACACATACAACAGTGGAATACGGTGGAGAAATGTTTGCAAGCCGGAGCAGGAGAGCGCGTCCCGAGAACATTGGAAGACACGCCCGCCCCGTACCCGACGCGTGATGGACGGGGTCTTTGCCGGTGGGTTTTGATATCAGCACTTCTTCGGCACAACTACAGTCATAACCACCTTGCGGTGGGACTGAATTGCAATTTGACATCCGTGCTTGGTGTGAGAGGTTTGTAGAGGGGGAGCGTCACGTTGGGATTCCGTCGAACGAAAGATCGCCATGAAAACAGCAAAACGACAAGATGCGTCGCGAAAAACCCATCACGAGGATGGTGTGTATTAGCAAGATTAGTATGGGCTCCTCAATGATTCATAGCCATGCCGGCGGCGAGCAACCGAAAACTCCTCGTCAATATGTACCGTCAACAGTCAGATGCAGCGTAGCAGTCAAAGAACAGCTTTTGTTCTTGTCTGTCTGGTAGAGTTACAGCTCCTTGTGCTCGATCGGCGTCGCCGTGCCGGTCTCGCTGCTAGGCCAGTAAATGCTGTCCGTCTTCCACAGCGAGTCGAAGCGTGCGCCAAAGAACCAGGCAGTTCCAATCTGAGGGTGGTGGTTAGTTGAGAGTTGAGGGTAGAAAAGGCAGGCCAGAAGGTGAACGTTGATGTTTAAAGAGGGAGAAGGGAAATGAGGAAGAAAATTTCAGAGCTACTCACCATAAGACCAGATACGAAAAAGAGGGTCAGAAGGACCATGCCGCCCAATACGAAGGCTTCGCCTGCATCCATACCCGGCTGGCCCCGCTCTTTCGGTTTCGCCGCTTCTCCGAGCTGCTTGGGGTCCTGTCTCGGGAACAGAGAGTCGATGAATTGCTCAATCTGGAGGGTAGCCAACGGTTAGCAATTGACTTCCTGACGCGAGACAATTGTGTCTTCAGACAAAGACAAAGAAACACCACCACATACCTTGCCGCATTGCACGCTGATCTGCACGTAGTTGGGATCGCGCGGGTCGTTCTTCTTGTGTATCCGACGGGTGTAGTCCCTGAAAACCTCACACACAATTTGGAGGTTCTGTGTTGACTTGGTCATGAGGTAGCATGCGTCACCCTTGGTGATCTTAATGTGGCTGTTGAAGATGGCAGGGTTACGGAAGACGAGCTCCAGCGTCGCAATAGCCATGCTCTGGGGGATGGCGACGAAGTTGAAGACACTCTGATCCTTGATGCCAGCCATGTAGAACAAGCACTCCTCGGTATGCTTGAGGGCAGTGAGCACCATCTCAGAGCTGCACTCGAGAGCCTTGGGCAGGTTCTCGGGCTTGAAGAGATCGTCCCAAGTGTCAACGTGCTTGCTCCAGATCTCCTTGGGCCAGAAGCGGCGCTTGTCGAGGTAGTCCTCGTGAACGTCGCGAATAATGTTAGTCTTTTGGAGAAACTGTCCCATGGACTCGGTGAGCGCGGGGCGCTCGAGAAGCTTAGGGTTGGCCATGTTGCCCTCAACGAAGAGGCGGGTCAGGCCATCACCGACAAGGCCGGCGACGTAGTGGCAGTAAAGCTCGTACTCCTTGATAGTCGCAACGCCGTTCTCGTTGTGCTCGGCATTGAGAGCATAGTCGGCCATACCGTTGCCCATCTTGATCGTGATATCCTTGATAATTTCGTAGTAGGGCTTCTTGATCTTCTTCAGCTCGGTTACGACATCGTCAAAGTGCACCAGAAGCTCGCGGTCCTTCTCGTTGGGTCCGTTCTTGGTGAACGTCCAACCGTCCGTCTCCATGTACTTGTCAAATTGGCGCAGCAGAGGCTCCTTCTCCTTGATATCCAGTGTCATATCATCTTCGATGGTGTCGAGGCCGCGCAGAACAAGGTAGAACAGGCAGACGGGAACCAGAAGTTCGGGGTTGAGCTCCTGAATGACGGCGGAGAAGCTGCGGCTCGTCTTGTTGAGGAATTCGAAGCATGACTTCAGCGTAGGGTCTTCCTTGGAGGGATCGCGGTGGTGGACGGGGTCGTGCCAGACCTTCCTAGAAGTGTGTGAGCAGGCGTGCCATGCAGGAGCAGCGACACAATGCGCGCGCGTGTCGGGTGAGGGGAGTTCAAGCAGCATACCATTGAATGATGGAGCGAAGCTGGTTCGGGTGCAGGAGGTAGTAGACGACACCCATGATGGCGGTCAGTCGTCGCAGAGGACGGTAGGGTGAAAGGCGAGTTTGGACAGTAGCGCAGAGGCTCAAAGAGACGTCGATGACAGAATGAAGGCAAGTCTCGTAGAGGAGGCGGCAAGGCTATATTAGTCCCCGTGAAGGTCGTGGAGTTGACTGGCAGTGTGCGGGTTCTTCGTGGGCTGCGCGTTGAAGGTTTGCGCGCGCAGTCTTTGGCAGGTGGTCTCAGCTTCTTCCTTTCTGTTCACGTTCCAATCAATGACCTTAAGTTTGCGTGCGTTTTATAGCAAGGAGGACACGGGCTGTTGCGTGAAGAAGATTCGACAAGCAAAGTTGTTTGTTGACCTTGGATGAACGGCAGACGGGGATTCAACAACAAGACCGCGGAGGAATAGGAGGGAAAGAAGTTCTCCGCTGTCATCAAATCAAAAGTCCAAAAAAGTGACCAATTCAATTCACCCGGCAGGAAGGCGCCAAAACGGGGGGAAAGGACCTAGGTGCAGCTGACCCCAGCTCCTTTTCTCCAAATTGCCATGCAAAATGCAACCCGGGGACCGTTTTCCCGTCGTCACACTCACCTCATTTCAGGGCACAGTGGTACTTAGGTAAGCTTCTAGGGCATCTCAGGATTGGCCTCAGCGTTGTTGGGTGGTCTAATTACAGCCAGCGGGTGGCAGACAGCACAGTGATACAGTGGTACCCGCCTGTGTATGGTAGCTCATCCGCTGAACGTCACTCAATCCAGTCACTGAAATTGGCGTCAGGAACGCACTGGCACAACCAGTTCGGCTAAAAGCTAAGCGAACCAATGGGATAGAGGACTAGATCTGATTGGCAAGTGGCAGGTGTCGGTGGGGCAGGTCCCTGCCTTCTGGTCGTTTGCTTCTCATTCTCAGCAGGTGCGGGGCACGGATGGTGGTTCCTTCCATGCTGGGAATGGAAGGAATTCGTTATTTCAGGGTCTGCCTTCCTGCCTTTTTCGAACGAATTATCCGTCGTCTCTTTCTCGTCTGGTTAGCAACCAACACCAGCTCACATGACTTGCATTTAGCGACGTTCTCCCTTGGCATATTCGTCGCAGGTCTGCTTCTGCTGCTGCTGCTGTCGTTCCTCCTCTTCACAACGCGAAAGCAAGAAGGGCGACGACTGATGATTTATCGGCTCTGCTGCATACGCCAATCGAGGTGTGGGTGGAGAGCAGCAGCAATTCCACGCATGTCAGCCCCCCGACACGGCAGCAGTCCAATTGTTCTCACGGCTCAGCCTCCCCCTTCATGGCCCGACTATCCGAACAGCGCGCAACTCATCCCGTCGTCTGATCCTTTGGATATCCCACGGTGGCATCGCAGCAGCACATGGCCAAGACCCTTGAGGATTTCCGAGATGGACGTTTCTTTGCGGCTCCGGGCCTTTGGTCTCCACCACGGCCGACGCGGCACTCGACCCTCGCTGGTATGCCGCCGCCCGCTATTGCCACCATCACCGCCATTACCTCCAAGGGAGCATAATGCGGTGAGCCATCGGACGGCAATGTCTCACTGCCTGCATCTCCCTTAGGAGGCTTTCCATCCGTCTAGCCTCCTTCATTTTAGGCTGCATCGCTTCTGCGATACTTGTCTTGGAGCTGTCGCGACACCACGTAGCCAAGTAGCTACGTTTTCCTTTTGTCTCTTGCTAACATCATGGCTTTTTCCCGGCCTGCTTAATCATGTTCTGCCACTACTGGTAACTATCCTCCACGGAGTCCACTTCACCAGAGCTCATGACAAAGCTAGGGGACGCCAGGACGGAAATAGCTGTCCACTACTCTCCCCGATAACAGCAGCTATCAACATGGAACGTAGCTCCTGGTAAGCTTCGTACTCGAGGTACGTAAGTTTCGCTACGGGGTCGCACCTTTGACCGTGGTACCTCCCGAAGGTGGGGGTGGGAACGACGCTGAACACACCATCTGTCCAATGTAAGTCGCTGCGACTAATTATTGCCGGCTGTGCTGCTTCTGCTACTGCTGCTATGCAGTAGCTGGAGGCATCTAGACAGACCAGCATACCGGAACACGGGAGGGTCAAGAGGGTCGAGACCGCACAGCTGAAAGGGCAGAGTGGCAGATTGGCAGATAGTACGACTCGTACCTCCCAAACTTTATGTTCTCCCCTCCTCCTCTCCCTGGCCTCGTACCTGCCACGCTTACCCCAGATAAATAATTCGTCTCACACTCTTTCTCCCCTTTCCCTGCTGTTCGAGTGGCTTGTCTTACAAATTACTCAATTTGTCCTTTTCTTCTTCTTTCCTCACCCTCCCAGCTGGGTTTCTCCCTTGCCAGACTCAGGCATATAAGACGTCTGAACCGATATCCCACCCGACTCGGTCAACTTACACCCATCCCAGCAGCGAGTCGAATCCTGACAAAATCCTGCCCGACCCCTCTCCGACAACCCTCCGATAATCCAAACTATAATCCCAACGGGACGAACAACAAATCCATCATCCACAATGGCTACCAACGGACACTCCGCGAACAAGTTCCTCATCTGGGGTGGCGAGGGTTGGGTCGCGAACCACCTCAAGGTCCTCCTCGAGGGACAGGGCAAGGAGGTCTACACCACCACCGTCCGCATGGAGAACCGTGAGGGCGTCCTCGCCGAGCTCGAGAAGGTCAAGCCTACCCACGTCCTCAACTGCGCTGGCTGCACCGGTCGCCCCAATGTCGACTGGTGTGAGGACAACAAGGAGGCTACGATGCGATCCAACGTTGTTGGCACCCTGAACCTCACCGACGCCTGCTTCCTCAAGGGCATCCACTGCACTGTCTTCGCCACCGGCTGCATCTACCAGTACGATGATGCTCACCCCATTGGAGGTGCCGGCTACCTCGAGACCGACCCTGCCAACTTCAAGGGCAGCTTCTACTCGGACACAAAGGGCCACGTTGAGGAGGTACGTTACAATCCACAATCCACTGGCAGATGAACCGATTACTTATTAAATACTCTGCAGATCATGAAGCACTACAAGAACTGCCTCATCCTCCGTCTCCGCATGCCCGTCAGCGACGACCTCCACTCCCGCAACTTCGTTACCAAGATTGCCAAGTACGACCGTGTCGTTGATATCCCCAACTCCAACACCATCCTTACCGATCTCCTCCCGGCCTCCATCCTCATGGCGGAGCACAAGGACACGGGTATCTACAACTTCACCAACCCCGGAGCCATTTCCCACAACGAGGTGCTCTCCCTCTTCAAGGAGATTGTCCGCCCCGACTTCACATGGAAGAACTTCTCGCTTGAGGAGCAGGCCAAGGTCATCAAGGCCGGTCGCAGCAACTGCAAGCTCGACACCACCAAGTTGGAGAAGAAGCTTAAGGAGTACAACTACACGGTGCCCGAGGTTCATGATGCTTACCGGGGATGCTTCGAGCGCATGAAGGCCAACGGTGTTGTGTAAATAGAAGATGAAAAGAAAACCGGATTTGGCGCATATGGGAACCTGGCTGCTCTAGCAAGATATAGAGACTGGAATAAACTAGGAAAATTGCCGTTTGAAACGCTGAAAGTGTCCAGTGATGCAGTGAGCTTAGCATGATTCCAGATTCCATCAGGCTAGCATCAGGCACTGAAGGTTGAACGGTGTCCTTTGCGTGAGAATCGGTGCAGCCGGGGTGGAGAAGAGTCATCTCGGCGTTGTCCGGTTGACTTGAGCTCTGAAAGCTTGTGAAGCGGATCGCCAACTGTTGTCGATCACTTTGGAGGCCTAGAAATGTCGCGATGCAGCCATGAGCTACAGATACAGCGGTCGCAATATGATAAATGAGGCCGTAGAGACTCTGATACCAGCCTGATACCAGCCAGACGCATGCTCCACCCGAGCTTCCAAAGATCCCTTGAATGACACTGTCTTCAGTTGAGTTAGAATTTGTATCTTGACGAGCCAACTCTTTGTGATGCAAAGGCAGAGAGCGGCAGATGGGCTGGACCGTGCAACATGAGCCCTGCCAGCAGGCCCCTGTCCACGTAATCTCCAAGGCCGCAGTGGACATCGCCATCGTCCATGCAGCCTATGGAAGGCCGGGAGGGAGAATGGCACCTTGCCAGCAGCTACGTAGTAGTGGAGGCAAGTTACCAGCTGTAAGGCTCAGAGGTAGGTACCGCAATTCAGCCTGGCAGTTCCATGGCAGTGCATGATTACCAGTACTCACTAAAAAGCCACCACAATGCTCCCTGAAACCCACCACAGTGACCACACTGGCGACCGCCCACCACCCACAGGTCTCGCTCAACGACGTAATCTGGCGGGGCACCGCGAAAACGTAAATCCACCCAAAAATAATCAGCGCGGGCATCTTGCAGTTAGGTCATTTGTTGGTGTGGCACCGCCCAGCTCGACCACCGCCGTTACGTCCGATTCCTTGTGATTCTCGCTTGAATCACGATTCGCAGGTCCATCCCTACCCTCAACGCCCCGCGATCTTTCCTGCAGAGGACCTCTTACTCCCTCACCAAACCTTTTTCTCTTGTTTACCGGCCAAGAAAACATCTGCGCCGTCTTCAACACCTAGATTTCCTTTTATCTAATACCCCTCATTCCTTGCGACCATGGTCGTCGATACCGCATACTACGACACTCTCGGTGTCCAGCCCACCGCCACAGACGTCGAGATCAAGAAGGCTTATCGAAAGCTTGCCATCGTTCACCACCCGGGTATGCAAGAACCCCCGTGCAGAGCTACTTATCTCGATTTTTCGCTGCTCTCTATGGCGTGACGGAAACTGACTTGACCCCTCCAGACAAGAACCCCAACGACCCCTCTGCCCACGAAAAGTTCCAAGAGATTGGCGAAGCCTACCAAGTCCTCTCCGACAAGGACCTTCGAGCAGCCTACGACAAGTATGGAAAGGATAGCGCGAAGCCTTCTGAGGGCTTTGCCGACCCGGCCGAGTTCTTCAGCTCCATCTTTGGCGGCGATGCCTTCGTCGACTGGATCGGTGAGATTAGTCTGATGAAGGATCTGACGGCGACGATGGATATCACCATGCAAGAGGGCGAAGAGGGCGCCGAGGGTGCCGACGGCGAGTTCCCCGGTACCGAGGAGGCCACGAAGGAGAGCATGAAGGCCTCTGGAGAAGCAGACAAGCCTGGCGCCGCCCCCGCCGCCGGCCCAGCTGCTCCCCCGCCAACTGTTGTCGTCGAAGATGAGAAGGAGGCTCACAAGGCACCCGAATCTGCCGCTACCGGCACCGCCGACGCGCCCCCTCCAGCATATGCTGCCGCCGAGGCTAGAACACCGTCACCGAGCCCGTCTGGTACCTCTGGTACCGCAAAGCGCACTCAGATCCCTCTCCGCCCTGCGCTTATGGACAGGCCCTCGGAAGAAGTCGCAGGCCAGCCCGAGTCGGAGGAGTCGCTGCGGAAGAAAGAGAAGAAGAAGGGCAGCTTGACCAAGGAGCAGCGCGATCAGCTTGCCGCCTACGACAAGGAGCGCGCCCGCGTCCGCCAGGAGCGTGTCGACACCCTCGCCAGCAAACTCCTCGACAGAATAAGCGTGTGGACTGAGACCGACAAGGGCCCTGACGTCACCAAGTCTTTCCAAGAGAAGACTCGTCTCGAGATGGAGAACATGAAGATGGAGTCTTTTGGTTTGGATATCCTCCATGCCATCGGCCAGACGTATTTGGCCAAGGCCACCGGCTTGCTGAAGAGTCAGAAGTTCTTGGGCATTGGCGGTTTCTTTAGCCGAGTCAAGGACAAGGGCACGATCGTGAAGGAGACTTGGAACACCATCAGCTCCGCCATCGACGCACAGCAGACCATTGAGGAGATGGCGCGCATGGAAGAGAAGGGCGGCGAGGAGTGGTCCGAGGATCGCAAGGCTGAGTACGAGCGCCGCGTCACAGGCAAGATCCTCACTGCCGCATGGCGCGGCTCCAAGTTCGAGATCCAGAGTGTGCTGCGTGAGGTGTGCGACTCGGTCCTGAACGACAAGAAGGTTCCCCTGGCCAAGAGACTTGAGCGCGCTGAGGCGCTGGTCATCATCGCTGAGATCTTCTCCAAGGTAATGTTGCTCTGTAGGATTGCCACTCTGCTCACAGGGCTAACGTGTTATTCCAGGCCGCGAGATCCCCCGAGGAGGAAGGGGATTACCTCGTCTTTGAGCAGCTCGTTGCCGAGGCAGCCATCAAGAAGGACAAGGAGTCCAAGAAGAAGGGCAAGAAGCACCCGTCAGCGGAGGTTGCTGAGGATGCGCCCAATGTCCCCAAGCCTGAGAACGCATAAAGTGCTTCGGGAAAGGGGAATAAGTGCGCTTTAGATACCACAACCGTTTGAACTTCGATTCTTCTTTGGGCTGAGCTTGCCTACCTGATTGTTACAACCTTGGGCTACTTGAGCGAATAGACGGAACTTTTGGGCGAGGCTACTACTTGACGGTTGTTTGTTGGAGTTGGCTCCCCACTCACCATTCAGCATGGGTGACTGATATTATCAGCGAATACAAAGTATACTTTTATGATGGACTTGGTTGACAGCTTTGGCTCTCTTAACTTTTTCTCCGTGGATTTGTGCCGTGCAATATGTGTGTCGAAGGACTTCCAATACTCAGATGAGTTGTGGTCGGTGCTGTCATGATTCTCAATCAGAACCCGCGTAAGAGATATACATATCAGGTAAGCCCTGTCGAAAGACGGAGGTTCTGACAGTTGACTTAGCTCGGGCCATACGCTTCCGTGGATCCATGTCTTTGGCTGATTTTCGAGGATTGCCGTGAAAGAAAGGAAATGTCTTTGGCGTCTTGAGAACTCCATGCCGTTTGGCTCTCCCAAATCGCTTGGTGGGGTTGAGCCTGGTGGGGAGGATCCGCAGTGGCGGTCCTTGAGTTTGCTGTCATTCTCCGGAACATATCGCCTTGTTGGCTAAGTGGTATAGCGTCTCACTAGTATATGGTGACATGAGAAGATCGGCGGTTCGATTCCGCCACGAGGCATATTAGCGTAGTTCTCTCACGGGAATGATGATCTCTTTTGGTGGGTGTTGCATTTTTGAAGTCCTACGCAAATCCTATCGCGTGCTGAATGGCTGTGAAAACACGATCTTGTTCAAGTCTACCTTTTCTCCAAATCTGGCTTGAAATTTTGGATTGGCGGGTATAGTGGAAATAACATTGGAACAACAGACGATTCGCTTTATTTACCCCGCATGTCTTTTCGCCGACGCCGTTGCAGTCAGCTGGGATATGGATGGTCTCTCTGCTTAGAATTCGCAATAATTGCTCTTAATCATACACAAGCGGCGGGCCGCCTGTGGCCGCACTTGTCTCTTGCACGCTTGTTTTTTTATGAAGAGTACTCCGTAACAATGAATTCCAAAGAAGGGACCGGCAGGCACAGCGGGACGGGTGGGGGTCCATTGAACGCCCTTCTAATGACTGGCCGAATTGATAACAAGGGCGTCCATTGTCTTGATATGTAAGCGCGGTAAATAGCAAGTACTTAACCCCATCGCTCATCGGTGATATTCGAGTAAAAGAATCATTGACCACAGATAATAATTATTGTTGGCAAGAAGATCTCGAACGGCTGTCGAAGATTGTCCGTCACCATGCGTCACGCATCCAGCACACCAACGGCGCTCGTCCTGATTGATATCCAAGCGGGCTTCAAGCATCCTACCCACTGGGGGTCGTCACGCAGCACGCCGACATTCGAATCCAACGTTGAGAAACTTCTCGCAACTGTACGCATATACAACAACACCATCGATTCAAGCCCAGCTTCCCAAGAGCGTCGTCCAGTACTCGTGCTTCATGTCCACCATCATTCCCTATCACCTACCTCGGCCCTCCACCCATCACACTATCTCGAAGGATCATCAACGCCGTCCGTCGCGCCTTTGCCGTTCGCAGCGCCCCTCGCCTCGGGTTCAGAGCCCATCTTTACGAAGAATTTCAATAGCGCTTTCATCGGTACCGAGCTCGAGGCAACGCTGAGGGCCGCTGGTATCCGGCAGCTTATTGTGGTTGGACTTACGACGGATCACTGTGTGAGCACCACGGTGCGGATGGCGGCCAACCTCCAGGTTCTGGGCGAGGATGGAGGGGTAGATGGGAATGGCGTGATATTAGTCCGGGATGCGGTTGCGACTTATGAAAAGAGTGGATTTGATGCTGAGACTGTGCATGCTGTTAATTTGGCTAGCTTGGATGGGGAGTTTGCGAAGGTTGTTAGTACTGAGAACGTGTTGGCGGATGTATTGAGTATGTGATTCGAAACAATCACAAAGAATACGCAGAATCAAATAACAGTATCACAAGATATGTTTGCGGTTCCATTTGTACGGATAATGAAAGTAGTATATGTTCTGATTCCAACACTCTGCGTTGCACTCAGATTTGGATACAGACTAACAGGTCGTCGAAGTCTTTTCGATGCGAACAACTGAACTCAAGTTTCGAACGGAATCCTCGTTAATTTGGCTGGAAGTCCTTCGCCCCGAGACTCAGCGAAGCATCATCCGGAGTGATAGACCACTTTTCGGCAGTAAAACTCAATTGCTTCCGATCTCTCAGTTCCTCTGGATCCAGGTATACCTTGAACCCCATGTTACTCCGGCCGAGATGATACACCCTGAAAATTACATATATCGCGTTGATGTCTTTCCTGACGACGTGGTCCCTCATCTGCACCTTGTCAGGTGTCTGATATTTTATTGGGAAAGGTGCCGCATCAAAGGATGGAAGAGAATGAAAAGACTTACTTTTTGGAACTGAGACTTGCTCATGTAAAATGGTTCCTCGCATGCCAGGGTAGTAGTTTTTGACCTCAATCAGATACTTCAGGCTATTGGTTGAAAGAACTTGTGGTATCTGGTTTTGGAAGTAATTCTTCTCGAGAAAGAGAGCCGTCGACCTGTTGCTGGTGTCTTGGTACACATTGTCTAAAGTCTCGTAACCAAGCCATGCCGGCATGTCTGCATACTCTGGATGCACCCTCACGCGGTCGCGGATATTGCTTTGCCACTCACTTCTGGAGAGTTTCGGTAGCACGGGAGCTCCATCGTTTTGCAAGTGAGACAAGAGCTCAAAGACCTGGTGTTATAGCATCGTTAGGGACACGCAGGAGCCCATGGAGAAGGATAGGTACTTACAAACAACTCGCCCGCCGCGCCTATCTTGATGTCTTTTTCAACTGCAGACAGGTTGCGCAGACCGAAATCCACATTTTGGTGGGTGCTAGGTAGACTGTCTTGCAGCAAGCCCATGCCGAACGTTCCACGGACCGGCAGACAAATCGTACTTCTTCGTCCTGCGGCGATGATGTTGTCCAAAAGCGCAACATAACGAGTCTCGTTCAGAGCTTCAGAGTCACCATGTAACCCGCCGTATGACGATCGATGTTGTTTGGAGGAGGCTTTTCCAGTAATGTCCAGAGCCTCTGACTCCGCCAAGTCAGACCAGTTTGAATCACTGTCACTCTTATGAGTCCCGCCGCCCTTGCGAGGTGCGAGTGGAGTCTCCGGTATCACGGTCTCGTAGCAATTGGCAACATCGATGGTGGCTATGCCGCTGTCGGCAAGAGCTCTGCTGAGTAAGGAATGTGATGCCAGCATAATGTTCTTGGTTGCGGCCAAGCTCTCAGGTGTGGCCTTCCCAGCATGTATGGTACCTGGATCTGGCATCATCCATTCCGCGAACCCCTTCGGAAGTACATTGGCGAAAATGTATTCCTGGACATCCTTGGCTCGCGGCAGGTAGACCTTCAAACTGGTCTCTTTTCCATCAATGTGGAATGTCGTCTGCTTGCCTTGGACTGCATGGAGGACATCATCTTGATAAACACAGAGGTCTAAAGAAATGCCATCGGTCTCAAAAATCTTTGCAGATCTCAAAATGGTATAGAGGGAATCCATGGCTTTTCGGTTCGGCAACGCGGGCTGTCAAAGTGTGCCGCAACTCTGAGCATAGCGTGCGCCCGATTGTGAATCTGCCGCTCAGGGTTTGACGTTGTAGTTGCCTTTCCGCCCATGAAGGAGGTAATCTCCTCGACGCAAGACGAAATTTATAGGCCTTGTATATTTAGCCATTCGATGTAGGGACGGAGACGGGCAACTTGCTCGAGTTTAAAGTCAAAGAGCTTAACCTTGCTCTCGAACGATGAGCCAAGAGACTCCCGGTCGATGATGAAGAAAGCCGTGTCGTAGGCTCTGACTTGAACACGCCCGTTGGGATATCTGACGGGGAAGATCCGGGCCCTCAAGATATCCTGCGGGACAGGAGAAGTGTTCCCTGAGGGGAGTAGTGAATTGATAATCCAAATGAAATCCTTAATCTCATTCACCGTGGTTGAGTCCCTCACTGCGACTTGCCTCAACTCGTCGATGGCCATGGCGAGGTCCACTGGTCTGACGCCTAAATGACCTACAAAGAATTCTTCCAGATCTTTGTAGTCGTCTGTGAGTGACACTCTTCCTCTCAATTTGGCTGCGCTGGACCAAACACATTGCGATACTTTGTACCATGACGAAGCATCGTCTGATGGAACATATATCAACGCCTCGTTCTCAAAGATCGCCCTGTAGTACCGGATGGAGCTGGTCAGTCATCACAATTCGAAATCTTCAGAAAGACAGACTTACTTGAGATTGCTCTGTTCGGAGCCGGTATTGCTTTGTAATAGCTTGTGCAAAGCGTGGTAAATGTTGCCAATTCTCTCAATATCGCAACATTCTGAAGCCTTGAGTTGCTTCAACTCGTCAACCAAGATCTCGCTGGTGCAATCGCCGATGCCGACTGTGTCTTGGAACAGACTTGGCCATATTGACCCGATAATACCAGGCGCGTTGAGAAAGGGTCTATAGAGACGATTCAGCACGTGCTTGGTGGCCATGTCTTGCGGCGCGTCCCACACACACTCCGCTGGCAAGACCCATTTGAACCTTCCCCTAGGTATTGGGACGAAAATGAAGTTGCTTTTGTTGAATACGGTCCTGAAAGTGTCAGCACCCCACTTCAACGGTAATTTAAAGCTCAACATTCTCACATAGCGTACGGTCTGTACTGCTCCGTCCATGTCCTCGCTCTCTGCGCATTGTATTTGAACATGTTAATACAACATGAACAGCCTAGCAAGACTTTCAGGAGTCTTGTGTCTTGGTAAGTCCGTGGAATCTTGCAAAAACCAATGAAGAATATGGATCGCAAAGTCGAGGTCATTTTCAGGGCGGCCGAAACTGAGATCCGAAAGTACTCCTTTCCACCGCGGCGGTACTTCATCATGAGTCTCGTTACCATCGAGCCAAAGCCATGGGAAGAAGCCGTCGTCGCCAAGGAAACGGTACATCTGTCTCTGTAGCCTCCGTAAAGGGAAGTAAACAATGGATAGAGGTGCGCTGTCGTGGGGTGATTTGTGTCGGCAGAGCACCTCGGTTTCTCGGTGACACTTGATTGTCTCGGATGAGAGGGTGCCCTTGTCTTGTGCTTGGTGCCATCGAAGCAAACATTCCATGAATTTATCTGGCCTGAAGAATTTAACATACGTCGCAGCATCCTTTAAAAACAGAAGAGGAAATATTCCATTTGTGTTAAAGTCTGGATGTGTTTTGAGACACGCATGTTTGGTAAACCAAGTACGCCACAAGTCTTTCTGGTGCTCCCGTCTAGATGGCTCATCGCAGAAATACAGATCGTGAGCGAACAGAGCATCATGGCCAGGTGCATTATCTCCTGCGTTCGGACCTGGACCAGTCTTGCGAAATACCTCCAACGGACCGTTTTTTCATTATTCGCAACGTAGACTGTTTCTGCCAAGGGCTGCCGAAGGTCCAAGTGCTGGTCGAAAACATGAAAACCATACGGCGAATTTCCATTCTTCGAGTTCAATTTCTCGGCCATGTAAAAGAAATCTGAGGTGGTTGTTTGATGCTTGGAGGGAAAGTCTTCCACGAGCTTCAGCATCTGTGTATTGGTGCAAAATTGCCTGTCGCACAGCTTCCACAGGCACACTTTACACCGAGAGAGTTAACAAGCAGAGATCTCTTCTCGCCTTCTACTCTTCTGGATAGAATTCTCATGCCTAAATCAACAGGAATATCTAGACCCTTGACAGTTGGGAGGTAGATTGGCCCCAAAGATGCAGATGTCCAAGACCCGCCTTCAAGAGGAACGAGGTCCATGTCCTTGATCTTGGGACCGTGAAATCCGCGAACGGTCCTATGGTTGAGCGCAAAATTTGAAATTGCTGCTGTCTGCTCATGCCATAAGTCGGTTGTTCCTTGGGACTGCATCCGCGATGTGATCCCATTCGCGAGATCTGCTCCCAGCCATCGTATAAATCTCGCTGGAGTGACGTCACACAGCCCGTAACTCTTCAAGATTTTGAGGTCTGTTGAGCCATATTGTCGTGAAATGACCTCTGCTGGATCACCGTCTTCCAATAGAAGCTTTTGATTCTCGTCAAACATGTCCGAAGTAGCATGGAGAAGATCACGCAACAGTCGCCAGCCATAACCCTTATAGTCATAGAAAGCAGGCGCTTTCTGCAGACTTGTTCTGATCTCGTCGACCAGAGAAAGCCAGAACATTTCCCAAGAGCCGGTCGTGTTCGGCAAATACGCGGGCCACGTGTAACGTAAAGCCTCGTGCTCGGAAAGCTCTGTGGCCGCACTGGCAAACGCCTCGGCGATGGCTTTCAGGAGGCCAAGGTTGCAAAGTGAGTCTTTGACAATATCTTGTCGACTAGCTTCAGTGACAAAGTCGGCTTGGATGAGGAAGTTGAATCCGACTGGTCTCACTGGGAGGAAAGCGTAGACCTGTTGAGGCTCGATGATGGGCACCGGCTTTTCTGAGATTGGGAAAGCGAGGATGACTTCGGACTTTGAATACGCCTGAGAGGCTCCTTCAGACTTTGTATAAGTTCTGTTCTCGTTCTTTGCCAATCCCTCCGCTGTATGGCTAATAATTGTGAAGTGTTGGACGAACTCTTCGGAAGCCGCCTTCTCAGTTTTGATCTTCTTGAGTAGAACGTGGCTGGGCTCGAGTTGAGTGAGGTCGTAGGTCACTGAAGACGCTTCCTTCCCATCGTCATCGAAGAATCCAATCTGGATTCGTCGAATATTCCTCAAAAAAGGCAACATCTTCGCCTGGAGCATTTCAAATTGGGACCGAATCGACTCGCGTGTCTTGGCCAGTCCACCTTCGTCCCCAGTATCATGGAGATGCGAAGTGATCCTCGTCAATGGGGATTGAAGCTTCTCACTGGTCTCCTCCCATGTGGGTGATATCATGCCCATTCCCGAATCCTCCGGCTCGTGTCTGAAAGAGAATGAGAAGGGGCCAGATTGGATGTGCACTTTATGTGCAGCCATGAAGACGGATTTGAAGCCAATGCCCTTCTCGCCGATGTAGCCTGGGCACCAGTCTTAGAGCTCTGCCCAACTGCGCAGATTGCTTTGAGATTATCCTGGCTGAACCCATCCTCGTTGCATTCGACCACGACCTTGCGGGGGAAGATTCGGAAGGACACGAATGGTTTGGAGCCCGCAGTTGAGGCCTCGGCGTAATTATTATCGTCGGCATTCTAGAGGAGCTCGAAGACGAAACGAGCCTTGCTGGAGTACAGATTCTTTGCGAGTCTTGTCACTTGCCGTTAGCTTGTTGTTTAAACGTCCAATCCACACAAATACCTACATGATGACACTGGATCCAATCATCTGATCTTTCCAGAAGAAAGCCTGCTCAATTTCGCGGCGCAGTTCAAGTGGAATTTTCTGCAACTTGTCTTGGGCCACATAGCCATGTTCTTTGGCAATATTCGCAACCGCCTCTCTCGCGGCTTTGATACTATTCGGAGTAGCCATGGCGCAAGGGACGAAGCGAACCCGCTCCTTGTCCTCGACGAATGCGATCAAGAAACGGAAGTGTGATCGTTGTCCATGCCATTCTGAACGTTTCATAGCGGAGATCGAGGAGCTTTAAGTGTGAAGAAAAGTACAGTTCAGCCTGGAAAGCATCCTGTTCACCCCTCATCGAAATGTTCGTGAATCTGAGGCTGCCCAACAGAAACTTTGGCATGTACTCTTGAAGCTTCCACGCTGAGGTTTGCACTTCAGTTGGATATGCGGCGTCTAGTAAACCTTGTATATGCGGGAGGCCTGCTGCCCAACGCCCTATCAACCAACCCGACAGGAGCACGCAGCGCCAACAAGAAGAATCATGTGTGTGATGATATGGTATCTCCCTCGGTTATCTCAGATATACATACGCTCTAACACATCTTTTCAGTCCTATTGACGTGGTCGATGAATTGCAAGCCCAGCGTTATTATGAGGGGTTGGCTCAAAAGGGGTGGGTTACAGCGGCACCAACGTTCTTGCCCAACCGGATCATACAGTCCAACTCAATGCTGCTCGTACACGCAAAAGAAAACGTAAATACTTGGAAGATGCTGCACAGGTGCGATTGTTTAATATGAAAATCTGTGGTACCCCCCCCCCCCCCCGGGCCCTCAAAAGGCGCAGAGGCGCAGAGATACTTGAAAGTTCCCGACTGGCTGGTTATTTTCCTTGATACAGGCAATGCCCCGATACTACCATGAAGGTGCCCAAATCATGGCTGTTTTTAGTGGGATGCAACTGCCAGCGGTTAGGACGGCAGCTAAATACCCGCAAGCCTCCCTATGGAAGCTCCACAAGCTCGTGAGCATTCTCAGCGAACCTACCATTAATTTGACCTAGGAGCTAGCTCAAATACGTTCGTCACGAACTCTCTCAACATCATGAGACTTCACTTTAGCCGTCGCTAACCTCTAAAGCAGGCAGAGAGATCCCGAGCATAGACATAATCTACCCAGCAACACTGACCCCACCTATCGTCTTTATATTCACAGACGAATATCACCCAGAAGCAGGGAACGATCGCAGAGGACATGAAGTGTTGCCATGCTTGATCCAGTCTTCCTGCGCCTATCTAGTATTGGGACCGAGTTTGAATAGAGATTCATGGGTCCTAATAAGGGAAAAGAAGGCCCCTTTCCATCTGTGAGATCCTGTTTGATGACACACCAACAGTTTTTGTATGGCTGTCACAAACGTCGCCATCGATCCATTATATAGGAGATTCTATAGCGGCTCCTATGTGGCAAGCGTACTCTACGAACCGGGGCTTCATCACTGATTCACCATGGAGCGCTACTAGCAGCCCAGGATGGACAAGCAAAGACATGGAACCAGGCCAGACAGTAAAATCTCACTTCCCAAACCCCTCCAAGTCCCCGATTCTACAACTTTGGCTTCTCCCAAATCTAGAACTCAGCCGGTGCCGACATGTCTGACAGTGAAATATCAGTGGCCTCATAGGGGAAGCTTAAGTCTTGGTCCCCACTCCCCAGTGAGACCGTTGAGAAGTTCGCCGCCCCCTTACGAAATGGAACGCCAAGACGTTGGAACAAGAAAGGTCTCGGCCCATCCCTTCGGATATTGACAGCCCCATGTCTCACAGTCTCGCAAATTCTCCTTCGCATACCACAATTTCCAGCTTCTGGTATAACAACGACGAAGCAGACCTCGAAGCTGAAGCGGTATTAAGAGATCAGAGTCTGCTTCAGCCACATATCAACCACGGGAAAAGTGACCGGCTTCCTCATGTCACACATCACGAATATAACGAGATTCCCAGCATCAGAGTACGAAGTTTGAAATCTCAGCCGGGTCTTTCACCGGCCTTCTTAGCTTGAATTTGCTATGATACAAATCGGCTCGCCACTGCTTGGGGGTTTTGGAACCCTCACATCTTCCTCCCACTGTCTCGTCTTTTTCGTGCTCTTGCTCCCTTTTTCTGGACAAGAGTCAACAAAAGATTCCCAACCCAAATCTAAGCGCGGCCATGAAGACATCGTTCATTCGGCCCGCCCCTTTATGTTCCGTTGTTTATATGTAAAGTGCTTTGGGGTATCTGTTGGTACACAAAAAAACAGTGTGACAAAGGAGAGAACCAGCAAAAAAGTAGGTATAATAAAAGCAGTGTGTGTGCGGTAGGCCCCTCTTCATAGCCCCCTCTGAAGGGGGCAAGAGACTATGCCTCGCCGAGTGGGATGAAACCTTTTCCCTTTCTGTCTCAAAGGCCTCCCATGGAAAACAAAAGAAAACGCCGTGGTTCCGACTTATCCCAAACCCATCCCCGTGCCATGCAAGAAAACTGAAATGTTTTGTAGAAAATGTGTGTGTTCCGTGAGTGGTGATGTTGTGCGATGCCGCCGCAACGTCCAGGCCGCGACGGTGAGATCCGGTCTGCTTCGTAGATTATGTTGTTGTGTTGTATTTCTTCTCGTCCGCATGTAGCTCGATGCCGCTATCGCGGTCCTGCGGGTTGTTCCAGTGGGGCGACAGACTCCTCGGGGAATCTAACGGGCTGCTCGGTAATGAGGTTGTGAACTCATCCTTCTGCCCCTTCTCTCCATCTTCGTTCTCTTCAAGATATGCCGGGCGTAGTACCCGCGGGGGCAGCTCCACGTCGCTCGGGCGGACGCTGTACTCGAGGGCCTTCTTTCCCTCCTTGATAAGCTCCTCCGTCCAATTCAAGCATCTCTTGATGCTCACGTTGATCTTTTGGCTGTCGACAAGCAGTTCCCTATGCTTGGAGAGATCCAATCGGAGGCGCTTCTCATCCCGAGTCCGGCGGCGTTCGTCTCGTTCTGGATCTTCCTTGGGACTTGATATCGACATGGAATCCGTTTCGGAAAGCTCTGATGATTCAAACAAGGAATCGTCCATGTCTCCCTCCGCTTCCTCCTCGCTGAGATCCGATAAGTCCAGTCCTTCAATGCCCAGGCCTGCAGGGGTAGATTCGGCGGAAGTCATCCGGCTCGACCCGGCCGAAGGAGGGACGGATAGACGCCCAGACCTCGACAGCCTCTTGTACCTTCTGAGTTCTGCAGTCTGCTTCCGTAATTGCTTCTCCAGCGACCTGTTGATTGCCTCGAGAGATGCGTTGGTAATTTCCAGATCCTGAACCTTGCGCTCTCTCCTCGCGTTCAGGACCATGTCGTTCAGCGGATCTCCATGGGATGACTTGGTCGGGCTGTGTAGATCCTCTGGGTCATTATCCTCATCAGCCGAGTCCTCCTCGTCCTCTTCTTCCAGGTCATCTGCTGCCTGTATTATCGATGCAATCGTGATCGGTTGTTGCGCAAAGAAACTCGGTACCGTTGGCGACGGCAGCTCGGAGGGTGTCGATGTTTGTGAGGCTATGAACCTCGACATGATCATGGCATCTGTTGCTGGAGCCTCTGATCCAACATGACTTGCCACCTGTGAGAGCGTATCGGTACTCGTCCTACGCTTATGTGACGGCGGTGCAAGCGGCGGAGGACTAGTCATCTGGGCCCGGCCAGCGGTGTGAGGCGGCATGCTATTGCTCTTGACTAACGGCGCGGAGGTCGGGTGTTGAGCTGGCTTGTTGGGCGACAGCGGTCGCTGGGCCATAGGGAAGCCATTCGCCGAGCCTGCTGATGTCCTATGCAGCTTGCTCGATGCCGAAGTAACTGAACCCGTCATCGACGCTGCAGACGAGGGCCGGAATCCAGGCTGTAGATTGGGAGCTCCATTGGCGTAGAAGAATTTGCTCGATGGCGGCTCCGGCGCCGGTGCGAGTTGCGGAGAGAGTGACGGTGCAAGCGACGGCGCCAAGACGGGCGTGAAACCAATGCCAGGTGATGCAGGCCTGTTCTTCTCTACAGCACCGCCATTGGCGTACATGAAAGTTGAATTTCGTTGCTGGGGAGCTAGCGGCCTGGGCTGGGCTTTGAGAGGCTGAGCTTTCGGCAGGGAAGCTTGCGACGGTTTTGCCTCGCTGGCGTAGAAGAACTTGGAATCGTTTGCGTCGTTCCTGCTACTGACGCTCGAAGGCGGGCTGAAGGTGACGACCTGCCGCCTCGGGGGCTCGAGTGTCGGCTGGCGATCCCATTCGTTCCTGTCCGGATCCGGAGTGCCATTCGGGGTTGTGTTGGTACTGCTGACCCGGCTCTGGCGACTACCGGTGCGAGGGGTGATGTTATTCGCAGCGAGGAAGGGTGCAGGGCTCGTGAGATCGTCCCTCGCACCTCCGCCATTTATGTGCGGTTGTGTGGGGTAAGTTGTATTGTTATTGATGGTGTTGTCGTTGCGGCGACGACCCATGGGGGTGACGACCGGAGGAGAAGGTTTCGCAGCGACTTTCGGGGTCAGAGGAGCTCGGCCGATTGCCTTTGCGCTGAGCGAAGGCATCGCAGGCTGGCGAGTGGTGGTGCTGCCCCCTTTCTCGTAGGGGGGCATGGTGGACGTGGAGGAAGCGGAAGCGGACGCTGGAGATGTGCCAGTTGTGGGTGATGGGGTAGGCGAAGGCTTCGCTCGCGCGGCGTTTGCAGGTCGAGAGGGGTTCAGGACATTTTGGTCTCGTGTGCGGAGGGGTGTGCGCAAGCTGGAGGACAGGGCTGGTGGCTGTCGTCTCGAGGTAGAGGATGGTGTTGACGCCGGGGTCGTTGTTGGTTGTGTTGTTGGTGTTGTTGTCGGCGTTGACGAAGTGGTGGTGGCGGTGGTGGTGGGTGGTGAAGGTGACGATGTTGTGTTTGGGCCGACGGTGGTGGTGGTTGTTTTGGTGGTGCTGGCACTGGTGGCAGCAGCTGTGATGCGTCGGGGCCCGTTTATCGTTGGTGGGCCAGTGGCAGCAGCGGTAAGTGGCCGTGGTGGGCGTGTGGTGGTGGTAGGAGCAGCAGCAGCGGTAGCAGCAGTAGGGGTGGGCGAGCGATCGACGGCGGCGGGATTGGTGTTATTAGTCGAAGTGGGATTATTTGTGGTTCGGAGCTGGGCCGCTGTAGGTTTGCGGTCGACAGCGACGGCGGCGGGCGACGATGTCGCGGAGGTTGGACCAGCAGAAGCACCCGAGCCAGAGGAACTCGAGGGAGCAGCCGATGGACGGGATGATGTCGTCGTCGTCCCAGGTGGTCTGGAAGAGTTGGATGATGGTCGATGAGCAGATGCGGCGGGGTTGATGCGGGTGGCAGGTGAGATGGATGGCCTGATGTTTCTCCTAGTTCGGGACGAGTCGGGCGTCTGCTTTCCCTGCTGAACGATGAGGTGTTTTTGGTGTTGTTGGTGATTTGGGTGTAGCTTAGTATTGCCCTGCTGAGGACGGTTGGTGGTGGTGTGTGACTGAGTGCCTTTCGGTGGCGGCGATGTCAATGAATCGCCGGCGTGCCTTGGTGAAGGTGAGGGAGACGGGGCCGAGGGAGCAGTCGAAAGATTATTGCAGCCAGCCGGTGTGTTGTTGCACCTTCTGCTGTTGTTGCTGGTGTCGCTGCCACCACCGCCGCTAACGCCCACGGAGGAGAGCGCTCGCATTTTTTGGAGGGGGCAGCACCTAAGCTGCGCGAGCGGGTACGTACCTGCAGGTGCGGGTGTGCGGGTGCGGTTGCAGATGCTGGTGCTAAAGGTGCGGAAGTACCTCCACTAGGGAGTGCTGGGAAAAGGAGGTGGTGATTTGGGGAAAGGTACTTGATTGTGGTGCTCGAGACATTGGACGAAAAGACCTCTGTGCTGGGAAGTCCCTGGCGCTTCTTGGCTTCGTCCCTGGCAGTCTGTGTCTCTCTCTCTTCAAGTCTTGGAGTCTTGTCTCCCGGTGTCCACCCCTGGCCCGGGCTGTCCCTTGGAAATTCTGGAAATAAACCTGAAGAAGGGGGCCTGCGCAAGGCCAATCTTGTCTGCGGTGTGTGCAGTGGGGTTGTTTTGAGGGGGGGGTCCCTTTTCGAAGTCAAGGTTGAGCGAGGCGTGCGAGGGTTGTTGAAGAGCCTGTAATTCCGGTACGAGGCACGAATCCACGATGCGGTGTGTGTCGAATGTCGCTACCGGTTCTGATGTCTCTTTCGGTTTTCGTGTGCTCTTTTCGTGTGTGGCCCGGAAGTGGGAGAGGGGGGGTCGATCGGGCAGAGTTGCTCGGTGAGGATAGGAGGGCCCGAGAATGAGGTTGTCGTGTGTCCGTCTCTGCCTCTTTTTCTCTCTCTTTCTTGGTTCGTGTACGTTGTCTGGGTTGTGTGTGTGTGTGTCTTTGCGCCTTGTTTCGCTCTGGGTGTCTTCAAACGAATAGACTCGATGTCAAACGTCGTTGCGATTGAAACATGCAGTTGTGATCAACAGGAGCAATGCCGGATTTGAGACATGTGCCGTCAGGTGCTCAAGCCTAAAAGAAGAGTAGACGCGTTCAGGTTAGAAAGAAACGCGGGAATGGAGGAGAGGGGGAGAAGAGGCGCGAGTTGAAGAATGAATGTCATTCAAAAGGTAGGGCAATGAATAGAGACAAGGAACCATATGATGCCTGTCCGGAACGAGACGATCGATAATTACGAGAGATGCAGAAATGCAAAATGACATCGTTATTCTTCATCGTTGACAGAAACACCCCCAGCTCGGACTCGCCTCGATTTGGTATCCGTAGAACCACGGGAACCACAGGAACCACGTTCACGACCACGGCCCACGCTTCTATTATCGTGCGCGTCTTGTCCCCTTCGACTTGTGGTGTAGAGACTGTGTGTGGTTGTTCCTGCATCCATTGACCATGCATTCGTGCTCTCCGTGTCGCCATCCTTCCCCATCATTCATCTCGATTGGCATTTGTTTATTCATGCGTTGCGGCTTCAACACAACGGCATCCTGCACAAAAGACGACCATCAAACCCACCAACCCTGCCTTGTCTGCCTCGGCACCCAGTCCCTGTATGCTGTGATCGGTGAGGATTCGAGCAGGGCGGGCATGGGGGCGGCCAGTAGGTTCCTCTAGCCTGCAAATGGTGAGTGGTTAGTAGGAAGTAGTGGATCCAGCGGTGACATGTCACCTTTCGATCAGCTTTGCTTTTTTCCCTTTTTTCCCCTCTCTTGGTGTGGTGTTTGTTATTTTTGTTTTGGTCGGCGTCGGGGTCCGGTTGGTTCCATCTCGTTTATTTTCTTTTTTTTTTCTACCCGTCAGCCCGTGTCCCGGGGGTCTGGCTGGTTGCCCGGCTCAAACCACCTTAGCGTCGAGTACGTATCCTTCTGCACCGCTTACCTCATTATCCTCGCTTCTCTCGAGTGCGCTGCCTCTATACCTTATCTTATCCGTTGACTGAGGTGCACTGAGACTGCGGCGCGTCATGCCGCTGAACAGCCTGGGAAGGCTCGAGCCCCGCCAGTGAACCCCGTGCCCCCTTGTCGCTTAGCAGCCCGCGAGCTAAAGCTTGCACCACTGAGCGGCCTCGGAAAGCCCAAGTTAATGTTGCAACCGCTGTAAGCTGACAAAGATTTCCCATCTTGCGCAGAAGCTCTTGGGGGAAGACACACTCGCACAACCGCAGCTTCCTTGACGTATGCAGCATTACAGCCATACTTCAACATTCCCAATCTTCTCCTTTTCCTCAACCTCTCCTCTTCCCACCCCATCATCCCCCGTCGCGGCCAACGGCCCATCACCGGGTCGCAATCATGGGCTACATCGGCGTCTCCCTCATCCTCGCCTCCTTCGTCTGGGTCATCGTCGCCCCTCCGCCATGGATACACCCCTTCATGCCGCCTTTCCTCCTTGCCTGGCGAAACGACGCAAAGCTCCTACCGCCCTCTACGCGGTCAAAGTCCTCTTCTCCTCCACCGCCAAGCGACCAACATGACTCGAAGTCGAAGGCTTCCTCGACAACGACCAACGGGCACGCATCTGAGCCCTCGACCAAGGAACAGCCGCGCGATGCCCCTCCCCCGCCAACGATCAACCTCCCCGAAGACCCCGTCGCCGCACCGGCACCCGTGCCGCGCAACACCGCCGCTGTCGCTATGCCTCCTCCTCCTCCTCCGCCGGTCATCCGCCGCTCCTCCCCGAATCCTGCCACTCCCGCGCCGCCCGTGGTAACTGAGCCAGAGGCCGAAGAACAAACAACACCAAAGGCAACGCCTGCCGCTCCCATCGCACCCGTACCATCTTTCACCCTCGAAGAACCCTCAAAGGCACCCGCACCCCCCTCCCTCGGCGCATCACTCTATTCACCTTCAGGACCCATGCTCGGCAAAGGAAGCATGCCCCCTCCTCCTCCGCCTTCAACATCTTCGACCAACATGTTGCCGCCGCCAGCCCCAACACCCCGCGGCCCAGTCCCCCCTCGCCTTGCCGCCTTCCCAGCAATGAACTCCCCCCAACGTGCCCGCGGCCCCGTACCGAACCGTGGCCCAGCATCCGGAGGCTCCTCCCTCGGCTCCTCCCTCGCGCCGCCGCCAACACACTCTGCAAAGGCCCCCAAACCAACCCGCAAAGTCATCCTCACGCCAGGCCACTCGCCCCTCGACTGGGCGCGCATCTCAGGCCCCAACGCGGACCTGCGCAACCTCCCGCCCTCCACACCTTACCTCAAAGTCACGCCGTCGATGCTTAAGAAGATGACGGGTAGAAAGGGGAAAGATGCCTGGATGGCGCTGGGTGGGAGGGTGTACAACATCACGCCGTACCTGCCATATCACCCGGCCGGAGAGCCCGAGTTGCTGCGTGGCGCGGGGCGTGATGGGACGAAATTGTTTGGGGAGATTCATCCCTGGGTGAACTACGAGACTATGCTCTCCGCGTGCCTTGTGGGGCTGTTGGTGGATGAGGAAGAGGGTTCGAAGCCAAGTGCGATGGATGAGATGGACTGATGTACATGGTCTGAATTTTCGGATTCACATAGAAAATGGTACCGAGAGGCACATATAAGCAAGATGCGGCAGCAGAGGCCTGTAATTCAACAGGTCAAGCCTGCATTGCATGCAGAATACGGATAGAGAGATACCCCCTAACAATAGAAGCAGCGCCCGTCGCGAATGCAAGTCATACATCATCATCACCACTCTCCCTCGCCATGTTCCCTCATCGCCGTCGACCAAACTTGAACTTGAGCTCATCTTCGCTGTCGTCACTGTCCGCGACCTCGATAACTTTCCGCGAGGCTCTCGGCTTCTTCGCCGGCGGCTCCTTGGCTGGTTCTGGCGCGGACCTCTTCCCGCGAGTCTGTCTTGATGATTGGCTCTGTGTGGTGTTCTGTGACTGTGTCGCCGTCGTGGCGCGGGTACTTCTCGACCGTGATGCTGGCGTCGGTTCTGGTTCTGGTTCTGGCTCAGGTTCAGCTACGGGCTCGGCCTGGGTATCGGGTATGTCGTCCTCTTCACTGTCGTCGCTTAGAACGATACGATGTTGTCGCGATGCAGGCCGAGACGCAGGCGGCGGCGGCGGCGGTGGCGGAGGAGCGGGCTCGTCCTGAGCTGTACCGCTCTTCTGGTTGTCGTTACCCTTCTTCTTACGCTGGCTGTCGTCCTCTAGCCAGTAATCGTCTCCAATGCCAAACTCCTTGGTCTTGACTTGCGTCAAGGACACGATGACCCTCTGGGGAGGTCGGCCAGTGAGTTCGCCCCGCGGCTTGAAGCGCTTGAAGTTCTTCCTCCCATTCCACCGTGGATCCCATCTACCATTCTCGTCATCTTTATCGTGACCTCTGTTGGCTGGTGGTTGACGTAGTGGCATCTCCTCGACAATGTGCAAGCGACGGATTTGCTCTAGATCAACGTCGTCGGGTAAATTGGCCAAATCTTCTTTTTCTGCCTTGAGACAAGCCTCCATTGCTTCCCTCTGCTGGCGGGCAACGTCGAGGACGTCGATCTCTTTCTTCACCTTCTTTACTCTGGGAGCGGGCCTTGACTCGGGTTTCGCGTGTTCAGGTGGCTCGGCACGTGGAACGGGCTCTTCTCCGGCTGCGATCCTCCGTCGTTTGACTGCGGCCGCTGTTGGGATGATGTCCTCAATGTCATCGTCCTGTGTTGCAGGGCGTTTCCTCTGGGATCGTCTATTTGTATCTGGCGATGGTCCGGCTGCCTCGTTTGACGCATTCACATCTTGAGAAACGAACAGACCCTCTTCTTCAGATTCAGCCTCGGCGGATTTGCTTTCAGTCACTGGAGGAGTGAATGCATCATCGTCATCATCATCGGCGTCAAATCCAGCGAAGCGTCTTGTCGGTGCCCTCCGCACCCGACTTCTGGCAGCAGCAGGCTTAGACGGGGGTGCAGACTCTTGAGGCGTGTTCTGTGAGGTCGTTGGCTGATCTATATCCATCGAGCTGGAGTCACCCCTTGCCACCTGCTGTTGTGGTGCTTTGCTTGCCGGACCCTGAGTGGGGTCCATCTCCAAAGGCCGGCGCAATATGCTGGCATCTTTGATGAGGATGGCCTCGAGGAACTCGTTCTGTTCGATGGGTCTGTGGTCAAGTCGAAGGGAGACTTGAGTGAAGAAGTCGGCATACCAGTCCACAGCGTCGCCCTTGTTCGGTACGAAGCGGACGACTACGACGCCTCGCCCTTCGCTACCGTCGTCAAAGGATCCAAGGCCTTTCTCGCCAGCTTCCGTTTTGACGTAGAGAACAAAATCGTCCACAGTAGTTGACTTTGGATCGACCTTAGTAAACAGAGCCTTGCCCTTGCCGTTGGTTATTGGTGCCAGAAGATTGTCAAATTGTCCCTTATCGTAGAAAATGAAGGTGTACCCCTCAAAGATTTCCAAGCGGGCATCATCCGGCGCATACGCGGATGGGGGCCTTTCGACAGGCTCGCCACCGCGAGGAGGCAGGTGCTTCAACGGATCTGGCCAATTGCCATTAAAGTCTGTTTCTAAAGCAGAAGAGGCAGTGATATCGTCATCTTCCGATAGGGTCGCCGCTGCGACAATGGCATCAACGAAAGAATCGGCCACGATGTACCTTCCGTTGATGAGGGCCTGCAATCCCTTCGAGGTGTTGCGCTTCTTAGTGACAACGTGTGTCGTGTGCTGGATGTTATAGTCTGCCAGTAACTTGACATCAAGCTGCTCAAGGTCGACACGCAGTCGTGAAAAGGGGTCGGACTGCATTTCTCGGCTCGAGAAGCTGAATGTGAGCGCCACAGGCTGCCAGGTCAAGCTAGGAAACCATCAGAAGGCAGTCCGAATCTTCAAACAACAATATCCGTACCGAAACAGGTCAGGGCAGCCGCCCATCTTAATCTCTGCCGAGGCTGCGGCCACCACATGCTTCTCGCCCTTGTATTTGTGCCTGTCTACGGTCGTTCCGGTCTTGGTGCCCAAGTCTTCGATTGTGACGGTCGATCGGCGGGTAAGGTGTTGCTACGAAGACATTCAGCTGGCTGCACTGGTGAATCGTTGTGCGCCTACATACGCTGTCGCCGTCGGACACATTGTCAACCTCGATGGTCAGATGTTTGCGCGAAATGGTCTTGTGGGAGATAGCCAGTTGTCCGGCTGCAGTCCGTCAGTGAAATTCGCTCATGATGGTCGCATAGTTGTAGTCCATACGTTCCGAGTCCGTTCGGCCGAAGAGATATCGTTTGCCTGGCCGGAGCCAAAGCCGTCGCCCTGGACATCAATCGCGTCAGCATCATGCACGATTGGCGGGGTAAACTAAGAAGTACCTTCGAATACATTGCCGTCAGTCTCTAATAACCACATCGCGACCTGTCTGCGGGGGAAAGCGCCGCGGACTGGCGCGCGGTTTGGGTGCTAGCTGCGAGGCCTGAAATGTTGGGCAATACGACAGGATCAATCTCGTGGAGGTAGAGATGGAAGCAGGCCATTTGCCCACGCGCGTCACGTCGCGGGAAAGTGACGCCGGATCACGTGTCCACTTTCAGGCAACAACCACAACCCCTTTGAGCCTCTCTCTCTCTCTCTCTCTTGTGGACCTCGCGAACTCAATCAAAAGGGTCTTGCATGCATTTGACATTAGGCTAAGTACATGGACATTATTCAGACAAAATTGGTTCGTTAGGTATATATCGTGGCTTGACAACGTTCATCAACAGGCCAGGGGTACACGGGTAACCCGTCCGGTTCACCAAGAGGTGAAATCCTTGAAGTCACTCAATCTTTCTCATTGCGCATAGCATTTACATAATTTATCAAGTCTTATTGCTTGACTTTCACACCTGTCTGGATGGTTGTTGACTCGCCGTCGTTGACCATAATACCCAAGATCCAAGAATTAACGAGGAAGAATCCCACGGATGATGCGAACAAGCCCGGAAAAAAGGTGCTAATGCCCAAGAACTCCAGATAGAAGCCCTGCTGTAACCAAGCAGCCTGAGACACGATCCAAAGACCCAATGCTGTAGCCCCGAGCTTCGGACTTTTGAGGAACTGTGAGCCGGGGAGGTAAATGGGCAGGAAGACCATGTACCACAGGAAATACTGCTCGAATGTTAGCCACAGCTCTTGAGATCCAGTGAATGGCAGTTTGCTCTTACCTGGCTCGTACAGACTTTGTTGAAGGTCACGAACGCAAACGTCTGCGCCGTCATCGAAGTTGCAAGGTCCTTCTTGGCTAGGGTGAACGGAATAAGCACCGTTGATAGCAGGATTTGGGGTAGAAATGCGACGGATTCGATGCGAAGAGTAGCCGTGGATGGGAACGCGGACGTCAAATACAAGAGGACATTATAAGGACTGAAGTTATGCCTGTGGTCGATTCTGGTGACGTGGTGGAGGTAAGTGTGCACCAAGAACGGCGTGCCGTATCTATGAGACGATTAGCAGGACCTCAGTTGGCATGCAAGGGGGGTTCTTACATGAAGAACATGGCGATATTGAGCCCCATGAAGGTCGCAAGACTGACGATGGCCAATTTGACTCTTTCAGCATTGAGAAACTTGACAACGGCTTCGCCAAAAGTCCGCGTTTGAGCGGAACCTGTCCCCTTTCGACCGAGCACCTCCTCATCCATCCACCACACAATTGCCGGCGCATAGATGAAAGGATAGATCTTGAAATGGACTCCGAAGCCAAGCAACAGCCCAGCCAGCGTTGTCCGTCTTTCGAGTACGGCCCAAAGTAGCGCCATGACCAATACACCCAGGAGTCCCTCAGAGCTTCCACGAGTACTGATCGTTGCGACCATGGGGTTCAGCAGCCAAATGCTGGCGAATTTTAATGCTCTTCCCATCTCCACGCCGCGCCTTTCGAGAATCCGTACAATCAAGAACCCAGCGAGCAAGTCAGCGACCGCGAAAATGACCTTGCCGAACGAGAACCATCCTTGCCACGCCGTAGGCACGAGCATCCACGCCAAAAGTGGCGTGTAGCGGTAAGTTTCGCGGTCGTAGGGCGAACGCCCTTGAGCAGTGAAGCGAGCGGCATCGGTGAAGACCAGATAGTCAATGTCGGTGTACTTGACGGCGGAGTTGGCGTCCTGCCATAGGCCGTAGTACAGCATCACCACACGGAGGAGCGCGGCGGCGCCGAAAAGCGGCACGGGCCGGAAGAACGCGTCGATGCCGGCCATGCTGAAGTGTGACTCGGGAGAGATGTATTTCGTCGCGAGGTTGTCGGCTACCAAATCAGATGGTCCTATTTGGAAGAGATTATACAGAAAGCCATTGAGTAAGCCCTGGAAGACACGATGATCTGGAGCGAATGTGAGTTTCGGGGGTTGAAGCTTCAAATCCCCATATTGCCATGATGGGAAATTTGAGTGACGTGGGCAAAATCGGCCAGCCCCTGGACGCCGGAGCCCAGATGGGAGTGCTGGGCCCACACCCCGGGTGCTCCATCTGCCGACCCCACTAATTTCAATTCTGACCCTGCACGACCTCACACCAACATCACTCCAGGTCGTTGACTTCATCGACGGCCTCACTTATTACCTAACTCGCATCTCATCAAACACATCCAACTGTTGCAGCAATCCAAGATGTCTAAGCGCGATAGGGATGGCAACATGCGCACTCATGAGCCCAAGCAGAAGCCGGCTGCGCCCGAGTCCCAATTTACCCCCATGTTCATGGAATTTCGCGATGAGCTGGATCAACACCACGACCGGAGGGAGCGTATTGTGAAGGCATCAAGGGATGTCACCGCGTTGAGCAAGAAGATGTGAGCTTTCGACTGCTAGTATATACTTGACTTTGGCTAATCTGGAGGCAGTATCTTCACCTGCCAGAGGTGACCTCTACCAACCGCACATTCTTCTAGCGCCATCTACTAATGCCGTGGTAGAGTCAACAAGTTGGGCGACCTTCCCAACTTCGCCAACAAAGAGATAGAAACGCGCATGGGCGAGATTAAAAACCACCTGACCGCAATTGAGAAGGACATCCAAGGAGTCAACCGCTACCGCTACGCCCACTCACTCCGCTGCCTGGAGGAGCTCGTCGAAGCCCTCTCCTTCTCCCACTACCTTCGAAACCAGACCCTCATCAGCCAGGAAGAGACAGCAGAAGCAGTTCCAGCTAATGTCTCAATCACCGAGAACGACTACATGTTTGGCCTCTTTGACCTCTTTGGCGAGATGATGCGTTTCGCTACTGTGACCACTGCCCAGACCGGTCAGCTGGCCGGTGTCGAAGGCCGCAATATTCTAATGGATATCCACGAACTGAGCAGCTGCTTTGAGATTCTTCCAGAGATTCCCACAAGAGACTTCAGGGGCAAGATGGAGGTTATGCGACAATCGGTGCGCAAGGTGGAGAAGCTGGGCTACGGCTTGGCGATCCGGGGAACGGAACGGCCCAAAGGCTGGGTGCCTGACATGAAGGAGGACTTTGATCCTTCTTCGTTAGACTAAGGCTGTCTTTGAAAGAGGGTTGAAGCAAGACAACGGGTGTATTCTTTGTCGGAAGTGTGAAAGAGAATTAGCCTCCTGTTGAAAGAATTGTGCTTCTGTAAAGAGAATCGATAACATCATGCTCCCTGAGACACAGCGGGCCGTGGTCAGGTTCCTTTGGGGATGCCTGATTCTTCTCTTCACACCGTGCCTCCTTGGATCGTACTTGAAAGTACCCGATGACCGTAGTAGAGGCAAGGCCTTCTAGGGATTTCTTACTTTTGCAGCAATCTATTCTGCCTCCCTTCTCTCAGCTTTATCTCGTCGATTTCCCAATCTCTAATTCCTTATCCTGGACTTGAATCTTCTTCCAGGCCTGAACTGACCTTCACTCTTGCTACTACCGCGGCTCAGAATTTTTTGAGAACTCGACAAAAGCGAAGTTTGGACCTTTCGCATCTTTTTTCAGTTGACAGGTTAGCACTCGCCTACACTTTGGAGGTCGTCGTCCACTCCCGCACATCCTACTGGGAGAAGCACCATGGAGGTCGCTGGCCTAGCTTTTGGTGCGTTTGGAGTTATGCCATTGGCGAAAGAATGCCTCCAACTTGCGAGCAAGCATATTGGTCCCTCGAAGCAGGACACCACCGAACTCAAGCGTAGGACCTGGAAAGACGATGATCACGGCAACGGTAGCCAACCATCTTTGCAGTAAATACCGAGACCATAATGACGTTGCTGTTGCGTATGTGTACTGCGACTGCCAGAACCGGTCCCTGGACACTTCATCGTCTCTTTTACGATCTATCCTGAGAAAAGTCCCTGAATCCTTACTTTATTTACCTGCCGATTTAGAGAAGATGCACAATCGCAACGATCCACTTCCCTCGGCAGCTGTCAGAAAGATACTACGAGAATCAATCGACACTATCTCGAGTTGCATCCTCGTCATATATGCAGTGGACGAAGTGGAAGTATCTGAATCGAATGAGCGTACAAAGGTGTTGGACATCATCAATGCACTACGGCGCCAGTCAAACGTCAGACTGTTCATCACTTCACGACCGATAGATAGTATCAGCTGTCAGTTCGATTCTACGAATTCCTTGGTACAGGAAGTCCGCGCAGAAACACCAGACTTGGAAACGTATTTGGGCGGACGTGTCCGAAATCTGTCACCGCTTCTACGAAGACACCCAGAACTTGAAAAAGAAGTCAAAGATGCTATAATTAGCATTGTTGACGGAATTTGAGTAATCCATTTTTAATTCTTACAATAAACTCGCAAAAATTTGAGTAGGCGGCTTGCTGATTATGTCATAAACCAGGTTTCTTCTGGTACATCTCTTCGTGGGTGTTTTGAAGGACGACCTCACCGTCGCAGCTGTCAACAGAGGCTTGGCTGAGATACAAGAATGTGCACACATTGCTCGGTCAATCCCAAACAGCAGCGACGACTGGAAGCATCTGTTGCTCCGCAAAGCCTATGACAACGTCTTGGAAAATATCAGGACGCAAGAGCACGATAGCGTAGCGATGAAGGCTCTCACGTGAATCACACACGCCAGAAGACCATTGAAAGTTTATGAGCTGATAGAGGCTATCGCATTCAGTTTCGACCACGGACGGCCGGGCAAAGACAAGATACATGGGCCTGCATACATCGTCTCCGCATGCGGAGGATTGATCGTGCTCGATGAAACGACTCGAACCGTTCGCTTGAGCCATCACGCAGCACGGGAATACTTCGGAGGAGTCGAAAAGACCTGTTTCCCGAATGCCCATTACGAAATTAGTGCCGTCTGTGCTGCGTATATGATTCTGTTCGGGCATTCGGAACGTGGATCTTGGATCGGCACGCCCTATATCGGTGGTGTATCCTACAAACGTGCGTCCTACGACGACGCTAAAATTGCGATAGAGCTTCTGGGATACGACCAAGATTATTGGTGCGAGCATGTTCACCAGTCCGACGCCGCTGCTCTTCATGACAAAGGTCAAGAGTTGCTCTATCAGAAGTCTACCGCCACAAGTCTAGCCGGTATCGAGGCTTGCAGTGAAGCAAGCCCCTCACTTGTGGTGGCAGCCCTGGGGATCGATATCGCAGTGATGTAGACAATTTCTGAAAACAAAGATGCAGTCCATGTCAAAGACGCTCATGGTAGAACGCCGCTGTATTACGCGATCTTACATAGCTTCGAGAGTACAGTTTGTATCTTACTTGAGAACGGTGCAAGACCAGATGGACATCCGGGTAAGTGGAATTAGAACGACCATAGGCTACTCTTGTCGATGCCATTTGTAACGACAATGCAAAACAATAGCCTCTGACTATTTCAGATTATTTTCAACACTGTACGAGATGAAGATTTAGGGAAAGTTCGACGAGAAAAATTACTGATAGAAGCCTGTTTTTTTGAGCGTACCTCTTTCGTGTCGGCTCTCCTCAGGAAAGGGGTCAATCCCAATCGGATTGAACGGAAGCGGCAAGGAGAGAAAACCAGCCCATTGCTCATCGCTTCATGTTCTAGCACAGATAAAATCGACGTTGTGCGAGATCTACTGTCTGATGCACGCGCGAAGGTTGATCTGAAGATTGGACTTACATCTGACCCCCAAACTGTTCTTTCTCACGCCGTCGAGCGTAACATTGAGGTTATCGTCGACGATATTCTCGATAAGAAGGCACACGTCCTCGAAGAATTACCTGTCAAAGTTACTATGTACAGTACATACCACGACACATCCCGTTTGGACGTTCTTGAGGGTGCTGTGGTCCAGGGGAACTCTCGCATCATGGAGAAGGTGTTCAGACAAGCACCGGACTTTGACTTCAAATCAAATGAGGGGCGCTATCTGATCTGCAAAGCTGCGTACTTTGCCTCTCTGAGTGGTCTCGAATTCTTTATCCTCAATGGAGCGGAGGCGAACGGCGCAGATACAACCGGAAGAACATCACTATCCTACGTTGTAGAGACGCTAAACCTCCTGGATCCCAATGGCATACGCCTCCGCCCTGTTAACATATACACGCGTCATTTGAAAAGAAACAGCACTCGTAATGAGCGGACGTTCTTGAAACAAGCTCTAGAGAGCGCGCAACTGCTGATTGAGAATGGGGCACGGGTTGATCTCAGCGACAAACATGGACGCACCGCCTTGTCATATGCCGGCCATAGTCCAGAGTACGCAAGTTTGTGCCTGAAACGAAAGGCCAGCGTAAATTCACAGGACGTCATCAAAAGGACGCCTCTTTCCCATGCTTCTCAAGCCGACAGTGGAGACGGTTCAGTAGTTGAGATGCTCCTCACTGCTCAGACATGAAGCTGAATCAAATTCGAGGATGTTGCGGGAAGAAACCCCCAGTGGTTCGCGTTTCAAGCCCAATCGTCGGCTGACATCAGTCGCCTCATATACTCCTGCAAGATTCGTCCTTAGTAATTTCCAAGGATGTGTTTGGGAAGAATGTCATCGCCATGTCAGTCGTAAGTGTATTGATCGCTGACACAGATCGCATTCCTTCATAATTTGAAGAACTGCTTCGGTTCAATGCAACCCCATCAGAAAAACAAGATATTCTGAAGCAACCACTACTTCTGGCGGTCAAATTCGGCCAAAAGAAAGTCTATGAGCGGCTTCTGAAGAAGGCGATCTCAATCGGATATCAAGTACCCCTACAACTCGACCGTTTTGCTCATGGTATGCTTGAACAGCAGTGCGCTTGGGGCCGCGTCTGCTCACTATTCTGTCGGCTGATATTTTTGAAAATAAGCTTTCAAGTCTACACAAAAACTGCGGAATCAAAGTTTGTTTGTTGTGTCGAATGCGATCTCTTCCATGTCCACGAACAACACACCATGCTTGACTGGATGATGACAGATCTTCCAGACGTAATGGAAAAGGTTCAGGTCGGCCCCGTAATACACGCAGATGCAATCGCTTAGCACAGAAGTGGTGATAAAGTAACCATGCAAGCGGTCCCGAAGGTACGCTTGATTGGGTATTCGAGAGCTACGAGTTGATGAAGACAGTACAGTCGATGCCCAACAGAGACCTGGATCCTAGAACTGTGGAGGCAGCAGTCCTTTTCCCCTAGTGTGACGAAGGAAAAAGTCGAGTTACTGATGTGCTATTATTTCAATAACGCACATAGCCAAGCTGGAGACTGGATGATTACACGTATCTTTAACTGCGGAATTCTCTCAAAGACCTGTCCAAAAAATGAAACTCTTATATCCTGCCTCGATTTACAAGCGTAATCCACCCCTAGAGCACCGAAAAGCGGAGATGAGGCCGGTGCACATTGACTCACAAAGCCAGGTCTTCCTTAGGCCTCAAGCGGTCCGGAAACCTCCAAGCAAAAAGAACCGTGACTAGATACATAAGAAGAGAGTCGAAGACGTAAAGTGTCCATTCGTGAGAGAGAGAGTAGCCCATATACCCCTGAGCGAACTCGACAACTCTGAAGATTGATCGAACCATAATGAGGAGACTGACAGCATACAGCATGTACAGGCTCTCTTCCCATGGGATAAGACCGTCCAGAGAATCGGGAGTAGGTGCTTGCCTCATTCTGCGATGGAAGATGACAGCGATGGCACAAAACAGGCCGAACATGACGATCTGGATAACAAGGCCGATGATGACGATCCTCTCACCCCAAGTTGCGAGGCCGGGTTTCTGAATCACCATCATGCCCGATGCACCTCCCTGAATGAGGAACGAAAAGACATCACCGAGCACGAATGTCTTCGTCAATTTAAGGGGTCTGATCATCGAATATTTCTCGGCGTGTATGCTGGTGATGATTCGACCGAGGACCATATAGATCGAGGCGGCAAAGAGGACGGGGGCGATAATGATGAACATATTCTGGATGGCGTAGGTCATAATTCTGTCGGTCTTATCGTGGGCGCTGGCTCGTGCTCCGTATCCTATTACTTCGACTTCCTAGGCGTCAGCAGAGGTTATTGAGGGCCAAAGTCATTGTGCAACTTACAGAGGCACCCCACTGTAAAGACGATGCAGAAACGAGCACGAGTCCTCCAGATCTTCCAGCTAATGTATAGGAAAGACGCGAGAAATAGTATGAGGAAAAGGATCGCTGCAGGCTTGCTTGGGACGTAGCGCCAAAGATAGGCACCTCCCTTGGTCGGGGTGACACCAGGCACTGGCGTGAAGTAACCATCGGTAGACATAATTGCAGGCTATTTAGTGTCTGGTAAACTTTACGAGAAGAAGCAATAGGGAAGATTGAACGATGTTCCGGCAAGGAAAGGTAAATGGTGTTGAGGCTGCCGTGAGAAAGGACTGTCTGGGAATCTAAGAAAGCAAAGGATTGAGCGGGTATATGTACGCTAGGGGAGAAACGAAGCCGTCCATATTGTAAAAGTATTTTGATACCAAAGAGACAAATTCGAGCTCCACAACGTCTCGACAGATCTAAGCCTCCCCAGCTCCGTGTTTGCATATTTCGTCCAGTCTGCACCAGGCTCTGAATGCTCGGATAGAGTTGCAGACGAACGGGTTCGGACTGCTTGAAATGTGGGGCACACGGACCCGAGTCGAGTAGTAAAGAATACGCGGAACCAAGTATGAATCCGAGCATCTTACCCGAGGGTTCGTTGTAGCTCGGGTTGACAACGCGCATACGCTAATCTCGACGTGCCAAGAAAACTTCAACAATTTGAACGTCTCTTGCGGTAAATTTCTGGTTGCGTGAACAGTCTCAAAAGAGCGGGGACGTGACTGCTTCTTTTAAGCGACTTTGTTCAGAAGCACCAGACGCTTGCACCTTTTCTGAATGGAATACTTTTACCATTCGATTCATTGCAGACTCTGAAGGTTTCATGTTCCAAGCTCATCGAAGGATACAGACTTTAAAAGCGAACATGGAGGTCTTGCAAGAATAATGCTGTCTGGAGTCTCTAGGTCGGTTGGAAACATCAACAGCTCCAAGAGCCCTACTTCTCTTTCGGCACGGCGTAGAACAGCACAAAGTAGATACATAGACAGTATCGAGCAATTTAACCCATTTTCGTGAACTCAGCACCTACCACTGCCGAGTTGGATTCTGAAAATTAGAGGCATTTCCTCCAAAAGTTAAACATGTGCATGTATGAGTCCGTTTATTGAGAGTTTGAGAACTCAAACAGCCATTCTTGTGCTTCGAAGACCAGTAATTCCGGCAACGCTTTCCCTACGATGTTAACAATGTTAGCGGTCTTTAATTTTCCAAGGCTGGCGTTGTTTTCAAGTTCAGTCTTGAATGTTGGCGTTCTAGATGGGCAGAATTCCAGGAAGTTTTCCTGTAAACTGAATTCAGGCTACTTTGATTGTGAGTCATCCAGCCTTCCAGCAAAACGTATATCTTGAGCAATCCAGCCGGAGATGACTGCAATCTGTACTGTCACATGACACAATGTTGAAGAGCCCTCATTGGACACTGGACAAAAAAGTAGTCTGCAATTCTACGCTACGAGAGAATCTACAGTTCAAAGGCCGTTCACGCCACTGCGTTATTATATACTGCATACGCTACGGAATTTGAAGTTTGAACACACCCAGATGTTTGTTGAATTGATGCTTCAATTCGTCTAGAGGTTCTACACCACTTTTGATACCATGTTGGATGTGATTGGTTGAGATTGTGCGAAATTGGCTATTATCAGACGAGTACGCAAGCCAGCTAATGCGGCACTGCGGAAACGTAGGTAGTACCATAATTATCGAGGCGGTTGAGAGTCGACGCGCCGTCCAGCGTTTGCCACTCCGAAGCCCGCATTAGATAGCCGAGAAGAACCCCGCATCACAAACGTAGACCCTCAGCATTAGAGAAATGCGTCTGCTGAGATTACATGCTTCTTTCCAATTAGCGACATCAGAGTGACGAGTGATTTTCTGCGAAGATGATTGAAATAACTGTGGCTGGAACTCATCGAGAGGTAAGTGATATTTCCGACTGCTTCTTATGTGCCTTAGAAGCTTATCTTTGTATCAACGCAGATCGGCCTGGCAGTAGGTCAACAGGCCGCAAAGCAAGTTGCCGGGTCCGTCGAATTCTATCGTTATTTTTTCAAAGCTTTCAGTGGCTTGGAATGGTCTACAGTACAGGAGAAGACCCTGGAATTCATGCCACACCTCAAAGCCAAGTTTCCCTCATACTTTGAAGAGATTGAGGGGGTTGCGGAAGGTGCTGCGGTTGATGTTCTTGATGTCGTTACATTGAACATACGGAGCGAGGTCGCCTTTGGCCTTTTTGAAGCGGAATCAAAACAAGACACGTCAGGCGCAGCGGCAGAAATGGCGGTAGACGGATGCACTGCATTAGGCTGGAAGACCCCTGGAGGATCAACATTCCTGTCACAGAATTGGGACTGGAAGAAGGAGCAGAAGCCAAATCTGATCATTGTTCGCGCTAGGCCACAGAATGCGGACGGCATCAGTCTGCCTGCTTTTCAGATGATCACCGAAGCAGGTATCATCGGGAAGATTGGATTCAACGCACACGGTGTAGGATGTCTGCTCAACGGCATCCGCGCCAAGGGCGTCAATTCAGAAGGCATGCCAACCCACTTCGCTCTCAGGACTATTCTGGAGTCCAGGTCAAAGAGAGAGGCCTTGGAAAAGATCGAGAGCGTTGGGTTAGCCGGAAGTAGTCATATCCTTCTTGGCGACAGCTCTGGCCCCACAGGCCTCGAGTGTACTAGCATTGGATTCAAGGAGCTTCCGGCTGACGACAATGGCCGTGTTATTCATGCTAATAACCTGATTTTGGAACACGAGGGCGTCTTTGAGCCGCTCTGGCTTGAAGATTCCCCGAAACGTACCGCCCGTATGAAGGAGCTTGCAACCCCGTATGTCGGCGAGAGCGCCGGCTTCGTGACCTTGCTAGAATTATTCAAGGATGAACAAAACTTCCCGGCGTCTATCAATCGGAAGCAGATTGGGAAGAATGACTCTGGTACCCTTTTCAATGTGGTATTTAATTTGACTGAACGAAGGGGTGTCATTTCCGTAGGTCGAACAACAGAGATTGAGGAGCAGATCGAACTTGGATTTTGATATCCTCATGCAGAAATTACGAACTGGATGATAGTCTCTCTACTCAGTATGCCTGGAAGTTGCTACGGATCACTACCATGTCCATAGGGAATCGAAATAGAATCTCGTGATACATTGGATAACTCTAGAGAAGTGATCGTGATTTCTGATTGCATACCTTAGTTGAACAAGATGCTGTATTTGCCATCAAAACCACAATAGCCTGAAGTTAGGCAACAAGAAATTTGGCACAACTCCGAATAAGTGAGTTCTACAGATGAGGATACAGGTCCCTTATCGATGACCATAGATTTCGTAATTTGATATGTTCTCAATTGGGACTCAGGGCGCATCACGTTTGAGAATGGAATTTCTTAGGCATTTCGGTCTCCAGGAATCTGAAGTATTATGTCCAATGAGAGTACCGTCTTGATCTCATACTTCATGCTATCTGCTGACCGAACATATACCCAGGATATGGGTGAAAAGGTGCCCGAGATCTAATCACATCATGGTGTAGAGTCTTTCGGAGCCAATGTACGTTCCGAATGAACTAAGCCTTGAATCGTTCAGCCTCCGAGCCTGAACCGAAGTGAATGTGAACTGCTAATCGAAGGCTCCGCAGTTTGTAGCGATATGCTCTCATGTTGGTAAGCGTTGAAGTAGAAAAGAGCAGAGCATCATTATGCAACTACTAGTAACTAAAGAGACAAGCATCCTCACCTTCCACTCCACTCTCCCATCTGTCACAAACCCATGATCACAGCCTAAATGATCCTGGTCTCGGAGTCTCCTAATTGCACCATGCCAGTCTCACACCCTGCCCGGACTATCAAAACGCATTGTTGACGCGTGGTATCACCCTGTCAGTATCAACGTCTGCAATTCCATCTGACGTTCACATTTGCGCTGCGCCCATTCGAAGAAACTTGAATGCGAGACTGCCTCTGAAGAGATCTGGGCGGGTCGCCACGGAAGTCGCAGGCCTGTCGCACAGAGTTGCCTCCCTTCGAGTTCCCGCCAGCGTTGCGACACTGTTGCCGTGCTTGCTTGGCGAAGCTTGAGTCGAAACGGCTGTCAAAGTTGGATCGTGGTTCAACGACACAGGTGCTCGCGGAGACGCTGGCAGCTCCTAAGAGAAAGAACCACAACAGGAAATTGAAGTTCACTATCGCAGCATTAGTAAGAGACTAAATCAAGCTTGGTGGACCATACTTTTGGCTTCGTTGAGAAGGATTCAATGGAATTTCAAGTAGGTTGGGATATCTAGTTGGGGTCGAAGACATGCCATATAATGGCACCTGGAAAAGGAGAGGAGCAACGGTAATTTATACTTGCATTACCTTAGTCGACAGCCAGTCGACAGCCAGTTTATCATGCTTTCCTTGGCAAGGACTACGTGAAAAGCAAAAGTGCGCGTCTGGTCATGCTTGATCTAAAGCCAGCTATCCATCATCACGCCTTCCAAGAGTTGTTTCCACCTGGCCCCGAGTGGTCTTCACGGGCTCTCCAGTAATCAGATCCTTGAGACAGGATTGGCCATCTTGATCGGTTTCGCATTCGAGACGGCGGGATGGGTAAAGCTTAACCATACCGCCAACCCGGAAGCTTAGCCTTTACGGCGTGGACAGTAACTTCTTGCCAAGCCGCTATTAGTTAATGGCCACAATCTGTGACACCCGCGAGGAGGGCATTCTCGTTGAGCGAGGCTATTGGGTAACCGACACTTCATCGCCCCAGGCCTAAATGGGAAGGCGGAAGAGAGAAATAAGCTTGGTAAAGTGTAATGTTTTGTCGCAGTATCGCGACAAGATTCCTTTGGAGTTTTCTTCGCGTTTGAAGTGAACGGCACCATTGCTGCAACCGTGGATGCTGTCGCCGTAACATTGTCTGAGATGTATCAAATTGCACCGGCGGGAGACTTCGGTATCGTGGTCTAGAGAAAGTTCCAATGCTCCCACGCGCTACCAGCAAGGAACACCTCGAAGTCGTCGAAACGTGAAGGCCATGGTAGTGCTTCTGTTCACGGCTTGCTCGGATCGTCGAGGAAGGTTGTTCATGCCCTTGCTGTGATGCGGGAAGCATTGGGCCTTCACGCGGCCAGACCATGTAATACTCGAAGCCCGGGTCGGGCTCTTGGCAGCTGAGGCTCAGTCCATGGGCTTAGACTTGACTGGCATTCAATTGGTGATCTACGAACCATAAGAGGGCAATATACACCGCGATGGTGTGGTGACGCGCTTGCAAGCGCCACGGGACCCTCCGGATCGACAGTCAAGATCGGAGAAAAAACTCTCGGTTGGCTCGTTTCCAGCATGCCCTCCCGGCTCAACCAGTTCCGTCGATGGTCCGGCCGTAGTGCGACTGAGGCTGGAGCCACGCCTGTGAACCTTGATCTTGAGATGTCCTAGCTTCCAAGGACGGGACGAATGCCAACGGCCAAAAAATGCTCTGGCAGAGGCCGAGCGGGAAGTTCGATGCGGGTTGGCATCTCGACAGTGTCGATCAACGGCCGGCCGGTGCGCCTCGAAACAAACCCACGTCAAACTAGGCGCTTCCTGGGAAGCACACATTTAAAGTTCCAGATGGCGGGGCTTGCGCGCTTCAACGATAAACGCAACCTCGTGCACTTATCTGCCCTCGTGGTCGTGATCGGCAGTGCTTGCTGCGACCGAAAACTCGGATGAGATGAGATGGTGGAAAAGCGTAGACGGTGCTGTGAGATTAGCTTATAGGTTTTTGCCCTTTAGCCCCGGCTTGAGTTGCCGTCACTGGATTCAGGGTCCAATTATAGAGCATCCCGACTACGAGACCATCGTGATGTCACGCAAGCTTTATCCTCTCCTATCCGGCGGGCACGACGGATTGGGTCGTGAGTTCTCTTGGCAGACAGGAGAGTTCCAAAGCCACAAACACTCTGTCTCGGGGACTGAGGCATAGTGCTCTGAGGGAAGTTCCACAACACGACAGCTTCTCCGCTTCGTGCACGCAGGAGCACGACTCATACGAATTTTACATGAGGCCATAACCAGATTCGAACTGCGTGGTTTCAAATAATTAAATCATACCGATCTTGGCGATAACTCAATGAAAATGAAGCGGATACAGACTGATGGTTCGCAACGACCTTCCTGAGATATCGAGCCTTTCCTCTTAGGAACGCCCAACCTACTTACTCTTCTTCATCATCGTTGTCATCATCAACTCTCAGATTCCGAGTCCTGAATAACATGAATTTGGTAACACTATGTAGATCAGGTCTTCGTCCAGGCAATATGACACACTCTGGATCTCTTCTAAAAAAGGAGACGAGCTAGCAACTGACTGACCTGAGCGGACTACAGAAGACAAACTTGCCTGTATATTGGTCCACGCTGGTTTCCCAATTCATGACCACTAGCTGGATTCCAGAGAAAATAGAAGAGCCTGGGAGATGGGTGGGAGTCCCGCATCTAACATGGTTTATAACTTGATGAGGCGTTTGAACAGGTCTCACCATGTTATGCTCACTAGTAGCTATAGCCTCCATGTTTTTTCACTTGAAGTGGAGCTGTACCCAGTTCTTACCACCCAAATGTGATTAAGATAACATGTAACAAAACAACAGCTGCTCACTGGCTGTACGATCTCAATAAGATTCATAGTGCACGACGACAAACAGTACACGAGGTCGAACAGAGCGACGATTTTCAAAGCGACATTATGCATGAGCGTTCTTGATCTCACATGCACCCTTCCTAATGTTTCAGGGAAACCCACGAGGCGAAGGTTCTGGTGCCGATCGCACTACTGTACCCTTTCACCTCTATTTTCGTATCCGGGTAACTTCACGATCGATTGGCATGCGTTCATCATGAGGAAACATACACTCACTTTGCAGGTCTCCACTGGCACTTTCATCTATATCATGTGAACAACGTCCACTATTTACAACTTGTACGAAACCTACTCTTACAGCGGTTACAGTGGTTTGGAATCCAGTGTATCTGAATTTCTGAACCCATTACGGCGGCTTGCCTGATTCCTTTCATTCAACATGGGAGTCGTCAGTTGACGCGGCTCACACTAGTCAAAGAGACACAAGAGCAGCCGATGATGCGGCGGAAGAAATAATGAAGTAGCAGAAACAGGTTGCTCCGCCTTCAATTACCAGAGGTAGTCAAAAATTAGAGTAGGCCGCTAAAGCTAACCGGATGGAGGAAGCAAAGCCACGCGGGGCAATGCTCAAGCTCCATGCCGCTCTAATCCCCGTGGTGGGGACGCGGAAAGCCCCCTTTACCGCATGTCCGCGCCCTGCGTTGATTAGTGAACAGCACGATCTGACTATGTTTCAACTCTCTCTCTGTATCTCGTAGTCAGAGTCTTTGGTACTCTCGAAGTAGGTGTATCATCTTGGGCCCCCTTCCCCATTACGAGCGAAGGGGCACTGGTGTTCTTCTCAGCGCTGGGCAGACCGACACTGTTGTGAACCTGTGTCCAAGCTGCATTGCGTACGACTGGTACACGTGAATGAGAGTTCGAACGTTCTTCTTGGTAAGCTTCTTGAATACCAAGATGCCCATAGGCCCCTCATGAAAGGTTAGCAATGGTTACGTAGGCATCTTGTTAAAAGACGAGAAGACCATCATTCTCAAGGCTCAAGCCCTTCACCACTCTCGAACAAGGCATTGATGAGTAGGTGTGGTCTAGATCCGAAGAATCACTGCAGACCACGGAATCCGTCAAACTTGCGATAGACTCCGTGACAGATTTCTCACGTACACCGAATACGCGAGCAACAATATTGAAGTCGCTAACCTTCAACCTTCAGCGTAAAAATGTCAAAACTTTGCCCCTGAAAATAGGACCGTGTAATCAAGAAAATGCTACCATCACTGTTCCGACCAATAGCAGCTTCCTTTGGGATACTCCAACAGTGGAAGACAAGCCTAGCCGAAGCGCTTAGCTTGGGCTTAAGACTTTAAAGATATTAACTTGGCAAACTTTAACTAGGGCCCAACTATTGACATCCTGTCCCGGTAAGCCCGATTAAAACCCCGTGTTCCTTTGCTACAATGCCGTCCGGTATCCTCGCTAGAGGAAAGTCCGGAGTGATTGCTTGTCATGGAAGGGCAACAAGTAGTACAAAGATGGCAGGCTTCCGACAGCTTATGAGTTGATAAGGCAAACTTGACCAACCACCGTAACAGCGCCCAACACTTGAGCCAGTCATGTTACTATCACCACAGTCCCTTTCGTTTCTCTTTATTGGAACGGCGTTCAAGTTAGCCGCCGGTTCCTCGGACGCTGCTGGCCACCCATATCTCGAATGGCGTTCATCTGCCAGCTCCGCTAGTTGCTCGGTCACGGTAGGTCAACCTTCTCATGGGGTCTTGAACCAGGAGAACTCATACTTACTAAAGTGACAGTGCGAAAAGCTCGCCACCAAGTTCCCTGACCAGGTCAACCTCGGTGCAACCAACGGTACAGACTATGTGGCGTCCCGGGAAGGCTTCTGGTCTACTATCCAAGGCGACGTATCTCCCTCCTGCTTCTTTCGGCCTCTCGATGCCACTGAGGTCTCAGTCGCCCTGAAAGATGTTCAGAGGACAGGCTGTCAGTTTGCAGTCAAGAGTGGAGGTCACTACTCTTACACAGCTTCGACAATTGAGGGAGGTCTTGTGATCGATCTAATTCGGCTGAATGGTATTACACTGAGCGAAGACAACAGCTCAGCGATCGTAGAGCCTGGAAATACTTGGGCTTCCACATATGAGAGCCTTCAAAAGTCCGGGGTGACCATCCCTGGCGGTCGCATGTTTGGTGTAGGCGTCGGTGGACTCACCCTTGGTGGTAAGTCATCTCCCACATCCGACTTCCTGGCTCAACGTCAATGAGAACCTTATTAACACGAATCCAGGTGGCGTTTCTTGGCTCAGCAATCGCTATGGATGGACTTGTGACAACGTCATCGAGTTCGAGATCGTCTTGGCTAGCGGTGAAATTGTGACTGCATCCACAACATCAAATCCAGACCTCTACTGGGCTCTTCGAGGAGGTGGCAGCAACTTCGGTGTCGTCACCAAGTTCAAGTTCAATACATTCCAACAGGAAAAGATGTGGTACGCGAAGCTCCGTTACAACGCCACGGAAAATAACACGGCCAACGCAGCTTTCGCGGACTGGGGCACAGTGCAGTCCCCCAAGGATTTGAGCAACGCGGCAGTCTTGTCCTGGAATGCACAAGCGAACGGCACTCCCATCGGAGTCGCAATCTTAGTGCACCAGAAGACGTTTGACAACACCACTCACCCTCCCGTCGTTGACAAGTTCTACGACTCCAAGCCATCAGCCGTCGAACCGACTAATGTCTTCCACGCAGATATTGCCGAGAACCTCCTGTTCCCCGCCAGTGTCTTGCGAAGTTCTCTGTGGACCACTTCCTTCGTCCTCGACGCTGACTTACTGCAAGTCGTGTTCGAGATCTGGAATGAAGAAGCCAGCGCGCTTGCTTCCATCTCCATCCAGCAAATCCAGATCCAGGCCATCACCAAGTCTCAGCTCGAATTAATGCAGCGAAACGGCGGCAATACCCACGGACTTGGAGGACAGCCGAGGCCTCTTGGATTTGTCAACCTATGGTCGAGGTGGCAAAATGCGAAAGACGACGATGCCATTTACAGAGCCCAGCAGCGTATGGAAGAGAGAATCAACAAGGTGGCAGATGAGATGGGCCTTGCTTCGGGCTATAAGTACACAAACTACGCCAGCCAGTTCCAGGACCCGTTTGCTGGTTATGGTCAGGATAACAAGGACCGCTTGAGATCAATCTCTCAGAAGTATGATCCGACGGGCGTGTTCCAGGAACTCTCCCCTGGTGGTTTCAAGGTCACCAAAGGTGCTCCACAGATCCTCTAAGTGTGGTGGCAAGAGTGGTCTCTTGCGTAAACGATGTTTGTCTATAATTCAAGTTCGCTTGCCAGTTTCGCTTTTTCTGCTGATTTACAACTTGGACTTTGTTTCCTCCTCACGGCCCTTCAAGTTCGGGTGGGGGACTCTGACGGGCCGGGTGACGGCGTAGAAAGCAAGGCCTTCTGACTTGGTAGAGAACTAGAGAGAGAATAGACCGTGAGATTTGAATCCATCGAGATGATAGTGGAATATCAGCTTACCTTGACCTTGGATCCGACGTGGAAGAAAGCAAAGTCTCCAGGGACTAGATGGTGGGTGATTCCGGTGGCCTCATCCTGACAAAGTCGCGCTAATCAGCACTGTCTCTTGTGCCCAAGGGCTTCTCACAGTTACAAAGTGACTTACCAAGATATCGATCTGACCATTGAGAACGTACTTGGTCTCCTCGAAGTTGTAGTGTGCGGGACGGGCGGGTCCTGCCACAATCTTGTAGAACCCGGAGGTGAAGTGGGCAGGTGAGTCTGTTGTCTTTGTTCGGATTCTAGTGTCGCTTTAGCAATTTCCTTCCACTTTATAGACCCAAGATTTCTTACGAATGGAAATCGGCAACGGTTGCGTTCTCGCCCTCCGGAAGGGGGATATACTCATGGCCGGCGCCCTTGATAACGGTGAGAGGGACTAGGTTTCCAGACACTGATAAGACAAAGGTCAGATTCACGTATTTTCGAATCTCAAGAATGTGCAACAAAACTCACTTTTCAGAATTGGTTTCAAGTTGTAATTTGAATCACAAAGGTTTGGATTCCATGATTTGACGATAGAAGTTCATTGATATAAGACATCTGGATCGTAGATCGGGTGCGCTGCCGACAAGGTCTCGGAGCTTTCTCGGAGTGCGGGGAACCACTGTGATGCGATCGGAATCCGACCCGGAGGGCCTGCATTCAGGGCCGGTTAGATACCCGCCGCCGTAAATCGGTGCGCGGGGTTCCGGTAAAGTCCCGAACATTGATCAGTGATGCAATGTGGCTTGCTTGCTTGAAGACACAATGGTGAGGAGTTATGCCGTCATGGGGATTGATGAACGCCGTACTATGGTAGCTCAATCTAGACCAAAACCTGGCATCATCGTTGACTGTGAATCTCTGTTAAGAAGCAATTTCTATATCACAGCTCTAGCCTTGCTTCTACCCCAGCTCTGAGTTTGACTATGTCCTCTAGGTCGGTTTTGGGCTGGATGTAAGGCTTAATGGCCTTCCGAGCCTGAACCTTCTGCTCAAAGGCATACGCGATGCTAATCAGTGTTTCTTCACTGAACGGAGCCCCCGCAAAACCAATGCCAAAAGGCAAGTTGGGGGCAACGGCATTGAGAGTCCCAGTCTTGTCTTTGATAATGGCAGTGTTGTCCGGATGCCTTCCAAACGGAACCGATATCACCGGGGTGCCGGATATGGCAGCATTCATCACAACAAACGCCGTCGGTATTACTATCGCGTCTAGGGAATGGTTCTTGAGAGCTCCTGCGTATCCTTGGGGCCCAGTCAGATACAGAAGCCGGAGATGGACATCCCAAAATTCCGGATCTGTGTTACGTAGACCTTCTGCCAGGTTGTTGTCCCACGAGAGAGTGTTCTTCTCCGGCCACTGCTCTCGGGAGTCGTGCTGAGTCCAATCCCGGAGCTCACGAAGCGTGCTAACGTTATACGGGTTGTACTTCAATTGTCCGAAGTACCTTTCTATGGCAACGGCGAAATCTGCGTGTAAGCTCTTAGTGAGAAGCGGTGATATCTCCGTCATGTTGTATCCTGGTAGAACAATGTTGTCGATGATCTCTGCACCGGCGGACCTGAGAATGTCGACGGCCGAGTCGAATACCGTCACGGAGTAGTTGGAGGGAGGGGCGCCTCGGGAGTCGTGCAGGACATGGCGTGGGATTCCCAATCTCTTGCCCAACAGTCCTCCTTCCACGCATGCCGCGGCGTAGTCCGGGGTCTTCTGGAAAGGGAATGCCGACGTGTAGTTATCGTTGGGATCTGCCCCGGCGATGGCTCCCAGGAGATGAGCAGCATCTTTCACAGTCCGAGCAATTGGTCCAACAACATCTTGGTGCTCCGAAATTGGTACGACAAGGTACCGGGAGGTGAGACCAAGAGTGGGCTTGATACCTACGACGTTATTGACGTCACTGGGCAATAGAATTGAGCCGGCTGTCTCAGTCCCAAGAGACGCCCACGCGAGACCGACTGAAGACGCGACGCCGCTGCCCCCCGATGACCCCGATGGGTCTTGAAAGGGGTAATATGCGCCCAGGGTCTGACCGCCATACGTTGACCACCCATTGCTCGAATTGGAGCTCCGGCATTCGGCCCACTGCGACAGGTGTGCCTTGCCGAGCAGAATCGCCCCCGCTTCCCGGAGCTTGGCGGCGACGGTGCTGTCCTCGGAGACTCTAGCACCCAACAAAGCGTAAGAGCCGGCCGTGTTGTTCATTTTATCTGCCGTTGCAATGTTGTCCTTGATTAATACGGGGACGCCGTGTAGAGGCCCGAGGAGCGGTCCGCCTTGTCGGCGGATGAGGTCCAGAGTTTCGGCGATGGAGACGGCATCCGGGTTAATCTCGGTGACGGCGTTGAGGGTCGGTGTAGTCTCTTCTATGCGCGCGATGTAAGCGTTCACGAGGTCGACACTAGTGAAAATTTCACTATCCAAGCCGTGGCTGAGATCGTCGAGTGTAGCATCCAGGAGCGACGGGATCGCGCTGGCTGGTTCCCGTCCACATGGTGTCCATTCCGAAGCGGGCCAAATGAGGCAAATGGTTGCTTTGAGCAGTGAGGATGACAGCATGGTTGAAGCTTTGGGCTGTAGGCCGGTGCCAAGACGTGATACCAATGGCAAACAATCGTTGTGGTCTATTTGATACTCGTTGTGCGCCGGTGTTCATCAAGTAATTGAGTCGTTTGACTCATTGTCTGTAGCATTCACCGTTGAGGCCACTTGACTGTGTGGACCATAGAAAAACGGCGCAAGTTTGCAATCCTTAGTCAGTGGTCTTACGTGCATCGAACATACGTCACAAAAGTAAGCAGACCCTAGAAGGGAACTCAAAGATCCTTTGCTTCTGAGATCCGGAGGAGGCGTGGAATATCGGCAACCTCCGCAGAGCCTTACCAGCTAAGACTTCTGCAAAGATGTATCCCACGAAATAAGGATGAAAGCATTGAACCTGGTCTCGCAAATTCCGGCAGTCAACACCCCACCTCGGGAGCGGGAACACAATGAGGAGGTCCACGCGATCGGTTCTCGCCGCTGTTCGCAGCCGTGGAGGAAGGTGACATTGTGAATTCGTGCTAGACAAAGTTCCTTGAACGCGGTATTTCAGGCCATTTACCGCTTTACGTACGGGGCGCCGTTTGCTCTCATATAAATGATTCGAGCCACCTACCAAGATCAGAAGGACGCTATGCCTGTTGGGGCAGGTCGCATGAGCGATCCTCGAGCGTGCCGGGGGGATTTAAGCTTATGATTGGCCACGATGATAGCTAATTTTGTGGACATGGAGACATGGGGTAGATTTTAAGAGCGAGAACTGGTTTGTGAGTAGCCAGTTGCTTGAATGAGATGTTGTGGCCGAGCCGAGACAAAGCCAGCAGCTGTGGACATCATGGAAACGACTATGAAAGGAGACCGAATCCCCCGTCTCCTTAAGCACACTTGGCGACGGGCCGTTCCTCTCGCATCCTTCGCATCCTTCCGCTTCCCATCGTCTCGATCACCATGAAGTACTCTCTCATCGCGTCTCTGATCCTCCAGAGCACTGTCGTGCTCGGAGAGTTGCTCCCTGTATACCTGCAGGGACCCACGCCTGAGAGCTTCAGGTAACAACACCTCATCATCTCCTCTCAAGTTTGATACTGACTAAGTACAGGGACATTGTTCGCAATGACACTCTTGACTTTGGTTGCAGGGCAGTTGCCAAGCCCAGTGAGGATGGAAGCCACTACAAGCTCCACGCTTGGCTCACCGAGGAGCAGATTGACTATCTCTCCAAGGAATACGAGCTTGTGCCCGAGGTCTCTATCCACAGGAGAGACTTGAGCAAGAGAGCCAACGCACCCATCGGCACCGGCGACCGCTTCAGCGCGGGAACCATCTCCCCTGTCGGTCTCGGAACCCAGGCTTCAGGCACCACCATCTCCAGCATTATGAACGTTGCCGAGATCAAGTCGGCCTGCGACGCCCTCGTCAAGAACTACGGCATTGGATCCGTCACCCTGCCTTACAAGACTTTCAACGGCGCCACTGAGTACGCCTACTACGTCGGCGCCGGAACCGACAAGTCAAAGTACCACCTGTACTTCAGCGCCGCCGTCCATGCCCGCGAACGCGGTGGACCCGACAACATCATCTACTGGATCTCCGATTTGCTCGCCGCCAACAAGTCTGGCAGCGGCTTGACCTACGGCAAGAAGACCTACACCAACGCCCAGGTCAAGAGCGTCCTCGCCGCCGGTATCGTCTTCTTCCCACTCGTGAACGCCGATGGTGTCGCCTACGACCAGTCTTCCGGCTCTCTCTGGCGCAAGAACAGGAACACCAAGTCCGGCTCCAGCGGCAGCTCCATCGGTGTTGACATCAACCGCAACTTTGACTTCCTCTGGAACTTCAAGAAGTACTTTGACTCCTCCGAGGCGCCCGCCTCCACCTCACCCAGCTCTGAGGTGTTCTACGGCACCGCCGCCGAGTCCGAGCCCGAGACCAAGAACCTCGTCTCCGTTTACGACTCCTTCCCCAAGATCCGCTGGTTTATGGACATCCACTCCGCCGTCGGCGACCTCCTCTACAGCTGGGGTGACGACGACGACCAGACCACCACCACTACCATGAACTTCCTCAACTCCGCCTACGACGGCAAGCGCGGCCCCGTCGGCGACTCCGCTTACAAGGAATACATCCCCTCCACCGATCTCAGCAACATCAGAACCGTCGGTACAGCCATGGTCAACGCCATGAAGGCTGTCGGCGGCCGTGCCTACACCTCTATCCAGGCCGTTGGGTTGTACCCCACGTCCGGTGCCAGTGACGACTACTCCTTCTCCCGCTTCTGGGCCAAGCCCGGTGTTAACAAGGTCTACGGTTACACCTTGGAGTTCGGCCCCTCTGGTAACTTCTACCCGACCTCAGCTGAGTTCAACACCAACATTCTGGACACAAACGCTGGCTTCATGGATTACTCGCTGGCTGCCATTAGCGTTGGTCTTGAGTAGATGATGTGATGATCATCATGGAATTCTTCTTGTACATATTTTAAACACCATGATGTTGAGGCACAGGGGGTGCACGCACATACTGCATGAAAGCTGTTGTCTATGATTATTACGCACTTTAACGACTTGTAAGTCATGACCATGAATATTCTTGCTTTGAGAACTGAGATACGAGCGTCCGGACCGAGAAAACAACGGCCAATGTGACGTGTTGCTTTTGCAGAATGTGGATGAGTCAATCAAAGCCGTGGAAACAGTCAGCATGCGTTGATTGTCCACATAGTCTGCTGACCTCTTAATTCTTGGAAGGTGAGATGGCCAGCCTCTCGAACAGAAGTTTCCGTACACCAAAAGCTGGAAAGATTCACTTCATTAGCTGCTTACTGAATGTATCGTAGAACCCTGGAAATTGTGTGCTTTGTGAATAACGTAGGGGTTTTCCAAGATAATTTGATGTAGAGGGGGTCTTCAACGAGATCAACTAGACTATCTGCGGGTGTCCGCCGCAATTGGCCCTGTCTACTTCCCGCCCAACATACAAGTTCTACGCCAAGGGATTGAGAAGGTTAACCTCCTCCCATAGACCAACTCCAGTCATCTCCGGACCGCCATTGATAGATCCTACGGCGGGTCCTGTCCACCGTTCATAGATGGGAACTTCCAGAACGGTTAATTCTCGGGTGACTGTGGCATTGAGAATGCCTTCTTTTCCAAGATCCATGACAATGTTGAACGCGGAGGGAAAGTTCCCATCCCCAACAGGCGGGTACGGCCCGTCGACTGGGCGCACCTTGACAGCTCCCTCTTTGCAAGATGCGGTGATGATCTTTCCGTCTTTCGACGCGTATGAGCTGACAGTGTTGACTAACTCGTCGTCAATAAAGTCAAACCAGACGATAGAGTAGTCGCCAAGACGAGCATGGCCCCAATACCAGTCGATGAAACTCTCCACGAATGGCCTGTCACCCCAATCCTGTGTTCAACAATTGTCAGCATTCGAAAAGAGGGCTTTGCTCCAGTTGGGAATTGGAACAAGACGGTGAAATGCCTTGGCTCACCTTGTCATGGTACCCGTACCCAGTGTACTTGACTTGCTCACCGCCCACTATGAGATCAACAACCGCATCCGAATCCGGAACGGCGTTGGCCCAGCCAAAGTTCTTCGCAGTCTGGAGGTTTGATCGAAGTTCCTTAGGGCCACAGGGATAGTGAGGCGGCACCTTGGACTCAAATGTCACGGTGCCGTTGATCAGAGGACTTTCAATGGATACAACATAAGTCTTCATGTCCGGAGAGCTACTCCACGCCATTCCGGCCTCGTTCTAGCTACCAGATGAGCCACCCTCGTGTGCAGTAACGATAACAGCGTCTTTGGGTGCTTCAGTCGAGTAGGAAAACTTTGTGCTGTTCTCAAAAGTGCCCGTGATGTCCGTGTTCGCAGCAGTTGTTGGACTGCCACCCAGCAAGCCGGTTTCGAAAGCAAGGTTGAAGAGGATGGTAATTGAAGAGTTGTCAGTTGGTGAAACGACGTCGAAGTACCACCAGTCCCACACACTCTTGTTGTAGTCCGACATCCTGGCGCCGTCGAAACCAAAGTCGTCGGAGATGAAGGATGGAATGACACTGCCATTAAAAGCCTCCGGAGGGACATACTGAACATGAGTTGCCCGAGAGGATTGAACATGAGCTGCCTTCGGAGGTTTCGTTGAATGCGCTAGGATAGGCAGAATGGAGCCGAAGGCGACGAAACTCATACCAATCCAGCCCGCGTTCAGCTTTTGTCCAAACATGGTGGCCAAGTGAATATGCGGAAAACTTGAGAGGCGATAGTATTGGTAGAAGGAAAAGAGGTGAAGCTGGAGCCTCTCAATCTGTCATCGGGGCTTCTTTGATTCTTCTACTTCTCATAGATGATATCAGCTACCAGGTCTACGTCTTTGACATTTCTGGACTTCATAGTCCGCCGAGAGGACCATAATAGCAGCACCCCATCGTGACAACCCGTCTTGCCCTCAATCAAAGGCATTCCCATGCAGCAGGCTTTCCATCCGTAGCCTTGTCTCTCTTGGAAGTCATGGCTCGTATCCATAATTCAATGCGAGTGGCTCGGTTTGCTGCAAGGCATTGCTGTACTGTCAACAGACGTCGAGCTACTGAGGAGCGCTCTTTTCTATGCTTGATCAACCTGAGAAGTCTAGATTTCTGCTCAGCAAATTTTCACCGTCTATGGAGTACGGGTTGTCGCCGCTGGCTTCAAGGTGAGCTTATTCATATAGGAGTCCGAGTACTTGGATTCACCTTCGCATTCGTTTAGATCTGGCACCTCCTGTTGAGCGTTCTTGGCAGTCGTAGGAATCTAATGGCCTTGACCAAGCAGTCGTGACTCGCTGACAGCCAATGGGAAAGACGTACATCCAGCTTTACGGGGTTGAATAGAGGCTGTAATAGTGGCGCAGCTTGATAGAGTCCCCGGCATTTTGTGAATTATATTACTCTACGGCTTATGCAGCCCGAAAGGGTATGCCTGAACGCGAACATACTTTGACAAGGTGCCTTCCCAATTGACTGACTTTAGAAAACACCTTGACTAGTATCAGTTTGTAGGAAATCGCCATATTACAATACATGGGTGTTCTCAAACACCCAGATGATTTAGCGCCAAGTTGGCGAGGTTGTAATGATTGAGTAATAGTACAAGGATGACCAGTCAGCTCGAACCTAAGCAACTACAATCTTGAGCGGTGCTGCAAAAACTACTTTCCATAATTTAGGCTCTTTCGTCTTCCGGTAGGTCGGCAATCTCACAGGAGTGTTCCGGGAAACGCCACAAATGGCGCTACAAAATGGGGAAGTCCGACGTGCGATCTTAGCGCAAGGTGATATTGAGCTAAATTCACCTCAGCAACAGTGAAATAACAACCACTTCTTCAATTGCACTTGGGAAAATTGAAATCGTGCTGAAGTACGTCGCATATCTCGACCGTTGAGCCGAGAAAGACTCCACAAATGGCGTCCGAACCTCCGCAACCTTCGGCCGGCCCGCCGCGCAAGGGTATCCTATCCTTCATCCCAGGTCCATCACAATGCGGAGACTAATCAATCGCAGTTGACGTCTTTACCGGGGACGTCATCCATCACGACACGTACCCCGAGATTAACCCAGTTACGGCCTCCGACTGCACTGGGAAAGCAGTCCTCGTCACCGGAGCAAGCAAAGGACTCGGAAAGGCACTAGCAATTGGGTACGCCGAGGCAGGCGCATCACTCATTGCTGTCGCCGCTCGCTCAGATATCTCATCTACCGTCGCCTCCATCATCGAGGCTGCAAAGACCGCCGGACGAAATGAGCCAACAGTGTTGGCCCTCGAAATGGATGTGAGCAGTACGCCGAACGTGAAGGCGGCCGCGGAGCGATTGACGACTGAGTGGGGACGCCTAGATATTCTAGTCAACAACGCGGGCTACATGGCTCCCTTTAACTTGCTGCTAGATACCGACGATGATGAGTACATGAAGGCATGGGATGTGAACTACTGGGGCACGTATCGTGTGACCAAGGCGTTCCTGCCTTTGATGCTCAAGGGTGGCGACAAGACGATTGTCAACATGTCGTCGGTGGCGGCTCACTTCATGGGTGCCGGAGGGGGGGCTTATCACATTTCCAAATTTGCGCTGATAAGGTTCACCGAGTTTGTCCAGGATGAGTATGGTGACCAGGTAAAGTGATTGACTACCTTGGCTTTGAGACTATGAACTAAGCTTTTGTGGCAGGGCGTTCTAGCGTTTTCCATCCATCCTGGGGGCATACCAACCGAGTTGTCTTCGAATTTGCCAGAGAAGTTACAATGTAAGGGCTTCTCATACACTATAAGCCTCTCAACATTTTTCTTACTTTACTATAGTTCGAATGCGAGACACTCCAGAACTCGCAGCTCATTCCATCCCATATCTCACTAGTGTTAAGAGGGACTGGCTTGGAGGTAGGTGGCTTAGCTGTATGTGGGATATGCCAACGCTCGTGGGTATGGAGAAGAAGATAGTGGAAGGCAATCTTCTCAAATTTGAGTGTGCTGGTCTTTGATTTCCTCGCTCAAAATTGATTCATAGTGGACCTTGAGCCCGTTACATTATCTTGTGACCGCGGCACCTGTAGACAAATGGAAGATCATACATACATTGGTACTTCACGTCGTGCCTTTGAAGTGGTCCAGGTCATGAGGTCGTGGCAATAGAATCCATTGCTTGAGAAAACAGGCCAACTTCAGTATACCTCTTCTATCAGAACGATATCTCCAATTCTCGTGCATAATCCCTTTCTGGCACATCATGTATGCCCATTTTTCCGCATCTTCAACTTCGTTGTTTCGCTCTCCTCAATAACAAAAGCCGGACCTCCCGGGCCAAGGTGGAATCGTGCCACCGTTGTATCCGCTAGACTTTTAAGCCCCGAGAGCCCAAGAAGTGGAACCTTTGGGCTCATGCTGTTCTGTTCCCCGAAGCTACCTTGTTGTATTCTGATGTCATAGAGAAGGAGGGGCAAATTTGACGATTTCCATATTGGCCATTTCTCCTTATCTCGGCAGCTCAATGCGTATACTGCCGCGAGAAGAACTACCGTCATTACTAGCAGTGTTCCGGGAAAGGTCAGCCAAAGCCACCTGACACCGACGCAAATGGTTGTTCGATACTCCGATCCAAACGTGTAGTCGGGTTTGCCAAAATTCTTACCCTCCCAATCATGTAATGAGTTGCCCCAGGTATGCCTGCGAAAATAGTCTGTGAGTTCCGATACCATTCCATCCATTGCTGCTGAGATTCTCCCGATGGTAGTGTTACCATTGTAGTATAACGGATCAAGCCACCAGTTGTAGCAGGTTTGTGAAGACAACAAGGCATCAATAAATACAGGCCCATTGGGGTCAAAGGCAGATGGAAAATTACCGTGCGTCCGAGGGAAAAGATCGCCACAAGCGCCCGCCAACGATTTGTTGAGAAATTCTTGCAGAGTCCCGATCATTGTCACATCCATAGCTCTGTAGCATTCCGAAGGAATTTTGTGTAAGCCTTCTTTTGTCTCGAAGCTGACCCAAGCTTCCTTGTTAGGAGCCAAGCTGAGGTTTCTAGAGTCGTATCGTTTGTTTTGAACGACACATAACTTGGGGACTCCGAAGAAGTGACTTGTGGCGTTGTAACCGTCTGCCGATATCCATCGTCCTAGTTTCATATCAACAGAAGATACCAGACTCTCTCTGATTTCTCCGCTGATTACTTCGGCGTTGTAATACCGGATACAGGGATGGATGTTGCAGCTCGCTGCTTCTATCTGTCACGAGCTTTGGCACGCAGCAATGGGCATATGAAGTGGGTTAAAGTGGCTTGAAGTAACCCATCTAGAATGAGCCCATGAGAGCTGTCTATATACTAAGTGAGTGTGATATCCACGTGAGAAAGCACGTGGAAAGGTGCTTGACAAGTGCTGATACCATTCCTGTTTCGTGACACTATCCCTACATCTCGCCCTGGAGCAGTTCCATTTGCTGGCACAATTTTGCCAAACCTATGGTGGCACTCTCGTTCTTCCATGCTGTCTACATGAGAATCTTTGGCACATTGAGCCACTGTGAAAGCTAGGGTAGAGACAGTAATATTTTCCGCTTAGAGTATCTGGCCAAATGTACCTTCATGAAGATTCATAGGGACTTTGGGGAGTATTGATTGCATGTTGAAGACGTGGACTCCAGACCTGTTTCGAGTGTGTAAAAAGTCATTGGTAAGAGGCCAATTAATCGAAAAGTTGGAGTTGCCGTCCCGCTGATAATAAGTGCCGTTCTCTCTGCCGTCAACTTGACGTAGGTTGTCAGTTGTATCTGTACACCTGCTACATAAGCCAATCGATTCATGTGTATACCCGTGCAGTGATTCGAATGTGCAGTTCCCGGGGTCGCAATGAAAAAGATTCGGTTTGTCCCGGGGCTGGCTGTTTTCACCATACATCAGACCATCGACTGCAGGCACTTGAATTGTTGAAAAGCCCGGTACCCATTGGCTGGTAGTGCGTATTTTGGCATCGCCTACTCTCACACTGCAAGAGTAAGTTGTAGAGGCCTGCTGTGAGAAGGGGCCAATTGCATAGTACGTAATGATGATCCAAGCGCTAAAGGTACTCAAAGTTCTAGCGGATATGTTAGAATAGTGCCTTAACCAATGGAACATCACTATGAGAAGGCTGACAGACGGTTTCCACGTAAAAAGGAGAAATTTGAGCGACCCCTAGGCTCCACTGCTTGTGTCGACAAATCGCTCGATATCCCGTGAGGGTCGCGAATCCTCCATCCACTGCCATTTAGATTATCCAATAACTATTCACAGTCAGTTGTGTCGCTGGAGAAGAACAATGCAAGTGGCGTCGCCTACTAACTTTGGCCAACGACAAACAGTAGTGTTGCTCGAAGGACGGTTGAGAGAACGGCGACGATTGCATTGATGTTGACGTTGTAATCGTACTGGGGGGGTGGCTTCCCATGATACGCTCCCAGAGTTATTATGATAGCCGCGAACAAGCAGATTGACAAGAGCAGTACTCGCAGCTCGGGCATCCATGCCTTCAAGATTCTAGGCTGACTCGATTGTCGATTCAGCTGAATAGCACATTTTCCAAAAACATTCGAGTCCGCAGATGTCATCTGTATGGAGAAGGTCGATGATAAGTGATCGTCTTCTGTGGACTCTTCCATGCAAGCGCCGTTGTGTTTCTTGTGATCTTCTTTGGATGTTCGCTTGGCGTCTGTTGAACATTTGATTCCATCTTCCCCAATGTCTTGAGGAGGCTTGAAATATAGATGCCCTGGACGAGGAAACCCGGCGGACGGACCATCACTGTCCATGGAAAAACGAGACATACTGGCGATGTGGAATTATTACTTTGACTTCGGGCGGTACTAAAATACTATCAAGAGCTACGGGTGACGAATGTGGGATTATTTATCTTGCCAGGGGAGGACATTGTTTCTCTGGAAGCCGGAAGTGAACAGCCTAGTTCGCAAGGCAGACTTTGTCAAGTTGTACCATGTCTAGTTGCATTTGTGACACGGGCACGCATAAATCGGGCGTCTGGTGCTCCGATAATGACGTCTGAGACACCACATCTTTATGTTGTTACCCGATGGGCTAAATTGTAACTCACGGAAGGGAAATCTAGGTTGCCTTGTACGTACAAAACTCCCACGGTATCAATTGGTGCCTATCGATGAACAGGTCTCACAATGTGCTCTCTCCCATCAAATCAAGGTGAGGTTATCAGACACACAAATCCCAAGTGGAAGAGGCCTCTGCTCAGCTACGGCTTTTACGAATCATAGTGACGCCTTCGTAACACTTAACTCAGGGAGGTCCAATTCATGTTATTTTGCAATTAATACTAAATTGCAAAGCGAAGCGGAATTGGACGAAAAAGATGAATTCTCTGGGCGGAAGGACCTATGATACCCATTTCGTTCTGTTTAAGACGGCCATAGCCTTGAGTGCGAAGGAAGCGCCCTGACATAGACGAGATTGCTGTTGCAATCGATGCAGCGTTTCTTCACGAGGCAGACTCTGATTGCATCATAACGACTCACAGCGGTGAAGAGACCATTATGTTGGAGATTACTGAGTAAATATACTCACTGATGAGCCAGTTTGTCAAGATTTGCAAGGTCATGACAGCCAAGGAGAGCACGAAACAGCCGGGGCTATGCAAGAGAATCAGAAATCTGGCATGTGGAAAACTCATAACTTCCCGTGACCATAGATTGTGCAGCCTAGGCGTTTAGGAGTTTACGGTCGACTGTATAGTAATATGATTCTTCATTCAGCCCATAGACGCGTTCTGCTCGAGAACATTGAGCGAATTTGTAGGGGGACAACGTGTACAGGTGGACGTTTAGGATCGTTTGAAATATGTCGGACTCCGTGATCTGGTACAAATCCTCGGGAATTTTTCTTGAGGGAGATTCAGAAAAGAAGTTACAAATTGAATGCTTTGTGACAAGCGACCTTTGAAAGCTTTTCGTTGCCAGGTCTCCTGGATCAAGATCCCCTAAAGAAGTTATGTGAATTATGGAACTTGCAAAAGTCAATGTGCCCTGAATACCTCTTCACTAACCTAGGCAGCTCCAGCTTGATGAGCCTTTCGTGGACTTAGGCAGTGGCTCGATGCTTTCATGGTGTAGGCACCGCTCACTTCACTTTTTCCCGGCCCGTTAGCCCCTAAATTATCCTCGGCCGGCTCTCCAATTACTTCCACTGTGTTTTGCATTCGCTTTTGTGTTTTCTTATCCCTTTAACTTTCTCTTCTGAGTCTTGAGACCTTGGGTCAATCATTTTCTCCTTCACGATCTACTAAGGATAGCCAATGTGCCTTGAACCACCAGAGAACCTTCATTATTACGACATCTTCGCTGCTTGGTTTCTCTGAGCGTATAGTTCGAGTACGCTGTAGAATAAGCGGGCCAAACTGACGGCCTAGGGCCGCTAGACATCGCCACGATCGCCATCATGTAGAATCTGAGAAAACCATCCATGCCGGCTGAGGCTCATGCCAATAACGTTGCTAAGCATTATCTTGCACGGGCGGCCGCAGCTTCTGCCACTTCTCACCTGCCTACAAATCTTGTAGGTGAAGCAGACCACTTACACAGCGGGAAGGCACCCATTCCCGTCAACGAGGGTCCTTCCTTCGCCGCTCTGGTCCTTCCACCGTCATCCGGCATATTCCCAATTCACCTTAGCTCTTGAATCGCCATCTCACTCCCGCGGCGCCCTCCACCATACCATCAGCATTTCCGATGGCGAGCATCATTATTCGACAGAATCCGGGATCCCTTTACCGACCCGGACGAGGCAACATTGGCTATAGCATTGTCAGCGACGAGAACAATACCGGAGAGTTCGTGATGAATCCTTACGAGAATAATCTTCGACGGAACTAGCTAACACTTGAAATAGACCCGCCTCCCGGGACGACGATGATTCTTGGATGAAATTTTTGACCGACGAGACGATCGCCGACCTCACCCTTCCTGGCGCGGAGCTCGAATCCCCGCCGAGTAACCTCGATTCCAGCGATACACTGTCGCTGGGTCCTCAGCCCAACACGCCGGAGGAAGTCGTTGACTCGGTGGAGGCAATGGACACACAGGGTGGGATCGACGAAGAGAATCAGAGAGACGAGGATGGTGGCCACACTGCCATCCGGTTCCGAAATGTAACAACCTCCCTTATCGGCTTCTCTTTTTTCCCAATATTGACATGCAGTCACAGGGACCACTCAACCCCACGTTAATCGATGGCGTCCCCCGGGTAAGAGCGTCGCCTTCACTGCCCCCGTGTTCAAGCAAACACGCCTCTGACAACATCCAAGAATCCCAACAAGGTCTTCTCATCCACTGTGCCGCTTGCCCGGCGCTTGGAACAGAACTCCACGCTAGAAAGCTTCCGAGGCTTCCACGACAACATGGGTAACCCCGTCTTACAAGATGACTCTGCGGCCAACCTTCCCGATCACGCGCCCGGTCTCCCCAATCACCTCCGTCAACCCATCTTCGTCGACTGGGCCGAGCCCTTCAAGAGTCCCGTTTACGCTCTCCGTTACCTTGCCGAGATTGCTGGAGACTATTACACCGTAGCTCTTCTCAACCAGAGAATCAAGATGCAGCAGGGCCCGCAGACCCCGGGTGCTCAGAGCATCTCGCAGTCGTACCTGGTCTCGCCTGCCATCTTGCATATCGCTTCGCCCATGCCAGCTCCTAAGCGCCTTCGCTTCAACGACGATGTCGCTCGCTCCGGTTGAGAAGATACCACGAACGAGAACTGGCTTACACTGAATGAGATCAAAACACTGGCGGTTCTGCACGATAGGATGATCAGCAAAGAATAATAGTGTAAAGGGTGGGAGTATTTTCTCACAGCATGAGAGGCTTCGTATCACCAAGAGCGAGAACCAGTCTTATCAACAGGATACTCGTCGCTCTTATGAACGGCTTTAGTAGATACTTAGCTCTGGTATACAATCTCCTTCATTGTGCCACTCTTACAACAACATTGCGATACGTCCCAATCATCGACTCGAAGAGCAAGGACAGGCCCAATCTCGCCAGGTCTAATTACTGCCCCGAGAATATAATGCTGCCCGGGAAGATCTGGAAAGGTCGATCAGACCACAAAGTACCATTCAAAGGTGTGATGGAGCCTATGCCAGGGCTCGGCCTGTACGACAGTATTTAGCTCCGCAAAGCCCATCATCTGTGGCTGATCCGTCTTTGGACTGCTGACCATCGTCCAGCCATCCATCTCCAAGACCATTACACCCATGATGTCTCGCACGAACGCTCTCACAACACAGCCTGGAGTTCAGGGGATGCAGGGCATAATGTATTCGGTGCTCCTCTAGTCAGCGTAATGGACCCAGTGGTTCACGCAAGAGCTGCTAAAGGTGACACTCTAGTCTGCGGATTCGTACTGCTGAGTCCGCTCCGCTATCCAATAATGTGGCAATGTTACACATCGTCAGTAATAATATAAGACCTCCCAGCTCTTAAATAGATTGGTAAATCTAGTGAAGAAAGCTAAGCCGGTAAAAATAAGGAGTGAAAGGATTAATGCTATGTAACGTATGGTATGGACGGCCATCTCTCGAAATGTCTCCGAGCGATAGCAGACTATGCCTTCGCTCTGTGGATTCATCTTGACGCTGCTTTCGCCTCCTCCGCAGATGTCGTAATATGGCGAGAGTCACTGGTATCAACGTTTCGACTTGGGCTGACTGATTTCATCTTTTGCGCATCATGTAGCGCCTCTGCGTGTGCCCCTTTCCATAGATGGACAGAAAGGACCAGCACAGGGTACGTGCTGGGCTTTTTGAGGGCCGCCGCGAGAACGTGTCTTCGATCAGGAAGGACTACGTAAGATCGATCTGACCACTCGTTTCGTTGATGCCAAGTCGACGCCAGTGACATGGGATCAACAACAGTGGTTCTTGAGAGAACCCAGTCGAGTGTACTCTGGTCCGTCGAAGTGCGGCAACTGAGTCGGTCGTGATAGTCCGAGCGCATCCCGATTAAAGCTTCGTATACCTCTGGACCCTCTGTTTGTGTCAGTCCGGGCTTGGGAATCGACTGGATGTGAAAAAACCCGCTGTCGTGAGTTGTTATGAGGTACCGGAGCATATCAGCTGGGCGACTTGGATCAAGAAGCTCACTTATGGAGCTATTGAGTTGACAAATTCTGAGAGCGTAAGGTGAATGTTGGTTCAATACAACTCTGAATCCTGGGATGGATACGCGGGCTACCAACGTATTCTTCGGGGGTTCCAAGCACATGTATAACTGAGGGGAGTACTTGAATGGTTCCCCCTTCGGTTTTGAGAAAAGTGCGTCTGGTCTCTGTCGTAGCTGCGTAGAGGTAGTCTCGGGGAACGAACCTCCTTCGCGCAACAAGATACAGAGATATCCATCAAGAATATGGGGTGCTGCGGGAGCGTAGCCTTCACAGCGCGCGCAGGCATCGAATGTATCTTCGGTTATGGGGCTGTAATTTTTCAAGTGATACTTTGTTATACAAGGTCAACGAGCCCCTAAGCCTCGACTTGTGACAGTGGGTGGATGTATACTTTTTGCGGCTGCGTGATAACCAGCTGATCGATCGGAAAATGTTAGTAGCGGATTCTCAAGGTCAAGCGGTCTGATAATTTCCCAAACCTGCTCTATCTCTACGATAGCTTGCGCTCCCTCCATCTGAAATTCCAAGTTTCGAAACGCAACCGGTGACTGCGTGCGCAATAAGCGCAACCTCTTCAGAGGTTGACCTCCATAGCAGTTTGCTCAAATCCTCGGATTTCCGAAGAATTTCTTGTTGGAGACGCGAGAAGGCCCGGGTACCCTCTCCGTAAAGAAGAGGCATGTTGATGTCAAAAATGCCCAGAAGGCTGTATGCAATATATTCCACTCTGGTAGTTTCCCTACTTAAGCCCAGAACATACGTTCGACAACACTCGCAGAAAATAGCGAGAGTCGACCAGCCAAGATATTGCGCCGTGTGCCCATCTTGACATGTATCAAGTGTCCCAACGATAATTTGGTCCCGATCTCGTTCCATCCTTGATTGTAGAACTCAACGATAACTGGGGCGAGAAGTTCTTGCAACGTCCAACCCCTAGTGAACCATTTGCAGTTGAGGAATGATTGAGAATCCAGGTCGCACGGAGCTTGGGCCGGCAAATCGCTTAGGAAGACGTAGCAAGTAACGGCGTTACTATACCAGTGGAACATGGGGTTTATGGCCTCAGACAGCTCTGCACTTGAGGTCTTGTCGATGCAGCATGTGTCAACCCACACACAGTCGTATCCATCGTTGGATGCCTGGTCACAACAAGCCCGAATCTTGATAAAATCTTTCTTGGATGAGTAGGCCTCGGATTCCAGATCTTCGTAGGTCACTTCCTCCTCCTCCCATGTGTGCGAAAGGATTGCGTACGCAGGAATATTGTCGCCGTGGAACCCCCGAAGCTGCCTTGTGAAGACATTGAGGAGCCTCATGATGTCGAGGAGAATTAAATTGTACCAATGCTGAAAGTGTGCGGCGAAAGTAGGAACCTCTTCATTTCTAGAGATGTTTCCCGAGTTGAGGAAAGAAGAGAACGCGCGAGGCGTGAACAACTAAGTGAAACCAGAGGTGCAGGCAATGCTAGATTGAGGACGCTGCAGACTGTCAGGCCAAGACAGGCTGCATATTCGGACGGCTACTCGTGGTTTAAGGTTATGGGCGCGGATTGGATTCGTATATATGCGTCGCTAGGAAGTACATCGCATACGCCAACAGTCCAGCGCGGCTCGCTTCCGGCAACCCTCGAGTCCATGCTCTTGCTAGATATTCTTTTTGTTAACTGGAGGCTTCAAGTGCATTCCAAATTGACTTATTCTTAGAATCGGAAGGTCTGGACTGTTAGTAGCTATGGGAATTTCGATAACCATCGAAAGTTGTTGCCTCTGGTAGTTCCAGCAAAGGCACTCGTCTTGTTCGCCAGCCTGCCTCCCACTGTGGCACACGTGTAGGACACACCCCACCAGCCCTTCGATCTCTCAAGGAGGGGTCCGGAGGGAGGTACAAGTGCTCTACGGAGCAGAACGGTGGCTCAGACTCACTGGGCTGGTGGCGCAGCACCTCATTGGGATAGCACCTACTTCGTACTCCGTACGGAGTGCTCTGGGACCTGATTGCAAGACATCCACACAGAGCCCACGAGCGAGGTAAGACGAGAAGGGGCGAGTCTGGCCTTATGATCTCATCACCGAGGCTGCTGTTCCGTCCAGGGGCCTAGTCGAGAATTCGCAAATGTGCTCTGACTGGGGTGGGAATGGATTCCCGTGCGCTAGACGTCATCAGCTCCTAAAGTCAGCAGGGGCTCGCGGGCCGAGTGCAGTGGCAGCTGTCTCATCTTCGATAGTCGTGAAGAATGCACCTGGTGTTGAATGCCATTGTTTTGAGAGCCACCAAAGCAAACAATCATGAGCTGTCTCCGAATCTCCGGGGCGACGGAGCTTACAGCTCGAAGCTTCAGACTGAATGTAACATCAGATGCGAATGAAGACAGAGGATAGAGGAGAGAGCTTCAGAGGAGCAACCAGTGACATGTCAAAGCTCCCATCCTCAGGCACAAGTGGAGTTGACCAAGGATACGTACCGCCTTACATAAGGCGTCCTGTGATGCAATGGCCCGGGAAATGCGGGTCTGTAGCCTCAGGAAAGAGCCAGGAGGGGCGAGCTACAGGCGGGCGCGGCGGGGTACCCCTCTTCGCTCCTGCCCCCTCCCCCCCCCCCAGCTCAGCTCCGTCACACCTCACCTCACCAGAAGGCAAGAGCAACAGGCCACAAGGGCGGTTGTCTCCTGCCATCTGGCTCCAAGGTAATTACGGATAGGTAGACAAGACCAAGGCAACCCGTCCCATGTGCCTCTTGTCATTGCCATACCAATCCAACCCAACCCCAACCCCAACCACAACCAATGCGCTCATCCATCCGACCACCTTATTCCAGACGTGAACGTGCCTTGCTGTTCCAGTTCAACCCCTCTTCCAAGTTCAAGGTGTGAAGACGCAGACGGACTGCAGACGATCGGAGAGACTACATAACACACCACCACCCACACCCCGCCCTCCCGCGTCCAAACTCCTCTATCCACGTTCTCCATCGCGAAAACCACAACCTCACTGCAACTCTTACCAGTTATCAAACCAATTTCAAGGCGGAACAATTGCAAATCCTGTCTCCTTCCTTACCCTGCCCCAGAAAACAAGGCGACACGAGTCCGTAAACCCCAGCTTCGCCGGAATCCGACCATAGCTCGCCCCGTTCGACGACAGATACGAGATCGATCCATCAGATCCCCCGTTGACTATCAACACCACCAACAAATCAATCATGTCTGACGAGAACACCAAGACCCCCCAGTCCGTCGTCGACGAGACCCCCATCACCCACCCAGCCGGCGAGCGGAAGAACTCGCTTGAGGCCCACCTCCAACACCGTCCCGATCGCGCCGAATTGGTCGAGAGTACGTGAATCCCTTCCTACAATCTCTATCCTCCCATGATTCAATCCCTGCCTCAATGTGCATTTGATTCTGCAATCAGAACCAACGCCGCCTTCCAATGGAATCTGCCCTGTGTCTTGTCGCGATTTCCTGTTTTCGTTCCGCTATTTCAATGCTGCCCCCTCACATCTTCCCGTCCGTAGCGCCCCACCGTCCGCCTCACCCGCCGATCATCAAAACCGGGATCACCTCGAATTGTCCGGAAGAAAAACCCCACCCTCAATACACCTGCTGCGCATGGCCGGGGAGTCTCCGCCGTCTCGTCCCAGATTTGCACTGATTCAATGGGGAAAATACTGACTGACCTTCCTACAGAGAACATCTTGCCCGCCTCCAATGCCGCGCCTAGCTTGATCGCCCACCAGAAGGAGCTCGAGAAGCACATGCGGGCAGACTCCCTCAACGACAAGATTTCCCATCGCCCCGCTCCCGAGGAATTGATCAAGGAGGGCGTATTGAAGGAAGACCCCCGGAGCGCCGACGACAAGTACGCCGAGGCCATTGAGGATGAGTACGCCAAGCGCGAGGGCGGCGCGTGAGTTTTTCGGGATGTACTTCTCGACGGGAACTGAGTCCCTGTCTCGTCATTCATTCGCGCTACTACGACTATGAGGTGAACACGGTGGAGGATGATGCACATTCGGAAAGTGTGGAAACACGATGTAGGATTATTGGTATCGGTACCACGGTTATGATATGGAGGAACTGCACTCTTCCATGAACGAGATTACGAATTGAACAACAGAAAAAGAGCCAAAAACAAGTTTAGTTGTCTGCTCCTCAGGGCATCTTGGTGGATAACAAGTCAGACTGGAACTGTAGCTTCCGAAAATAAACAAAAAGAAAGAAACAGAGACAGAAACATATTGGATTGCCATCAGAAACGGAGTCTTCAATGACATGCATAACGCATCATGAACTTGTTTCTCCCAGCCTTGTCGTGATTAAAGCCTGCTCTCGTCGGTGGACACGAGGATGGTCAATCCAAGGGTCTCTTTTAGGGGGTTCTATTCTTAGAAGGTAGTGCAGCCGCACTGGAGACCTCCCCGAGCATTCCCTACAAGGTACGGAGTACGGAGTACCTACCCAATTAACATGTGAAATATTAGCAGCTTCAAGCCGAGAAGTAGAAAGGCAAATATAGGGAAAATGAAGAGGACGCTTGTGGGATTCGACAGCCTGATAGATTTGCAGCTCAGGTTTAGTAATTTAGCCACCTTGCACTTCTGGGCAATCTCCTCTTTGCTACTCGTGAGAGCATTGAGGTGCATTTCATAGAATATAGACCGTTTCCGCGCCTTGGATATCCGCGTGGGTGACCCTCACCGTCATGACACCTCAGCCTGCGAGTCACCGAATACACATGCAAGTCATACCACGAGACAAAGTATTCGTGACGAAGAATAGATGGGGCTCAGGGAAGAGACACAAACAACGCAAGCCATCATAGTCTCGACTTTCACTGCCTCACTGCCTCCACAGCCAATCAGCCCGGCCTGGTCTGAAGTGTACGGAGTATAGTCTGGACTGAACCAAGCTGTGCTGACTATGGTACCGGACCTTTCCCCCGTTGCCCCCTTCTCCAACTTTTTCTCCATGGGCCCATTGTCGCATTTCTGCACAGGCTCACTGCCGTCCTGCCGCCCTCCCGCCCCTTGCAGTTGCAGCAGCGCTGGCCTGGGACCACAATCAGGGACTTTGGACTTCTTTCAGGGGAGCGTGGAAGTAAGCCTGGATACTCAACAGGGGAGTGAGTGCAGCGACTTTTTGCTTGCCTTGCCTTGATTGCCCATCAGTCTGGGCCCCTTTCCTGCAAGTCAACGTTTGCTTTTCCTCCGGGGGGTGGTACTGGGCCGGCCGCCGGTGGAAACTTTTTGCATTTTCCCACACTTTTCGGATTTCCCACCCCTCGTCGTTTTCAACTTTTTTGGGTTCAGAGACAATGAGGCGGGCGCACTGGTGGGTTACAGACACCAAAACCACGTTCCTCATTGGGACAACAAGGCAGGCACACCGAGCGTATGGTTGGGGAGAAGGAAGAAGGGAAAAAGGAGACGTGCATGTCACTCCAGGTCATCGGTAGACTCGCGCTAATGTGCAAAGAAACAAAACCTTGTTGAAGAATTGCAGGATACCACCGATCTACAGGCGAGCACAGAAGTGTCGCAGATCCAGTAGTTAATATACCGTAAAACAAAAAAACCATCTAATCTAGACATGACAGTGGCTCCCATCCCATCCGTCGAGTACAACATACAGGCACATAGGTTATCAACTCCCATCCTTGGGAGGGGTTCCCACTATACCACATTCCCATGGTCCCCATTATCATCCATGTATCCCATAAAACCCCAATGCTGTTGTTCCGCGGGCCAATCACTGTGTTACAATATGCTTTACAGGAGTACGAAAGCCGCCCAGTTGCTTATGCCCGAAAATTCCCAAATAACGCCGGTTTATGCATTTACAAAGTGAAGTCGTGGTCGTCTAGTCGCTGAAGAGTGCAAGTCGCATCGGCATCGCTTGCTTTATTGGCGCGAGTATCCGCCGCCGTAGTGTGGTGATGGAGCGTGGGCGTCGTAGCCGGATTGCTTGCGATTAATGACAGTGACGCCGCTACCTTGCTTGATGCCAGCCAGGTGCTGATCCGCGCCGTAGACGCGGAGGTAGCCCTCGTCGCCGGGAGAGATGGAGCGAGGGGTTGAGGAGCCTCTTGATGAGGCGTAGGAGCCTGTCGACGCCGAGTAGGCGCTGCTGATGGAGGCCGGGGCCTGGTGGACGACCGGCTTGGAGGTGCTGTATCTGGACGACATGTTGTGTTTTGTGTTACTCGAGCCGAGTTTCGAGTTGTGTGTTGGGTTGTGTGGGTAGATGGAGGTTGGTCTCCAAAGGTGATGTGTTTATGAAAGAGATTTGAGTTTAAGAGAACTTGATGAGATCTTGTTGGCTGATGTTTGACTTAAGTGTTTGGTAAAGAAGATGATCGAGACCAGGAAGAGAAGCAGAGGGCATGATGGGATATATAGATGAGGGAGGTGTTTGCAGACACACACACACCAGACCTGGGATGCCTCCATCATCTTTGTACGTACCTACACTTGTAAGTACTCGAACGCGTGTGCCATCAGCACTTGCCATAGGCAGGGCTTGCTTGGTCCCAGGGTGTACGGCAGAGAGAAGGAAAAAGAGAAAAAAGTAGGCCCGCAAAAAGGTTGGCTTGCCTGGCCAGACGAGAGGTACCTGGACCTGGACCGGGCCAAGTAGAAGAAATGCCTTGCGGAAAGTCTCGCTGCCAGCTGGGTGGTGTGTAGGCGAAGCAAAAGGCGAGTGAGTGACTCAACCTCAGCCCGACCTTGGACCTTGGAACGTTGCTTGGAAAGCAGAGACGAGGTATGAGGTGTGAGGCAGTGTGGGGATAGCCCTGGGATGCTTTGGGGCTGACAGAGGTGTAAGAAGGGCCCAGGTGTGTGCGTTTAGACTTGAGAGTCTGTGGTGTGTGTGTGTTCTGTGTCCCAGGGCGACGAGGAAATCATTGGGCAGCTTTGTCATTTCAGGGCCCTTCAGAATGCAGGGACGTTAGGCACGGGAAACGCTAGAGTAATTTAGTCCGAAGTAATAAAGTCCATGGATTGCCTTGGAAAGCAGGGAAGAGGGCTGTTGTGGTGTTGCAGATGCTGTGGAAACCAGAAAGGGTGTGGTTGGCGGGTCTTTCGCATCTTTTGGGTGTGGACGACAGAACCTTGGAACGGTGCGCGTATGCGTCTAATGGAGAGGTCCTACGGCCTGCCAGACACCCAGACTACCCACCAGACAACGCCAAAGTCCTTTTGGGCCAGGATTGGGAGCAGCAGGACTTGCAGCATCAGGAGAAGCAGTGCATCCCAAGAAGTCTCCCTTGATGCCTCGGTGGCGAAACATCACGGTTGATTGGACGAGGGATGGTCGGACGACGACGCAGGTAGGGCGGATTCGTCAGGGCGATGATTGACGGACTGCCGCTGGTGTCTCGCCCTGCTGGACGGTTTAGTATTGCCCGCTTTCGCCTGCGTCCAATCTTAGCCGCCGTACGTATCATTGATACAGTTTGTCATCATTCATTCGCAGGTTCGAGACGTTAATACTCAGCGACTGATCCGTGATGCCATAATCCGCGCCAGCCTGACGTCGATGACCAAGCGGCGACGCGTAAGGACCGTCTTTCGCGGTCTTGTGGTTGCTCAGCTTTGGGGTCCAAAGCCTTGTGAATGTGCGGCGGATGTGGAAAAAACGCAGAAACATGGATGTCGTCGTCCATCTCCAAGGACTCACAAGAGTGCAAGCCTTGGTTGGCCCCCATAAGCGCTTCGCCGCCGTGCGCCAGTGTGTACCAGATTGGGAGGCCTTCCCCAGCTGTGTCAGCCAAATCTGGAGTGGCACACAGGATGAAAAGATTTTCTGTGCTCTTGTTGCTCGAGTCTCGAGACAGACAAGTATCAGTACCAGCATAGCCCCTGGCTCACCGAGGACTGTCGCTGCCCAACTCATGGCCCGATGGTCCTCGGGTGGCCATTGTAATTTTGCTTTCTTTTTCTGGTCACCCTGATTTCCACTCAGCCGGGACCATCCGCCGGAGACAAGAAATGCCTGTGTTTCTGGAAGCCGGTCGAGTCGGGCCTCCAAGGGGCCAGAGAGTTCGGATCAAGCCTGATGTCTTTGGTAGTGGACAAGGGGGATCCCCTGCTCTGCGGACTGCGACCCAACGGGCCTCCATCGCATCCATTCGATCGGGTCAATCGTGGCCTCCAGAAGGCGCCAGATATGCAAGTAGTAACGATCTGGCTACAGTAGCTAAATTGCCTGCAGAACAAGTGCTAGAAGAAGATCGCGGGAGTCTGCAGCAATGCAGCAGCGGTGATCACTCTGCCGAGTGGAGGTGTTCATGCCTGGAGTGTGCAGGGCAATAGGGCGAGCTGCATGATTTGATCGCCCACTGGAGGCCGGGCTCCAAGTCAGTCCGATGTTTCTCTGCTGTGTCGTGTCAGACTGGCAGAGAGGGGACGACGGAGCAACAACACAATTGATGCTGCCGCTACCCAGCGTCGACAGCCTTCAAATGTGCAAAAAGAGACATCATGCGAAGCGACAGCCTGCCGCGCAGCTCGCTCTTCTTAGCGCGTCTTTCGTCGTCTCTCATATGGTATCGATTGATGAGTCGGATAGGTAAGGTACCCTTTTGCGCGGAGTGACCGTGAGTCCGGGGTGTGCCCCCCATTTGCAGCAGTGGATTCTAATTAACCAGTTGAAAGCTGCCAGTCTGACAGGTACGCAGCACGAGACGGATGACATCTTGATGTGGGCGCAGCATAGCTAGTCGTCACTTGCGTATTCGTGGTGATTGGAGTCTGACGGATTGACGTGAAGGGAAATGGAAAAAGCGCCTGAGCCAGGCATCAGCGAACTTGATACCTACTATGTATGTGCTTGGACCTTAGCCACAGCCCAACTGGCAATCGCGCCACACCGGGGGCCTAGCCACGTGCCAGCCACATACCTCAACATCAGTCTTTCTGGATTCGTCCAGCTAAAGTAATGAGAACTTTGTGGTAGATATCCCCTTTTCCAGGCCTCTTATATAGGCTGTAATGTCTCAGGGTATCATTCATATAATAGGTAGTGGGTGAGTGACTTACCACACAAATGTCGCTTGGTGGTATTCTTGCTTGAGGTAAGCTCTCAGTGTTGGACCATGGCCTTAATTGCCACTCCAAGGTTATGTTTAAGTTGATGCAAAGGGATAGTCGTAACGCAAGGCGTATAAGTCCTATCTAGTAATGAATTGATTCCGACGGCAACAGCGGCACTACTAGGGCGTCAGTAGGGCGTGGGTATACTTTCAGCCAATCTTTACCTGAACCGACAACGAAAGAGCCCGCAGTCGCATAAGATCTTTGCCATTTATTGTTGAGAGATGGCGTGGTGCAGACTTCTATTAGTAAGGCATGCAAGAGAACCAAGACATTTAAGTATCAGGCGGTAAACAATTTGGCGGTGGCTAGAGTTCATTACCTTGGAGAACTCATATCACACCATCATGGATTCGACGAAACAGCAGGAACCTGACGTGGGCATAATCTCTATTTGGAATATGGGGTGGGTATCGCGAAGCTTCTCAAAGCCCATGGATTTCGAGTTGGCACGAGTGGCCAGAACAGAAGGTCTGTGAGACAGACGCCTTGTTTGCAGTAGAAATCAGTCAGGTCTGACTCATTTTGCTTCGTGCAATAGTCTAGCTACTATTCGGCGAGCCGAGGACGCAGACGTGGACATCGTATCCTCTGACATGGAACTAGTGGAGAGAGCATCGGTGGTTCTCTCCGTTGTGCCCCCAAGAGATGCGATGGAAACGGCGCAGCGGGTCGTGGACGCCTTACACGACCTTGCCACTTGTGGTTCGCGACCGATATACCCCTTGTACTTCATAGATCTCAATGCGGTTGCACCATCAACGGTTCGAGGGATAGCTCAACTCTTCGCCTCGGTCCAGCACAGCGCTCGCTTCATCGCCGGCTCAATTCTTGGAGAACCTCCCGTTTGGATCCCAGCGAACGACTTAGGCCCGAAGACTGCCTCGCCTACAACAGCCATCAGCGGTGTTAAGCATGGCTTTGGCGGTCTCTACGATATCAACATACACGGCGTTGAAATTCTAAGTCCTGCTTTGTCTTTCCATCCCGAAACCTTTATCTCTAGCTTTCCCTCCAATTCCATGGTGGTTGTCCGTCTATCCAGCTAATTGGAAGAGACTTCGTGATCGCCATACCTCAATACCTCGTATTCGGGGTCTAGGTCGTTGAGGGGCTTGAATACTGCCTTGGCCACGATGGCGAAGATACGTCCAGCACTCGTCGCCCTATTGTTGCCGGCCACGGAGGCCGAGTCCCATGAGAAAAAGGAGATTCCACACCGAGGCGGAGGATCCGAGGCCCAGGCAGACGAGGCGGTAGGCGTGGTAATTGATCCACGGGACAATCAAGTGACGCGGATTTGGTGTCTTCGACGTGGGTCATCCGAGGCTATCGACGCCCTCTCACGTGCTGCATGAGGTATCCACCATAGCCGACATCATCACCACCAGACAAGGGAAGGATGTGACGGCTTGGAACGAGGGAGCTTGATTGCTGGGAAGAGAGCGTCGCCTTTCGGTGGCTTGACGTCACAGAGGATGTCAGCTGGGGAAGCTTTGGGGCTTTGAGACTTGGTGGATCGTGGAGGAGAGCTTCGTGGGGGTGGATCTCAGTAATAAGCCAGCTGACCTGAGCTTCTGTATCGATAAGATTGCTTTCTAGGTACGTACCGTTCGCCCCGGAATATCTGAAAAGGGGTCCACCCATAAGGAGCTCGGCGAGATTGGCCAATCGGAGGATAGAGAAGTTAAGGCGGCGTGTCTTCAACCCACCTTTGGCCAGTGTGTGGCAGTCTGGTGGCCCCTCCCTGCAGCTGTCTTCCTTGTTGCCAGCCAGCTGTGTTGTTTCCCCTCCAATCCGACCAATTGACCGCTAACCTACACGACTTTACCATCACCCTCATCGCCGAATTTCCGCCTCGTCCTTCTCAAAACAGACATAATGCAAGGTCTTCTCCTCTCTCTTGGCCTCCTGGCCTCCAGCGCTGTCAGCTTCGTTGCTGCCGCCGACGACCTCAAGATCGACGTTACTCAGGAGGTTGAGTGCGACCGCAAGACCAAGAATGGCGACAAGCTCACCATGCACTACCGCGGTACTCTGCAGGCCGACGGCAAGCAATTCGATGCCAGTAAGTCACCGTGGCCCTAAGAAGAGTTTTTTTTGAAGCAAGGCTGACGTATCAATATTCAAGGCTACGACCGTGGAACCCCCTTCAGCTTCAAGATTGGCAGCGGCCAGGTCATCAAGGGGTTAGTTCCTCCACAACCGATCGGTTCGACGAGAGACATTGGGAGACGCAACAGAGGCTAACAATGGTACAGATGGGAGCAAGGACTTTTGGACATGTGCATTGGCGAGAGGCGGTAAGCATTGGGACACTCAATGACCAAATGCTATTCGTGACTGACGCCTCGCAGAACCCTGACCATCCCTCCTGAACTTGGATACGGACCCCGCGGCATGGGCCCCATTCCCGGCGGCTCGACTCTTGGTATGAAATATCCCACCTGCTGTGTGGAAATCCCGCTAATTGGTGTCGCAATCAGTCTTCGAGACCGAGCTCGTCGGCATTGATGGTGTCCCCAAGCCTGAGAAGATCATCGTCAAGGCCTCCTCGGCTGCCAGCGAAGCTGTTGAGTCCGCTACCGAGGGCATTGCCGAGAAGGTCGCCAGCAAGGTCGCTGAGGCGGCTGACGTCGTCAAGACCATTGTTGCCGACTCTGACGCCGACGGCCAGGAGCACAACGAGCTTTAAACAGGCCCCTCCCCGACATGATTCTATACGAGTAGACTTGCATCCGGTAGAGAAAAGGCGATGAAGGTTTGAATTGGTGTCTATACGTGAAGCACTATTTGCTATGCAAACGCATTCACTGGCGAATTTGGATTCGACGAGATATATACGACGCGTCACGAAACTATTATGAAATTAGGCGAGCAATTGAATGCCAATCAGCATCGTCCTTCTGTTTTGCCGATCATTGAAAATTGAATACATGCGTTTAGACGAAATGGTTTTCACGCGCAAGAGCTTGATTTTAAAGGGATCGCTTATAATTATTGTTGTTGTTGGAAGACTATGAACCTAAGTACAAAAAGGTATCGATCCGGCAGACCCATCTTTCGAGGCGAATCTCTCTCGATATGGTTACTTTCATGACAGCCTTAACCAGCCTGGTACACAGCAAGCGCAGCAACATGCGGGTTGATCATGGTCAAGTTGTGAGCCGTGACGTATGTATCAGTATCCGTAAGAGCAACAAACATGGTCGAGTTGATAGCGGGATCATGCTCCCATGTCGAAACGTTGGGCTGAATAGTATACGCAGTACGAGACTCTAGGCTGACATTCAGAAGAGGCGAGAAGGTGACATTCAATTGAGACACCCAGGCTGCGAACTTTGGCTCCATGACATTGGTCGCGGTGATGTAGCTGTTATTGGGACCGACTGCCTGGCCGGGAGCTTCCCATTCGAAGAAGACCTGGCGACCAGGGTACGACAGGGGCATGGTGCGGTTCTGGGTTATGGCAGCGTTGCAATCCTGAAGAGGATCCGTAGCGTTGACGCAAGACTCTGCGTCAGTAATGTTTGTCGTCGCAGCGGTGTTCGCCCAGCCACCGGTGGTCTCGTTCCAGACGTTGGACCCATTGATGCGATATGGGTTGGGCTGATTCAGAATGTGAAGGGCAGGGAAGTTCTGCCAGATGAGGCGAGTCTGGTCTGCCGGACAGCTGGAGATGTACGGCGCCAGGAGCGTCCAGGCCCAGCTCTGCGGGATACCGGGGATGTGCCACTCAGGCATGGGAAACAAGCCCTCGAACTGGCGGAAGATCATCTGTTGCCGCGCCTCGGTCGTGATGCTCTGCAACAGCAGCTGGGCTGCCGGACCGGAGTTGAGGTGCGGCAGGAACCCGTAGACGCCGGACTCGCCCCAGCGGGTGAGCTTCTGGTTGAAGTCGATATACTCGCGGAGGGTGGTGACGGGATAGTTGTACGTGCATTGCTTGGGCGCCTGGGCGCCGAGCATATTTGTGATGACGGTGGCATGGCCGATTTCCTGCTCCGCCATGAATTGTAGAAGATAACGGTCCTCAGCATTCAGACCCAGCTCTTCGAACTCTTCATCGGAGAAGGTAGCAAGGCCCCAATGGAAGAGGTCCAGCTCGATGTACTCTTGGTAGAGCGCCAGTGCAAGAGATTGGTAGTCAAAGTCGCTCTGGACGCGGTAGACTGGGGCTGAGCCGTTAGTGCCGATGCCGCCCGAAGGCGTGTACGGCGCGGGCTGGTCGCCGTGGAGCTTGCCGTCCGCCGGGTAGTCGTAAGCGTCGTCTGGAGGAGGCAGTGTCGGGACCTCGGAGGCTAGGACGCTGGTTGAGAGGGCACCGGTTGTGGTCGGTGAGGGACCCGTGTAGGGACCGTGGGAGGTCACATTGGTGACTGCGACTTGTGACGGCGTGATGGTAGGCTCCGAAGTGACAGTGGTTTGAGGTTCAGATACAAAGGGCACAGCGTATGCGCCGCAGGCCAGGGCGAACAGTCGAAACATGCTCCTCGGTGCCATTGTGTAAGCTTCTAGTGTCTCGTGCGGCGAGATGTTGATGATGCTGATCAGAAACAACGCTCTTTTGCTGGAATGAACGTGGGCTCGTTCTTATACAACATTTGGATCACTTTCTGGCATTTGGATCATTGAATGACCGTGACATAACCCAGCTAGGCTGGTCGTTTCGTCGATTACACCACTGGATTCATCGTAGTTCCGACCTCGGCAGTCAGATTCGCCGTTTGCCTAAGGGTTCGCCCCTTGAGGTGAGTTCATGGACTTGGAGAATTTCTCATCACCCAGTCCCATACCCCGGGGTTTGGGCGGCAATTGCAACTCACACGCGGGCTCTGAGTCGTCGGGTGTAATGCTGCCGTCATCGGCCATTGTAATCGCTAGAGGATCAATGGACTGACTGACGGTGCTATATTCACAATGATACTACGCGACGTCTCGCAAAGCGTGTCCAGGGCTACTGTCTAGCTTACCATAGACAAGGAACTTGCTCCTAGTTGAAAAGAAACTACCATAACCATCAATCAAACGTCAGAAACACCTCACGGAGTTGTCTCCGGCGAGCTCGGGGTGGGACGAACCACATCAAGAATGGGCCGCGTGGGGAAATAACTCCGGGCCGTGAGTGGGTACGGCCGGCACCGATGACGCTTACATTAGGCGGGTGAGGCTCTTTGTGCTACGAAGCCAAGATTGATCCCGCTGTTCGTAATGTGGGAAAGACGGGAAGTCAATCGATTAGATGAACTACAGGGTAATATCAGCTAACCCTTTTGGTATTGACAGTGATGAACATCAACCAACAACAGAATACCACGTTATTTGCATGTCCGGATTCAAGTCCCGGATCTTAAGCTCCGGACCCCTGTCTTTACAGCTTCTTGTACCTGAAGTCCTCTCGAATTTTACGAAAACGTTTGGTCTACGAGAAGCTTTCGATGACATCTTACTCGTTCACATTATGTCCATACGTTGTTCAGCAGCGTAGGCACCAGGGCGTGCAAGAATTCCATCTTCAATTAGTCTCAGTCTAGCTAACTCCGGCATCTTTTTCGTGCTATACACCAATGCAAGATTTGTTCCGCCACACTCTATTCAGTTAGGTGCCGCAGTTCCGGCACCGGTCCGAATCTTCAGACCTCTTCTACACTCTGCGGGGCAAAGTGACAGCATCATCTCGGTGTCACCATTCGATCAATCGTCATCCCCACAACTTCCCCATTACACTATGAGTTGCTACTCCGGCTCAACGGCAGGAGGCTGGGGAAACGATGAAAGCTTGAGGGAATCAAAACATCCTCAATTGATCACTCAGTTGCCGTCCAGCACCCACTTCTTCTTGTCGTAGCTCGCAGGCCACACGCCGTTCTTGCCGGGCGCGATGATACCGTTGGGGTCGAGCGCGTTCTTGATCGCCTCGTTGAGCTGCATCTGCGCGTTATTGTTCCAGTTGAAGGCGTCGGCGACGGGGTCCATGAGTGCCGTATGCGCGCGGAACTGGCCCCAGCCGTGCGCCGTCGTCTCCTTGATGAGCTTGTGCGCCAGCTTTCTGATGCGCTCCACGTCGTCGGGCACGTCGAGGCGGTATGGGATACCGATTACGTGGTCTAAAGTAGAGCGGGTCAGTCACTTCCATTCCATCTTGAAGCATCGACATATTTCGAGAACTCGTTCGGTTGGACGAATTACTTACGCAGCTCTCGCATGCCGACGGCAAAGGCGCCGAGGTAATCGAACCCGAACTCTGTGATGAGCTTCTTGGCTACATCGTGCTGCTTCTTTGCGTCCTCGCCAGAGACCTTGGAGATGGGGGCCCACAAGAGTTGGCCACCGTTAGGAAGCCAGCTAGGTGCAGTATTAGCAACTGACATAATGTAAAGCAAGATTGAGAACTTGGACTTACTTAAGACACCTCAATTCCTCCACAGTAGGAATACCCTGCATGAGAAGCTCACGAGCGCGGAGAGGACTCTCTCTTGCACGGTCCTCTGGCAAGAAGAATCTCGAGCCCGGGATGGAGAGGAACTCATGCTTGATGACACTAAGGAGGACGTCGCGCACAGGCTTGGGTCCATACACCGCACCGATGAGCTGCCACCGACCCATGTCGAGCTTCTTTGCGATGCCGTCGACTTCCTCCTCTGATAATGGCCCTTGCTTGTCTGTGTATTTGGACTTCGGCCCGCAGTGCGCGGCATTCAACAGAGTGTGGCGAAGGAAAGGAACGTTCTGCAGCACCATTTGCAGGCGCAACGGACGGATAATGTCAACCGCCTTGGGCAGATCTGAATCGTTCTCAAAGGTGATCTCGTATGGCTGGTAGCCTCCGGGGTTAGGCATCAGCCACATACCAATCTTCGTCACGATGCCAAGGTTGCTCTGAGAGAAGAGACCATCGTTGTAAGGGCCGTATCCTGTGTTGAAGAGCTGCCATGTCTCGCAGCCAGGCTGCTCATCGGGTCGCAGACTTGTATCCGCATTAGGGTTCGGGACGCCGCCCATACCGGTGCGCACCAGCTTTCCGTTCGGCAGAACGACCTCCATACCGCAGTGCATACCCCAATGATCACCGTACGGCGTGGCGCCGACGCCGCGCTCCACAGCGTTGCCGAGAACGGATCCCTGGCCGACGGGCACAGACATCCAGAGATGCTCGCGGAGGTTGTGCTTCTCAAGGTGCTCATGCAGGTCCCGGAAGCTGACGCCCGGCTCGAGAAGGACGTACGCACCCTCGACATTGACCTCGAGAATACGATTCATGTGGTGTCCCAGGTCCATGACCACGGAGCCGGGAACACGTGGGGACGCGCCGCCGTAGCCGAAGTTTCGGCCGAGGGAGATTGGCCAGACGGGCATGACGAGCTCGTTGCAGAGTGCGACGAGGGCCTGGACGTCCGGGACGTGGCGGGGCATGACGACCGCCGAGGCGACGAACTTGGTCTTCTCATAGAGGGGGAAGTGATCGTGTGACTTGGGCTGGTTGAGGTATGAGTCGCCCTCTAGAGGCTTATCCTTGGGGATGACGCGGACATTGTCGACGCCGCAGATTTCTTGAGCGCGGATGATGAACTTTTGGAATAGCTCGTTGGTGAAGTTTGGTGGGAGGGCGATGGGTTCCGGAATAGGCGCCATCTTGACGGATCTGATCTGAAGAGGGGCTGATTAAACGCGAAATCTGATGTAAGGGTTCTTGAAATCACCAAACGTATCGCTAGAAAGGAGATCTGAAAGGATTGATGTCTTGTTGTATACAAAGGCTATATCTATACGATCTGAGAGAACAGAGAATATTTAATACCTTTCCATGATGCGACACCCTCTGTGAGCTCTCCGATGAACCGTGCCGATGATACGGACCATGCTTGACGGATTACTGTCAGATGCCGACGGCTTGGTACGGCTGTTTCGCCGCCCGCGATGCGAGGTGCATAGCTCGCGAAGTTGAGAATGCCTAGCTACGGTCGTCCGTCGCGCGTGCCGGGCCCAATTCGGGTCAGTACCCCGGATGCCTCAGCGAGAGCGAACTCCAACTCGAGACTGGAGTCCGACTTCGTCTGAGTAGAAGGTCTACCAGCAGACAGGGCGAGCCCCATAGCAGGTGGCGGGTGCCAACGGAGAATGGGAAACTGCGTTTCGTCAATGGGCCATCAGTTCATTGCGGACAGCTACCTGATACGACAGGTTGATCGTAGAGAAGACACTGTTTCGAGAGGCAATGCTGCTCACAGTGTGGCTCGTGAAGCGTTCGGCGTAGATCGCTGCCGTCTGTAGAAGAGTGGCGCCCAGTGGTCTAAGCCGTAGTGGACGACTATCGAGAGGACCGTGGGTTCGGAACTCTGTCAAACTTGACGTGGCGGACGTTGTGAAGACGTTTTGGGCCGACCAGTTGCCGAAAGAGAGCTATGATGCGACAGGCCACACAGCTTTTGCTTCCCCCGTGGAAGATGTTTGTGATGATTCGTGGGTTCGTAAGGCGACGTGCGGAACCGGCGGACTTGTTGCTGGAGGGGAATCTTGTCATGAAACGCAATCTGACGGGAAGACATAACATTCACACAGGCACCCGTTCCCGTCGTTAGTTGCAGATGCGGCTGCAGTCTTGACAGTGTCTTACCGCTGCCTCGGGAGACATACCATGAAACGAAACAGAGAGCCGTTTGCTCCCTTTACCCCACGGACATTTACTACCGGCTGGGATTGTTGTCTGGTTTCCTTCGGCCGGCTTGTCCGAGACGGCCGCATTCTCGTGGACATTGATCCTTGATTTTCCGTCATCTAATCTTTTACATCTTGTTCCCAAACTGCCAGACACCCCAATGGCGTGCTTGACATGGTGAGAGTTGCCAGCCCTAAAGGTGCGGATAGGCCGGGGTACGCGTCTTTCCGGAGGAGCAGTTGGAGAAATCTCGCATCGGCCGTCCGCAGTTGGCCATGCGGTCACGGAGCGGAGGTGCCGGGCGTTTCTAGAAGACTTCCCGCTCTGGGATTATGTTGCTGCGCAAGAAGCTTGGGGCGCACCCAACCCAAAATGACACGCTGCTACTGATAGCTGTCGTTGCGATTGCGAGGTGCAAGCGAAGGTCTTTTGAAGGATGCGAACCTACGGAAGCTTTGGTCGGGGGTTCCTGTGATGGTTCTGATGTTGGATGGTTGCGAAGACACGGCCGACGGCCTTCTCAACGCCCACCGCCTGGATCCGAATCTTGCGTTACCACAACGTCGGGCGGACTCGAATACCGCACTTGTTGATACGGGAAACGTCATCCATCCTACATCACCCTTGATCCAAAAGCTTGGCTTTTTACCTTGGTAGCAGATGATCATTGGTTGTTCCAGCTTTGCTGAAGACGAACGGCTATTTAAGATTAGGGTTGCCTGCTTCAAGATGTTAAGAGGAAAAGACGGCCGAATCCATATTACATTAGTGTGAGGTCCGGACCTCCAAGCGATTTTAGTAGCAACCATAATCCAACCTTCAAATTACTTGCAGCTGTGCCAACTTAGTATTATCGAGATACCTTGGTTCAAGAGAAAGGCCCGAGCAAAGAACGTCTTCACCAGAGCAGTAACCCCCCAAGTACACAGCAGTGATGGATTCAGCCCAACTCGCCAATGCCGTCACCGAGCGGGTAACCATTCCTGTTTTGGGTGGCGTTGAGAATTGGAAAGAGCAGTTGAAGTTCATGCTCCAGACCCTGAGCAAGCAGCCGGGATACCTTCGTACGCGTTGGGGACCATGGACTGAGGACCAGCAGAAGCTTGAGCTCATCACCGGTACGTGATATTCAGGTCCACTATTGGGTCTCTCGATTACACCGGCCACTATTATTGAGCCCAGCTTCAATGACTAATCGAGGTCTCGAAATAGGCTGGATCAGTCCGGATGCCTGCGAGAAGTGGCGGAAATCAAAAGACTTCGCAGAAGCAGCGGCCCGGGTAGCACCCGTACTAGACGGCGAGCCCGTAGCATACCTACTCAGATTCAAGCCTTACGCACCACACGCCGTCATCGACTCCCCCATCGTCGAGACACTCAGCTTCGAAGACTGCCGGGAACCCGAGAACAAGATGCGCGAGGTGGTCGAGAGGGCATCCCGGATGCCGGGCTGCAACGGCGTGGCGAGCGGGTATTCCCTGTGCCCGCCAACCTCGTCCTCCGGCGACAGCATCGGCAGAACGTTTGTCGCGGCAATCGGGTGGACGGGGCTCGAGGCCAGTCGCGCGGCGGACAAGTTGGCATATACGGGCGGTATGAAAACCGAGGTCCACCACGTCAACTTCAATTTTCCTGTCAAAGGATTTGGAGGATTATAGCGGCATCTGTGCGTGTCCAGGTTGCATGATGTGGTTTAGCGGGTTTTAGACGAGCGAAGGCGTTCTATCAACGGTCGAATTTCCTATTTGCTTCACGCTTGGAACAAGTCTTTTGTTAGTGCTTCGGGGAAGGGAGGAGAGGTGGCGAAGGCGGGGGCACGCACAGGTTCTTGGGGCGGTGTCTGAATCGAAAGTTCTCTTCGTCTTCTAGCTGTTCTTGGGGTGAAGATACCAACAGTCATGTCGCCATCATGTCCCCTTTGATCCGGTTTCTCGTGATTCTCTATGAGGTCGACCCGAGCCATCGAATCTAGTGGCAACGCTAGAAAGCTGTCATTCGGAGCTGGATGCTGGAGCAGGAGCTGAGAGAAGCTATTGGTCGCGCGACCCAGGATCCCCTGCAGGACAATGTGCCTCGGTTCGTGCCTCGCTTCCACGAAACATGGCCTACGAAGATGACGACTGGTCAGAGCTTCCAGGGTCAGAGGGTTCCAGAGATCCAGACTTTGCTCGAGCCCCCCCTAGGCCGTCCCAGCCGGAGGGGGCCTACTGGGGCCTGCAGCCTGCACTTGCAGTCGCGAGAGTGAGACTCGTGATGGTTCGTCCAGGGGCGAGCCGGGCCCAGGGGTGGCCTTCTTCCTCCATGCTTAACCTTACCAAATGCCGACCGTGTTTCCGAACACTGAATGCTGCAAAACGTGGATCACTGGGTTTGAGCAGCAGAGGGGGCGTGGTTCACCAGCGTCACCGGGCGTTGATCAAAGACCAAGTCGCGGATGAGGGGAACCAAAGGTGGAATATTGTCGAGTTTTTCGGTGGGAAGACGCCACAGCCGGTGCTGTCGTGGCTGTGAGAGGCCGAGGAGAGAGTCTCTCCAGCTTCAGATTACCTTGTTGTCCACAATTTCTCTTCAGCCACATCATGTCGCTGGATCTTAATCCGAAGGAAAGCCGTTGCTATAGTGCTTGGCGGGCCGAGTAATAGCGACAAACTGCAGATACCTAGGCATTTCGAAGATGAAGGACGTCGTTGAGAGTATCAAGATGAGAAACTTTTGATAATGTGTTACGCGGATTCTGTGTCATTAGCGCAAAACCTCCCCGCATTTCCTGAGGCATGTCGATGTCAACCTGTTTGTTACTGGTACGCTGACTGCAGAAAGTTGTGGGCTCTCGGGAATGACAATAGGAGATCGCTTCGTCGGCCAGCAAACCCCTGACATGTCTTGGCGGCTCAAATCTCGCCTGGAACAGTAAAATATCGAGGGGTTTCCTACCAATGGGCAGCGTCAAGATGGCCCCCAATGGGACGGTGTCATTTGGCCTGGGTATCTCGGTCTTCGTGTCTCTTTTGATACTAGATCCAAGGCCCTTCCTCCACGTGGAAAATATCTCCGGCGAGGACAATGCGGCCCTTCTTTGCGGACTGCAGAGTGCCAGAGCTGTGGGTGCAGTGAGATCATGTTTCAGAAGGCTCAAGATGGCCTGGGTTGATATTTGGTCCCATGCATGCAGCATGAACTGCGGTTCGGACCACACTCTAGATACGGTTCCCACATCGTTTGGCATCTGTCTCTTCTTTGTGAGTATGTCGGCATTTGGTGGAAGGTTTATGATGAGGGAAGAGGAGGTGTTTGTTATGGCGCATGCTCCTTTGTTAAGATATTGGTAATTGCTGAATTGCTGAAAGTTCCCCCTTGATCGGCACCACGCCGCAAACTCTTATTTGGTGTAACAGTCTTCTGCCGAGTCTGCCATTGCCGACTAGGCTGGAGACCACCTACACCGTTTCTTCGACGAGATAATATTAAGAGGAACACACCGGGTTGTTTTGTTCCATCTCGGTGAGAGATTCCGATGAGGTGTTGAGACGACGGAGTTGCCCGCTATCTGTCTATTGACTGGAAGAAACGCACGGCCTCTAAGCTGAATGCAGCATCCGTGAAAGACCAGGAAGCCCATGCCGATCTGCTGATCCCTGAACCAATTCTTTCTCGCCCGGGTCCTCAACGAACAGCGCACTCCCCGCCTGTGGTTCGCCAGTTCGTTTCCAGCCCGCGAAGCTATTGACGACAAGTCCCCATCACCCCTATAACAGACCCCGCTCTTTTATGGCGAATTTCTGCTCGAAGAATCAGACTGGAGAACATGACAAGACGGTATCCCGGAAAGGAGCAGCAGAGGGAACCTGCTTTCCGCTCCCGCGGATGGTAAGGAGGATCCCTTCTTGCGTGACTGACCCTCTCAAGATCGACGCCTGGGTTCACATTCTCTTCAGCAAACCTTCCTCCCCGGCATTTGCACCATGAAGAAATGACGGCACATCTAGAGACATGTCTCTTGGGGGCCGGTCGTGCCTGTTGATCTTTCTTTTTCTCGGACCAATGGGATAGACTTCGCTATCTGGTAGTATTGTCAAACTTCCTGCCATCCTATGCAACCCAAACCATTGACGGATGAAGACATCACCGTCCATTAAGTGTCTCAACTGGGCAAGAGAGCTACGAGAAGGGGGTGCCGATTGACTCCTTTTGCAGGACCTGTCGTCTCATAGTCCCCCACCTCCCCTGCCCATAGTAACAGTAGTAGACTAGGAGGAACTCTTGGAGTGCAACCTCTGCACCTCTGCTACAGGTTTGTGGTGCCTGTGGCGTAGGCTAAAGGGTGGCACTAACAATTGTCACCACCATGTGGGTTCTCCGCCCGGTCTAGTCGCCGCGCCGGCTGGAGGGCTCGATTACCTGTCGCGGCCTAGCCACCCTCTACCGTTTGGGATCGCGAAACCAAAGCCTGCCTGGCTGTTAGCCTGTTGTTATTGCCACAGCACTGGAGAAGAGGAAATTTCTTAACTTACGGGCCGGAAAAGAAGTGGGTAGCCGAGCTTGACGAGGGTCAATCTGCTCCGGGCTGTGGACGCCCATCGTTGATTCTTAAAAGTATGCCCGTTTCCCCCTTCTCGACGGTCTCGTAGGGCTTTCTTTGAGTTTGAACTAGACGACATCTTGCTCCCCTCTCATCCTCGTCTCCTTCCCCACAAACCAAATCTGGTATATCAAGGAGCCTTTCCTGAGAGGACCGGACCGAACCTCGAACACCTCGGATACGGTACACAGTACGAACGAATCGAATCCAGCACCTTTATCTCCTTGATCATAGTTCACGATGTCGACAACAAAGACCGACTACCAGATCGCCTCGCTGGCCGCGGGCTTCACTATCGGCTTTGGTTTCTTGACAGTATGGGAGGCCATGAAGCAGACGAGGCGGAACCGCAACCCTCTGCGAAGCACATACATCTACATGATGTGGGGTGAAATCATAGCCAATCTCGTCATTGCTGTCATCGGATGGTTATTCTTAGATGGGATATTAGGGCCAACGTGAGTATTGCAATGCAGTAATTCTGCCACATCTGAGCTAACATCACTGGTGCCAAAGAGTGCCAGTCTTATTCTTCATCCTATTCTTGTGGGTGTGGGAGATCCAGTTGTTGATGCAAATCATCATCAACCGTATCGCCGTCATTGCGGAAAGTCAAAAGACTATTCGCACGTTGAAATGGGGAACGGCTGTGGTCATCACTCTGATCAACATCGCCGTCTTCTGCATCTGGATTCCGTCCCATCTTGACCCTCCTGCTAGCCAGACGTAAGTCAAACTGCCCTAGGGTTGTGCCTTCTTGTCCACTTTCTAACATATGTTGGCAGATACGTCAACATTAACCACTACTGGGACCGTCTCTCTAAAATCCTCATTCTCATCGTCGACGCCGGCCTTAACTGGTATTTCCTCCACGTCGTCAAGGCTCGCCTCCTGAACCAGCATGGCTTGGTCAAGTACAAGCCTCTAGTTGGCTTTAACGCAAAGCTGATGGTTCTCTCAATTGCCATGGATGTAAGTCTCGACGCTAGGACGTTAACATGAAATCCTCAGGAGGCTAATAACATATATCCAGGCTATGCTCATTGGTCTCATGTCACTTCCTAATCAAGTTGTCTACATCCAATTCCACCCCGTCGCCTACATGGTCAAGCTCAACATCGAAATGTCAATGGCTTCTCTGATCACACGCCTTGCCAAGGACCAAGATAGCGGATTTAGGTTTAACTCCCTTTCCTATTCCCAGGGTCATTCCCGGGGGCATCGCACGAACCCAACCGGTCTTGACAACGGTCACAACGGCCACCACGAAACTGGAGGTCTCAAGAGCTTCCACCGCGCCAGTGTCGGAGCCGTCCCTGAGGACAAGGACCTCGCAGCCATCCGGGAAGCCAGGACCGGCATTCACCGAAGAGTCGATGTTGAAGTCCGCGTCGAGTCGCACTCGCCAAAGTCGAATCCTGCCTCGTCTTTCAGCGGGCGTCATGATGATGCGGCTAGCGGAAGCTCTTTCTACAGGGTCGATGATGAAGACTCGTTGACCAGCAACCCCGGGCATCCCCGGTCATCGGAGAAGAAGGAGATGAGGGACTAGTTGATGCGGCTATGTAATTGATGGTAATGGTTGGGATGGATGCTTGCGGACTCTGTTCTGGCATGCGATGATCAAGGCTCTTTTTCGTTACGAATACCCCTGTGCTATACTCACAATGCCTCTTTTCTTTTGTATACTAGTCCTTGATTATATGGGCGAGACTGATTAATATCAAGCCTCCTAGATGTACAGGGAGGATCTCACTGTAAGGATCTAAGATTGTATTTTTCTCATAATCTTACCTACGGGTGACTATTCCACAATGTTTGCGTGAGAATCTAGCTGGCCTCGAAAACCTCGAAACCAACCAGGTCGGGGGCCCAAGCACTTCCAAACGACTTGAACTCCACAGTGTTCGAGCTATCACCCTTGAAGCCATCAACCTCGACGAGCAAGCGGCCAGTATCGAACCAGTTGCCGCCGGAGATGGGGAAGGCCCACCGCTTCTCGGTACCACCATTGACGGAGATGGTCAAGTTGCGGGTGTTGGAACCAAACTGCCACGCGGAGTCGAGGGCGATCTCATAGTTGATAAAGTCGACGCCAAGCAGCTTCTTTCCCTCTGACTTGGCCACAACGCCCTCAAACTTGACCGCGGCCCCTGACCCGATGCTCCCCACCTTTGTGGTGCTGGGGAGACACTGACCCTCTGCGCAAGTAACCTTGGAGGCTGAGCCCGACAGCGCGGCATCAGTAGCCGTGTAATATCCGGCTGACGCGTCTACGGCGGGTGCAATCGTGGAGAGGTCCGAGAGCACGAGTAACTTGAGCTCGTGGCCGTTCAACGTCGTCTCGTACGTGCCCGAGATGGAGCCAATGTCACTCGCCGCCCATACGTCGCGGGCGTTGGCCGAGGCGACGCCCAAGACGGCTGCGAGATCGACGCTCACGGCCTGAGAATCGTTCTTCCAGTTCGCCAGGCCGACCACGAGGCGGGAGCCAGAGAGCTCACCGACCCAGACGTCCCACTCCTCTTCTGTGTAGCGACGGACAAGCTCTGTCTGCTTGGCGAGGGAGTCTTGGTTGAGGGCGATGACTTCCTTGTTTACGAGGATTTCGTGGGCTGATTCCGCGACAAGACCGGGGATAGCGGGGGCACCGAGGGTAAGGGGAGACTTGTTAATGGCCCACATTCCCATGTGGAACTTCTCCTCCTCAAGCGACAGGGCGCTGAGACCAATGCTGGGATGATGTTGTCAGCGCCGGAATTACAACGATGTACTCCTGTGGGATGAGCAAAGGTTTGCTACTCACAGCAACATGTCCATGTCAGGGAAAGCACCCGGGCCGGTGTGCTTATAAAACGGAACAACTTGGTTCGTGATCCGCCAAATGCTGCGCCAGCCGTTGTAAATATCATTGCTGATTCTCCAGCTATTGCCAATTCTGGGTGCCCTGGTCTTCAAGTCAGTTTCTAGGGAATACTGGGGGGGATTTAGCTGTTGTCAACAACGCACCAGATACCGAGGTCAGTTCCAGTGCCCCATTGGCAGACTTGGTAGAGGATGTCTCGGTCCGTTGTGTTCAGCGCATCTGCCATCGTCACGAAGCGGTCCGGTGAGATGGCTTCTTCGGAAACGTAGTCGACCATAACCGTGGGCTCGACCGCATAGCAGTTGTCGTATCTGAAGCGCGACTCGTGTTAGTAGCTGGACTTCTCAAGAGATCCACCACCTGGGAACGTACTTCAGAGAATCCGCACCCCAGTCGGCGAATGACTTGGCATCGGTAAACTCGTGATCTGACAACCATATTAGGACGACGTTAGAAATTTGAGTTTCCGGGTGATTCCTGCTCACCGAGGGAAGCGGGCTGATCTGTGGAACCGCATTGGTAGTACCCGCCGCCGGAGTAGACACCAAACTTCAGGCCGAGATTGTGGATGTAATCACCGAGCTCCTTGCCGCCTCCGGATGGGAACAGCTCCGGATTCCACACGAGCTCGCCGTCAGCGGAGCGCTCCTTGGCCGGCCAGCCGCAGTCGGTGGTCACGGTGGTGTACCCGGCGTCGGCTAGACCCGTGTTGATCAAGGCGTGTGCGTTCTCCTTGATCAACGTCTCATTGGGGTAGCAGTTGTAATAGTTGTAACTGTTCCATCCCATCTGCGGCGTCGGCGTCTTATGGGTCTTGGCCGAGGCGCGCGCGGCGAGCGCTGTCAGGAGAGTGAACGTGACGGAGGCCATGGTTGATAATCCGTTGAGGTCGGATTGAGAATCTCAGAGGTTCGCAACTACCACAACTCTTCCCTCAATGACTTCACGTTCCGCCTTGGGGAATTCATGTTTATAGCTCAATCACAGGCCATTTTCCGAGAGCGAAAATGCAACCGTCTCCCCGCACGGCCCCGTCATCCCCGGAATTGGCTCAATGACACCCTCGGCCCAGGAGAGGTCATCACGATTCTACGCGCACCATTGAAATATCGTTCCGGCAATTCCAAGATCTCCACCAGTTCCCCAGGGGTAAGGGAAAGCCACATGATGGATGAATCGGGGAAACAACGCGGAGAAAACAGGCAGGCTGAGTAAAATTATCGGGGTAAACGTCCCATTGATGGACACGGCCACTCGGACTCGGGCGCTTATAAACAAAATGCGACATCGTGCCGCGGTTGTGCAGATGTGCCTGGCTCCACCCGGGCCGCATCAGATGGTCCATGGGCTTAAACTGGTTTAAAGGCCGGTAAATGCCAATGTTTTCCCCGCAGTTGAGAAGGAGTCGTATCCGGGTTGCGGCTAGGGTGGGATGGGAACATTGAGTGAAATAGGAAATCTAGGCGGGCGTTTGACAAGGTTCGTGATGGTGGGGTTGAGATGAGATTCGTTTGCTCGGGTTTGCACGACTCATGCGCCCTGTCTTGACTGGATATATGTACTTCGGTCTGGATGTTACCTCACTGACACGCGCTCAACTTAGAATGCGATGGATCAAGGATGTGCTCTATGAACACCAAAACAGGTAGGGCTACACGACTAAAAGCCATAACAAATCAACTAGACCAGCGTCAAAACCTGCCAATCCCACGTCTTGAGCCACGACAACTTGGGCCTATATATCCGGGCGAATCCCGCTCGTTCGTAAGTTTGCTCGGATTTGTTAATTGTTTGTTGAATGATCAGGCAAAGTATCTCAGACTTGGACCATCCAGGTTCTTCTTCGCTGGTATCGTCAGTATGAACCAGCATCAACGTGTACTTATCGGGGTAGTAGACATCCGTATCTAGTTCCCAATCCGACTCGTTTCCCGGCCCAGTGACGATAGAGACGACGTAGGCCCGATCTTCGGCTTTGACACTGAAGAGACTTGGGTGCCCCATCTTGACCATGTCCTCAGCCCCTGATGGCTCGTCGAAGTCGGCATGTCCAATGGTGGCAGTGTCTTGATATGTACTAATAGTCTGGCGGCTACGGACTAAGGGCATGGTTAAAGCCTTGAGGACGAGCTTCGCGAACAAAATCTCCCCGAACGGATTATCGGGAACCCTCGGGTGAACCATGTACTCCAAGAGTTGAGCGCTCGAAGGACTTGGTCCTAGTATTATCGATTCCTCGAAGAGTAAAATATCGTCAGTCACAGCCCATGACCATGAAGGGGCGCGGTAGTTGTCTCTCTCGTGGTGGCAGAACTTTCCCTCGTGGGTCCACAGGAGCCCGCGTCGAAAGTCTGAAGTCCAGAGACCCGCCACGTAGTCTCCTCCAATGACTGGATGCAGACGTTGTGCAATGCCCGAGAAGGCGGGCAGCTTGTCAGAACCATAGGTGAGCTTCCTTTGACTATAATTGTTGACTAATTCATAGTAATCACATAGAATGGCATTTGTTTCCGAGGGTCCGGGAGGAGAAGAGGCGGGGATCCCAGAATGAAGGACCTGCGAGAGGTCTTTGTAGACGGACTGCGGTGATCTGTTACCGAAGGGAAGGCCATCTGGTGAGACGAAGTGATGTGGGCACCGCCAGTAAATCATGCTTCGGCCATATAAGATATGCCTTGGCGACAACATGTACTCCTGGAGTGTCCAGCCTCGCGTTTGCAACGCACAGTTAATATCGAGACCGCGCAGATCCTCTCCGTTTGGATCTTTTCGCCGGACAGTAACTACTTGATTGTATTGACGGTTCGAGATGTTTATCGTGGCACGTTTACTCTTTGGGGAATCAGTGTGACTCGATCTCAGGATTCCATCTCTGCTTCCCGCTGATACCATGGCAGAAATTGTGACGGTTGAATTGCGGTAAACCAACCCCATTCTTTTGGATTCATTCTCCCAGTCCGGCTTCGAATCTTGTTGAATGCAGAGACAGTCTATCCAAAGAAATCGGAGACCCAGATGTCGAGTAATCGCAATTGCGTCTTGGAAATTCTGGGGCAACGTCGTGATGGTGATGTAATCCTGGAACGGCCCCAAGGTTTCGGTCGTCAAGGTAGGGGAGATTGAACCACCCCAGCAATGACTTAGAGCAACGTAGTCGCCTTTCGCGCTCTTAGTCACGATCAAACGGACGTCCTTAGAATCCAGAATCTCTCCTACGTCGATCACTCTAGTAGGTAGCTCGTGCTCTTGGCTTGGTAGACAATTCTTGTGTGAGTTGCGGCAGTCCGTCAACCATTGCCTCGCAAGCATATGGTTCCGCCGAGATCCAAGATCCTCATCAGTCTCAAAACGGCCGATTCGGAAACCGGCGATGCGCGGACTGGTATCTGCAGTAGGCTCATCCGCATCAGTCCACGTCTCACATAACAAGGTATGGTAAGATCTGATATTTAACATTGCATACCTTCAGATGTTCTGAGAGTAAGTAGGAGTCGGAGGACTGGACAGCCCCATATGTCGTGCCCATCATCATCGTCCATATATGGGGCGCCAACTTGCACCAAGATCTCGTCAAATACCAGAGCCTTATCAATGAGTTGCCAGCTATACAAGTGCGTGGCGTTTATGGAGAGCTTGATGTCTGAAGGCTGCAGTTGCTTGGCGATGGAGTACATGGAACGCTGCTGGCCTTCCTCAAGGGGGCAAAGGTCGCCATTCCATCCTCTGGGCCACTCCAAAGGCCCTGGGACATCACAGGGCGTACGTATGAAGCACTCAAGGATGAGTTGGCATAGACCGCAGCCATCACGTGCTGCCTCTTCCAACGCGTCGAATGATTCATGGTGTCGGTAGAATGCCTCTCTGGGAAACGCGTGAGCTTGGAATTCGACCTGGGCAAGCTCAATCAAGGCCTTGATAGTAAGACTTGCGCAAGGAGCGCATTGATGCTCCATGGCAAGGTATAGAAGCGAGGATTTCAGAGGTTTGCGGGAAATATGTCTTCGGCGCCATAATCTTACATCGCTCTGCCTCTGCGGGGTGATTGAGCCAGCTCACGAATCAAACGTCCCCTACCGAACTTGCAATTGATTGGCCCATACCATGCCACAATATCGTGATGTCCCTTCGAAGCATCTTTTCGCAGTGTCCGTCATACTCCGTATAGAGTCCCGGTGAGACGTTCATATCCTGATTCAGGGGCACAATTTTAGATTCAAAATTCGTGTTCAGGTCGGCGCATACCACTTTTCGCTTTGAGGAATGGCAAACTACTTGCTTCTAGCCGCCTTTGCATATTGCTCGCCGAATGCACCATACCATCTATCAATGACCTCTCCAGCCATTCCCGGCCCGATGGTTTCGACACCGTCTTCCAACTTCTTAGCAACTTGCTCCATAAACTCATCTACGCTGAGGGCATCAGGGTTGTTCTCCTTCTTGTTGTCGTCTGGATCGGATCGCTCTCGGTGCAGGTCAGTCGCGACTGTCGGTGGCGCAATTTCCACAACTTTGACTTGCGATCCACCGTTCTTCAGCTGTGTGCGGAGGTTCATGCTCCAAAAGTGCAGCCAGGCTTTGGTGCCGTTGTAGACGGGGTTGATGATGGAGAATGGTATGAAACCGAGGACGCTTGAAACGTTGATGATGAGGGCAGATTCCTTGGTCTGCAGGTGTGGTAGCAAACCTAAAGCCAAATGCATTGGGCCTCGGATGTTGATGTCGATCTCCTGGTCCGCCTTTGAGAGGAAATCGTCGTCCTTGAGAATTTCTAGGGGACGCTGCACCCCGGCGTTGTTGACGAGACAGTCTAGTTCAGGGTGGTCTTTGGTGATGCGTTTCACAAAGTCGGGGATCTGCTCAACCTTACCCGTATCGAGCACGTAATAGTCGGCAGCTCCAATTTCCTTCGCTGTTTCTTGCAGCTTCGATTCGGTCCGTCCCGCGATGATGACTTTCTTGCCCTTGGAAATGAAGTGTTGGGCCATCACCTTGCCGATGCCACCGCCGCCGCCGGTGATCACAGCGCAAGTAAATCCTAGGTTATCTGTCGAGGTTGCCATGGTGTCGACTCGAAGGTTGAAATGATGTTGATCTTGATGCAGTATTAGTCTAGATCGTTGTGATTTAAAGTGTCGTAGGCTACATGCCATATAGCCGAAGCGGTGATGGATGGAGTATATATGGATCCAAAAGCCCGGGGAACTTGATTATAGGGCCTTTGTCACGAGTGGAGTGTTGGACTTAAGATGCCTGTGATGATGCCGAGCATTTGTCACCTTTTGGAACCCATCTCTTAGGCGATGACGCCGGTTCTGGCTCGACGACGTCATTCTTTCTTAGGGATTGTATGGCCATAATTGTGGCGCTTTACCGCAAATCACTTAGTCTGTCATTGAAAGTCCTCTCTGGGTAAGGTAACTTAGCGCAGGCCTGGAACATTATCTACGACCTTTTCCATTCATCTTGGTGACACCGTATCTAAAAAGAATCGGCCTTGTACGTGGACTCAGTCTCAACAACGAGATGCTTAACTGTAGAAACAACCCATACATAACAAATGCATCTAGGTGTTTTTACTATCTGTCTCAAACCTGGAAATTTATAGAACCTCTGGCCATGGATGGATTGAGTTCACGCTGAGAGAGCTTGAAAAATCCATAGTAGCCGGCTTCCCTTGAGCATGCCTTCCTAGGTCAACATAATATCGCAACGCTTCCTCTTTGGCGAGAGAAGAACGTAATCCATCATTTGCATACTGTCAGCTGGCATGTTGGGGTCTAGTTTCGCCCCGTGACAGCTTTTGAAAAACACGGCAGTGGCAAGCCGGAGCTCCATCATTGCCAGGTATTGACCAATGCAGACTCTGGCTCCAGCTCCCAATGGAATGTACGCCTGTCTCTGTCGGAGGGAAACTTTGTTCGGGTCAAGATACCTATCAACATCAAATCTAAAAAGTCTTGGGTCAACAGAAGTCTTATCATATGAATCTTCGGGGGATGAACTTACTGATGAGGATTCTGAAAAACTTCAGAGTTGCGCTGCAAGCTGTATGCCGGGCTGTAGATGATAGTATTTGCGGGCACAAAGTGCGATGAGAGAGTAGTGCCCCCTTCAGGAACAAGCCGAGGCAGAGATGAGAGAACAGCGGGATACAAGCGCAAAGTCTCCTCTATGATAGCACTCAGAGTAGGGCATGACTCAAGCAGCTTATCGTCAAAGTCATCGCTCAGATGCGCGATCTCATCCTCGAGCCGCTTCTGCAAATCTGGCTGTCTCAACACCGACCAGACGAGATACGTCAGGACAGCCGCGGTTGTGTCTGTTCCTGCGACCATCATACCCGCACCCTCCATGCTGACGGCTTCCTTAGTTAACCAGGAGAGTCCTTCCACCTCGCATTCTGTAATCATCTCCTTGAATATACTTGGAGTTGACGATGGCCCTTTCTGTTTCAAGCTCTTAACTCCGTCAGCACCACCAACTCTGACCTGCTCAAGCTGTCGAGAGAAAGTCTGGAGTAGTGATCTGGGTATGAGCTGAGATAGAGAAGCGAGGAAAGGTATCTCGCACTGAACAACGTCCGCGATCAGAGCATTTTCAATTGCTCGCATATAGATCGTGCTCTGTGACACCAATCAAGCAGTCGGCATCTCATTCTCGAAATAAGACAGATGTAAACAGTCTTCCATACCTTTCCAGATTCCAGCAGCCCCAAAGATTGGCCAAAAGACAGCTGGCTGATAATATCAGCAGCCATAAACGTCCACCACTTATGAGAGTTTGACGAGCCCGCCAAAGCCTCCGTCTTGATCTTCATGACTGCAATCTCAACCTTATTCCTGATTGTCGACTCCCAGTTTTTGCGCAGAGATGCTAGAGTGAAAGAGCCTTGCAGAAGTCTTCGCCGCTGCTTTGCCTTTTCGCTGTTCAGAATCATGGACAGGGATAGAGCTGGAAGCTTCTTTGTGTAGTCGCCAGTCCATTGCGCCTTTTCAAAGCCACCGCTTACCTTGTAGACTTGTGAAACTGACTGGATATCGATGCATGATACTTCATTCGGTGCGATTCTGACAATGTTGCCATACTTTTGGTGGAGCTGGTGTACATAGGTCATGCGGGTTCCGCCCAACCGACTCAGCTTTAATCTCAGCCTAGTAATTCGTGTGTGCCATGGCCCCGGGACGTGTTTGAGAGGGGAATTGAGATATTGGAAAAAAAGCTTCTTCGGTCAGCTGCGTACACCTGGGGTTCGCAAAGATTACGAGGCTTACGTTGCAGAAAGTGAGAACCCCTACAGATCCAGCTAACACCATGATCATGACTTTCCGATCGGAGTCATCCCCGCCACTCAAGAGTGTGACGTTCATGACAGCATGGAGATTTCAGGAAGAGGATACCTGAAAAGTTGAGTTCCCACAAATGGAGTGATGGGAAACGGACAAGACTCCAAGGGAGCTCCGCCGTCTTTTCTAAACTGGACGCCGGAAGAATTAAATTAAATGCCAAAGGCGCTTCCAACACGAGCACTTCTAGATTGTACAGCATCACCTTGCCGCTATAGCTGTACAACAGGTGTTTTGCTGACGAATGAGAACACGGCGTATCCGCCAACTAAACACCAAGAGCAGGTTGAGACCTTTTGACTGGCCTAGGCAGTGACTGAAACCATGAAAAAGTATGCATGCCAAGATTGATTCGTGCAAGACGCCTTTTCGGACCCGATGACATTGGTTGCATTGCTGTCTTCAGCTGCAAAAATGTAGCAAACAAGGTGGGCCTGCCTGGTCTAGCTTGCGGCACAGAACAAATCGGTCCAGGTCCCATGTCTGCAGTCCTTTCCCCGGGCATGGCTTGCTTGTACGGATAAGCAAAGAGAAAGAGAAGCAAGACGTTGGCGAGACTAGATTGCAACATGAGAAGTCTAGACCACTCTTCATGTCATTCTTGGTGGCTTGACTTGGCAAGGTTGGACTGGGCTGGTCGTCAACAAGACAGCTCTCTAGCGCCGCACAGATCTCAAACTCTATCAACACGCATCGCTCTTAAACCGACTTCGCCTCCCTAACTTCATCCAGAAACATGCTGCCTCCATAATGAGAGAAACAGACGATGCTTGACCGCCTTGGGTTGACTCCGAGTGGATCGAAGTTTGCCAACCCCACAGAAATTGGTCCTTTCCCACAACAAGTGACCCGCAAGCAGCTTGATCACTCATTCGCACACGCTTTGTACCAAACACATGGTCTGGTGGTGTAGTTGGTTATCACGTCAGTCTAACATCGTGATCGCATCTTGCGCTTCACCTGAAACACTGAAGGTCTCCGGTTCAAGTCCGGGCTAGATCATAGGATGGGCGATTGGTTTAGTGGTATAATGACCGCTTAGCATGCGGTAGGTCCTGGGTTCGATTCCCAGATCGTCCACACTTTTGCCCTCAGAAGCACCGCTTCCTGTTGTGCCTTTTGGCCCGATCCAAGGTTGACTCTCTCTCTTAAACAGTTGGAAGTTGATCTTGGGATTGTAGAGGGTAATACACCTGTTTATATGGTGGCTGTGAAGTAAAGACAAGTGCTTACCGAAGTTCACGAGTAAGGGTTTGGCTTTGACGATTCCTGGAACGGCATAATCTCACTCTGGGCCCGGGGCTCTCTGATTGTCGCATTCGCCACATGTGCGAACTTGATCTTGCGAAGTACCGAAGGCAAACGAAGATAGGACTGGGCATGATAAAACATTACATTGATCATCTATTTCTGTTACGCCTTTGCGGCTGCATCTATCTTTTGTTCCCAAATTTACTGAATCTCGGTGGGGGTAACAATAACCCAGTTCTTGTCCGCGGTGACGGGAAGGTTGTTTGCCTTCTGGGCAGCAGTGTTGTTCACAATCATCTCGTTCATGGTCGCCATGACGCTGTCTTTGCGGTTGATCCAGAGGTGGACACCGCCCCTGGCAACGTTAACGCCGTGGAAGATCATGGGGCCGTCACTGGCAGGAGTATCACCACCAGCCAGGATAGGTCCCTGCCACTCGTTGATGTAAGTGAGGATAGCCGCCCACTTGCCCTGCTTCCAGGTAGCAGGAGCCCAGAGGTAGGGAGTGATCACGAGGTCGAGGTTGGCCTCCTCATCGTAGGTGCCGTCATCGATCTGCTTGCGGCTAGTAGTGAGGTCCCCGGAAGTCAGGTTCTTCATGAGGCTGGTGACACCGATGATGTTCTCGGGCTTGACGTTGTAGCCGTACTTGGGGTCAGCAGCGACCATGCGGACCAGCTCTTCAGCAGAGGCAGTAATGACGTAGACCTCGATGCCGTTGTTCATCAGCTTGTTGTAGAGCTCAACCTGGCCGGTAAAGATCTTGGGAGGGTTGATCTCGGTAGGGGTGATAACGTCGCCCTCGTAGTACGTGGTCGGGATGGTACGGTTCAGGGCCATGAGATCGTCCACGTGCCCCTTAAGCTCCCTCAAGGGAATATCGCTCCAGATCTGAGCAGCCCACGGATAGCAAACATTATCGTCGATGTCGCACAGACGAAGGTAGTAGCTGTACAACGTCTCGGTGTGGTTTGCCGTGTCCTTGAACGGGATGAGCTTCAGGATTGGGTCCATGGTGTCGCGGGTGAGGACACCAATGCTCTCGAGGTACGGCAGCAGCGACTCCTCGAGATCGTAGCGGTAGCTGGTGTTGTCCATATCAAAGACGGCGTATTGGCTCTGGTTGGCGTTGGCGGCGATCATGGTGTTGAGGGCCTTGGCCGCCTCGGCCGGCCAGTGCTTCAACTCGGGACCGGCAGTGTGGTTGGAGGCGTAGACCGACGGAGCGGCATTCGCGACGCCACGGGCGATGGCCAGCCCGAGCGAGGCAACGATGGGGTTCATAGAGGTCTTCATGTTAACGATACTGGTGATGAAGCTAGTAATTGAATAGAGCTGCAGCTAGCCAGGAAAGACCAAAGTGAGGGTATGATTGCCGGCAGTGAAGAACGGGCCGAGAACTGGGGAACGGAGGAAGCCATTCAATTCTTACGGCGGCCGGGCCGCTGCCGCGTTATAAACAAGTTGGCGGCGATTGGAGAGAGGCCTCGCTGACGCTCTGCCAACTTCTTGCTTTACCTCATTTTAGCTAATCATGGTTCTTCCTACTCGCTTACCGGTGCTGAGAACCTCAGTCTGGTAGATACTGGGCTTTGCCAAGGTGAGAGAGGTTTACGCGGGTGTTGGCGACGGCGTCCGCGACGTCGTGCAACATCCACTTTGTGGGGTCTGCTAATCTCTTCTAGCTAGTTGGGGTAACATTCGTGACGATGAGCGGGATTATTGAAATGAGCTAACTGATAAACTTTTCGTCAGCCTGTGGGGGTTTTCCGGACCAGCCTGATAACAGCGCGGTGCGTGCGAAGACATCGCGACGTTGGTATCTTTCCCGAGCGTTGCGTCAAGATGAAAGAACTGCTCAGCCCTACAGCATGGCGTGGAGGGCGTGGAGATCTCCAGACTCCCACTGAGCCGCCAAGCCGAACTGCTGCTCATGTCACAGGGGTTCAGCACGAATAGCCCATATCAGATGAACCACGTTGTCGGGTAACATTGCCGTTGCCGGCTGTTCGGACTTGTTTGGGTGGATAATGAGAATGTCCAGGACCATGATATGTCCCATGTGCTGTTATCTAGCCGCGCAACTGGCCTGAACCGATTCAATGCGTGGTTTCTGGGTTTGCTGACAGGCACCCGGAGCTGCCGTCGCGCCTCGGGGTTGCTATCTCTCTAGCTCTTGGAGTTCTGCACCTACTTGAGTCAAACCATTGCTGCGGTCTTGGAACCTCAACCAACCGCGGAGGCTGTCCGTGTATGCACTCCATGGGAAGTTGTACCGACAGCTTGGTTCTCGTGTTTTCAGCCATGCCAATCCGCTGTGCTAATGAAGATGCCGGTGTATGCGGCTTGGAGGCAAGGGGCATTCGCGGGGACAACACCGAGAGTCCGACCCTCAGCAAAACCTACATGCGAGCACCGAGTGCGACTGAGACGAACTGCAAGAGGGACGGTCGCCCAATTGGACTGCAGAGATCCCAGCCTTCAAGCTCTCACGCTCTAGATGGCAACGAGGACTTCGGTTCTCTAAAGTCGTACAAATGATGCTACAGATGGTCGTGTAGCAGAGTGAGGAGGTTCCACGACGATCGGTAGGCAGTCAAGCAGTCTGCGTCGTACAATTTCGCCGGAGAACAGAGCCATCGCCAAATTTGTAATAACAAGGAGGATGACGGGTTATATAAGCTCAAGAACGTGATGATGATGTTTTCGCAATAAGATTAGACTTCCAGCCAGCCAAGTCGGAAGAATCACAACTGTGAGGATCTAGACTTCGGGCATCGGGCGATCGTCCGGACGACAAATCCTCCGCTTACAGACTGCACCACCACCCGATTACCGCTCCAACCAGACTTTGGTTCCCGACGCTTCGACCGAACGCTTCAATCTTGGATCTCGCCGCAATTCCGCTGCGAAGACTACAACGTCTTGTCCCGAGCGACAGGCCGAAAGCACCGTGCTTCTTTCACTTGGTGCCAGCACAGAGTTTCCGCTTACCTTCAAGCCATTCCATCTCACACAAGCCCTTATAAGACTCTGGCCCCGAGTGTTCCAGGGTCACCTAGTTCGTAAGTGAATGTTTCAACGACTTTGTCTCTATTAGAGTAAAATATCTCACATCATCTCTGTCGATATGGCGCATCTCAGTGGACACACCTCTATTCCGGTGGATGACGTCTCGTCTCGGAAGGACGTGGCCTACGCCGAGTCTGACAGTACCACCGAGCTCAATGCTGATAGCGACACTAGCATTTCAGAATCAGGAGGCCGGTCTGTCACTACCTTGAGACGGAAGATGGCGCAATCAAAGCCAATTAGAGAACAAGTCGGGGGCTTGTTCGAGGAGAACGTCACTGCCAAGATCTTCAGGACAGCTGCAGATGCACTTGTCAACAATGTAAGTGGCAATGTTCTCACCATGAGATGTCAGCTTCTTACAACGTCCAGGATCCCCCGTTGGCGTACCCAGAGTACGTCCTCCAGACTGGCCCAGAAGCCGGCAAGTACATCTTGCGAGAGGCCGACTTCTGGACGTGTGGTTTCTTCCCGGGCAATATTTACTCCCTCATTGAGAGACTGGTCAAGTTCCCTCACACTATGCCCGGAGGGCAAGACAAGGCAGCTTTGCTGTCTAAGCTATGGTCGCTTGGTGCCTCATGGTCAGAACCCCTCCACACCACAGCTAAGCGCACGGATACACACGACATGTCATTCATGATCCAGCCGTCAATGAGAGTCAGGTGGGAGGTTGCCCAAGACAAGCAGGCTTTGGATTCCATCGTCACCGCGGCGAAGGCTCTCTACACGCGGTACAACTCGACCGTCGGAGCAATTCGATCCTGGGATGTGCTGACACAGCACGGAGTTACCATCACCAGTCAGACGGACGACTTCCTTGTGATTATCGACTCGATGTGTAACCTGGACTTGCTTTACTACGCTGCATCTCACACCGGAGAGCAGGAACTATGGGACGCCGCCACAAAACACGCCAAGACGTTGATCAAGTCAAACCTCCGCGTTGAAAAGGACTCGAGAGGACTCATCAAGGATAATATGTACAGCAACATCCACGTCGTCAATTTCAACCCCAAGGACGGCGAGATCAAGGAGCGGCGGACGGGTCAAGGATACGCCGCCGAGTCAACGTGGGCGAGAGGCCAGGCCTGGGGTATTCTCGGCTACGCGCAAACGTTTCTATGGACCGGCGATGTGGAATTTTTGGAGGTTTCCCGTGGGCTGGCAGAATACTTTATCATGCGGCTGGAGACGTCACCAAAGTCGGTCGAATTCCCCGTGGAAGGCGAGAACAGAACCAAGGGCCGATACGTTCCGCTCTGGGACTTTGACGCACCGATCGAGAACGAGGAGTTCCCTCTGAGGGACTCATCTGCCGGTATCATCGCCGCCAACGGCATGCTGGTTCTGTCTCAGGCTCTGGCTGGACAGGGTCACGCTAAGGAGAGCGCGAGGTACCGGGACATGGCTATTACGATTGTGAAGGATACTCTCGACTTCTCGCTGGCGACGGAGAAGGCTAAGTTTGTGTTTAGCAATGGAGAGATCTCAACTGCGGACGTTGAGGAGGGTAAGACCTTTGACGCCATCTTGAAGAATGCCACAGCGAACCACAACACGCGGGATCACAAGAGATACTGGGACCACGGTTTGGTTTACGGTGACTACTACTTGATCGAATTCGGCAACAGACTACTGAAGATGGGATTGGTGTAATTTATAGTACTTTGTGTATGTACAGGCTAAATGAGGGTATCACGAATAGAATATGAAATCGTTTTTCGCATGCGAACTCCTTCACTTCTTTCTCATTCCAGCTGTGAATTATCAACAGGTCCCCAGCCGTTGACTGGCATGGACGCATTACCGCTGTTCGCCGTTTGCGCTGTAAACATCATGTCATCGAAGCTGATGATCCTGTCCATCTCCATGAATCTCTGATCCATCAGCATGTGCGAGATGGCAGAGAGTTCATCAGGCGCATCCGAATCTCTTGGAGTGAACCCCGTCATCGGCATAGGCGATCCCATAGGGCCCAGCATCGACCCCTGCCGCATCTGGCCCTGCGACTGTTGATTCTGGAAGAGGGGCGGCGGCCGAGGCTGCGATAGTGCGGTCGTCTGGTTCGGCGCCAACGGACTTGAAGCAGGCGGTGCTACCCTGTTGGAGCTCTGGGCGAACAAAGCATTGCCCTGCTGGTGGCTGAATGCCGGCGTTTGAGCAGCAGGACTGCACCCCTGTCCACCGATGCCGGAGGAGTATCCCAAGACATCAACAGTGAACTGAGGATCTGCTTGGCACTTGTGATGGAGGTCGCGGAGTTGCGCAGCATATTTCCCAGCGAGACACTGAGAGTGCTTTTCTTTGAGGATGGGCCCGACCCAGCGCTTGGCCATCTCCTCCATGCTCTCAACCAGGGTCCAGAATTCTGGAGCAAGCTCAGCGTCGTAGTATCGCCAGTGGACTAGAAACCATTAGCACGGTGTTGTACTTCATGTAACTCGACGTCTACTTACCGAGGAGTACTCGAGCGCTGATGAAGACGCAAAAGGCGAACTGGCTGGTAGCTGGGCTGTTTTCGGGAGTGTACTTCAAGTACTTCTCCGTGATGGTTGTCGTCTCGACAGCCGCTTCTTGGCACGTTTCGGCGCTACAGAAGCTAGGGAGCTTTACGATATTAGACCATCGAGGCTCTGGATAAGCTATGCGTTGGTGGAGTAGAATCATTGAGGTGTTGTGGGTGATGTGTGCGAGGGTAAGGTTGGGGTCCATGTTGATGAGAGCGGGTTGGCGAGAGATGTTGGAGTCTTTCCACTTCTGAGGCAGGAACATCTTCCAGCTAAAGTTTTGTCAGCATGAAGAACCCCTGATGGCGCGGCTCTATACGTACTGCACTAGACGTAGGTCCAACTCCTTGAATCGGGTGAGCCAGCTGCTAACTTCCTGTCTATCCTGGAAGTTGATCTTCTGTTGAAGGAAGTAAGTCGTGACTCTACTAAGCGACTCGGTCGCTTCTATGCAGTATGCAAAGGCCCCAACTGTTGTCATATCGACGGTGTTGGGACCTTTGCGAGGATGGGCGGTGATAGGAGTTTGCGGTGGCGCATCAGCCGTCTGCTCCGGGCTGGGGTAATGTGCTGGTAAGAAGGCGATGGAGTTGCCCATCTTGGCGGCTGATCGATCCCAAATACCAAAGAAGGGAGTGATGACCGACTCTTCTTTATGCCAAAGGCCACCGTCGGCAGGAAGTCGGCGGTAAACATCGTCGGATGTCAGACTTGTGTTCCATCTGCGAAAGTCAGCTTCGCTATCTTGCCTTTACATGCATTTATGTAAGGCCTTACCCTGTCGTAACTGAGCAAAATCTAAAGAGGAATGTTTAATATTGCAGTGACACGAAATCTGATTTGGAGATGCTCACCTATCAAGGTTGAAGATATTCCAAAAGACTCGCCGCCGTTCTTCTTCTTCGGTCCAGTTCTGGGGTGGTGGTATTGACGGCAATGGCTTCAGAAGAGGTTCTTTATCTTGGTGATCAGCTTCGATGCTCATTTGAAGGTACTCGACGGTTCTTGTAAGAGAGCCGACGATCGACCAAGCTTTCGACGCATCTCCGTTTCCGATCTTGACAGTGTTAGCAATGCAGATCGGCAAAACCTCGATGCGGGGGTTTCAAGCAGCACTCACATCATTGAAGGCTAGAATGACCAGCGCTTGCAGATTCTCGACCGAGAGGTGGTCCATTGCGTTGAGTATGACGATGTTTCTTGACCGTGATGTCCGGCGCTCTACCTCGATTGCTGACAGTCGGATTTCCGAGTTGTCGACGAAACGAAGAGCTGCCACTACCATGGCATGGAGAACGACCACCAAGCGGGGCAGCTGTTCTGGGTCATGCACCCTTCTTCGAAATTGGGTCTCGTGAAGGATGGGGATCCAGGGCTGAATGATGTTGAAATGAATGTTGATTATGTCCTCCAAGAGTTCGGGCGATGGCAGGCTTGTCGTGATGTTTTCCAAGTCTTCCAAGGGGAAAGCCAGATCGATGTTGGGGTTGCCGCAGCTATCGACCCTACGACGCTTTCTTGGTTGATTATGAGGATGTGAGACAATTTCAATTCCGTCGATAGTATTTCGCCTGGAGGAACTAGACGTTGTTGGAGAGAACACGGGATGCTCAGCCACCCCTTCAGGTGTGCCGGCTTGAGAGCCAGCTTTGGTCTTCGAATTGAGTTTGTGAAGCTCACGCGCCAACAAGGAGAGAATTCCGACCACATTCTGGGACTCGGCAGGCGCGCTGTGCGACTCTGTGTTGCCGTTGCCATTTGAGGTCGGGTAGGATCCTTCACTGGACTTTTGCAATAGAGCATTCTCCAAAACCTCTTCATCACAGTCAATGTTGAGCTCAAATGGTAGGTTTCCCGATTCGGATGAGACTTACCCACTCGGCGATTCAGACTCTCAACCGCCCCAGGCTTGATACCCGGCTTATTCTTCTTCAGATCGTACACGCATGGCGAGTCTGTCCAATCAGTATGCCTATCTACATCCATTTCGACATGAGTACGGTACATAGGAAACTTACCCAACCGCTTGCAGTGCGAACATATCGGCTGGTCGCGGGAACACCGCAGCTTGCGGCGCCTACAGCCCTGGCAGGACGGAATATCGCCGTCAGAGCCATCGGGGGGCTGCGATCCCGAAGCCGGCGCCGGTGTAGTCAGATCCATACCGGCTCGAGTGATCGGCGCTCAGCAACAGGCTGACGGCAGCGGTGGCGGCGGCGTCCCGGACAGAGCCCGGTCCGGTCGGCGGGTGACCGAGAGTCAAAGATCCGATGAACGCCGCAGACGAGGGTGTTTGTGCGAGCGGCGCGGGCGCTTCTCCGTGTGGCTCCTCTCAACGTCGGTTACGTGTCAATCGTCGGCCATGGAATCGTGCGACGCGACGATGCAAGAGGGGATCAAAAGAGGATTCCTGTGTTTATGAGGTGGGAAAGTTGGGGGTGGCTGTGGGGAGGGGAACCGTCCGGGGTGCTCTCGGTTCGAATTGACCGAGGGATTTGGGGCAACGGCATCGATTCTCTACACTAAGCTCTTCCAATTCCTGAACTTAGTCTGCCCCCCCCCCCGACCATGATTCACCTTCCCCCAAGCGGACGAGAACAGAGGAGGCGGAAAGTTTCCCCCGCACTCTGGAGATATCGAGACCAGGGGCGAGGAACATGGGTTGGTCAATTTGGTGGAACGAGGTTGGTGCGGAGAAACTGGAGGAAGCCCATAGCGCGTCATTAGCGCTTGCGGGCTCCTTTGAGCCGATGCCCGGGACCATACGAGGGCTAGTCGGCTTTCAATTGTCTAAGCAGGAAGAGTCAAGTACGTGAATAACTTAGGTCAAGAAGGCTACGATCTTGCTACAGTTAGGTGAATATAATACGGCGTCTTGTTGATGAAGCGACGGTGGAAAGCAAGAGGGAATTCCGGAAGGAACTCGAGTTTCGCTTTTCTCAGGTTCACGCCGGATGAGCTGAACTGCTGCGCTGACGTAGTCTTGGACAAGGCGTACTTCGGAAAATACCTCGTCCCGTTAATATGGCCTTTCAAATACTCCATTATTCATGTCGACCAATCCTTGAATATATCCTACAGTATCATTATTTGGGTATGCGGGTTACACAGTTTGGGCAATACCGGTGATGGACTGACTATCGTGGCCGCTTTCTTACAGTCTGAGACACTTGATCCGCCGCGCCTATATCTGCTTGATTGCAAGGTTCAGATTCGCTCGACGTGGAGAACTCGTCAAACAAGGGTCCCGAAAAGTTATGGCGCGGAGAATGTCATCCTCGAGCGCAACCATGAAAGCCTGGGCTCAGCTCTCATTTTCATGTACCCCATACCCATGTTGAATAGCTTCAACCCCCGATAGTTCGCGCATGCATGTGACACAGGGGACGTGATCTCATGGCCAACAATCTTGAGAGCGCCAGGGACTCGGGTACCTGCAGAATATTGCATGGAAAAATCCCCGAAGAGCTGCAAGAGATATTCAGCTACCGATGGCCATATTATAAGAGGAAGACATCAAGCTGACCCATGTGTCTGTGTCCGGTAGCAGTCTCCAGAACGACGAACTCCTTAGTCAGGATGTCACATCAGTACTCAATACTGAAGACAGCGCACGTCGTTTCTCCATTCGACGTCTTAGAGAGGCAGGCCGCATTCTTACGAGGTGAGAAATCACCGAAGAATTTGCTGCATGTTCATGGTTGCATGCTCAGTAAGATTCCGAAATAATGCAAAGGGGGGAGGAATGGGTACGCCTGGCTTCTCCTACCCATCTTGACGAGGGAATCATCACTACCCGCGTGTTTTGTTCAGATGAAGAAAAACCATGCCGAACATGGATACAGTAGCTTGTGTGTATCACATGCTGTAAAGGTATAGTTAGAGTCATTCGAAACTACTTTTACTAGCTCATTAATGACTCCATGTGCGTTTGACACTGCCTGAAGGATTGCAGTGTTACGACTATGACATCTTGATCCAGCCTTCTCTAGTCGGCGCATCAAACACATCCCGGCAGGCAGCCCGACAGATCCCCCGATATCCGACGCATCCAGCGAAGCCACGGTGGAACCAATGGTCTAAGAGTTCATCGCAAGCCAAAATAAGACCAGCCGATGAGTGTCGAGGCAGGATCCGAGCACTTCCATTTCGCACAAGTCACCTTGTGCGTTCGCGAACATCTCTCACAATGCCACCCCTGTCAGGATTCTCCAACAACCCCCTCCGAACCAGGGCGGACTTGGTCCAAGCCACGCTCGCGCTCCTCCGGCCCCTCCTACCCCACTTCTCCCCGTCCAAGGGCCGGATCCGAATTCCGGTGACTTCAGCAACGCACTTTGATGAAACAGCTGCCCAACTCGAAGGTTTCGCCCGGCCGTTATGGGCTGTAGGCGCCTTACTACTTGGAGCTGATGCCACTTCAGATACATCACTGTCCGCTGCAATCACCGAAGTAGTCCAGCCATGGATTGATGGCTTCGTCACAGGAACCGACCCAGAGCACCCGGAGTACTGGGGACCAATCACTGGCCCAGATCAGCGGATGGTAGAGGCCGAGATTGTAGCATTTGCTCTTCTTTCCGCGCCTGATCGCATCTTCAAGCCGTTGAGCGACAAGTCGAAGGAGAATATCACCAACTGGCTCCGGTCTTTGAACGGCATGGAAATGCCAAAGAACAACTGGCGTTGGTTCAGGGTGTTTGGGAACTTAGCTCTGTTCAAAGTCTGCGGTATGCCGTATGAGACCGTTCGCGATGAGATTAATTCAGACTTGGCCCTCCTGGACAGCTTCTACCGATTCGATGGTTGGTCGGCAGACGGTCCCTGGCAAACGCCCGAGCAGGCTCAGGATGAGTTCGAGCAGTTCGAAAAGACTGGAAGGCGTGACGCAATAGGAATTGGAAGACAGGCCGACTACTACTCTGGCAGCTTTGCAATCCAGTTCAGCCAGCTGCTCTATTCTCGATTCGCTGCCGACATCGACCCTGAACGAGTACAGAAGTATCGTCAAAGAGCGAGAGACTTTGGTGCCACTTTCTGGCGATACTTTGACTCTGAAGGTGAGTTTTCAAGATTCAGATTGCACCGAAGACCGAGACTAAGATGTTCAAGGTTCTGCCATACCATTTGGTCGGTCTCTGACCTATCGCTTTGCCTGCGGAGGGTATTTCGCTGCTCTCGCTCTTGCACAGGTACCCGATATGCCAAAGCCTCTCGATACCCCTGGCGCTATTAAAGGCTTTCTATTGAGGCATCTAAGGTGGTGGACAAGTAACTCCGATGGTGTATTCTATCCTGATGGTACCATGAATATTGGTTGGTTATATCCGTAAGTCGTCTCACCCCCTGGGCCATCCTGAGACTTTGGTCTCAATCCAGTAAAGTTCTCTAATCATCTATCTTAGGAACATGTTTTTGTGTGAAGACTACAACTCACCTCAGTCTCCCTACTGGTGTTTGAAAACCCTGGTTGCGGTTGGTCTTGCGGAAAATGACGACTTCTGGACTGCAGAGGAAGAGCCATACCCCACACTCTCTTCAACAGACTCGGTCGCCCTCGTCCCAGCTCCCCAACAAATTGTGTGTAATCATCCTCAGAGCAACCATCACTTCCTCCTCTCGCCAGGACAATTTGTAGCATGGCCCATGAAGGCCAACCAAGCCAAGTACTGTAAATTCGCATACTCATCCGCGTTCACATTCTCCGTACCAACGGGCCCGCTTATCCAGCAAATTGCCCCCGATAACGCTCTTGCTCTGAGCCGGGACGGCGGAGAGACGTGGGCGGTAAAGTGGAAATCGGAACCAGTGCGCTTCTCGACTGCGTTCATCCAAGAAGCTTCTAGTACACAGGAAGTACAAGGAGCGAGCGCAAAGTGGTACCCATGGGGTGACAGGGCCGTTAGTGTAGACACCACACTGATCCCGCCGTCTGACCGATGGCCGGACTGGCATGTCCGAGTACACAGAATTGAGGTACACGAAAAGCTCAAGACGTTACACACTATTGAGGGCGGTTTTGCCATCTCCGGCCGCAAAAAGGGAGGCCAAACTGAAGGGTTGCCTCTGCCTGTCATTTCAGAGATTCCGAAAGACGCCAGCTTGGGCTCTGCCGAAGGGGTTCTACAGGAAGAGCTGTCTACCTTGGTCTTGTCCTCCGCGGGCGCCAGCGGCGTGGTTTCGAAATCCTTGAGCAATTCTCAGACGACATCAGAAAGCTTCCCACTGAAGCCTGACTCGAACACAAACTTGGCCTGCCCTAGGACCTTGATACCGGTTATTTCACACGCCACTGTCGGTGGCCTGGATGCTGGATTCGAAATTGTCTTAGTCGAGTCCATCTTCGCATTGTCTACCTCGGCAAACAGGGGTTGGTCCACCACTGGAAAGACATTGGCAGAACGATGGTTGGATGCTCCACGGGTGCAGCTGGACCCTGAGGTGTCAGACGTAGCAGACGGTGACGTTATATTAGTTGTTGCTTCCACTCAATGCTGAGTTACTTTGGATGGCCAGATGTATGCTCTCCTGGAGGCCCAAAATACCAGATAGCATCATCATAAGGTTGCCCTTGCGAAAGAGCGGGCATGAGCTAGCACTTGAAATATCACTATCACTTAACGGTGTTGAGAATAAATTCTTCTCAAATCTTGCAGAGCACGTGTGAAGTCTTTACCAGCGCTTTTGAAATTGTTGTAGCCGATCTACTATATCAGAAAGTCTCATCTATGTAGCATTTTGAACTGTACTTCCGATGTATGAAGCATGTCGCTGGAGGTTCTTGGCTCAGGTGGAAATAGGATTTGAGTGCGGCAGACTGATTCGGACATGGAACAAGAGAGCTTCACACTATAGGGAGTCATTAAAATTTCGCGGAACCTATATGAGACCCCCCTTATCTTCGTGTCTTCATAATTTGATATGGGAACCTTGAAATCCCATGAGTTAACCATTCGCTGCAGTCTCAGGCGAACACCATCGAGGTTCACAAGTCCCGAAGGTAGGTCTTGGCACACTTGACAAGTACTGGATATCGGAGATGGCTTCGCCAGAAGGATACATAGAAGATTTTCTCCACTTTTGTATTGATGCAATCTCCTCCAAAACCTTCCAGAATCCATCTGCTTGTATAACCTCAATGCGTACAAAAAACACTGTGCATCATGTCTTCGTACCCAGAGACTAGAAGCGGTGCTCGTCCATGGACCGTGCCGCACCGGCCGATGTCTTTCACACAAATCAGCGACCAACTTTCTATGAATGATAACGTAGTTCAAGGAAGTCCTATCGAAGAACAACCTGCATCCAACTCGCCGTCAGGGTCAGAACCTGAAGCCGACACTGCCCTTCAAAGAACACCATCAACCGTAGAGATTACACAACGCAGATGTCTTTGTAACCTTCACCTTAAGTTCGAAATGAAGATAAACGAAATCAAAGTTAAATATTTCCGCTGCCGAAATGAAAGTCGCAAGGCGTGGGAAAAAGAAAAAACAACAATCATTGACAACTATAACAACGCTCCATGCTGGGCACTTTTTCGGTTTTCTCCCCGGCGCAAAATCGACGCGATCAACCGGAAGCAAGAAAATGGCATGAGATTCTTTGCAGAGGCCGAGAGAATCGAACGTGGGCCCGTGGAAAGAAGATTTGAGGATCGTGAGCAGCTCTACATTCACTGCTTTAGGAGAGTGTGGAAGGAGTCGTACCCTTCGACGCCATTTTGGTATGACGAAGCATCATCAAAGTCGAATGCACTGGGCATACCTGTCACAACATTGTATCAACCGATGTATTAGGAAACCTTGCGGAAGACGTACGGTTAACTACCTTCAAGAGATGAGGATGTAGGTGCAGGATAATCGATCTTCGCTGAACACCTGTCTGCTATCTTGATCCTTAAAATCAAGAGCTGGCGACCAAATTAGCTCTCGGAATTGATGAGGTAATAATACATGTAGATAGAGAGAAGTCACACATCGTAGATATCTAAGTCACTGGCAATAGAGAGTACAGGTGCGTTGCCAGAGTTTGGCGAGGTCGTGAGGAATAAATTTGACCGGTGACGGCGCCTTCTGAGCCATCAGAGCCCAACTTGACCCCATCGTGCTACAGACTGAGACAATCCAGATGATACAGAGTCCCAGTGACTGATCAAAAGCCCTCTACACAACGAAATAATACCCTGAACTCTAGTAATTCACGACCGACGCCGGATACGGTAGCTAGAATTCTTGTGATAAGGATGCAAATCTCGAATTCTCGACGTTAGTGCCGTTCTAGATGTAACTGGCGGGCGAAAGGAAGCATAAGCTGCATGGTATCATAGACTACCTAAACTGGCGGGGTCACGGGAACGACATGTCGTCATAAGCACAATGGAGTAGGCTATTAACTTGACCAACACTCTAGGCTTAAACATCAAGAACCCCTCGCAAATTCTCTAATCACTTCCAATTTTATCTCCAATATCCGCGAAACATCGATTCAATCATGAGTCGTAAGTCTGTGTCCACCTGGGAAAATCTCCGAGCCCAAAGAACGGGGAAGATGGAAGTGGAGAGCAGATGAGCTTTTGAAGAGGACGTTGAAACTCTCAAAGGAATTCGACGTTTCCTGAAAAGTGGAATGAGCAATCTAACAAAAGAAATACAGACTTACCATCTGATATCCCAAGACCCAAGGACGACGGGTTGTGTGACCACCTAACGAGTTTCGACCTACCAAGCGTTCAACTTCTCTCTGCAAAAGATGTTTTTACGAAGGTCGATTTGGCAAAGTCAGATGGATTGACTATTGTGTTCATCTATCCACGCACGGCAGCAGCAAGGGAAGAAGTTCATCCCGAGTGGAACAGCATCCCAGGTGCGAGAGGATGTACGCCACAGGCCTGTTCATACCGGGACAACTTTGAGGAACTGAAAGGCCTTGGGGTAGCTCAGGTCTTCGGGGTGTCTACCCAGGACTCGGAGGCCCAGAGGGAGCTTCGCCACAGAGTTCACTTACCTTATGACCTTTTGAGCGACGCCGAGTTGAACTTCGCGACCGCGGCAAGACTTCCTACCTTTGAGTGGAAAGGGCGAAAGCTGATCAAGCGGGTTACTCTCGCGATTGAGGATGGAAAAGTCATCAGGCACTGGTATCCTGTGTTTCCTCCGGATCAGAATGTCGTAGAAGTCCTGGAATGGCTGAAAAGACACGGAGGCAAGGCGACCATCTCTTCGGGTTAAGATTCAGAAGTTCTCTTATGGCTTGCATTCTAATAAAATGCACTGTCTATGACAACAATAATTGGAATCAAGCAAACAAATGGGTCAAAACATTGTCCCAGCGTCTGCCTTGAATCAAACGAGACCACTATGCACTTGTGTTTGTTGCTGTGCTAGCAGCCTACACTTCGCGAGAATGAAGACGAACGTTCAGCGGAGGCTTCTCCCAAATTCCAAAAGATTTCTGCTCGATCCAATCAGAGTTCTGATCCTCAAGCTCAATGTCGAACTTCCACAACACTGTAGCTAATATGAGTCGCATCTCATGATAGGCGAGGCTAGAGAAGAGTCAGTGCTAGACCCCCAAAATGTACCGAAGAATCGCGGTAGTGTCAACCCAAAGCCTTGGAAACACTTACTTCTTTCCAATACAATTTCTTGGCCCATATGAAAAGGGTTGAAGAACCTCCTTGTTGTCGTTTGCGTACTTCTCGGGCGGTTCAGCAAGCCAACGCTCAGGCACAAAATCATGCGGGTCAGCAAAGTTATAGATCGAAGTGTAAGCTGCGTACTGTGCGACGCTTGTAGCTGTCTATAATCATATTAGCGACAGTGAGCATGAATATGCAGAGACTATGTGGCTTCTCACTCCCTCTGGGACGAATTGCCCGCAAACAGTTGATCCTCCCTGAGGAGCCACACGAGGCACCACACCCGGAGCCGGGGGGTACATGCGAAGCCCCTCTTCCAGACACGCGTTGAGATAAGGAAGCTTTTGCAGGTTGATGATGTTCAGGTCCTGAAGACGAAGCGACCGGATCTCTTCAGAGAGATTCCTCAATTTGTCGGTGTTTTGACATAGAAGAAATGTAAGTCCACTCAATAGCGTAGCTGTTGTCTCCGTTCCGGCAATCATAAATATTTGGGCGTTGGCGTACATCTCCCCTCGGGAGATGTTGTTGAGGTCAGCATTTCGTTGAACGAGACTCCAGATATCCCCTCTGTCCTTGTCATACTGTAATCGGCGGTCTACCCTGTCGTTGGAATACTTTGTGTGTTTCTCCATCTCTGCTTTCAGGGAACTCGACAGCAGTGGAGCGAATAGACGTCCGAAAATTGGGTAGACCCGCAAGAAGGTTCCCATGACCATGTATTTGACACTCGAGAAGATGTTGCTTACCCAGGGCACATAGTCGCCATCTTGAAGCATCCCTAGAGGTTCACCAAAAGTGAGATCGGCCATGATGTCGAAGGTTGTGAAGTTGTACATTCTCACTATGTCGACAGTCTTCGCGTTATCCTTTGGCTGCCCATCTCGCTGGGACGCCTTCTCTCCAAGCTTGGATACCAAGAGGTCTGTGTATCCGCGAATGAGTGATTCTTGCTCTCTCAAAGCCTTTTCAGAGAAAGCGTGAGAGAAAATACGGCGCTGTCGTGTATGTGTTGCATCATCTGCATGCAGGATATCAGAGTGCACTTGGTGACCCATAAGCGCCCTGTCCTTAGGGAACCCGCCACGGCCACCGACCCGGTGTCCTTGGATGTCTTTCCATGCTCCAGGGTCGATGTAGCTGAGTTGATTCGGTCCAATGCGTACTATCGGCCCGTACTTCTTGTGTAGATGAACACCCATGCTATGCGAGCTTCCGAGACTGAAGTGAGAAAGTTGAGGAAGGCGCGAGGCCGCATAGAGGATTGGTCCGGGGTATTTTCGAAGGGGGTGGAAGAAGACTCGGTAGACGATAATCCAGGCCCTCCAGAAGATTAACTGCTCAAGGTTCAATCCATTAGCTGTCAATGAATGTTCTGTGAATACTACCTAGGTAAAGTACAGATCCTACTTACGAGGAGGATTACAGTGATAGGGGCAGAGACAAGCCCAGAGCCCAAGAGCCCTGCACTCTGTGTCATGTCAGTCATTGTGTCGATGAGTATCAGTTTGTGCTTCCGTTAGATGACAGATTGGTTCCAAAATTCAGATTTCTCGGCCTCTTATAATTAGTTGAGATAAACACAGCTGCCATGATGCGTGCGGAGTTATTGCGCGGAGCTAGATGGCGAATCATCCCCGCCCTGGCAGAGCGAACAATACGCGGGTTCGTACCCGGGGCCGGAGCCGTCACAGATACCGAGAGCTATTCCTACAGGGTCTTGACTTGGTCTGGTAAAGATCCAGTATTATGAACGCGAATACTATGTCGTGTGGTCTCAGGTTAAAACATCTGGGAACATTGAAGCATCAGGGCGATGTACATGCTGTCCCCTTGCCACTTTAGGTACTTATTATGCTGAGACCTCGCAATCCATTTTCATCCACAGTCAACTTGGCATACGCGAGTGCGATCTTCCTCAAATGCATGAATCAAAGGCATGGTCTCGGTACTCTAAATTTATGTGTTATAAGTTATTATGTTCCGGTACTTTCCTACCTGAGTACTGATTTGAATCAAATATCTAAGTTTCGCGGACGAGCCGTTAGCAGGGAAGAATATAAAAGTCCCGCCAACTATACGAAATTCATTTTGCATTCAACCAGCCGTCGGAGCATAAGAGGAAATACTCGGCATTTCATCCGTGTCGCCCCGGACCCTTAATAAGGCTCCGTCTTTGGTACAACTCTACATGGGCATCGTAATGCGGACTTTGAGTCTACATTCAGTAACAATGCGCCATTCCATTCCGCTGGATGATCGGGTCTACTTGCCCGTTCCACTCGATCTGGCAAAGTGGAACGCGCGGGGGATGGCCCGTGTCCGGGATCATCAAGTTGCTTCACGAGACCTCCTGATGGGTAGCTCTCTCATCACCAGTATAGTTAGGCGATAAGTGGACAGCAAATTTGCTTCGTTCGATTTCTAGATCCATGAGAGCAAAGTTCTTTAGCGTAATTTATGAGCGTCTGAGCTGCATCTCCAGGCGATCGACCCATGAAGACTAGGCAAGTGAGCTTCGTTTATTCCTCTATGCCTCATTCAGACTGGAGACTCGAGCGAAGTTCGTACGATGAGACATTTTTTGAAGAAGCAGCAAAGACCTCATGTACAGAAAACAAAGAAGTTGTTATCGCTACTTGGCATCGTACCTCTGATATTTCGCTTGAACGGTAAGGCTGAGGACTCAGGAGAGGAGTCTACAACAGAATCGCAGCCTTTAATGGACTGTAGTTCTCCACAACAACTAGCACGTATCTACAAGATAATAAGTAGGTGCACAATTTTGAAGTTAATTTGAAGAGCAAAATCATGGTTGTGCAATCTAGCAGATACTCGAAAAACCAATAGTCCGCACCTCGAACCCTCAAAACAAGAATGTCTCCTTGCTGGCCCGCCGGTTACACGATACACCGGACGATAGTATTATGACAGTAAGACACTATTAGCAGAATTGAACTGCAACACTGATTCTTGGCCATCATTATGGGCTTCTGTACACTATTCCTGAAGTAAGACAGGTGCTTGTCTGTTGTTATTCTCCGTTGCAAATTACTGCCACAGAGAGTCGATGTGCTTATTCAATACTCAGTAGGTCGGCGGTCTTGTCGTACTGAACAATACTTAAGGTAGTTCCGGTCAAGGGCAAACAGATATGGAGCAGGTTTGCCTTGAACGGAAAGTCGTATCTGGCGACGAACATCGACTGGGTTGTGTTAGTCCACTTCTGGAATAAGCGTGACTAGGTAGAAGGATTGGCGACGGTGTGACCTCTGAGCTTCAGCTGATGCTGCATGTCAGCATGAGTTGCATATTCGTGAGCTACCATCAGCGCCATCTTTCAACTAATGAAGCGACGACGCGCTAATACTGGCACTGTCTAGCCTCGAAACCGCCCCCAACTCGATTGCTTCCTGCGAGTAGCTCGATTGCTTGGATGAATACCTTCTACAAATATGGAGCGAGTCCCCATTCTCAATTTAACTAGTTCAACTGAAATCTTCAATCTTTGTCCACTCTGTACAACGAAGAACTGTGTTGGAGCAGATTCACCAATGACAGTGAGCGCAGCCCAAAAAGAGGTGTCGGAAGCCGTGAAGAACGACAATCGCGATGTTTCCGACTTGTGGAAAGAGGCTCTCAAAGCCTACAAAGGCATCGTGGGGTTTGACCTCGAGCGCAAGTTCGATAACGTTCAGGCGATGATCGCTCAAGGCACCCACGAGATGGAGAACTTCCACAAGTTCCGCCACAACGACAAGAAAGTGGACAAACTGCGAGGTCTGTTTGCCGCCAATCTCGATTACATTGAAAAGGGCGCACAGCAGCTCGTCGTGGCAGCTGTCCCAGCTTTCCCTCCGGCTGCAGCCATTGGCACCGCGGTCACCATTATGCTAAGCGTGAGTCGTGTTCTCCATCATTTGATGTGTACCCTAGCTCATCCGGATCCAGGCATGCCGCCAAGTCTCGGCAGACTATGACATCGTGATGGTGTTCTTTGAAGACATGAATAGCTTTTTGCAGCGTATCACGATTCTTGAGACTAGACTCCCTAAACACAAGGGTTATCAAAATTGTCTCATGGATGTTTTCACGTCTTTCCTAGTCATGTGTGGCTTTGCGCACAAGTTCATCGAGCTAGGTCGTTTCAGTGAGTCAATGAGCGAGATTAAAATACTATCAATCACTGGTTTGAGGTTCCTAACCTTTCAATAGAGAAGTGGATCAGTAACCTTCTTCACGGAGAGGATAGCGAGCTTGGCGGCGCTCGTAAAGGCATGGATCTCAAGATTCGACGTCTCCAGCAAGCGACAGAGTTTGCAATCCTTGGCAACACCGAAGAGATCCAGAAGATGAGCACAGAGCTGTTGACTAACCAAAACACACACACTGCGATGCTGGAGGAGCAGATGCAGGTCATGAGCTCGATTCGTAACACCACTGAGATGATCCAAAGTGACATGGCGAAGTTGCTGAAAGCCTTTAACGATCAAAAACGCGAAGAAAAGAAGGATCGTGGCAACGACCAACGTGGTAAAGCGGCTGAGCAGAACAAGCCCCCATCTGCGAAGAGGATCCGCAACATCCTTGTTGAGGTTGAGGGTGAAGATCATGAGTACCACGTCTTGAAGGAAACACTTGTCAAGGACACCTGTACTTGGGTGTTCTTGCAACCAGCGTGGGACGAGTGGCTCAAGCAGGGCCAAACCGACCACTTGACTTTGGCCATCACAGGAGACCCCGGCACAGGAAAAAGTCACATCGGGCTCACTGTCTACGAAAGATTGGTCAACGAAGCCATGAACGACACCTCGAAGCTTACGTGTGCCGCACATTTCTACTTCCGAGAACAATCGTCAAGTCTATCAAACTTTTGCAACGCCATTACAACTGTCATCATTCAAGCTGTCGAACAGAACGCTTCACTCTGTGAGCTAATCAACGCAGAGGTAATGAAGGACGACTTCGACATGGACTCATATGTTGCCGATTCACTCATTCGTCAAATCCTGGTTCCTGTGTTCGGAAAAGCCTCCAAGTACAAGCTGTTTCTACTTTTGGATGGGCTTGATGAGCTCGAGGATCTCAACGAGTTTCTCAGTTTTCTTAAAGTGATACGTGAGGAAGACCTGAGAATAAATGTGGCTTTCACATCTAGGCCAGGTGTTCTATCCACTGTGAAAGAATCATCATCAGTGCTTGCGGTTGATGTCACGAGGGAGAACCAAAAGGAAGATCTGAGAGCATTCATCTGGAGTCACATCAACTCCTTGTCTACCATTAGGAAATTTGATCGTTATGTTCAACAACGTATTGTCGACAAGGTTGAGGTGGTAGCCCCGAGTAAGTTCTTCATCGATGCGAGATCTACCTTGGCATGCTAACGGCCTAGACTTCTTGTACGCGGCGCATATGCTTAGGCGTTTTGACAGTCTCGGCCGCGAAGGCGCTGTTATCCGGAACCTGGAAAAGCCATTGCCCTCAGGACTTCATGGGATCTATGAAGGCTTGTTGACTGACTGCTATCGTCGCACTGAGCTCGAGCACAAGCCTGTCGTGTCTAAGCTACTTCATTGGATGGCCTTCGCTTTCCGACCATTGACTCTCAACGAAGTAGTCTCACTGGTACGATTGTGGCTGAATGACGCCAATTTCGACCTTGAGAGCGTCCCCGAACCCTTCGAGAGCTTTCTCCAGGTTGGCGATCCTGGCTCTGATGCCGAAGAACGTGTCAAGATCCAGGCTCAGGGCGGATGGGGCACGGCTGTAAGTGAGTTGGAGAAAACACAGACAGTCGTCGACCGTGAGGCCATCTACAATGATGGTGAGCTGCCTGTCAAGTTTAAGGAGCGGTCTATGCGATCGTTCTTCATTGAAGAACCTGACACGGCCGACATTCACGCCCATCGCATAAGGCCCTCGGAGATTCATCGGCAGATGTTTCTAGACTGCACTAAGCTTGCCTGCACTACGAGCCATTACCCATTCCCGATTGCCAGTGCTCTCAGTCGTTATGCAGTGGTTCACATGATACCACACTGGTCTCGCATTGACTTCGAAAGTCATACGGTTGCGGAACAAATTGAGACCATGGAGGCGCTGGCATCTACCTTGTCGAACAAAAAGTCGTTCTCCCGGATGATGGAGTGGACTGGGTCCAGTTACTCGAGTACATTCACCGATGAAGTTTTCGAAAGAGTTTCAAGATGGGGTCAACTTCGCAGCGTTCACAATGAGGGAATGGACAAGAATGCAGTTGAGTGGTGGCGAACTGTCTCAGAGAATCCACAAGCCTGTTTGCTGCTCTCTCTCATCAAGGCACACTTGCGGCAAACTTACATTTCTCTCAATGTTGACACTGCGCTTGCTTCTTATAGAAGAGCGAGGGATGCCATTAAGACTGTCAGTTTCACTCTCCTCTTCTCTGAACCCGAGCTAATTCGAGCAGAGCAACTTAGATCCTGTTCTTTTGCACCAAGCGAAGAAAAACTACGAAGCTGAGATCGGAAACATGACAGAATCTCTGACTGAGAAGCAAGGTGTCCTCGGAATCGAAGGTCTCTTTGAAGACGTTAAGATTGAATCCACCGGGTACCGCGCACTTGCTTCTCTAATGCTACACTTTAAGCATCTGAAGCCTGCTGAGACTATGTGTCAAAATGCGCTGAATGGCCTCGCTGGGGCTCTCGAGACTGTCAGAGCTAGGGAGCTAATGGCCCGAATTCACTTGGAAGATGGTGCACAGGCCGCTCACCAAGACATTCTCGAGTGTTTTGAAAAGATGAACGACGAAAGTATTCCGCTAAATTTGCGCCACGCTGTCTGTATCACCAAGGCGAGGGTTGAGGCAAAGCTAGAGATGAACGAAGCAGCTGCCGCGTCTTACGCTCATGCAAGGTCTGTCGATCCGTCAGTCTTGATGACTGGGGAAATCCTGAATGAAGAACTCGATCTGTTCCTGGAGGAGGACAGTAAGCAAGGCTTCATTGGTGTTTTGAAGAGCTGGAGCCCGCTACAGCGACTAACCTGGCTTTGCTGGGAGTATGACGACTATCACGGCGAGAGATCACAATTGCTCCGTAATGTTGCCGTTCGGTCCGGGGAAATTGATTTTGTCGCCCAAATGTACCTGGATTCTATTCAGTACTTGGACAACGTCAATGCAGCCGCGCCGCTACGAATCGATCTCTCATTGTTCTATCAGCATGTTATCGGGAACATCAAAGCAGCAAGACAGGCCTTGGACGAGGTACTCGATAGTGGTTCAACTGGCTACCCGTACGCCATCACAGACTCGTCTCCCGACTACACTGTTACTCGTGCAGTTGATAACTACAGCGCATTGCTTTATGGAATCTTCCGAAGCTCCCATGACCCTAAGCATAAGACAGAATTGCTTACTACTGTCGAAGGGCTCCTCAACCGTCCTCTCGCCCTGGATGTACTGCCGACTTCAATCACGTATCTCACTTTCCGCCTGATCGTCCTCTCTCGCATGTACCTGAAGTTAGGCCCCGTCACCAAGTTTCAGGATACTCTGCAAAGTGTTTTTACTGGCTGCATTGATGCACTTAGTGATACAATCAGCTGGAATGATGCAGACAATCTGGCTTGTCTATCGAAAGCTCTCGACATTCTTGGCAATTCCATATCAAACGGCCAAAACCTAAAAAAGATGGCGCGCACAATGCACTCCGCTGTGTTCTGTCATCTCGACCCTAAGGTCAGACTTATGGACGATGAGAACAGCGACGAGTCTGACGAAGACGGTGGATATGATGGAGAATCCCAAACGGATGCCAAGGCAGAGAATCGGCCCACCGACGAAGGGGACCTCATTGAAGGCGCCGAAATCTTCTGTGACGGAACGTGTGACCAAGACACTAGCAAGTTCTCTTGGTGGGGGAAGAGATCCGCTTACGCCTGTCTGGTCTGTCGCGAAGTTATCTTCTGCGAAGATTGCTTCAATAAGCGTATTACGGATGGGGAGGCTGGGAAGCGACAGAATGTCATGCCGATCTGTGACCAAGGTCATGATTTTCTCAAACTGCCTCTTGAGGGCTGGGAAGGAGTCGTGGATGGAAAAGTAGTCTTGGACGGCGAAGAGCCGGTAGAATTTGGTGAGCTCCTGAAACAGACACGTGATGTTCTTTGTAAGGAGGGTTGGGAGGAGTTTTGGAGGAACTGATTTATGTACTCACATCTAGTCTCTAGCACCTTTCATGTTATGAAGGGAATTATTTCAATGGAACTTGACTTCTGCAAGCTCCCCAACATGGATGAGGATCCTGGAATTTACTGCTAGCATAAAGTTAGCGGTAGCAAGGTCAGTCAGACTTGAGCTTCGTAGCCAAACCCATCTCAGCATGGGTACTGGAGAAACAAAACCCTCAAGTCTGCGATGACCAATGATCATACGGCACTGGGACAATGAGAGGCGTCAACCCGATAGATCGCCGCGCAGTATTCTTCCTGCCCGACCCCTGGTCCCCTGCTGCCAAGAAGTAAGGTACCTAGTAAGAAATTAGGTATGTAGGCATACTACTTGACTTCCTTATCCCCACCGAGAAGGACAGAATTACACCATGAGCTTTTAAACTCTGCAGAATGCCACGGCCCTGCGCGTATAAAATGGCACAGCAGGGACTGAATCAGTGAAATCAAGACTTCTCTAAGAATGGCGTGTACCTTTAAATTTTTCAGTCTCGGTGTGGATACGGCGATTATTGGACGAAGCAGCTTTGAGTTCTGCGTAAATCTTACAAATCTTAACCATGTCCTTCACTATCTCAGCCGTCACATACGATGATGCTGCTGGAGTTTCAAAGAACAACGTGACGGACTTCTACCATACCGATACTCATTGGCGTGCACTCTGGAGATCGATGCCCTTGGATGAGATCATCGAAGGTGCCACTGCTCGCATGCCCCATAGCCTCCTCAGCGGTAGGGAAAAGAAACGACACCAGAAAGCCGTTCACGCCGATAGTAGTGAAATTATGAGCTACGCATGGTGGATCCTGCCCGATGATGATAATCGCATCTCTTGGACCGAAGCAGCTGTTCGCGAACCCTCGCAAGAGGAAGCTGATAAGTTCCAAACAGCCTTCCAGGCCAACACCAAGGGCGGTTCAATCAAGGGTGTGGACGAAAACCTACAAGCTGCTCTGGGACTGACGCTTGAGGAGGCCGAGGTTGCCGCAATGCGATCACAAGAGGATCCATTTCTAGGTTTGAACACCGTGGTCAATAGACACCCTCATACCAGCTAACTTGCAGCAGTTCTAGGCTATCTCGCGGTGCATTCAGCTTAGGCGGAAGGGAATAGCTTCTGCTTTAGTCAGAAATGGTATAGAGCAAGCTAATGCAGTCGGAATGAAACTTTGAGTTATGCCGACTCAGACCGCGCAGCCCATGTGCGAAAAGCTTGGGTTTGAACTCGTGGACAGCGTCAAAACATCCGTCACGGAATTCGGAATACCCGAGCCTCATGAGAAGGCCTTCTTGATGAAGTGATAGAGCTTGCACTCAGAGTACAGGGTTTGGGATCTTCGGGCTCAAGTGAGCTATCGCTATGAAACGAATGTATATGGCTATGAGCTCTGCAATGTCTGTGATCTACCCCAATTCCGCCTTAAACGCCGTTTTGTTGCTTAATGCCCATGTTCAAATGCAAAACTGACGCCAACGCCTTGATAAGTTTGCATCAATGCTTTGTGTAAGTCTGAACCCACGATGGGCCTTTAGTAGGTGTAGCGGAAGTCCGATGCCTGGGTTTCCTGGAGTGATCAACGAATCAGCACAGCCTTCTAGAAGATACTTCGCTCAATCTTTCTCAAATCCTTGCAAAGCAATGGAGTTTGAAGTAACTTACATCCGACGCTTCAAGCTCAACCTCACCTCGCTCGGCCTTCGCGTTCCAATAGCGAAAGTAGAAGCTCAAGGCAATTACAACTATGACATTCAGAGCCGCGCATCCCAAACAAGTGCTCAGCCCAGGTAAGTAGTGAGGCTTATCTTGGCTTCTGCTAGGAGGTTAGTACGTCTTTTGAATCTTCAGAGAAGAGTTTATTCGTTTTCGGGGAGGACCCTGGTCTTAGCGCACACATAGTATACGGCCTAGGTCTACGACACACGTGTGACATACCTGAAAACAAGGGAGCCGGCGATACCACCAATTCCGCTGACGCCAACTACCATGGCACTGCAAAAGGCGCGCTTCCACTGTCCTCGGATGTTGTTCGCCTGGTACGCCATCGTCGCCGGTACGGCGCTGACGCTCCCTGCTACGAGGAGAAAAACGCCCAAGTATCGAACGGCAACATCACTATGGAAACCCATGAGGCAGGTCCCGACAATCGATAAGACCATGTCGCCAACAATTATGGGACCTCGAAGCATGTATCGATCTCCTAGCCAGCCTGTAGTGTAAGTGATGATGGCGGCAAACACGTACGGTGGCGCCGTCAAGATCTGAGCCTTTCCCGTGTCGAAGCCCATATTGTCTTTAAGGATGATTGGCAGGAAGAAAGACAGAGCTTTTCACCGTGGTCAGTAAGTAGTCTCAGAAGGATTGTAGCAGAAACTTACAGAATATGACAAGAGCATTGTTGAAGTAAATGATGGACAAAGCCCATACTTTGATGTCAGCCCCACCCCTGAGGAACTTCCCGACGCTGAATGGCGGCAATTCTGCATCTCCCCTATCGGCCTGAACTCTGGAAATCACCCAAGCAATTTCTTTCGGGGAGAGAAACCTCCAAGTTCTTTTCTGAGCATCGGGGAATCCGACGAGGAGAAAATAACCAACAATGCCGATAGCGCAGGTGATGATACCTTCCATGATGAAGATCCACGACCAGCCTTTGAGGTTTGCGGTCCCATCAAGTTGAGTGAGCTACGAATATAAGGTAGTCAGACGCTTGCTTCACCAGGGTTAAAGCCCAAATGTCACTGGTACAAAGACTTTTGCCATGGAAGCTGGGAATGTACTTACTCCGAAAGCCAAGATGCCCGCAAATGCAGAAGCAAAGCAGACAATCATGTAGAATACCGAATACCGTTTCCCAACTTCGTCTGGAAGCCTTTAGTAAAAGTAACAACTTCGGTACTCCTAGTTCAAAGGAAAATGACTTACAACGAGTATACCAAGTGCTCAAAAGGTAAACACAGCTAGGGAAAAATCCAGAGTCAAGCGCACCAAGGATCACTCTCAGAGCTACAAGCTGGCCCCAGTGCCTCAGAAATCCCATTCCAATTACGATGCCTCCACAAATCATTGTGATAGCTGTGAAGTAAGCCCGCGGACCCAAAGTTCGGGCAAGAATGACAGAGACTGGCTGGAAAGTGATATAGGTCGTGAAGAATACCAAGCTCACCACAGACTTTAATAAGTGAGTGTTGGTCATCTCAAATCGTACATTGAATCCGAGAAGAGAAGGTTTTCTAGGAGTTCAAACTTACGTATCGGTTGCCAGTCAGGTCTAAATCTTCTCTCATACCGGCAACAGCGGCAGATGGAAGGTTCGACCGGTCAATAACAGAGAAGCAGTACAGCAGACCAACAGTCGCGACAAGGCGAATATCAACCCGCCTCATGATTCTCTTCTGTTCGGCCAAAGAGAATCCATGAGACTCCTGCTCCGTTTCCGTTTCCATGATGTCAAGGTCGTTTGGTACCGAACTGCCCTGGTCAGGCGTCATCGCTTGCTTGTTTTTGACTGAAGACATCGTTTTGATATTGTATTTCGTCGTCTTTGTGCTTTCGAGAGTTGTTCAGGTGCCAATATTGTGTGAAACGCAAATAACGTGTGGACAGGTCTCCTTTATCACTCTTTTCTCTTTGTTCCTCCATTCACTGTATTGATGTTGAACCTTGCCAAGGGTTGGGATCCTTCATTTTTCGCCCTCCGTTACTTCTCGAAACATCGCGGTCGCGATTCACTACGAAGGTGCTTCGTAAAGTTTACTAAAGCACGTGAAGAAGGATGGTGGGTTGTGACGAATCATCGTGGTGCGGTGAATCAGAAAAGAGATAAGCGACGATGGCGCGCGCCTCAATTTGGAATTTGCTGGGCCACGAGCGGGCCATCCGAACGGAAGGAAAAAAAACCTGACTTGGGCCATTCCCACTTTCCCGGCTAGAGGTACTTGGTTCTCCCCGCTACCAGAGCCAAGCGGCCTTTGAAAGGTGCTGAAAATAGCGGGATTTGGACGAAAGGGTCTTGTTTCCTCCGTCACAGAGAGGAAGTATCTCATTGCTTCCCGCTGTTTGGGTATGACGAGAAGAAAGACACTGTGCTGATTGCCTATTGTGGCATGTATGCAGGCTCACTTTTACTTTTGACTTGATACGGACCTGTCAATTCTCGAAATAACAGTTCAGAGACAGCATCAAGCTAGTCAAGCCTGATGCTATTCAAGGACCGACTTAGGTCTTGAAGGATTCACTTGCGGAGACTCATGAATGAGTATTCGACCCGTCACAGTAAGCGACGTTCAGTGGATGTGGGGGGGGCTTCATCTAGAATTGCGCTTATCTCAATCCATTGAAGAAACCTCCGACGGACTTCATAGCGAAGAGAATGATACAACCTCTTCCGGGAAATGTCCAGAATCCAACCAACTAGTCCGCAGGTTACTGTACGCGGACGAGGAAGCATGGCATGATGTCGTTTGCTTCCTTGGTTCAGCGTCGAGATCAGGGTCATGGATTCCCTGCGGGTATCCCGGCTATCTGCAGGCTCCGTCATGATGCAGATCACATCCAGCCTGTCGGACTTCCACCAGCCTGGTTATAGGCTACGGCAATGTGTACCCGCCATCGATCACTACGTTCGAGCCTGTCATGTAGCAACATGCATCACTGGCAAGGAAGACATAGAGCTATTGATCCAGAAGAACATCAGTTAGGGCTGTCCATGTGTCATGCAATGCGGACCAGGGGTTGGGCACTCACTCCTCTTAGCTCAGCAGGGTGACAAACCCGGCCACCTGGGATCATTGATAGCCAATGCTCCATCAGCTCTCTCGGCTGCTTTGTCAACACTGCAAGGAACATTGTAAGCAACACTGCAAGTGGGTTTGGTGCCAAATATAGGACTCGGGGAAGAAATCACAACTGACTCTCGGTGAGGATGTATCCAGGCGATACACAATTGACGCGCGCAAAGTCGGCCCATTCAACGGACAGACTTTTGGCAAGCTGCACAACCGCCGCCTTGGAAGCATTGTATGCAGCCTGCTCCTGGGGCACGTTGACCAGAATAGCGCTCACGGAAGCGGTGATGACCAGGTTTCCTCTCCCTTGCTTCTTGAAGATGTTTCCCACGGCCTGCGCAGTCCACATGACGCCGTCGTAATTGACGCTGTTGATATCCTGCCATGTCCTCTCCGTATACTCAAGCGACTTCACGTTTGCACAGACGCCCGCGTTGGCCACGGCTATGTCTATGCGGCCTCCGCCAAACTCACTGGCGATCTGGTTGATGGTTTTCGCAATGGTGTCTCGGGATGTGACATCAGAGCGGTATGCCTGGACACGAACACCTGTCTCTTTTGCGATTCGGGCGGCTGTTTCGTCGGCCTCGGCGTTCGTCTTGTAGATAAATGCGACGTCTGCGCCAGCTTCTGCCAACCCGCGAACGACTTCTGCACCGATACCCCTTGAACCTCCAGTCACTACCGCAATCTTTCCTTTGAGAGAGAATTGCGATAGGATTGGAGCGTACAAGTTCTCCGGTTGATAGAGAGGCATCTTGAGAGGCTGGTTTCGTTGAGTGGAGTTCAGCTGTTGCCAGATTGCTTGGCTTGTATTGCATTCACGTCTAAGTTCACCATCTTGGAACTGGGCTTATATATCGAAAACCTCTATCAGAACCCTCGAAGCCATGTAAGAGGTGTCGTCTCGTGATGAGAACAAATACTATTTTCGGACATTGAAGTGGCTCAACACAAAGCTCCCCAACTGTTGACAGAAGGCTATGTCGAGACAAATACGGGTCAAGATTATGGCCCTACGACTCCACGCTATCGATGTCCCTGCTTCCGAAGGCTCGACGACCATAGCAGCGCCGCCCAGCAACCGAGGGCTCGTCTCGAGGGAAGACACGGGCACTGCCGGGCCTCCCACCGGTCGTCCCGAGCTAGGACGTTTGAGAGATTGAATGGCATGATCTGCTGCGTGATACCAACCCATTTTACGTCCCCCATGGGGTTTCCCCGCGTTGGTCCAAGAAGTTCTGGTCTTGAGTCGGACTACGTCACTTTAGATGAATTAGATTAGTCCGAGCCGACTAGACGCGTGTACCGATATTGGGGAAAGTGTAATATCTTGTATAACTAGAAAAAGACTCTCAGACCTCTGACTTGTAACATAAACTATGTTGCTATTCGACTCAGAGTAGGACTCAACGAGAATCTCTGCATCATTTTGTTTCACAATCGCTACAATGGATCAACGTCACAGATGGATGGTGACGGCAAAGTTCGAAAGGCGAGCTCTTCTCGTCGCCGTCAATGGCCTTGCCGGAATGTCAATTTTCTTCTTTGGTACGTCTGAGTGCTTCAATTAGTCCAGTTGTCAGAAGTATGTGCTCATTGCGACGGAAATACTGACAAAATTGATGTCCAGGTTATGATCAAGGAATGATGGGCGGCGTAAACAATGCCAAACACTACATCGATCTCATGAAATTCGGATATGTCGACGCCGATGGCACTCCAGTGGTGACCGACACTCTCCTTCAAGGCGGCATCATGTCCGTTTTCTATCTCGGCACACTCATCGGCTGCATGGTCGGAGGATCCATCGGCGATCGATTTGGCAGGATCAAGACTATTGCGATTGGTGCTCTGTGGGGTATCTTCGGCGCTTCTCTGCAGTGTACTGCCATGAACTCGAACTGGATGATCTGCGCTCGCCTTCTCAATGGTATTGGCACCGGCATCTTGAACGGCATCGTGCCGGTCTGGGCATCGGAACTCGCAGACTATACTTCTCGAGGTGCTTTCATTGCCATGGAGTTTACTTTGAACATCTTTGGAGTTGTCGTTGCCTATTGGCTTGGGTGAGTTACAACTGATGAAGAAGACTTGGAAAACATCAGCTAATCAACTCGTGTGACACAGGTATGCGGTCAGTTTCATCGACAATGGCGAGTCGGCTTTCCGATGGCGCTTCCCTATCGCCTTCCAGATTATTCCGCTGCTTTTCTTGCTCTTCGGATGCTTCTTGTTCCCCGAGTCCCCTCGCTGGCTTTGCAAGGTTGGCCGAGATGACGAATCTCTCTACATCCTGCAACGACTCCGAGGCACTCAAGACGGCATCGCCGAGGCCGAACTTGCGGACATCAAGGATGTGGTTCGTCTTGAACAGTCGGCTGAGGGAACCAAGTACCACCACATGCTCTTTGGTCTTAAGTCAGGAAAGCTCCACACGGGTCGAAGAGTGCAATTGGTTATTTGGCTGCAAATCATTCAGTGCTGGACGGGTATCGCCGGTATTACTATGTACGGCCCGAGTAAGTCAATGGTCCATTACAACCAGTTTTGACAAGTTGAAGCCCGGCAGCTAACCAGAACCTTGAATAGCCATTTTCCACATTGCCGGTTTCGGTCCCTCCAAGGCCCTCTGGATCTCGGGATTGAACAACATCTTCTACATGTTTGCCACACTCATCTGTGTCTTCACAATCGACAGAATCGGAAGACGTTGGACACTGTATTGGGGCTCAGTGGCCCAAGCCATTGCCATGTTCCTTGTCGGTGGCCTATCTCGTGGCGGTCTCAATGCCAGAGCCGCTGGAAATAACGATGTTGCCAACTCCTGGGGAGCCGCAGCCGCTACAATGGTCTTCCTATAGTAAGTGATCATGGACGCATCTTCTTTATTCTGGATATCACTAATACTTTCGAAGCACGTTTGTGTTCGGCGCAACTTGGCTTACTGTACCTTGGCTGTACCCGGCGGAGATTTTCCCCTTGCAGGTCCGAGCGAAGGGTAATGCTTGGGGCGTTGTTGGATGGAGCATTGGCAATGGGTAAGGCGTCCAATTCTCTGCATAATATGACTCTACACATGTTGCTAATTGCGCAATAAATCAGTACTTTGACACTGGTTCTTCCATACATCATTGGAGCCATTAACGAGAGTGCGATGTACATCTTTGCTGCCATCAACGTTATCAGTATTCCAATTGGTAAGCCCCACGATTCAAGTGTCTCTTTCCGTCTTCTAACTGTTTGTAGTGTGGGCTTTGTACCCGGAGTCGAATCAACGAACCCTAGAGGAGATTGACTTCCTCTTCGCAGCAGACTCGCCTTGGACCTGGGATGCGGAGAAAAAGTTCAAAGAGCTCAAAACCGAGCACGAAAGTCGTGTTGGTGCCGTTCGAGCAGCTGTTGAGGGTGACCTGGAGGGAAAGGGAGAGAACTCCAGCACCCATGTTGAGAAGTCTTCTGGCTCAGAGATTCAGTGATTCAGGCTTCATATTCTGCAGTCGAAATCGTTCCCATCTCAGCACGTTCATACATGAATAGCCTTGTAGGGGTGTCTGAAGGAGGGCTTTCATAGTACATAACTTTAGCATCAATACGCATCATCGCATCGAATCTTCCCGCATCCTATAATTATGTTGTTGACAGAAAAGAGAAAAGGCCTCCCGGGGTAGCTAATCACTTACAACCAATGAACACCCTTTGGCTCTCAGCACTTGCCCTCCACTGAGTACTGGGGTCTCGCTAGTTCTTCCAAAAGATGGACTACGAACACTCGCTCACTCGAAGAGTCACAGATCCGCCAGTTCCCGTGACACAAACTCAATGCCATGGCAACGCAATGGACCTGTTGCTCGATACTCTATGCGTTGCATGTAACCTTCGAACAAATGAGCCTTTGTTCATCTGACAAGACTGCAGCGCGTTAGCTTGAAGTTACCGAAATTGGTTCTTAATTCCTGCAGGTGCCAAGGTAACCTAAGCAAGTCTCAGAGGCAAATCAAGCCAAAACAAGATATTCGATGAGCCACATGACATGCGACCAATATTAGCTAAAATCCATTGTCAGCTCTGTCTCCAAGACTTCGTACTCGAGTAAGGTAGTTCGAACTGAAAAGATAAGCAGTGCCCTTTTCGGCTTGAGTCTCATTCAGATCCACTCTCATGCAGCCTTCGTTCCCTCGAGACGAGGGTGCGGGGTAAGACTGTTATGTCAATGTGAACAATTCAGTCCGGTTCGGAGTAAGTCAAAGCGCAGAGGCGAAAGCTAAGCGAGGAGAATCAACAAAGCCAACAAGATTACACTCCAATGGGTAGTATCCCGGCTTGTATGATTTAGCTAAGATTATTTCCACAGACTGCTTGTCACGCTTTTGACCATTGAGGCACAATATCAACATAGTCACGTATCAACTCGACATGGCTTCATCAAGTTGGCGATTGCTGAAAGGCAAAACGGCGTGCATCACGGGAGGCACAACTGGAATTGGCCGTGCGATAACACTCGAATACTTGAAACACGGCGCCAACGTGGCAGTCAACCACCTCGGCCTCCCCAGCGACGAAAAACACAGACTCAGCCTCATTGAAGAAGCGGAAAAGATCAGAAAAGATGCTCCTAAAGATTCACCGACAGGCGAGTTGATTGAGCTTGCAGGCGATGTAACAGATCCGAATACTGGAAAGGGCCTCGTTGCTGCTGCAGTTAAGAAATGGGGTGGACTTGATGTCTTCATCGCGAACGCCGGGATTTTCAAACCAGCTGAGTTTCTCACGTATGATTGATTGCGACACGCGCCTCTAAAATCTCCAGAGAGAAAGCTGACGTATTCATACACAGACTCGAAAAGGAAGTCTTCGATAAAACGCTACATGTCAACGTCAATGGCGCATTCTACTCGTGCCAGGCTGCGGCAAACCAGATGGTCAAACAAGGTCGCGGAGGATCAATCATTGGTATCTCATCAATCAGCGCTCTTCAAGGCGGTGGTCTACAGACTCACTACACGCCGACAAAGGCAGCCGTCCTGTCAATGATCCAATCAATGGCAGTAGCGCTTGCAAAGCACCGCATCAGATGCAACGCTCTGCTCCCGGGCACTATTCATACACAATTGGCGGAGGAAGACATGCAAAACGAGACGAAGCGCAAGTACCTTGAACAACGTATTCCAATGGGCGTGGGCAAGCCTCATGACTTGGCTGGACCGGCGGTTTTCTTGGGTTGTGAGCAACTGAGTGGATTCATGACGGGATCCCAGATGTTGGTGGATGGCGGTATGTACGTTCACTTGCAGTAGAATTTAGATATACTTTTCGGTACAGAACCTCAATTTGGCACATTCTACGAGAGCAAAGTGTACAATAGAATAAAAATAATCAGCCTCGAGATTAACAAACCCCGACCATTCCCAAGCGTGCCAGGCACCAGGCTAGCGTCCATCCCACCGGCCCAGTCGGAGACCGGCGTCCCCACACCGGCACGACCGGATGCTCCGAGCCGGAGCCGTCTCCAAGCCTTTTATGGGGCGTCTCCAGGTTACCCCGCACGGGATTATGCCCCGTGCGCAGTTCTCCAACCAGTCACGACTCTTCGCAACTCCAAGTGTTCCCTGTCGCTTCCACCTTCCTCATAGCACGATACGACACGACACTATCTGTCGTAGCCCAAAATCCCCTGACAGTGGCCACACACCAAATCCATTTCACATCTACACATTACTTCTCAAGCTTCAATGGCATAAATATCATCAAGATGGGCGCTGATGATGAGGAAACTCAACGCTACTTTACCCGGGGTCGCCTCAGTCGTGGTCGCGGCCTCAGAAATAGCACCGGCTGGCGAGTATCCCTGGATCTGGACAAAGCACCTTGTAATATTTCTCGAATCTAACAGTTGCTTTTCGCAGTGCAACATGCCGCCGACGTCATGTCAAATGTGACGAGAGAAAACCTATATGTGGTGGATGTGAAAGAACCAAGCACAATTGTCTTTACACACCAAGGCGACCACCAAACAGGAAACGATCCGGTCCTGTCGTCTCAGTCACCCCGAACAGTGGTACCCCGAAATCCACGACTCCGCGAGAGACTCAATCACCTCGATCTCCCAGTCCGCCAAACTTCGAGTGTCCGCCTGTCATCTGCGATGATGGGCCGGCTCCTCTACCAGCAGTCACACTTGGGGAGACACATCTACCAAGCACAGCAAGCGCTGCAACTATAGCACCATCCAATGACGAAGGCATAGATACTTCACATGACACCAGTACCGGCGATAGACCAGCTTTCGAGCAAGACTCTCCGGAACAAGTCGATGCGTTATGCACAGGCATCACACCGCGAGGCACGGCACAAACCTCCAGTTCGTTCGGGGCAAACCTGGAGAACGCCACGGCCATTTGGGTCGACCTACTTCTTCAAGATGCGGCCATGCAAGAAATCGATTTCACCAACGTCAACTTTGAAGAAGGCGTCGATCTTTTTGCAAGCTCGGTCGTGCAATCGCCTGCCGTGGGGCGGGGTCTACCAAAGACCAGTGGAGAAGGCCTCAGTCCTACGCCATGCGCGTCTCATCCCTACTTGCATGAGAGATCTCCGACGCTCGACGAATACCAGTGCCTCGAGAAACAGGCTTGGCGGTCAGCGACTCCTCTTCCAATCCAGTCCCAGGAACATGCCATCTTCCAAAACTTTGTGCAACACATTAGTAGATGGGTAAGCTGCAGATACATCCATTCGAAGCTCGTGCAAAGGAGTAACAATCCCTGTTGGCGTTAGATGGACCTATTTGAACCTAGACGGCCATTTGGGACGCTTGTTCCTCAACTCGCAGTAAGTCATCCATACGTCACCTGCTTTGAGTACAGGTCGGGATCACAATGCTGACGAGCTTCCATCACACGCTTCCAGATGCATAATACTGGGCTACTCAATGCCGTGCTCGCCCTATCTTCACGTCACCTCTCTCTAGGCATATACCCAGCCGGCACACAGACTCGAGACCCAAACGATGCCCTACGATACTACTACAAGACCCTTCACTACATACAAGAGGCAATGCAATACGATACTTACAAAACGAGCCTCGAACTCCTCGCGACCAGCGTCACTGTATCGGCATACGAGATGCTTGATGGCTCCAGACAGGATTGGGAGAGACATTTGAAAGGTGTGTTCTGGATCCAACGCTCGCAAGTCATACACGGCGATTCCATGGGCTTGAAGCAAGCTGTTTGGTGGGCATGGTTATGTCAGGATGTCTGGGCCGCCTTTCGCGAGAAGCGTCGTCCTTTCACATTCTGGCGCCCACTGAAAACATTAGACGATCTGGGCCCGTCTGAGTTAGCTGCGCGGTCAGTCTACTTCTTCGCTCAGGTGATCGCATTCTGCTCGCATGAAGAGACCGAAGCGGGAAGAAACGACCCTCACGCAAGAATCGCGGCGGCCGATGCATTAAGAGAAATGCTGGAAAATTGGAGACGGCACCTGACGGCCGAGTTCCAACCACTCCCATTCCCAAGTTCTCCTGATGACGTCTTTGAGCCGATCTGGATTAACCCTCCGGCATTTGGTAAGCTAGCCTTCTTGAAATCTGACGGGCAATTCTAATGACTATCCACAGCGGTAGCTTTCCAGATCTACTACTGTTCCCATATACTGCTTCTCATGAACGTACCTATTCTGGGCGGACTTGAGCAGTACACTCAGCAGCGCAAGCGTCTGATGGAATGCGTCAAAAAGGTGTGCGGTATCGGCATGACACTGTCAGACTATCCTTCAAGTGTTTTGTGCTCTCAGGGTCTATTTATCGGTACGTCTACCCTTCCATTGTAGGAAACCAATTCTAATCCAACGAAGCCGGCATACCTCTGGAGAATAGCCGAGAACGGGAGTGCGTTCTCGATCTACTAGAAGCCTGTCACAATCGATCAGGCTGGCCTGTAAAGCCACTCAGCGAGGAGCTGAAGCTCAGATGGGAAGCTTCCGACGCCTAAGGATACCCAGAACCCACTTGCATTCATGCCTGTCCCGCTGATCCACAAATCTCCATCCACTCCTTCGTCTGCCGGATGACATTGCTCGTACCCTCCTCGATAAGCGTAGTATGCGGCAGCCGCGTGACCTGGGACCGGAGATGGGTGTAATAGTCGTCCAGCACAAGCCTGTTGACGTTTATCTTTGTCGCGCCCGCAGCGATGCACTGCTTCATCAGATCTGGCGGGAATCCGTTAGTGCCGTGGAGAGCCACCCTGACTCTGCCGGCAATCTGGGTGCGTATCCTCTCGAAGCTGCGAAAGCATTATCAGTATCCCTGTCGACGAGGCGCTTGAACAAGAAACATTGCTGCACTCCGGGCCGTTACGTACCGTTCAAAGTCCAATTGCGGACCCAGCTTTCCGTATTCGCCGTGTACATTGCCAAACGCCGGAGCGAGAGAATCCACGCCCGTGGCGATGAACTCATCAACTTCCTCGGCAGTAGTCTTGCTAGCCTCCAGCCCGGCCGTGTCCATGACGCCGTCTTCAGCACCTTCTATTCTCCCGGGCTCGGCCTCGGTCGCAATCTTGCGCTCGTGGCAGTACTTGACCCATCTCGCCGTCTTTTCCAGATTCTCCGCCTTTTCGTAGTGGGACATGTCGACCATGATGCTGTCGAACGGCAGGTTGTCGGCTGCATACTGGATAACCTTCTCGTCCTGCGCGTGGTCGAGGTGGATCGAAATCGGAACAGATACTCGAGATACTGCTTCTTTGGCGGTCCGGACGAGCAGGCCGTCGGCATAAGTGACGGCCCAGGGAAAGAATTGGATGATGAGAGGTGAACGGGCTTCTTCGGCTGCGGTGACGAGGCCGTGAATCTGCTCGAGGTTATATGCGATGGCCGCGATCACGCCGTATTGGCCCTTTTCGGCTTTTGTCAGGATCTGAATCGTCCTGTTCCCATCTTTCCAGTTTGCCGGCACAGTCATATTGGCAACAGATGCTTTCTTCAAAACTCGCTTAATGTGTCTGTCTTTTGGAATGATTACAAAGTCTCAGACTAGACGCTGAAAGTGTGCTGTGTATTTCAATCATTCTTAAGAGCTGATGAATATGGCGATGATGCGTAATATGTTTGCAGTTGCAGGTCATAGGCGCGCTCCGGACAATCAGTGGGGTCAACGTCGTCTCGAGGGAAAGTTTGGACCCTGGCCCCCGGCACGATCTGATCTCGGGGCGGGACTGGACGATCTTAGTTTCGCGGGGTGGACTCCGGAGGCGGGTTGATGGGTTCTGGGACTTTTCAGCTTGGACTTTTCTTTGATCAAATCTTTCAGTTAACAAGCTCTCATACGAGTCCATAGGAGTCTTGGTCAGGAGTCAAACATCGGCTGAGCGAAGCAAAGGTAAGCCGTTCATTGCCTTTCCCGCAAACAGCACCACCCACCACGCACGGCTCACAATGTCGACCAACACAGAAAACCTCGATTCATGGCGCGTCCATGACGAGACATTTCACGAAATCATTGGTACGAGCCCATCGCTGGATCTAATACTGCAAATCGACTCGTACCCCTTCGCTCACGAAGCCGGCGTATTCATTCCATCAACCGGTGAACTATTCGTCACCAGCAATCAGTTCGCGGACAAAGATGGCTCTAAGAAGGTCCAGATTTCCAAAATAACATTACCCGTCTGTGGAAAGACTATCAAGCTTGAAGAGATCTCATGTGCAGAAATTGAGATGGGCAACGGCGGCGTCAACTACGGCGATGACATTCTCTTCTGTGCTCAAGGCTCAGTGACACAGCCTAGCGGTCTGTTTAAGATGTCAAGATCGCCACCGTATACGACTGAACCGGTCATCACTACCTTCCATTCTCGGCTCTTCAACTCCGTCAACGATGTTGTGATCAGCAAAGATGGAAGCATATGGTTCACTGATCCGCCTTACGGTCATGCGCAGGGTTACCGCCCTCCCGCGACCCTACCTAGCCAGGTCTATCGCTTTGATCCGGCGAGATCCTCGATCCGGGCCATGGCGGACGGGTTTGGCAGACCAAACGGGATTTGCTTCTCGCCTGACGAAACTACTGTCTATGTAACAGACACCGATCTTGTCCACGGCGATGGTTCAATAGACGGCAATCGCGCTTCCACCATGTAATTTTCTTAGGCCATACGCACACTGAAAACGTTTCCTGTCATAGGCGCGCGGACTAACGACAGTATCAGATATGCCTTTGACGTTGAACAACGCCACGGACAGCCCTTGTTGCTGAATCGAAGATTATTTGCATTCGCCGATGTCGGTATACCAGACGGCATCAAGTGCGATATGGATGGCAACGTCTACAGCGGATGCGGGGATGGCATTAACGTCTGGTCTGCAGGCGGTGTTCTACTTGGTCGTATCCTCGTCGACGGCGGTGCCGCCAACTTTTGCTTTGGGCGCGGGGGCGAGCTTTTCATACTCAACGAGCATCGTCTTTGGAGAGCACAGTTGAGCAAGTCGGTCAAGGGTGCGCTTCTGGGAATCTAGGATTTTTGATGGGTTGATGCTCTGGTGTAAGCTGCCATGGCTGCATCGCGGTCAGTCACCTGAAAATGGGAGCCGGATCGGGAACAACGTCTTGTGGCGTGCATCGTCGGAAGTCCGCCAGATGAGGATGGGTTGCATATAAGAACATCAACCTTGGACAAAGGCACCAATCAAATTCTACGAAGCAACAATAATTTTACCATTTGATGGCGGATTTGGAACTCACCGTGCGTGCGGCCTAAGTTGACGTGTGCTTTACTTATGGGATCTCATCAGGTGACATGTTAATGATGTGCTACCCCGGAAAGGCGAATTGAACCCCTCATGTGGCAGTCGAATTGCTAGTCGAACAACTATTGGCACAATTGACTTTGAATAATGCCAATCAGTGAGATGCATCAAGACTAGCCCATTCAAGATCGATATCTCTTCCTTTTCCGTCAGAATAGGAATTTGTACCTTTTATCAGGACGTAAAGATATCGGAACTTGTCCGCACGCTTTCGAATCTGACGTCTATTCTCAATCCCGCAACTATCCGCTGGTTCAACCCCTCTCTATCTATCTTGGCTCTCTTTTTATCGTCCGGCGTCGTATTCTACCGTGGCGAATGGCCAACTGCCGTTGGTTCAACACCGGTCGATAGCGCAAGGACAGGGGCGCTGATCCTCGCGAACGCATGCACCCCGCAGGCCACGTCTGGCAGGTCAGGTTATTTTGGGGGGAGCTCCGAGCCGGAAGAGCATGCGGGGGTGATACCGGATAAGTCGTGTATGGGACAATCGACCCCTTCTGTTAGACGGCGTGATAGCGCAACGTTGATCTGGGAGAATGCAACGTTGTTGGATGGACAATGCAGTGCAGCCCGGTTGGGATGAGGAGATAGGTGCGCGCCCTCGTTCCGTTTGGAGATGTGTTTCCCCCATGTTGGACGACCTATCTCGCCCGATAGCTGGGCCGAGACCCGACTCCCCCGCCTTCCGCACGCCACACAACTCTAAGTTGGACGACAATTGCAGAGGTATATAGCCTCGGTGACTTCCCCGGAGAGATCATCACGCATGATGGTATTACTTCACAAGCATCTCGTCAGTCTTTTGGCGAGTAAAGCTTTCAACGGACCCGGCAGTACACGGCGTCGATTCCACGGGTAACAATGTCCGGAAAGGTGGAGACAGTCGGAGAAGAGCCGACCCCGGCCCGGGAGGAGGATATCGAAAAGATCCCCGCACGGGTGGACAACCCGGAGCAAAAGATCTCGGATCAGATATCTCACGAGAAGCTCGAAGAGCTGGCACCCAATGGAGAAGGAGAGTACATCTTGGAAAAGATCAACGAGATGACGGAGGAAGATGCCCTCGAGATCATTGAAGAATCGGTCGAGTTCTTCAAGGATGACTGGAACTTTCCCTCCGATATGAGGGAGAGGATGAAGAAGCTGCTCGAAGGGCCAAAAAAGTACGGTGAAAACTATGACCGCGACTTGAGGATCGATGCCGTCATGATCCGCTTCTCCTCGCCCTACCCTGGAGTTCGCGCCGTGGCCGAGATTCTGGACGACCAGAGCGTGCCAATTGAGACGTTCCGCGCCTATTTCTTGGGTATAGGCTGGGCCATCATCGGAACCTTCATCTCGACGTTCTTCAACTCAAGGTTCCCCGCCATCAGTGAGTACCACGCCTAGTCAATCACCTCAAAACCTCTTCCTCGAAATTTTGCTGAAGCCGAGTTTGTGCAGGCTTAAGTGGTCAGGTCATCCAGATCCTGCTGTTCCCATGCGCCAAGGTCCTCGAGTTCGTTCTTCCCGACTGGGGCATCACCGTCCGCGGCACGCGGCACTCCCTGAACCCGGGACCTTGGAACTTCAAGGAGCAAATGTTTGCGACGATCACGTACAATATTGCCATCTACACTACCAACAGTTACGGCATGATCCTGGTGCAAAAGTCGCCAGTCTACTACGGTCTCGACTTCGTCAACTTTGGGTACCAGCTGATGCTCACTCTCTTCGTGCAACTCATGGGAATGGGTTTCGCCGGATACCTCCGACGGTTCAGCGTGTACCCCGTCAAGGCCCTTTGGCCGACGATTCTGCCGACCATCGCCATGAACAGAGCGCTCACCAGGCCGGAGCCTAGAGAGAACATCAACGGGTGGACAATCTCGCGATACAAATTCTTCTACGTCTGCACCATCTGCATGTTCGTCTACTATTGGTTCCCAGGCTACATCTTCACAGCTCTCGCGACGTTCAACTGGATGACCTGGATCTCCCCCGAGAACGTAACTCTAGCAATCATCACGGGATCCTCTCTTGGTCTTGGCTTGTTCAACCCCATCACCACCTTTGACTGGAACATTGCCACATCGTCGTACGCTGCTTTGGCTCAGCCGTTCTTTGCGACGTGTACAATGTACATCAGTGCCATTCTGGGCGGTGTCATCATCACTGGCATCTATTACACCAACATGTACAACACAGCGTATCTCCCGATCAACTCCTCGTCTGCGTTTGCCAACGACGGCACCCCGTACGTGGTGCAGAATGTAGTCTTCAATAACCAGCTCAACGAGACTGCGTATCAGGAATACTCTCCCCCCTTCTACTCGGCTGGCTATCTCCTCACAGTGGGAGCCAACTACTGCTTCTATCCGGTTTACTTCTTGTACATTATGGGGTTCGTATTGCGAAACACCCCACCCCATACCCAATGGCTAACACGAATCACAGAAACCAATGGAAGACAATCTCCCAAGCATACATCGACTTCTACAAAGGCCTCCGCCACGGAAAGGGCAACTACGAAGGCGCAATGGACATCCACAGCAGACTCCTCGCAAAGTACCCCGAGGTCCCAGACTGGTGGTTCCTCATCATCCTCGTCGCCGCCATCGTCGTCTCCGTCATCTTCCTCAACATCTACCCCCTCGGCACCCCCGTCTGGATCGTCTTCCTCATGATCGCAATCAACCTCGTCTTCGCCGTGCCCCTCTCCTTCCTCTCCGCCACGACGGGCACGAACCTCGGCCTCGGCGCCCTCATCCAGGTCATCACCGGCTACCTCCTCCCCGGCAACACCAACGCCTTCCTCTTCTCCCAGACGCTTGGGTCGTGGGCGCTTGCGGGCTACGGCGACAATTACGTCCAGGATCAGAAGATGGCGCACTATGCCAAGATTGCTCCCCGCGCCGTATTCCGAAGCCAGATTGGGACGATTATCATTACTTGCTTCGTGGCTGTGGCTACGCAGAATTTCATCTTGGAGAATGTCAAGGGGCTGTGTACCCCAACGCAGCCTAGCCGGTTCACTTGCGCCAACGATGGTGCTCCCCTTTACACGAACAGCTTGATGTGGGGTCTTCTTGGCTCGGAGCGCATGTTTGTGTCTTTCTATCCGATTCTGAAATGTGAGTCTCGAATCCGTTTAAGCGCAGTCGTAGTTTGGAGCGCATTTACTGATAGTTGGGCAGGGTGCTTCCTCTTTGGAACTGTCATCGCCATTGTCTTCCTGGTTGGCCAAGGCTACGGCCCAAAGTACCTCCCGGGAGTTCGAGAAAAGCTACGGCTGAAGCTGAGCCCAAAGACATTTGCTCGTCTGGACAAGACTCTCTTCCCCTTCGTGGCCTCTCTGCTATGGCTGAACCCGGTCCTTGTTATTCAGGGCATCCAGCATTGGGCACCGTCAAACCTGTCATACAAGACACCCGGATTCATCCTCGGATACATCTTCATGTACTGGCTTCCGAGGCATCGTCTGGCTTGGTGGGAAAAGTACAACTACGTCCTGTCAGCTGCCTTAACTGCCGGGGTCGCCGTTTCAGCGCTGGTTATGTTCTTCGCTGTTGGATACAATCCAATCTCCTTGAAATGGTGGGGTAATACGGTGAGTGGTGCAGGAGTTGATGGATCTCAGATCGGAATTCTCCCGATTCCTGAGAGAGGATACTTCGGGCCTGAGAAGGGTAGCTTTCCCACGTAGTGATGAAGTTCTTGGCATTGTATTAGTGCAGTCAAAGGTGCGAGAACGGACACTACCCCTCGCCTGGATGAAAGAGAAGGGGCCCGGGATAGCCGGACAGAAAGAGGTGGGGCCGAAGCCCGATGCGGGGCCGCCGTCACGGGGCTCAATGCAGTTCGGCCGCCAATGTTTGACATTGATGGCCCCCCCTGAGTCCTTGCATGGAATGAGCTAGACATTTTCTCAGAAATATCTTTCTCGTTTACACGATCCTTACTTGAGTGATAGTGGCGAGATCCAAGTTGACAAGACATAATTCTGACGCTTTTTATGCTAGTATGTAAATGTGTTTGATCAAGTATGGACATGAAAATTCGACCCTTGATACGAGTCTGAACGAAATATGTTTGATCCCAATCCGAGCGAGAACGCCTTTTCTATTCGCAGCAACGCTGCATGCAATCCACCCCCCGTTTCAACACCCCTGGCTTTGTGACATGCTCAACGCATAGTCTTTACTGCTTGTCGAAGAGGAAGACGTTCTGCTCCAGCTGGCGAAGGTTGAGCTGCAACTAGTTAGTTCTTTTCTTCTCGTTGTGGCATGAACTCGACTTACGAAGCTGGCGCTGATGTTGTGAACATCAGTAGCGCCCATCTGAGCTCCATCACGGACAATCTCAGTCTTCATGATGTTGATAGCCTTGGTGACACCCTCGAGACCGTAGCAGTTGGCGTACATGAAGGGACGTCCCATACCAACGGCCTTGACGCCAAGGGCAAGAAGCTTGAGCACGTCGTTACCGTAGCGAACACCGCTGTCGGCGATGACGTCGACCTTCTGGAAGACTTCGGGGGCGTTGCGGTAGATCTCGTAAGCGATCTCGAGGGGGCCGGGGGTGTGGTCGAGCTGGCGGCCGCCGTGGTTAGAGATGTAGATGGCCTTGGCGCCCTTCTCGATAGCGAGGAGAGCCTCCTCGGCGGTGGTGATACCCTTGAGGATAATGGGCAGGGAGGTCTGGTTCTTCATCTGGTCGTAGATGTCCCAGGTCAGAGCAGAGGAAACGGAGTTGGCGTTGGTGGTATCGTAGCGGGCAGCGCGGTGACGGACGGAGTCACCAGGGGCATCAATGGTCCAGACGATAGCCTTGGCGCCGGTACGTTCGGCACGGCGGATGTTCTCCCAGGTGACGGAGAGGTTGGCGTTGGTGTAGATCTGCTGGAAGATGACCTGGGGACCGTTGAGGGTACCGTTGCTCTTGCCGGTGGCGATCTCCTCGATGGACTTGGAGGCGTACATGGACGGGATGTACAGGATGTTCTCGTTACCGGCGGCGCGGACGAGGTTCAGCTCGGCGTCCGGGTCTCCGTAGACGGCGCGGGCGGCGGGCGCGATGAAGAGCGGGGCGCTGAAGTTGTAGCCGAGGATTGTGGTGGCCATGGTCTCGTTAAGCTTGGTGACGTCGCTCAGGTGCTTGGAGCGGAGCTGGACCTTTTGCCAGACGTCGAGGTTGTGGCGGTAGCTGTACTCGCCGGCGGTGCCGGTGCGGTAGAAGGAGTACTTTTGGTTGTCGAGGTGCTGGCGGGCGGCCCAGTCGAAGTCGGGGATGGCGCGGATGTCCTTGAGGAGGGGGAGGGAGCCCTTGGTGTAGTTCGTGCTGTCGAGGTAGGTCTCGAAGCCGGTGTCGACCTCGTTCATCCAGGGCTCGCCGGCCATGGCGACGGCCAGGAGCTGCGTTGCGACGAGGAAGGACTTCATCTTGTGCGTTATGCTTGTTAAGAACGTGGGAAAAGAACGAATGGATGGAAGTGAGTGACGATTCTTGCAAATCAGTGTAGAAATTCTCCTGAAGAAAGTACGGCGACCCCAAAGAACTTATATGTTGCCGTTCCGCTCAGTATCCGCCAACATACCCCCCTACCCCCCTATCACGATGATCTCCATCCTACTTACACCGCTGACCTTGTCGGGTCATTCTATTCCCGGCGGCCTCAGGGTTGTGCCGCATGGGCTCTAGAAACCAAACAGTACTGGTTCATCTCATGTCCTGAGAAAAACAAACATGTCGGGTCTTGACTCTTGATCCGAGTCAACTGCCAAGGTTTCCACTAGGGCCTCCCTTGCTGCACGAGTCGAGAGGAGACGAAGGAAGCCCGCCCACTGGTTGGACACGATCTAATCTAATCAATTCGACGGATCCCAACTGTCTGGATTCCTTGGCTGAGGCACCCCTTCTCCGTGGGGGGCCATCGTCAGTCATCCTGACTAATTGTGGACGTTCTGGGTCCCAAGGGCAACCGAGCCTCACGCGAAGGTCTCAACTTGCCTAAACTGGATGGTTTTGGCGATACTTTTGACCCTCTCATGGATATCCTATCCACCATCGTCGGATCACCGGCGCATCGGCCTCTAGTTTAAGAGGGTTACCTCCTAGAGACAGAATTCTCCGTGAGGCGGTCTGCTAATGACCATACCGTCTTGGAGACGTGAGAAGCACCGTGTTAAGGGAAGAGTCTATACCACAGGAAGCGAGAATTCCTCACTGATAACCAAAATTGCGCACGCCGAGACCTGTCAAAATACCTGCCCGAGAAAGCAGGTTGATCGTAGTCGGATCCGGTCCTCCGAAGTCTTGGCTCGGACCAAGACTCCATGTCCAGCGGGTATTCAGTATCGACGACATTGCTCGCTTGCATGCGCCTGTCGGTTGTGTTTCTTCTTTGGCACTGGCTTGCTTTATGCGCGGTTTCTGTCCCAATGTAACGGAAACTCCGCCATTGTGGATATCCTTTTGGGATGTTTTGGCGGACTTTTTGAGCAGAGTTTGGACGAACAGGAAAAACGAGAGACCCTGGTCTCAACTCTCAAGTCCCAAAGAGATGAAATTAGGTTCTCGGCTCTGGGAGAAGAAGTGGGCCGCTGTCGAAATAGAGTGAAGGATCTCTTGTCGATTCAGAGCTTGGCGCGGATGCAGATTACTTCCCTAGTGAAAATCCCTGAGTTGGCTGATGTGGGCTTAACGGTTTGAGTTATTATTCCCCAGGGGGTTAAACGGGTCTTTAGGAGAAAATCCGCCTTCGTCATTGGGGCTCCGGAGTCCACCAGCTTTGCGCGAACTTGCTCTTCCTAGTGATTTGTGGGCTCTCTAATGATTTCATAACCCAAGTTTGGAGTCTCGCGCGCGGCTGTCCTTTCCACGAAGTCACCAACCCCACCGGAGAAATCAAAGTTTTGGATGACGGGAACTGGTGTACGAATATTCGTACGTGCTGTGGCTGACGCTATTGCCAAGGGCCTAAAGCTTTGTTGGATAAGTAAGTAACCATTTCTCAACATCAGTATTAAACAATGTAACGGGGTGCCGAGAACTAGCAGTGTCGTTTTCGGCATCGAAGAATGTTCAAAGGGGCATCACAATCACCACAAGTAAGACAGCCAAGTCTCAAACGGAACGCTCACGGAAATACGTAGTAAGGTAGTTTCCAGTACGCACGCTGCGGCTTTACAACATTTTGAACGTCCTAAAGTCCCACGTGCTCAAGGCTCTAGCCATGGGTGTTGACTATGGACTTGGGGATCAATTAAGATGAGGCTTTCTTGATCTGAATGACACAGTTGCATTGAAACGGGTCTTGTACTGATTCCAATGAGCGCTCACCCGAGCCGACTCCCGACGCGACTCACGCGAGCGATGGAAGACCCCCCACGCCCAGATCGACCAAAATCCGTGCTCATCCTCGCAGCCATCTTCAAGGTCTTGTAGGGCTTGGCTATGTGACGTTTGGGGAAGGTCTGAGATCACAACTCATTTCTGACCCCTGGAGATGGCGAAAGCTTGGACACATCTTGGGCAGCACAAGAGCTCGGAAAGGAAGCTGAGTGCGGATGATTGCTTTGCCCTGCTATCGAACGCCTTGAGCCGCAATCATGTGAAAAGCACGTTATTCAGGGTCAGTGACGCAATATTGAACCCGGCCTTTGTGGTTGCATTCAAGCAAGGGGTACTTCGAAGTTCTTAAAGGTCACAAAACAAGAGGTCACAAGGCTCAATTAAGACTCAATGCGAGGATATTGGTTGATTGAAGCTCACAATACGTTCTATTCTTGATTGCTGAATTGCTATTCTAACACGATGTGTGATGAGTAACTTACTTTTACTTCGACATCATGACCATTCATCGTCATTTAGCAGACTGGAATCATCGTCAGCGAACAGTTCCAGCACACAACACACAAGGTCTTGACTTACTTCCAATAACACCGTTCACGGGGATATCAATCGACGTCGTATAACTCGCCGCATCGCTCAAAAGGTACACATACGCGCCACCGAGCTCCTGGACCTCTGCCAAGCGGGGCATGCCGCCGTAATACTTGAGCTGCTGCTCCCAGTCCGGCTGCTGCGGCACCCAGTAGGTCATGGCCGTGTTGACGAGGCCGGGCGAGACGCTGTTGACGCGGATGCCATACTTTGCCCACTCCATGGCGAGCGTGTGCGCCATGTTGCGGACGCCGGCTTTGGATGCGCCGTATGGTGCCGAAGGGACGCGCTGCGCGTAGGTTAGTATGTGCTCGTTCCATCGTATTCAGGCTGGATAGATCCTATCTCGGCATCAACAGATACGACGTACCTTGTTGGGACGGTAAGAGGCCATGGAAGCCGTGAATACCACTGAACCCTTGATGTTCAACTTGATGAAAGCTCTCGCCGCCGCTCTGGCAGTGTAAAAGGCACCAAATAACTGACAACAATGAGTTAGCAACCAACCACCTCCTCCCGAAAACATGTCATAAACATACGTTGACACCAAACAGCGACTCAATCTCCTCCTTTGTGAAATCAAGCGCAGCCTTGTGGTTCGTCCGGCCAGCGTTACAGACGACGCCGTGGATCGCGCCCGCCTCCTCGACAATCTTGTCAATGGCGGCCGTGATGCTCGCCTCGTCGGTGACGTTTGCCGAGATGGAGAAGAGGCGGCCGGGAAACTGCTTGGACGCCGCGGCGAACTCGTCGCCGGGCTCCGCGAGGTCGATGGAGTAGACCTTTGCTGCGTTGTTGAGGAGGCAGCATTCTGCGACGCCGAGGCCGATGCCGCGGTTTGCGCCGGTTACTAGCGAGAAGATTTGTGAGTAAAGGGAGAAGTATACGTGTGATGTTTGCAATGAAGGCGCTATGAGGATGGCTTACCTGCAATGATCTTTCCGGATAGTGTCAGGATGGGCTGGACGGTGACGGCCTTGGGGTCAACGGCTGCTGCCCCTGTCTCAACTGCTGAAGGTGCCATGGCGAATGCTTGGAAGGTATCTGATATGACTTGAACTTCTGGAATAACACAATAAGGAGGCACGGATTGACTTCTGTTGGTATCTGTCTCGGTCGAAGCTACACGCAATTTCAACAGTGACATGCCAAACCCCCCCAGGGGTTCATCTGCTTTAAAAGCTAAAGCTACATGGTTTCCTGGATCTCCGAACACGCTCTGCTGGTTCCACATCCCCCCAATTCCCCATGCAGGTGTGTATCATGGCATCCTTCACATTGCAGCAAAGTTTGAGGTTTCCGTTTAGCTACCCTTCGTCATTGTCGTCCCTCGAGACGACTTCATCGTCTCATCCTGGCCTGGTTCGTAGAGTTTGTGTTCTCCACAATCGCGGGGAAATCTGGAGCTATTGCCCTCGAGACGAGCAGGTCGGAGTGCGGGATGCGGGGGAATCTCCACCATCAACACCCCCCAGTCGCGATGGACATCCCTCCGGCTGTTCGAGAGGGCTTTCTTTTTCTAGTCTCGGGCAGCGAGTCGCGCATACAACAACCTAATTGTGCTAGTTTCTCGGTACGCTTCCGTGTCAGAAGGGACCCTCGAGTCGGCCGGATGCCAAGTCGCGGCACACGAATCAATGCTTGAACTGGTGTAAGAGTGCCAGCTCGACTTTCGGATCCCTGAGCTAAAAAGCTACCCCTGCTTGCCATATGCGGTCAGGGTACTCTGAGCATGTAATAAGAAGTCGACGCAAAGATTGGACTGGTTTCTTTTTGTCAGCTAGACTCGCCACTCTCTTATCGTTTTAACTCCTGGATACCCAAAAGACAAAGAGATCACGATTCATAACATGAACGCCAACTTGATCAGATCTCGCCTGTTGCCGGCGGTACAGGCTGCGCTGCCCAAGCAACAACTTAGGAACGTCTCAACTCGCTCGGTGCAATGGGAGCTCAACACTGGCGCAAAGATCCCCGCCATTGGATTCGGAACGTTCCAAGACGCCGATGCCCAGGAGGAGGCCGTGAAGGCGGCGCTGAAAGTCGGATTCCGCCACATTGATACTGCGAGAGTGTAAGTGCCTCCCTCCCACTCTGACCTCATCACCCAACATCAGACAACCTAATGTCTGTATGTTAGCTACGACACTGAGATCCAAGTCGGCAAGGGCATCAAAGCCAGCGGCGTCCCGCGCGAGGACATCTTCCTCGGCACCAAGCTCTGGTGCAACTCGCACCACCCAGACGACGTCGAGGCCGCCCTCGATGCCTCCCTCAAGGACCTCGACACCCCTTACGTGGACCTGTTCCTGATGCACTACCCTTGCACGTTCCAGCGGGGCGAGGACCGATTCCCCAAGGGAAAGGATGGCAAGATGATTATGGGCAAGACGACGTTTGTCGATACCTGGAAGGCGATGGAGGCGCTGCTCAAGACGGGCAAGGCGAAGGCCATTGGCGTTAGCAACTTTAGCAAGGATGAGGTGCAGACGCTCATCGACAAGGGATCAGTGGTAAGTCTTACTCAATCTCAAGAGAATAGGAAAGAATGGAAAAGTGGCGTGAGAGCGTGCGGCTAACTACGACGAAAAATAGGTTCCTGCCGTCCATCAGATGGAACTACACCCCTACCTCCAACAACAATCTTTCGTCGACTGGCAGCGCGCAAACGGCATCCACATGACGCACTTCTCCCCCCTAGGCAACCAGAACTCCTTCTACCGCGAAGTCTCGTGGTCCAAGGAAGCCTCGCACATGGCCCGCGTTATCGACCACCCGACGCTCGCCGAGATCGCGAAGAAGCACGGCAAGACGCCCGTGCAGGTCGCCCTCGCGTGGGGCGTCAACAGCGGCCGGTCCGTGATCCCCAAGAGCGTCATCGAGTGGCAGATCAAGGAGAACCTCGAGTCGGATTTCCTGCTGGACGGGGAGGATATGGAGAAGATTGCAAAGATGGACCTGAAGGCGAGGTTTAACGTGCCGTCTGAGGAGTATAGATGGCAGTTGTACAAGGGGCTTGATGGAGTTCAGTATTGAGTGGTGTTTCTTTGGCAATTGGGATCAGGGATGTGAATAGTCTTTAGCAAATAGATAGATACTGGACCCAGGAAGAGGGTCAGTGTTGTAAGTTCAAAAATAGTAAGGATCTTTAGATACTACCGATGAAGTCACTGGGTTTGAGTGTTGGCACCAAGTACGGACTGAATTCGTCGCAAGCTGTAGGCTTATGTTCGTCGAAAATTTGGCAGCGCGCGGGATGATGTCCCCTTAGTGCTTACCAGACCAAGGACCAGTGATTCTGAATGATGATCTGTAGTGTATCCGACTGCCCAAGCTCAAAGCGCTTCGATGCTCGGAAAGGAGGAGTCCTGGAGAACGGTCAAAGATTGCAGTCTTGATAGTGAGGGTTGTATATCGATGAGCGCACTAGCTTTTAACTACTCACAATATGGCAAATCAGGAGGCCAGAGCTCAGATTTGTGTTGTTTGGCCTGGCGAGAGAACCACAGGATTAGATTCACCGTCAGGATTCACCAAAAAACGAGCTGTAATCTGTCTGGTTTCGCTACTCAAAGCAGTTCAGCCATACGGCGGGTATATTGTATTTAGAGTCTTCACGTTGGTAGTACAGAAATCTAAGCAGATATCTTCACATCACATCACATCAAACCTCATGCCTCCGTAGCCCGAAGCAGATATCGCAAAATCCCCTGCACAGCACTAACAACAACCCTCGGCCTCTTCCACCACAAGAACACGGCTCCCACAAGCAGCGGACTGCATGCCAGCGCCTCAAACGTCTTCATCAGCACCTGGCCCTGGTGATCGCTCTTGGCCACTACCTCAGAGTACCGCTCGTTCCCGAAGCTGACGCGCGAGTACTTTGTCTGCCACCCCAAGCCAGGCGCATACACCGACATCTTCTCCTCGAGCCACTTGCGCAGGCGATACCGCGGCGACAGCACCGACGCGCGCATCTCGACGTAGTTCTGCAGCGCCAGGTCGTTGATGGAGTGCGCGTCCGGGACACGGTTCGCCGTGTACTCGGCCAGCGCCGCGCCGCGGTGGTAGGCGACGGCCGTGTAGGTGTCTGCGTCTGCTTGGTCCCCTGTCGGGTCGTTGGCCTCGGCTTCCGCCAGCCGGCGGTGCTTGTCGAGGATGGAGAAGAGGATGCGAACGTCTTCTAGGCCTGCGTTCATGCCTTGGCCGTAGAAAGGGACCATGGCGTGGGCGGCGTCGCCGACGAGGACGGCGGAGGCGTCGTAGTGGTGGGGGCTGCACTTGATGCTGATCAGGGGTAGGTGGGGATTCTGCTTGAAGGATTCGATGAGGTCTACGGATGGGATCAGGTCTGTTACTCCCGGGAAGTGCTTGTCGAAGAAGGCTGGTAGACTTGACGGGTCTTGTTCAAGAGCCTCTGTTTGATTGTTGGGGAGGAATAGTGTGCAGGTAAAGGAGCCGTCCTGATGTGTTGTTAGCTGATTTCGCTGAAAACAAGGTCTTGAGGCACTTACGTCGCTGGGTATGGCGATGAACATGAACTCCTTGCCGGGCCAGATATGCAGGTGATTCGGTGAGATTCTGAATTGCGGCTTGCTGTCCGGCGAGGAAGCTTTGGCAGGCTTAATCTGGAACTCGCACCAGAGGGTGTCGATGTACTCTTGCTGGTAGTTCATCTGAGCAAACTTCATCAAGTGAAATCTGACGGCGGAGTGCGCGCCATCGGCGCCAATCATGAAATCAAAGTCAATCTCAATCTCTTTGGCGCGGCCGGTAGCTGAGCCGGACGTCATGTCCTCGAACCACGCCTTGCACTTCTTGAAGTCTGCGCCAGTGAGCTTGTGGCTGAAGAAGAACTTGACATTCGGCATCTCTTCGAGGATGTCGAGCATGCGCTTATTCAAGCCAGCGCGGTCCACGGCGTAAATGGCCTTGTACAACGATTAGCATGACGTTGAAATGGCTGGCATCAGGGGCGAGGCTATGCTCAGTTGACTCACTCTGCCGTGGACATCGTAGTCCTGCGAGGCCTCGTACAGATCACCTTTCGGGGTCCTGCCGTGGATCATGCGTCCCCGCATGGGAATGGTGGCGCCAAAGACATGTTCCAGTAACTTTGGTTGGCCAGCATTGCGCATGGCGTTGATGCCGCGCTCGGAAAGCGCCAGGTTGATTGACCGGGTGAAGTTTAAGAGCGTTGTTGTGGGGTCTCTGAGGTCTACATGTTTGCTACTGTTAGTCCATGTTCAGACTCGTATTAACTAGTGGTAGGTCGTTGTTGCTGACGATTGATAACGGCTTCAATCCACAGAGTTGCCGAGATCAGGCTCCTCAGATAAGGCAGAGCAGCAAACAAACACTATCTGCATCGCATCCACCAACGGGACATGATGGCAAACAAGACTATTGAATGCGGCAATTGGTGGGGCAGGATGAGGGGGAGGATCCATGATCTTCAACGGCGCGCTGAGCCGGGCGGGAACAAGAGACTTTGCCAAACAAAAAAAGAAAAGCGACAAGCAAACTTACCGGCTCTCAACTCGTAGATCTCAACCTCGTACCCGCGCTGGGCTGCGTAGAGCGCAGCCAACGAGCCGACGGGGCCGGCGCCGACCACAACGACCTTTTGGTTCTTGGCCATGTTTGCTCGGATGAGAGGTTTACTGGTTTACTGGTGTCTTCTCTCTCTCTCTCTCTCTCCAGTTTGAAGAATTGGGAGAGGAAACTTGAAGAAACGTTCACATGTAATAGTGGCGTGAGAGGGAACTAAGAGAACTCAGACAGCTCGCATGATGATTCGACCCTCTGGCGGGTCAAGCCGGCCGGATGAGAGGATTGAAGGGGGAACAGGCGTCAACGACTTTTTTTCTTTACTAAAGGTTCTTCTTTCTGTTTCCAACCCCCGATGCCTTGCGCATAGAGCGCAGAGCGGCGCAAGTCGGATTCGGTCGCTGCTCGGTGGTCTTCGGCTCGCGGGTATTCCCCGGAAGCTCCGACAAGGGAAGCTCCGATCAGAGACTTTTTCTTTATTTCAGGTTTCTTGCAATTCGGTTGTTCTTTGGACCCTTGCCGTGGCGCATTTGAGAGGAAGTGGCTGACAAACTCAATTATTTGAACGCTGTCTTATCGTTATCGATAGATACGTTGAGTCTGTTATCGATAAGGTAGTGTCGTTGCCATCAGTTCCCGAGATTGAACCGGCCACCAAGAAAAAAACAAGTGCCACCAAGCACTTACAGCTGCCCTGTGCAGATTGGATTGCAGCGCAGCGTGGTGGCTGTTGGCTGCGGGGAGCAGCCGCGCCCAGGCGCCTATCACACGGCGTGGGACATGGAAATATTTCTTTCGTCAGGTCACTTTTTTGTTTGTTCGTAGCCGAATCGTCAAATTTAGGGCGTGTGTTTGAGAAACTGCGCCGCCGCCTCGTCTGCCCGAACCCTGCTCCAATTCCAGGGTCCTCATTCTTTCACTCCTCCACTCGTCGATCATCGTCGAGAAATCTTTAGCTTCTTTTTTTTCCGAGTTACCAGGGAATATTTTCTGTACTCGATCCTATCTAATCGCATACTTGTACCCCTCCACGACCGCCCACTATGACTGAGCCTCCCGCGAAGAAGATGTGCCTCGGCGTCGACTGCCCCAACGAGGCCGGCACCCTCCAGTGCCCGACCTGCCTGAAGCTCGGAATCAAGGGAAGCTTCTTCTGCTCGCAAGACTGCTTCAAGAAGAACTGGGTATGTCGCTCTAAATCAGCTGCCATTGCCCATGGCTACATGTTGAGACACCGTCCCCGCTGACTTCCAATCGCAGGGAAACCACAAGTCCATGCACAAGTCTGAACAGAGTATACTTCACCATGTCCTCCCGCCAAAGGTCGTCTCTAAACCAGATCCAGAGACAGGTGTATTCAACCCGTTCCCGACGTATCCCTTCACCGGACCTCTCCGACCCGTCTACCCTCTGTCCGAACGCCGTACCGTCCCCAAGCACATCCCCCACCCCGACTGGTGGAAGGATGGTATCCCCAAGTACCCGAGAAGCATCCTCAACAGGAACAAGGTCGACATCCTGGATGCCAAGGGAATCGCCGGCATGCGCAAGGTCTGCCGTCTAGCGCGTGAGGTTCTAGACATTGCCGCCGCCGCCGTCAAGCCCGGTATCACGACGGACTACATTGACGAGATTGTCCACAACGCCTGCATAGAGCGCAACGTAGGTTCCGCTTTACCTCTGGGCGCATATGGTGCGCGCTGGACAGGAGGAGAAGAAAAAGTGCTGACCAGATTCAACCACAGGCCTACCCGTCGCCCCTGAACTACAACCACTTCCCCAAGTCCGTATGCACATCGCTCAACGAGGTCATCTGCCACGGCATCCCCGATCAGCGCGTGCTCCTCGACGGCGACATCCTCAACATCGACGTCACCCTCTTCTTCGAGGGCTACCACGGCGACCTCAACGAGACGTACTACGTCGGCGACCGCGCCAAGGCCGACCCCGATGCGGTCCGCGTCGTCGAAGCCTCCCGCGACTGCCTCGACGCCGCCATCGCCGCCGTCAAGCCCGGCACGCTGATCCGCGAGTTTGGCAATATTATCGAAAAGATTGCAAAGGAGAGGAACTGCAGTGTCATCCGCACGTACTGCGGCCACGGCATCAACTCGCTGTTCCACTGCCCGCCCAACGTTCCTCATTACGCCAAGAACAAGACGGTGGGCGAGTGCAAGCCCGGCATGACTTTTACTATTGAGCCAATGATTGCGCTGGGCAAGTACCGCGACGTCACCTGGCCGGACAACTGGACGAGCACGACGATTGACGGCAAGAAGACTGCGCAGTTTGGTGAGTGATGTTTTGCACGCGATTCTCGATTCTATGGAAAAGGAAGCTAACGCAAATGGACAGAGCACACTCTTCTGGTGACTGAGGACGGAGTAGAGGTTCTCACAGCTAGAACGGCCACCTCGCCCGGTGGGAAGATACCGATGCCTGGAACGAACGGCGAAGAGAAGGAGACCACCGCATAATTGACATCATTAGCATGACGAGCATAAGCGAGTACAGTGTAGAGTACGAGAGGCGTTGAGGGAGAACTGATGAAGGTGTACCACGTGGCGAGCGGACGCCGGGATGGTAGCATGAAATGTGAGCAGGTATTGCTCTGGCATAGAGAGTGTTTGTGGGGATGATGCCATAAAAACAAAAGCAATCGGCGCGCGACGGGGTCAATTGGCGTCGAATATCAAAAACGATTGAAAGTTGACCACGCTGAGAGAATGCCACACGAGTGTGCCACAACCGTCTGCCACAACCGTCTGCCACAACAGAAGCGCATGGTCGGTCCGAGAGTACCCTGTCCCATGTGACTGGAGACGACAGCTGTCAAGGGCAGAGGGATGTGCCGGGGACATCCTGCATCGCCGTCATGTTGACGAGAGTTCGTTTTGTCAACCCCGCGATCATCAAGGGCCCGGCATCGGTTCTGCTCAAGCCAGCAAGCACGGAAAGCCCGCATTGTTTCTTGCAGAAGCAGACTTTCACGTGATACATATGCTTGGATTATGGCACTGCTCAATTTGCCCTTGACCTAGACAGGCGCAGATGGAGGGGAGTTGGAAGTTGAACCTGGACCTTCCCAGCCACCCGGTGGAGATAGTGCGATGGCTTTCCACCCCGCCGCCGCTGTCGCACTTCACCCGCCGGGCAAGCCTCACCGAGCGAGGGGTTGCTTGAGCGGTAACTGACGGTGGATAAGATAGGAGGACGGGATCTGGGATTTCATCATAGCTCTCCGTAGTATGGAGGGATGGGAGTCGCCGGTCGGAGCGCGATAAAAAATCCTTGCTGCCCTCCTTCACAAGAGAAGTTGATCTTGCCATCCTGGGCCTGTGAGATGTCAATGTCAATCGGTACGTACCCTTGCTGACGCAACTGGCACCTGTGAAGTGCACCTCAGTTGGGTGGGAAGTGGAGTGGCGCTAAGCCCTTCAGGGTTTTCCCGGGGGGGCTATCTGAGCCCTCAGCACTGAACAGCAGCACTGACTGTGGTGAAAGCAGTGAGGTGGACTGGGCTTTGGCTGGGCTGGCGGGGAGGGAGGGGAGGAGAGCCCTGGAGGGTCTGGTCCCTGTGGCCCACGGCGCTGTGGGAGACCTGAACTAGCAGTGGACAGTGCCCGCAGGTGAAAGAATCACACAGCAAGGCATGGAGCGGCGACTGGCGAGCCTCTTTCATCATCAGACGGGCCCTGGAAGAAGAGGTTTCCCAAGCCCCGTAACCCACCCTCCCGATTTTCCACGACCCGACTAGTGGCTCCCCCGTCCCTCGCTACGCAACGCTACCCCGACGGGCAAACCAAAGAACCATCGACCAACGGAACTCTCTTCACCACTTCACCTCGCTCTCCCAACTCTGTCTCTCTCAACCAGGTGTTGTACTTCCTCCACCTCTTTCAACCACACAACTCCCACAGCTGCCTGACCAACGGACAGACAGACATACAGAACACGTCTGCTTGTCACCTAGACGCAGTCAAACCCTGTCATCCATCTACCTACACATTATCCGTCGCCGCATACGCAGACACAGAGACAGAGCTCCATCTGCATCCGTCCCTCCTCCTACATCACCCCAGTGACGTCGAAGCATTCCACCTGCCCGCACGCATACAAGCTCCAAGCAGCCTCGCGAGCCAAATCAAGGTCCAACGCCGGCCAAAAACCACGAGCCGCAACTGCACTCGAACTGCTGCCGTTGTCGCAACTCTATCCTCCCTTCCATCCAACCTATAAATTTCAAACTCGCGCAGCTCGCTGCCAACCTCCGTCAAGATGTCCGGCGAAGCGTGGTTATACCTCTTCGCGGTGCTGATAAATGCCGTCAACCTGTTCCTCCAAGTCTTCTTCACCATCATGTACAGCGATCTGGAATGGTACGTTGCCCCTCGTCTTATCCTTCCACCTCCTGTTGGACCACTCTGTCTCTATACTGCTGCTGCTCTGGCTGCATACTGCATGGCGCACGCCAGCTTCTTTCTGTGCTCGGACGAGCTCGAGGCTAGGCCGTGCTACATGCTGCGGAGCGGGCAGACGCGATAAACTGTCGTCCCATAGTCTCTACAATTGGATGCTAACATGACAATCCCTACAGCGACTACATCAACCCCATTGACCTCTGCAACCGCCTCAACACCTACATCATCCCCGAAGCTGCCGTCCATGGATTCCTGACCTTTATGTTCCTGATCAACGGATACTGGGTACCTTTGATCCTGAACCTGCCGCTCGTGGCCTACAATGTCAAGAAGTGCGTTCCCCTCAGAGACTCGCCTAGTGGTGGCAGAACTCAAGAAAGCTGACTTGGCCCTAGGATTGTCGACAACACCCACTTGTTGGATGCTACCGAGATCTTCCGCAAGCTGAATGTTCATAAGAAGGTAACAACCAGAATCCACTTCAACGCTAGCTAGCCGCGTCTGACAACCTTGTGCAGGAATCATTTGTGAAGCTCGGCTTCCACCTGATCATGTTCTTCTTCTACCTCTACAGCATGATTGTCGCCCTCATCCGCGATGAGTCCTCCTAAGCGGTGGAATTCAACCCTGCGCACAACACACAGGACGGATACCAGTATATAGATACCATGCCACGTGGACAAGAACGGACCAAAAGTACACGCTGATGCGCTGCCATCCTCTAGACGATGCACCACACGGAGCTACTATCCAAGGGGGAGAGGGAGAGGCATCGGGCGGGCAACCGCTAGACATGGAGGGGCAGTCATGATACCAGCAATGCGAGGTGTCAAAAGGAGAAATGACAACTGAGAGATATGGTGTCCCGGAGTTACGGGCAGAGATTGGTGTCTCTGTTTGGATTCTGATGATGATGAATGGGAAAGAGAAAACGGACTATCACACACACAAATATGGTGGAAGGGGGAACGAAGGAACGAACTGGGCGGGAAGACGGGTTACGATGCGAAAGACCAAATACCTAGCTGTTTACTTTATGTTGCTGCCAGGCCGGCCGGTCCTGGGAGCGGCGGGTTGCGATAATTGAGTAATGACAGATCTTCTGAGTGTCTACTCGACTATTTCTTTGCACCTTTTTGACTTGCTGCCCGGAACTAGACTTTTCCAACACGACTGTTACTTCCAGATATCCCTGAGTGTGAGAGTGCTGTGTGGTGCCAAAGCTACCCAAGCTTTCCGTGCGCTTGTTTGCGCCTTGAACCCGAGCTTCGAGGTTGGAAACCGCAGATCCCAAGGGTAGCTCCCCAATCCTGACATCAGATCACGTGACAACAACTTTTTGCTGCCGCGACCAGCAAACCAGCAACATTTACGACCAAACATTGCGACTCGGTGACACAGCAACCTCCACTGCCAATTTCCTACGACAAGACGACAGCACTCACGATGTCGGGCTTCGGAGACTACCCGCCAAACATGGCGCCCCAGGACGCGCTCATCGTGCGACAAGAAGCCGAGCCCGATCACGCAGTCGTCCCCTACACTGGCGAAGACCTCGCCCGACCGCGCGTCGGCCCCGCGAACCCCTTTAAAGACGAATCGGCCCTGACGCTGAAGCGCAAGAACGTTCTCACGGGTAGAGCGGAGGAGACATACATTTCAGAACACACATTCCGCAGCAAACACCGCGCTGTCGAGCGAAAAGGCGGGCCGGAGAGAGAGTACCAAACAGGTGCGGCCGTCAAGGAAGAGAACGCGCGGATACGGTCCGGTCGCGAGGGTAAAGGCGATGCGACTATCGTGGAGGGTGATGGAGCATACTTGGGCCCCTGGGCACGGTACCGCCGCGAGGAGTACGAGGTCGTCGGCGAGGGCGAGGCGCTGGCCAGCGATGAGGAGTACGAGGAGGTGACGGACGAGGACGACGATGTGGTGGAAAGCGGAACAGTGCTGCGCGCGCCCGAAGCGGCGCTGGCGCGGAGGAAGGAGGTCGAGGCCATGGGCGAGGAGACGACTAAATTCCACGGCGCCGAGGAGACGGATTACCAAGGCCGGACGTACATGCACGTCCCGCAGGACCTCGACGTCGACCTGCGCAAGGAGCCGGGCAGCGTGACGAACTACATCCCCAAGAAGCAGATCCACGCCTGGAAAGACCACTCCAAGGCCGTCACGGCGCTGCGCTTCCTCCCTGGGTCCGGGCACTTGTTGCTCTCTGCGTCGGCGGACAGTACGGTCAAGATTTGGGATGTCTATCACGAGCGGGCGCTGCTGCGGACGTTTTCCGGGCATGCCAAGGCGGTGTCGGACGCGACGTTCAATAATGACGGTACGCGGTTCTTGTCGGCGAGTTTCGATCGGCAGATTAAGCTGTGGGATACGGAGACGGGCACGTGTCTGAGCCGGTTCTCGACGGGCAAGACGCCGCATGTGGTGCGGTTCAACCCGTCAGCGGAGCACGCTCACGAGTTTGTGGCGGGTATGTCGGATAAGAAGATTGTGCAGTGGGATACGCGCGCCGGCAACGAGATTGTGCAAGAATATGGTATGTTGCCCACTTTCTGTTTTCCTCTTGTCCGAGCCTTGAAGAGTAGGATGAGTATACTAACACTGCACAAGACCACCATCTCGCCGCCATCAACACAATCACATTCGTCGACGAAGGCCGCCGCTTTATGACGACCTCGGACGACAAATCCCTCCGCGCCTGGGACTACAACATCCCCGTGCCCATCAAGTACATCGCCGAGCCCTACATGTACCCCATGACGCGCGCGGCGCCGCACCCGAGCGGGAAATACGTCGCCTTCCAGTCGTCGGACAACCAGATTGTCGTCTACGGCGCCAACGACAAGTTCCGGCAGAACCGCAAGAAGTCGTACCGTGGGCACAATAACGCCGGCACGGCGATTGATGTGAGCGTGAGTCCTGACGGGCAGTTTTTGGCGAGTGGTGATACGCAGGGTTTTGTGTGCTTCTGGGACTGGAAGACGTGTAAGATGTATCACAAGTTGAAGGCGGGTGATCAGGCTGTTACGTGTGTTGCGTGGCATCCGCAGGAGACGAGTAAGTTTGTCTCGGCGGGGGCGGAGGGGGATATTCGGTATTGGGATTAGGGCTCTTCTTCTTCTGCTTCTGGAGATGAAGATGCTGCCCGTGTTTTTTTTTATTGTATGGTAGGCATTGCTCGGCGTTGGGAAGGGGATCAAAATGATATCGCCCGTCAGTTGTCTCTTCAGAACAGCCATCTTGGTGACTTGGATCTAACCCGTATGGTCTTGGGTCAAATACCATTTACATTCAGGGAAATCTTGCTTGGCATGACTGGTAGAGCACTCGCTCCTTCAATAATCTACCCTCCCCAGGCACCCAATGGTATATCGGGGAGTACCTTTCCCCCCCCTTGTTGTCTTTGAGATAGACTTGAGTGTGTCAGATGTAGTTGAGATGATGAAGCTGAACATCTGTTGTCTTGGTGAAGGGTGGGCGGTCCTTCTAGGCTGACCATCGATATCTTGGCCATCTCAGCTCGCGGAAACCTGTGATAAATATACTTCAATTACTAGCCGCGGATCTACGTTACCTTAAAAGACATATGTCACCAATAACGCACAGGAAGGGGCCTTCCAAGCTCCAACTCCAAATTTACCTTAGTACGCGCAATTCGGACGGCTAAGCCTCTACTTCCTAAATTAGTAGGCTGCTCTGCACGCGCGACGCACGCTTTTACCAAGTTTTCCCCGCTAATTCAGGGGAGAGAGAGAGGGAGAGGTACGGGAGTCTTTTTGGGGGGGATGTACCGGAGTCGGACTACGTTTAATGTGTGTCAGACGCAGCCGGCCGCGTTCCGATGCGGCCTTGTTACCCCAACGTTATGTACCTGTATGCGTGTCTCACTGCTTTGGGAGGGGGGCGTGATCTCGCAACATCATATGGTGACCGAGGGGGAGGGAATTTCAGACATCACATGGTCCTTTTCTTCAACTTCCATGATGGGATGATGTTGACTACCGACCACTTCAATTCAATCTTTTCCGAATCTTGGCTTGTGGGTTGACACGGTCACTCACTTCTGGAGATCATTCCATCACGATTTCGGGGAAAGTGAAAAGGTATAAAGAAGATGGATTCAGTCTACTGGGATATCTTCCCCGACACAGAAGACGCGGAAGACGCGCAGAGCGAAGAGGAAACCAACGACAACGCCTGTTCGCCAGACATCAAGGTGCCCTGCGACAGATGCAGACGCAAGAGACGCCCATCATGTAAACGCTGCAGGGACCGCCAGCGCCAGCTTCACCTTCAACGCCAGTCAAATCCACACTCTCATCCTCGGAGGACGCGGAAATCGTCTCTCGAAATCGCATGTTTTCCAGATCGGTCCTCGTCTTCGGACTCATCCTCTTCTTCTTCAAATTCGTCACATCACGCTCATCCCTCACCACCAAACTTCTCTACCTCTACCACGGCGCAGGACGTAATCCCAGAAGTCGCCCTTCAACAACCAGACGACGCCCCAGATACAACAGCGCAGAAAAGCACGCTCACCGTCCCTGGCGGACCGACTTTCGCAGCAGTATACACCAACTCCCCATCCTGGATGTCGACGTATACCTCGTCAACCTGCGCAACGACGTACACCACCACGCACGAACGCTCTCGCAGAGACGGCTTCGGCAGCGGGGAGAGGGGTGCCGGCGACGGGACGAGAGACGGGTGGCTGGATGTCCGGAGGCGGAGGAGGCCGCCTTATCCTAGACGTCCGAGGACTGTCAGGCGATGGGGTGACGGGTCAATGACGGCGGGTGTGGGAGTGTCCTCGAGGACGATGTCTGGATGGGGCGAGGAGACGGTTGAGGGGTGGGATGAGGGGGAGATGGAGAGCGGGAGTTATTGTGTTGTTGAGGGGGCACGGTGGGAGGAGCAGAGGTTTATTACGTCTAGGAGGGCGGCTCAGGGGATGGGAATGGCAAAGAGTGGTGCGCGGAAGGGGAGGAGGGAGGCGTGGAGGGGTGTTGTTGGGTATAGTTCTAAGAGGAGGACGAGGGTAGTTCCGTTGGCTGAGCCGCCCAAGCCGAGCATTCTGGTCGATTTACTTGCGATGAGAATGGGGATGTTGACGACGAGATTGGTGGAGGGAGGGGGGAGGGGTTTGTGGGGTTTGCCGTATGTGGAAGGGAGAGGGCATTCCCGGGTCGTGTTTGCAATGGCGTATGTGAGGGGGACGGCGCATGTAAAGGGCCTCTGGGGATTGTTGGGTGATAGATGTGAAGACGGTAAGGGCTTCTTAGGATCTGGTGGTGAAGGAGGGGTTTGGAGCATCATGTTGAGATATCTTGGGGGAATTCTTGGCTTCCCTAGGCGTGAAGGACAAGATGAGGTGGATTAGCATGATCCATTTGAAAGCGACTGGCCTGGCATCGTCGATACCTTCATCACAAGATTGCTAACTATCATCATTTGAGACCTCGTGTATTCTTCTATCGAAAATCTGAAAGGCACTATGCCGTCTTCCCATCCTTGGTCTGAAATATCCTCAAGACCTGTGCCCTCAATGATAGGCTTCCTCATGCTTGGTCCATCTGCTTCCCAAGACCATTGTCCTCAATAACCGAGGAGGACTATGCAGGTATTATAACAAAAGTAGCGCAGAATGATGTGATGCAATGTAGAAGGTCGAAACAAACACCTCAAGCGGGAGCAGCCTCCGTCTTCTGACTACGAAGGCCAGTTCTGGTCCCTGGCGCCGCCGGCTTGACAGGCTTCTTCGTCTTCGAAGCGTTGACAGGCTTCACCTCTGCGTCGGACTTAGCTTCTTCCTCCTTGATATCCTCCTTGACATCCTTCTTCTCCGTCTCTTCATCGTTCTTCTCGGGCTGCTCCTCTGCCTTGAGCTTCCGGGCATTGAGCTCTGCAGTCGTCTTCTTGGATGTGGTAGCAGCTTTTTGGGGCTTGGTATTGGACTGCTTGACCGTTCTGGCCTTCTTAATGGGTCTCTTGCCAGACTCATCGTCTTGGATCTTCTTTTCCTCATCTTTGCCGTTCTCTTTAATATCCTCCTCTGTCTTACGCTTCTGGCGCTTGGGCGCTGCAGTTGTCTTTTTAGGGACGGCAGCAGGCTTCTTGGTTGTTCTAGCCTTCTTTACGGGCCTCTTGCTAGAAGTTTGAGCGCTCTTATCACGATTCTGCTTCTCCACCGCTTCATGGTCCTCTTTGGGCTCCTCCTCCGCCTTGCGCTTCGGTGGCTTCTGCGATGCAGTCGTCTTCTCGAGCGTGGCCTTGGTCGATTCGGCGGGATTCTTCTTCGCCTCTGTGTCGTCCTTCTTCGGTTCAACTTGCTTTTTGACGGGCGCCTTTCTCTCCGTCTTTTTCTGCTTCTTCGAGTCTTTCTTTTCGGAGTCCTTGTCGTCAAAATCTACTTCCTCGGATTTTCTCTTGGAACCAGCCAAAAAAGACACGTTCGGGGTAGCACTGGCCGAGGAGCTGATAGAGCGACCGCCCAAGGTTGGCGCGATACTCTTGACTGCGTCTTCCATCTCGATGCTAGGAAGAGGAGCCGCCGAGCCCGTCCGCGACGTCCGCGAGCTGCGACTGCTTCTGGGACCCCATGCTCCAGGAAGACGGCTGGGACTCGTCGGTCCACTAAAGTACGACGAGTGACCAGGCGGGAAGAGTCCGGGCAGGTTAGGCGGCTTGCCAATGACATCTTCGATGGTGACCTCGACCTCTGCGATGCGGCGCTCGTTTCTGGCGCTGCGGGAGTCGGTGACCTCCTGTCTCTCCTCGAGCTTGTCCTGCTGGTCTTCAAGTTTGTCCTGGCGCTTCTTGGTTTTGGTGTTAGTTTTGCGAAATTCCGTCTTCAGGTCCTGGAGTTGGGCTGAGATGGTATTTTGCCAGCGGATGAGATTTACCTGGGTCTTGTAGACGAGCTCCTCACCCATGTCGAGGCGCGCTCGGAGGGCTTGGATATGCTCGAGGCTGGAGTTGCGAGGATGGAAGTCTACCAGAATTGGCTTTGATGACTTCATCAGGGGGTGCTTGTGGGGTGACGCCGTGAGGTATCGCTTGCGTTCGGCTTGGACTGGGGGCGTTCTCATGGGCGTGAGCTTCACCTTGGTAGGAGGCGTGCTGGGCGGAGTGCTCTTGGCGGGAGTCTTCTTGACTGGAGTTGTGAATTTGGCCGCAGCGACGTACTCAGTCGAGGGTGTGCTTTGAGCTGGAGATGTGCTCTCAGCGGGGGATGTGGTCCTGAATGGAAATGGGGAGGCGAAATCGTCTCCGTTCTCTCCGTCCTCTGAAGGTGAATATTCCTCAATCCCATCTGCGGTCGTGTCATACTCCGTGCTTGGGCTTCGGGAGGTTTGGATCTGATATTGACCAAAATTCTCTCCAGTCGGGCCAGCGAGGGCGGTCCTTCCTCCCGAAAATCCAGCTTCCGGGGAGGAGCTCGGCGCCATATTGGCTTCAGGCACGAGATATGCTGTTACCTTCATGATGTGGGTAGGCAGGATGAGTATGAGTGTAAGTGAGATGATTTGGAGAAGATGGAACGTAGGGAAAAGGGCGTTGTGCAATGTGAGGTTGGGGTGGTTCCTGTGTGAGTGTGGATTTGCGCGGGTGAGTGGGCTGTTAAGTTGAGAAAATTACGAGACCGCCGACAGACGGAGAAAGGACTCGACCACGAGGGTTTTTGAAGAAGGCGCCTTACCATCCGGCCTTACCAGGCGCCCACTTGTTCAGGGTTTCCAAACATGTTTTTCAAAGGGTCCCCGGGTTGTTTCTTCACCTCGGTCAATGGGAACAAAGGCCTATTTCTTTTTTCACCGGCGGTAAAGACTCAACACAAGCTGCAGAACATCTTCAAAGGCATTGTTTGATTGTTCCCAAGTCATCGAGTCCTTCTCACAATGAACGCAGCATATACACAGTTAAAGCTTAGCTATTCGAAGCCCCTTACACAGTCAGATGTATGATATTGATCGGTCACTTTGGCCCGCATACGACGTAGCTTCCCTTTTAAGGATCATCCCCACCGTGCCTTCCCTGAGCTGGCCGCCAGACTCGGACCAGTATCTTGCAACAAGCCGAGTGCCTCGTCTCACTTTACCAAAGCTGTTTCTACCAGCAACCAGCGTTTACTGGACAGGCTTTAGGACCATAAGATCGATCAACGAATACGCGACCTCGGCCGCGGCGAGCACAGTCGTCTCCCCGTTATTATCGTAGGCAGGCGCGACTTCGACTACGTCGGCACCCACAACAGAGAGGCCCTCGAGGCCATCGAGGATGGTCAGAAGCTCCCTTGTAGACCAGCCACCCGGCTCAGCAGTACCAGTTGCTATAAAAGGTCAACTTCCATTAGATATTCACGTACAATCGACTCACCGGGTGCAAAGGCCGGATCAAGTACGTCTATATCAACACTGATATAGACTCGAGAGTCTCCGACTCGCTCTTTGAGCTTCGAGATGACACCGTGGGCCCCGAGCTTGTCCAAATCGCGTGCTGTGACAATCTCGAAACCACATCGGACGTCGTTGCGCAAATCACCCTTTCGTCGGATCAAAGGGGCTCTGATTCCCGCGTGAATTGAGGTGTTCAAGATCAGATGCTGGGCTTGTCAGCTTCTCGTGAGGGGAATCTCGACTGGCGCAACCAAAAGTACCTCTTCGTGGGCGATATGAAGGAATGTCCCATGGTTAAGACCCCTACTGTCGGTCAGAATGCGTCAGTGAGTATGAGTGCGTGCCTCCACTTACGCGTAGTCGGATATCCCACCACCTGAGGCGCGAAAAGGCAGTCCACGTCAGCTTCCAAGGCATCAGAGCTTAGCAGAGGATTACTTACCCAAGACTAAGGGATCCCAGGTGTCTTCGTAGATGGTAAGCTAGGTACGATAATCTTCTGTCAGAAGTACTGACCGATGTGACTATCAAAGTGAATGACAGACACGGGGCCCCATCTCTGGTAGGTCGACCGTAAGGCAGACAGCGTCGTGGTGTGATCTCCTCCGAGCGTGAGTATCCTCGGCGTGTTTGACACCGACGAGTTCGCTGCCGGCCTGCCCGAAATGACCTTCACTCCTGTAGTTAGCTCCTACTTTCGAGATTACTCGGCAGAACATGACTCAACGGTGTGGGCTTTGTCCAGAAGCTTTAGCGAAGCCATGTTATCCAGCCAAGTCAGACGGGCATCGCCACAGTCTACGACGGTCGCCCAGTCTTGCAAAGGGTTTCTTCCTAATGACCATGCCTTGTCAGATGAAGAAATTTTTTGATGAGAAACCCATGCAGAAGAGTTACCTGTGTACACGCTCCATTCCCCGGGCGACTTTCTCTGACTCCCGCTTCGAATGGCAGGCGGACCAAACCGAGCTCCAGGACGGCCAGTGGTAGTCTGCCCCGATAGTCAGACGATCCTTTTATTAAGAATAGATGATAGAAGTATAGTTACTGTGTCGTGGGACGCGCCAAAGACCGCAATGTCATACTTATGACCCTCTGCATGCTCATCAGAGAAGCAGTCTACAAAGGGCAAGTTGGCAAACGTTCTCAGACCGGCAAATGATGTAGCGCCGTAGATATTTATATCATCATCGTTATCCATGCCCAGTGGCACTTGATGACCATGAGGTAACTGGAGGTTGTCAAATGCTTGGTGGGGGACCTTCCAACTAGTCCCGCCATGAATGTGAAGGATGAGGAGGGAAACATGCAGCAATGACAAAGTATACATCTTTCATCAAGAAAGGCAGTTTCTTCAAATTTCTGACTTGTTGTAAATTGGCTTTCAAGCAAGAAGATTGAGATCTTTCTTGTTTTCTCAGAGGAGCAAATAGAGCATTGCTTGCCGTTTGAACAGAAGCATGTCAACGTCATCGTTTCATTGGCCCCCTCCCCCTGTGCCTTATCGCGACCCCTCAATGAGCTCGGCACCAGCCACATGTTCGTGTAAGTGGAGGTGTGGCTTGATTCCCCAGAACTGCCCTTCCTTCCCATTAAGACGTCGATTTCGAAGGGAAAGAACGGCTGGGGCGATGATGGTCTTTCTCAGAATGGAAGATCACTAAGGTACGTGAGGCACCTTACTGGAGGGCATGGAATTTGAGGTGGATGTTCCAAATCGAACCTCCCGCCAACATCATCCTTCCACCATGCCCTCGACCATCAACCTTTGCATCAGGCATCAGTCACTCTCGTTGCAGTCCATCTTTCCTCTATTGTCAGACCATCTCTGGCTAGGTTCATCTTTACCACCCTGTTTTCAGTATACTATAGATTTGGAATACACCTCTATCCTTCTCCATGTCGAACGACATACCCTCCTCTCGATCCACAGCTACGAACTCCCGCCCATGCAAGACCCTTCGGAAGCGAGTAAAGTTCCAGCAAAGTGAGCACGACGGCGCAGTCGACGATGACGATAACACGGAAGAAGGACCCCCGCGGCCACTTCCCAAGAGCGACTACAGATCCCTATATAAATGGTGGAACGACGAATACCGCCTAGTCGCAGTATGCGTTGTCGGAGCTATCGTCCTAGGAATCATCTTCAAAAGCTACGACGGTAAGCCGATCCCACAACTGATGAATAGCAATCTCGACTTCGATGTCATCATTGTAGCCATGTTCACCTGCGTTCGCGTCGCCATGAGTGGAATTGTCGAAACCTCCATCAGCCAGTCTGCCTGGATATGGGTATCTGAAGCCCGGCAACGTCGCACCAACGACAGCCGAGCCAGGTTGGAAGACTTCAAGATATACGACGAGGCGTCGCGCGGGCTTTGGGGCAGCCTGTATCTCTTGTGGCGATTGAGAGGAAGGTAGAGTCGTGGAACGCCTGTTCTCCTTGCCCCTGGTATCATGCTGACTGACAGCGTGCCAGACATCTTGCTTGTATCGGCGCCTTGATTGTTATCCTTGTTCACGGACTCGAGGCATCCTCCCAGCAGCTTTACCGGTACGAGGGCAAGCCACAAAAAATCGACCAACCCGAACTCGCGGCACCCGAGAGAAGCGATTTGTAGGACTATACTGTCTCCCGTGGCCTTGATCCACGTAGGTCGCGGTGCATCGCTTGACACAGATAGTACTTGCTAACGCCTAGCAGTACCGGCTCTCAACGTGTCTACCAAAGCCGCTGTATACAGCGGGATCCTCTCCGTGGATGTCAAGACCCTTGATCTCGATTGCTCTGGTATCAACTGTACGTGGCCCATCATACCAACACTGGGAGTCTGCGGCGAGTGCAACCCTCTAGAAATGAGGACTATATGTACCGACAAATCGCAGACGTGTCGGTACAGCTTGCCCAAAGGCACGTCAGTGGAGATCAGCCGGAATGCCCCGACCACTGAGCGATTCAAGACGGCCGCATCGGAGGGCATCATCCACCGGTTTAATTCAACGACACAAACATACATATCCGTTTTCGACGTCCTGTGGGTTATGAAAAGCAAACGAGAGACGAAAAGTGTTGCTCAGGAATGCGCCCTGTGGTTCTGCGTGAAGAGCTACAACTTCAAGATCACCGAGGGCCAGCTAAAGCAAAATATCACCAAGCGTTGGCCCACGACACGGTTTGAACTGAGCAACAGCGCGCACGGGGACGAATACGTCTTTGTTGATATCCCAAAAGACATGAACGCCGCATCAGAATCAAGATACAGCGTCTCCAAAAAAGCACTGGCTGCGCTGCGGAGGTTCGTAGACCCGCTTGTCGAGACAACGTACGAGAAGCAGTACACGATCATCAACTTTTCGTCAGATTGGGCCGAAGGGATCTACAACGCGAGAGAAAAACTGCCGGAATGGATTGACCGGTTTAGCATCAGTCTGACGAATGAGGTACGACTCCACGGCGAAATTCGGGACAAGGACCGACATCGATATACTGGACATGCATATGTGATGGTGCAGGTCATTTTCGTAGACTGGATGTGGATGTTGTTCCCGACAGGCCTCATCATCATCAGCATCTACCACCTCTTTCACACCATCATCAGAGGCGCTCGCGACGGCATATCGGTGTGGAAAAGCGATTCGTTGCCGATGCTCTTTTGTCGGATCGATGCCTCGATTCTCGCAAAGGTCGGCGATGGCATGGATGTGCCCAACGGACTGGATGAAGCTGTCGGTGATGTCAAGGTATGCTTATTGAGGGAAGATGATGGCGACTGGGTGTTCAAGCCAATCGAAAGCGAGGAGTCGTCTTCTTCATCGTCGTCTGAATCTGATTCTGGATTCTGACTGAGAAGCATCATGGTGGTCCTAGTCAGAAGTCAGAATTGGCGGTGGTACGCATTGATACGATACATCATTTCATCCTAAGAGTTCCTCCACCGAACAAGGGCAATTGACGTAAAGGAGTGTGAGCCTGGGAGGTGTGTGTCTCTTTAATTCCGCGTTCTGTGGTCCCTGGCATGCCTGGGCGGAAGAAACCCGAAAGCTCGGGGCTCACCGTTCATGATGACGCTAATGACTCGACCCCAGCCGTCAGTTGGGGAAAAGGTTCGTCATGTTTGATTGGTCTGTATCGCCGAGCTCATGTGGAGTTGTGTGTTGAGTGACCGTAAGTCGCCGCGGCGACTCGGCAGAGGTGGTCGGCAAAGGGATGTTCTCGAATTGACTGACTCTCATTTGCTATGTCAAATTCATCCCTCCACTTCGCAGTTTCGCAGTCTTCGGCCCCAAGTTCTAGCCCCATGTCCAAGGTAAAGCACTACCCGTTCGGCATGCAGTTCGCTGTGACTCTGTGAGGGTGAGCGGATTACAGATCATTAGTGTTTGTGCCAAGTCGGCGGAAGAGACGAGTCAGAGTATGAGATTGAGAGAGAAGGCCGATTCCGATCATTCCGACACAGACCCGGCACAGGCTTGGATGATAGCTTCCCCTGGTCACAGCTCCCGGCTCTGCAGGATGCCAACTCAGGCTCGAACTCCGTGTCGTCGTGTCCACCACCATGCCGCCCCCCAGACATCTAGCGTCAAAGGATCGTCGACGGCTCCAGACCCCAGAATTTCGACTCCAGAGTTGCCATGCAAGCCTTTCCCCTCTTCCCCACACCCCGCAAAGTGTTCCCGTCTTCCGTCTTCGGTCAAGTCGCTGAGTTCAGGTCTCGGAATCTCAACTTTTTCACCTCTTTTCGCGTCATCTGGTCCCGTACTCAGTCTCTGTAGACGAGCTTCCCCTTGCTCCAATCCCTCATCTTGCGGATCCCCAGTGAAGAACCCTCGCGCGATCCAACGTCTAGATAATGGCATCTGAGACCACACCTCCCGAAGCTTCCAAGCCCAAGTCGCAAACCAAGGTCCGCAAGCGCGCGCCAAAAGCCTGTCTATCATGTCGCGCTCGCAAAGTCAGATGCGACGTGTCTCAGCGAGGTCGCCCATGTATGAATTGCTACCTCGACAGTGAGAACTGTGTTGTCACTGGGCGGGCGTCACGGTTGTGAGTTAACTGTAATTTTATCCTGCCTCGTTGGTAATATTAACCCAGCGAACAGTAGAAGAGCACAACAAAGAGATGGCGTCGACAGCGCGGAAGGCGCATATCCTCAGTACGACGCAGAGGCTGGCGAGCAACTTCTTGTCGTAGATCCCATCACAGCAACGAGCGACGACTCTCGGCCTATTCCCTCAAACGAATCAGACGCCCAGCCACAAACCTGCAATCATTCCCACGGCGACGACATCACAATACCAGCAGCCACCGATCGACCAAAGAGCCCGGTGGTCGGCAACAGCAATGTTCAGCATGAGCATCCCAAGCCAAGTCGTCACCACGCCCGCCCTTCGGTCGCGTCGACAAGCACGTACGAAGCTTTTCCCTCCAATTCCTTGCCATTGAACAATCAACCCTTCACGACGCCATATACCGCCGGACAACAGAGCACAATGGGGATAGACGTCACATACTCATTTTACCCGTTCCTGGCACTGGGCAATCTTCACGGAATACCACCACAGGACGTGAACTATCTGGAGCTCCAGGGATGTCTCAGGGTGCCAACGCGCGCCATTCTAGACGAGTTTGTTCAACAATACTTCCTGCACGTCCACCCATTGCTGCCAATGATCAATGAGGGCGACTTTTGGGATATCTACTGTGTGAATCCTACCAGTTACGTGCCTGGCGAAAAGCTCTCACTGCTCGTCTTTCAGGCAATGCTGTTCGCATGTTGCAATGTACGTCATTCCAGTCAATCTTACAGCTTTGCATCTAACATCAGATAGTTCGTCTCCCGCCAGACTATCAAGACTCTCGGCTTTCCCACAGTACGAGCCTGTCGCGCGGCTTTCTACAGACGTGCCAAGCTCCTTTACGACCTCGAATCCGAATCGTCTCCCCTCGCAATCTCACAGGCCTCACTCCTCCTCTCTTTCTGGTCTTCGCCCACGTCCCCGGCTTTCCGCAAATCCAACACAGCGTGGCTCTCCATCGCCATTCAAAATGCGAAAATGGTAGAAGCCCATCATTACGCCACCCGTACAGCGTCTCCCAAGAAGCGCAACCTCCTCAAGCGGCTCTGGTGGTGCTGTATCATTCGCGACCGAATTGTCGGTTTAGGTCTCCGCCGCAGTCTGCAGATCACGCGAAGTCATTTCACTTTTGACGCCAATGAGAGTCTTGGTTATTCGGACTTGGCGGATGAGATTGAAAGGAGCAGAGTGTATAACCCAGGCACGAAACGATGCTTGGCTGAGATTTTGGAGCAACTAGTCGAGCTCTGTGTCGTGCTGACTGACATTCTGATCCTGGTGTTTCCGCTCGACGACAGGCCGGGATGGGGCAGAGAGATGCGAGCTGAAGAACAGGACAAGGTGCGAGTTTGCAAGGTCGCGCTACAGAGGTGGTACAAGGGCGTGACGATGCGGTTCCCTATGTTTGGTGGCGGTTCTGTCGCGAGGATGAAGGCTCCTGGAAACGAGTTCCAACACGACTCGGTGATATTGTACACCAATTTGATGTATATGTACTATCAGTAAGTTGCTCCTTGGATCATACCTTCCTAACGGTCACTAACATCTGCTCAGTTCCTCTCGAGTTGTCCTCAGTCACCACGAAGTCCTTCACCTCGCCATCACCGCCGCGGCACCATCGTTCAACGCCATCCCGACGTCCGATCTCATCATCATTGGAGAGAACCGACACGAGCTTCAGGATGCCGCTTCCGGGGTAACAGAGTGTCTCAAGGAACTGATTCATCTTCGACTCGCACGCTGGCTACCCATCAGTGCTGTAGCCTGCACCGCTTTGCCGTTAGTCCTGCACATCCTTGACGTGAAGCTATCAGCCTCCTCGCGATCCTTCGACCCCAACACACAATCAGCGCTCAAGCAACATCGCCTGAACATCCTGATAGAGGCAATGAAGACCTACCAGCCGCAATACGATGGTGTCGACTGGGTCAGCGAGACGATTCGACACATTGTTAATTTGGCGCAGATCGAATCGCCAGCACCAGGGGAATCTGCAACAGCGACCCCAGGCGGCGCAGTCATCGCAGACTGGACCGACATCCTCGCCTCTCAACCCTCCTCTTACCTCCGCCTAGCCCTGACGATGGACCTCTCCCTCAGCAAAGGTCGGCTTCCCGAAGACGGTGACTTCCCAGTCAGTCTCCGAGGCCTCTTTACAGGGGGCTTCAATCCTCTCAAGGCGCTCCTGGAGCGTAAGCGGAACGAGAGCAGGGACGCGAGCAGGGATGCGGGCGCGGGGTTCTCAGAGGCTGCTGAACATGCCGAAGATCGTATGACGGACTTTGACGCCGCGGCGATGCGTGTCAATTTGTTCCGTATGCAGCCGGCGGGAACCGTAGCGGCCATCCCGTCAGACGACGACTCTACATCGCCCACGTCCGCCGGAAGCCACAGCCAGGACAGCGTCACGGACGATACATCACCGCGCACCGGGGGCGAATACCAAAGCAGCTGCGACGTCAACATGGCAGATCGCCCGCCGTCAGAAGGGATCGATGGTCTCGCGGCCGAGGTCCTTGCCGCGTTTCCCCTGGACGATCAGTCTGCGAGTGTGGCTGGCGACTTTGACGGCATGTACTTTGACGGAATGCCGGGGCACGATGGACCCGGGGGGTGGATCGAGACGGCGTGGAACGAGCTTACGCAGCATTCTGCTGTGCCGGGGTCCGGTGAGGATCGTGGGGATCGGGATACGGCGAGAGTGCTGCTTGATGCGTTGAGGGAGGGGGAACTGGCGGAGTGTGCGGCATGAAGTGGGAGTAGAGTAATGTATGAAGAAGATTGATGACTTGATGACCTGATGTATGCTTTTCCTGGCTTGGAATGTGTAGATGGATGGATTTTGGTATAATAATTACTTGAGATATGATACTCGGTAGTCGGAACTCCTTCGGTCACCATCAACTGCGTGACTTTTGTCCTCCTGAGTCCTGAACTCGGTATTGACATTCCTACGATGGGTATTATTCCAGTCCCAGATCTCTGCTCCTCCCCGTCAACTCGAACCACCGACAACGGCCACACAGTCAGAGGCGACGTGGTTCTCCCCCGCACGATGCAACTTTCGCACTTGGGGTACATGAACCCCCTTAGATTCTCCAAGTCCCCTCTCCAAAGTACGCTGCATCCACCCCCGGCCAAGGATGTTTGGATTTCAAGTTGGCGGGGTGGTATTGTCGATCTCGGTCTTCGGTGGAGAATCACGGCGAAGTGTGCCCTGGATATCCGTTACTCGGTATACCGGAGTTGACCGTGTTCAACCGTATGCTGTGTTGAGACTCACAAATGTGTAAGGGTGAAGCTGCCTTCTTTGTTGCATACTTCTCCAAAGCTAGGAGTCAGGAACGAGTCTTCTGCAAAGGAACGCATCGGAGGGTAAATGCTGAACGTGGGCGTACATTCGTGTACATGGTCAGTAACCCGACATCGTAGGTAGGCAGTCACCAGACTCTAGGCGAATCTCATTCATTGTCTGAATGAATCCATTCTCTTAAAATCAAAAAACTTTCGCCTAATAAGGGCGTCTATGTCTTGCACCCTGGGTATAGCTCATCTCTCTACGGTTGAAGTTGCGCAACTTTCCTCGCTGAACCAAATCGCACCATCTATCCCTCTTGCCAAAAAGTACCCATCTTCGCATCAAAGCTCCGCCGCTGTATATCATCGTGTCCAAATGTTCCTTCGATGCAAAATTCATGTAGCCAAAGATGTAGCCAAAGACCAAGATCTGATGTCGCTTCAGGACCATTCAGACTTGCGCGGGTCGAACTTACTGCAGTGTCCGCACTCGCAAATGAACCCGTACTTGTAGTAGAGCACAGACGGATCTTGACCGTACGAGATGGTCAGCTCCTCTCCCTCTTCGATCACCCAGTCTCTGACAGTGAATACTAATGCCTCGTGGCTGGCGCGGAACTTGTAATCAACCTTGGGCGAGCAGGAGTGGTTGAATCGGCCTGCGATGGCGAAGAGACCAGGCAAGTTCCTCTTAGTACCGGAAATGACGGGGACATACGCCGCAAAGCTGTCAGTAGTGTTAGTAAGTTGATGGCAAAGCGGTAAGATACAGGTTACTTACGCGTTCGTGTTCCAAACCGCCTCCTCGTGGGTCTCTCCTTCCCGACCGTCATGGCCGAACATATCGTTAGCTATTAGACGCTCCTTCTCCGGCAAAGATCTAGCAGACCTTGTCACATCCATATAAATGGCGTGATAGAGCGCCTTTTCGACGAGGATCTGGTCGCCTTGACGAAGCCTCTTGGCAGCAAAGGCGCCCCAGCCAGCTGTAGGGGATCTGCGAATTTCAAAGAACTCATTCGAGAAGATCGACAAGCGCTCCTTGGTGCCGTAGGCGTTCTTGTAGGTTGTAAGAAGTGGCAATTCAGCAGGCTGAAGAATGATCGGAGCTTCGATGTTGCTGAAGCCGCTGATAGGCTCCTCAGACGTCACGCTGCTGGCACTCGAGCTTGTTAACCACTCCGGGTAGTAGCCGTCCTCAATCTCGAAGTCCTCGTCATCCTCATCCTCTTCATTCCCATCACCATCTACCACAATACCTTGCGCGATGTAGACAGTTTTCCAAGTTATCTTAGAGTAAGGAAGAGGGAGAAGAATCGCATCAATGAATGCTTGGAACTCAAGGAAATCAGCCTTGGTTCTCTGTGAGTAATAGTGTAATAGCTGTCAGCCTAGTCCTTCCACTTTCAGTCTCAGGTCGCACTTACCTCGAATGTCTCGCTCAGGCTGAGTATAGTGCTGATAACCTCGGCTTTGACGTCCAGAAGAGCATTGAGGCTATTTGTCTCGGTGCAAAGTTTCGCCCGGACTTGAAAGTCGAGATAGAAGTCATCGCGGGCCATACCTTGCGGGCGAACCGTTTCAATAGGGAAGGCTTTCAAGTTAATGACCTCCATCATAAACCGCGGGACAAGTTAGTGATGGAGTTGAGAAGTTTCGTGCTGCCCATTTATTTGCTTCTCTTTACGGTCGCTCTTGGTGATTCTTTCAAGATTATATAATGCAAATCTGACTGGTGATGAAGTTGAGCAGAATCACGCTCAAAGTGATTCTCAATTGCCAATCTACTTGCTTTACTTTGTGGTCGCTCCCGGGAGTTCTTTCCAATGCAAAATACGCGACGCTGACTGGTAGAAGTCCAATGCGATTTTTATTTACTCACTTATTTGCTCTGTTGCAGTTGCTCTTGGTCGGCTTTTTGAAGCAACCAAGGAGAAGCTGGTTGGTGATGTTGTTTGAGCAGTAGCGTCCTGTCTCGCCAAGAAGATAGTCCTGCTTGTCTTTACGACCGGTGTTGGTAATTGTTCCAAAGCAATCCCATCAACCATGGCCCAGGCGTAGTACGCGTCGCAGGTCTAAGCAGCGCCCTCAACAAACCGGGCGTTGCTCCCCGTTTCAAACAAACCGCAGGCAGAGCGCTCGGTCCAGGAGGCATTTGGCCTGAGCAGAAAGCCAAGCCTCGTGGCAATCGAGAAACATTCTGACAGGTACCGCAGATCAAACTTGCTTCGGAAGAATATCAGCAAAGTGGTAGAGTTGTGTAAGGTGAAGTACCCAGATATGAATATGAGTCAAGTGGGTTCGTTCGCACGGTAGTGCGTACCTATAGATGATTTTGCTGCGCTTGTTAAACGTTCTTCCAGAGAAGACACTTGTCTGTGTTGACTTGTAATTCCAAAGATATGATGTATCATGTAAGCAAGGCTAAGCTCGACAGGACAAGCAACGTTTCTCATCAGACGTCGCTTTGCTTCTACTCATGCTTCACCCCGTCAGGAACCTTCGACCCTTGAGGTACGTCATCCAGCATGATGCTCGACTCAAGACACATGTCTTTCTGTCGATGCCTCGCTAGACTCCGCCATACACCGGCATGAGGCAATTGCTCCGTCTCTGCGCGACACCAAGCGTCTCTTGCGCCTTTTTCTTTCCTACTCTTCGTCCCTGCATACTTCAAAAACTTTTCCTTTCTACTCCCGGCGGCAGGACCTTGCATAAGTTCCGGACTACTTCTGTCAAAGCGCGAAACAAATGCCCCGAAAGAACTCGTGGCGGTACGCACATGTCAGGTTCCTTCCGGCTGGTTCCCCGAAGAACTCGCGTCTAGACGTTGTGGATATCGCAACACAAGTGCCTCATTGCTTTAGACCTCAGCGGTCGAAACCTTGCCTACTGTCGCAGCGTCGGATCCAGGGATAGGGCTGATGAGCATCCATGGCTGTGTCTAGGAGCATCCATGAAGATCCCGTCAAGCTCGTGGGTACGCGGGAGGGATGGAATTAGCCACAACAAGAAGCTGAAAAGGAGTTAAGGCAGGCCATGCAGTGGCTGATAGATGTACGTACCTCATCGCACCGAAGGAATGGAACTTCCCACGTGATGTCCGGAGCCGGTAGACCGGCGCGTTCTGTTCGCCTCGGACCCTTCCATGCCGCCTACTTTTCAAACTCTTCGTCAGGAGTCGCGTCTTATTCCTTCGCACTGCATTTCCCAAACTCGATGAGACGCCCTGTCGGCCGTTTAGCCCTTGAGTTCAGAAAGAGGGAGAAAAGTTCTTTCTCGGCACTGACACTTCTGGGAGCCCACAGACGAGCGAATTACTTGCACTGGGGGTAGGGTTGAACTCTTGCAAAACAGAAACGACAAGAAACTGTGCTGGTCTCCATTCGATGGAGTCTATCCGAGCTTCAGAGTTGCAAAGAAAGCTTCTCCTCCGTCCGGCCCCGCGTGCCGGGAGACCCGTTGGCATGGTCAGCCATGCCCAAAGCTCACGCCTCGTTCCGTGACTGGAAGACGCAGCAAAGACGCAGCAAAGCTCAATGTTTCTTCTGCCTTCTAGGAAGGGTTCCGGGTCCGATGTTCAAGCTCAATCCATCGTTTATCGTTGCAACTTGTTGAACTCACTGCCCAGCTTTCCATGTGTTACCCTCGTCAATTTGCATTTGGGTTCCTTTGCCCGTCTTGTGCCCGGAAAGGTGTACCGGTATCATAACCATCAGTTGTTTTGCCTCTCCCACCCCCTTGGGTAGTCTTGATCCGCCAGGTTTCCACGTCCGATCATCGAACGCAGCTAGAACGACCGGGTCTCGCCAGGAACCCATGCCGCGGTGACCCTACTTCAGACGGAGGATCACGTCCTCGGCCGAGTCTCAACAAGCGTAAAGCCCACATGCGCAGCAGGCACATGTCAAGTAGCTTGTTCAATGCAATGCGCGAGCCTCTTTTTTATCGCTCTACACTTGACTTTCGTTGCGTTCCCTCCTGCAGCCATGAACCGTCCTTGCTTCGGCATTTCGTCATACGGCCCGATGGGATGCCATGCCATGCCGCAGAACTTTCCTTCAGGGTGCAGCCCGCCGGGGAGATATACAAGCCATGGACGTCCCCGTCTCTTTTGAAAGGACGAGTTTTCGTTATCTACCATCCCATGATTGAATCAGTCCACTATTATCAGAAGCATTACTCGCCTTCACGTACAGTCGACACATAAGAATGAGCCTGTCTTCTCACTTGTCTGCAGTTACTTCATCACATTCTTGCAGTTTCAACCATCAGACACATTTATAGCTCATCACCCGGCCAAATTTCCACCTCGTTCCTTTCGAAATCATCATATTCACATCAAGCAAGATCTCCTTCAGGTGAATACATGACAAGAGTTGCAGCAGCAGAGCAAAGTACTCATACCATCCAACAGACACAATGGACTACAGAAGCTCAAGTAGATCGAGCCGCTCAGGGTCCAGCCAGCAGTCAAGGCACCGAGACGCCAGCGGGAGACTCAACGAGGGCTCACACCACATCAAAACATCTAGCAGTGATCGGTCACGCGAAGTTCCCCAAGGCCGCAGTGGTTACAACCGGACTCGCGAACAAGGCCACGGCGTTTCACCGAAAGGCAGATCCGGGTACAACTGAGCTTATTGGTATACCAAGATGCAGGGAATTTGGCGCCCCTAGAGAGGGATACGCGTCAACGCAAGGATACGACTAAATACGGCATCGCCGAACGACGTCACATCATTCACACCAGGGCACTGGATTTTCAAGAAAACAACCATAGACTATACAAGAAGAGGTTGACGGGATAGACATTAGAGAGGAGGACACGTTAAAAGCTCAGGAGGGGGCAACCCTTGCGCAGAATCAAAAAGCTGATTTCAACAATGCAGGCAAGGGAAAATCAGTATCAGTAGAAGTTTCTATTGAATCAAGACTATTCCAAACATCAAGCGCCACCTTCCCAATTTAACAGCGCTATCTCCCTTCCTTTCAGGAGTCCTGTTTTCCTCCAGGTTGAAAGCGCTTCCTTTAGTCAAAGTGTGAAGAGACATCGACCACTCACGCTACATGCGCAGAAAGAAAATCAACAAAAGTCCCGGCCGGCTTTCCCAGCTCCCTATCGCCTGACATGCTCCGGCCAAGTGCATGAGATGCGCTTCCCACAAACAGGAATACAGACAAAGAAGCCGCCGCCGTCTGGTCTGATCCCATAACACCAATGGAGAAAAAACAGCCCTTTCAAATAATTGCAAATAGCCACTCTGTAGTACAAGCCCCAAGCTAGTTAGACAAGCATCCTTAGCTCTCGGCAACATCTTAGCAAGCACATCAATACCTAAGCATCACACTGGCGGTCTGAAAGCACTCTTGACGAGACAGTGCTCGCACTCAATGTACGATGCATTCGACGGCACCCAGTGCAGACGCCGACAGTCGCAGACAGACCACCTCTCCTCCGTCAACGACGTAATGAGCTTCCTCTTCTCATACAGCCCGTCCCTGACGCCGCACTCAATACAGAAGCGTCGCAAGAGACCCTCCCCGCTCCGCAGCGTCGGGAGCCTCGACTGCTCCTTATCACCGTCGGCCTTGCCTGCGTACCGCCCGACGATACACCCGGCAGATGACACGACAAAGTAGTCGGGCAACTTCTCAAAGGCGGCTTCGGGCTTGATCGTGTGGCAGCGGTAGCATCCGTACCCCTTTGGCGAAGCTGTAGTACCGGACTCCTGGGACTTTTCCATTGTTGTGAAGTTCTTCCTGCTTTCTCTCCTGCCTTTGCTCTCTTCCTTCTCCGGCCACCCGCAGACCTTGGTGGACTTTCCTTCTGCGTGGATGATAAAGGCCGTCTTGCAGGAGTCGGATGCGTTCCATGGCTGGTAGCCCTGACTGCGCCAATGCTGTCCTCCATGTAGAGAGTCCCAGTCGACTTGTCCAAGTATCCGGGTTCGCAGGGCAGGGCACATGGCTTGGAAGAAGTGGTAAAAGTCATGGTACGGTCTGGGAAGAGTTGATCTTGGAAAGGGGGACAAGGTGACGGTTGGCGTGGGTGGACTGGATTCGGTTGTAGATGATTGGATGGGGCTGGATGTCTGGCTTCTTGCCGGAGGTGTAGACGTTCTGCGGTGACTTGGGAGGTTGCTGAGAAGCCTTGGGCGTCTTGGGATAGGTGTGATGGATGGGTCTGAGGCTATGCGACGCCTTGGGGCGGCTGTCGAGCGTCGTCGTCTAGCTTGGTGTTCGGCGGCTGAGAGTGCCATGTTGAGGGTATTTAGATTCCTGGGCGATGTTGTCTCTGTTGGTGTGATCGCTTCTTGTTCTCAAGTAGCTGCTGTGACAAGTATTAGCTACAAGATGCCTCTCGGATAATGAAGCAGGTAAACCCACGATGAGGCGTCGACGGGATGGTTGAGAGCGAGCAATAAATCAACAGGGTGCCTTAATCGATGGGATGAAGATTCATATGGTAGATCGGGAGGATTTCGAGGTGTAGCTCCTGCCGTCCAGTTCTTATACACTGTCTGGGAGATCCAGGTGCTTGGATACTGGTTTTGCATGAAGGACGGGATGCCGGGCCATCTACACAAGCGTCACGACGAAGCAAGGAGCAAAATGGAGGAGGAAGAGCCAAGCAAGGGCTAACAAGCGTACCCTGCACCTCCAACAAGAGGAGGAGACGAACAAGCACGCGCAGCAGCGGCTACACACCTAACAAGGGGAAGGGGGTGTAAGTATTGCAACTTGCAGATAATGCATTTCAAAGTGAGAAGTGTGCGATTCACTTACCTCTTTGGTTCGTTAAGACTTACCATAACGTAGTAACCTATCACCAACAACGAAACTCGACAGTCTTGAACCTCATCTCATTCGGGCCCTTCCTTCTCGTGTCTTTCTGCTGCCTCCTATGTCCCAACCATCAGTTAGCTCAAGACTGTCAAACATCTCATCGTCGTCCGTCATCGCTCTTGACATCACAGTTGTTCCGTTGGGAACAAAAGTCTGCACACAAACACGGCCGCCGGAATAGCACGATGATACCCGTGCCTCCACGGAATCTCGATTCTTGTTGGTCAACTAGACGAGGGGATATTGCCTCAGGGCCTGATACCCTCACCGGCCGGGCCAGGGTTTCCCTGCAGTTGCAGATCGAAAGAGGCAGCTAGACTAGTTAGACGCCATATCCAGACTGAGGTCTTGACACCACCATACCAAGCACCAAACAACACGCAGGGGATGGGTGAAAGTGGAGGAGAAGGAGGAGGAGGAGTAGGAGAAGAGGAGCCAGACTTGGGGGCATATTTGCCCTGCAGTGGCGTCATGCCAGAGAGGGAAGAAGTGGAGAGGAGGGGGCTTTTACTTGTCAACTGGCATGAGGAAAAAGCAAAGATGGACGGACGTTCGAGGTTTTTGGTAGACCGTGGGAAACTGTGGTAAGGCCTTCCACCAACAAGCGTGTTGCACCTTGCAAGGGGGTTGTTCGACCAGGTTCTGGGGCTCCTGGCTGCCCGGGTTCTGGGACCGCATCTCTGTTGGCGGTTCCCAACTTCCTGGAAGTTTGATTTGAACACGGCATACCGAGACGATGGGGGGTATGGGCGTGTCCAGTCTAGTCCAAGTTGCACAGTAGGGCTGGTCATGTCATAACATCGACCTCCCGCTCACCGGTGAAACCTATGCTCTTGCATTGACAAGTGCCCACTTCAAAGCGGACACTTTCCGTCGGCTTGATCTAGACAATGTCTAATTCTCGCTGGCTCAGAACAAGCTGTGTTTAAGTTGAATCTGCAGCTACTTCTTTCCAAAGAGATCGAGGGCGCGATCTTTCCGAGACAATATCGTCCAGCATGCCTACAGAGGTTTCGGAGGTGGATCTGGAACAACTACCTACCCTCCTCTGCATCAAAGACATGACTTCTTTAATAGGTAAACAATGTCGTTGACGGTGTCAGGGGGGGCGATTGATGCCTGACGGGTCTCGCGAGTCACTCATCGACAAGCAGGCCCAACGCCACGAATTGTGAGGGCGGAATCGCGGATGGTGATATGCAACCTGCACAACCGTTTGTAAGTCGCGCATCATATCCTTCAACCAATGGCTCCCCCCGTCAGAGGAACTAGTACATGCTGGTATAACGAGAATGAAAGAGGCAGAAGAAGAGGACGAAAACTTCCCGCTCCACTACGGTCTCCGATTATGGTCAACCGCTCGAATCGCTGACGGCGCGCCCAGAGCAAAACGCATACGAGAACGGAAAAGGGGAGATTACACGACGTAGCATCTAGTGTGATAAGTGTGACGACCCAGCGTGTCGGTGCCGGCTTGCTGGAATTTATTCAAATTCCTGAACGTGCCGCTTCAACAACCTGGTGAAAAGTAGAATGAGGTGAGTTGGAACGGGGATCGGATCCCGCCCTCCCCCCTGCACATGCGGCCGCGGGTCGAGGTCCTTCTGTCCTCTCGAAGTCTCTCACTCTCACTCTCTGCCTCTCTAGTTCCTCCTCATGACCCTTGCTCCCCTTGTTGGCGCTGGTGCAAAGCCGCAAGCGAACAAACAAACGGCAACGACGTTGGCGATGCGGGTCTTTGCCTACGCCTGGGCAGGTATCGATTCAACACCACCCCGGTCTCTTCTGGGCTGCCAGGACAGGGGTTTGGTTGGAACCGATGCAACCGTGCAACCAACATCAAAAACAAGGGTTGGTCAAGGCGCTTCGCCTTTGAATACATGTATCCACATCCTCCGGGGGCCCTCAAGGCGTGCACCCGCAGCTGGAAATTTTTGTTCCTGGATCTTGGGCAACAAATGTGGCTTTGAGTCTTTGACTCTCGGCTACCCACCTCGCGTCTTCGAAGAGTCGAACTCGACACCCATGAGAACCCAGAGGAGGGCTGTCAACCGATCCTGGCAAGATGTGGTTGGGTGCTCCCCTCCTCGGTTCTAGAGTCCGCCTCCCCTATGACAATGTGCTGCTACTGGGGACTTGGGAGGAATGACTGAACCGCAAGCTTGTCGACAACCTTGCCAAAAAAGACCACCTTCCTTTCTCTCTCTGGATATGTGTTTCCCTCTTCCTCGGAGAGATTGAGTAGTCTCAGGGGCGTTGTGCAACCCTCACCCCCATCCCATCACCCTTCCAGCGTCATGTACATCCGATAACCCGGAAAATGCCTGCAAGCTCCGATCTGGGGATGTTGGTGGCCATCTGGCTCGCTCGCTCGCTCGCTCCTCCTCTTCCTCTTCTCCTTTGGTCCGTGATTCCCCAACTACTATATCCTCTTCCAACCGATAGCATGATAGCAAGATTCTGCTCAACTTGTATCTGTTTGCTTCCCCTTCCCACCCCATGCCCAGAGACCGTACGGGCGCTGCGGTCTCGGCCGTTGACGAATTTGGCCACCTGAGCCGAATCATCGCCCGCGGACTACGCTCCGTGAACCTTGAGTTGATTGCTCTCTGATGCGGTATTCCTCGCTTTGCCGTTGGCGAATACCACATTGGTTTGGTATAGTTTACACTACGGAGTACATGGGCTGTGAGCAGTGTCCGGGTATATGTTACGAGGATGAGGGCTGTGTGCATGTGTGCAAGGCTTTGATCAAAGTCATTACTGCATCTTGGTTCATCTTGCTTCTCGTCTAACTTCAGCTGGCTGACGGGGAGGCTGAAGTATAAGAAGAATAAAGATTTAGTGCAATCGCCCCATATCTCCTAGTCTTCGCAGATGAGGTGTGATGGTTTAGATGCGCCCCGTTCAGCGGGCCGATGAGCGGGCGCGGGCTGAGTTTCCCCTTCAGGCCAGACCCCCGTCCCCGGCTCCCCCCTCTGGACCCTCTCTCTCCCGATCTCGAGTTCGTCCGCTGTTCCGCACAACGTAAGCTCGCTAGGAAGTTCCCGTTGCGTTAATTCAAATGTGTTGAAATTGTTTTATTGACAGGGGGTGTGAGAGGGGAGAGAAAGGAAGGATTCAGTAGCCTAAAGGGCTGGAGAAGAAAAAGAGGGCGAGGGCGGAAGGGGAGAGGAGAGCATCCGTACTCCGTACTCCGTACATGGGGATGACTGAGTGGAAGTGTGTCAACATTGTTTGCTTCTTACTAGGAGATGCATATCTGTGGTTTGCGGATAGTGGTGTACGAGATGGGAAGCACCTTGTTACTCCTGCATTTCCTTACGGCAAGCCGCAGCTCATTTTAGTCACAAGACCATCTCTCCCCGCGGTGCGATTCGGCGCGAGGGCCGCGTGTGAGAAATGCGCGGCCGGGCCTGATCTAAATCATGGACGGCGGAGGCTTTGATGTCGATCCGTCTCGATGTTACATTTCTAGCTAATATTGCCAGCCAAAGTCGGGAACGAAGGACGATCGTCAACGAGCCAATTTCTTTCCTCACCAACACGTATTATGCTTTGGGGGACAAATGCCACACTGGGCATTATTGAGGTGTCACATGAGCCTGGCCGATCTATCATCTCTCGCCGGGACAAGGCGTTGCCGAGAGAATCAGATATCAATCACCTCCTCGCCCGGCAAAAGCTGTGAGCTTTTGCCGGAACCAAGATCCAGCTCACCGGTCGTTTACGGCTAGAGGATGCGGACAATGGAATTACAAGAGTCATTGACAACAGTCCAACTCCGACGCAATGACACCTCACACCTCACATTTGGCGCGTATCAGTCTTCGTTGGACGTCGTGTTGGTCGGGCCACGGTTGGACTGTTGCCGTTGGACGGGCCGTTGTGCCTTTGTGACACGTCTTTCCCCCTTTCTATTTGTTAATTTACCGCTCTTTAGCCCAAAACAACAGCAGCGGGTGTACAAGGTTGAATTCGGCATGACGTTTTAAGCGCTCAGCAGCCCCCAGCAGCCCACGCGGCGGTGCTTGAGATCAACATGGCTGCATCACGTCGCCCGCACAGATCGTTCCGAAACTGGCAGGACTCGGCTTGGAATTCATCGGACTCGGGAGACTCAAGAAGCTGCAAGTGTGGCCTGTGTCAGTATTGCAGATGGGGTGTCGGATACTTGAGAGGAAGAAAGTAGACGTTGGCAGGTGGGAGAGAAGAGAGAGAGGATCGTCATCGGAAGGCAGCAACTCTCAAAGTTCAAGAGGGTGGTGCATCGACCCCGGGGCCGTAGTTTGGCTTGCCAAGCAGCATCGGGGAAACTGGTGCGCATGCCGAAGAAGTCGAACTCGACGGCAGTGTAAAGCTAGTGATCCGTGCCCTTCGGAGGTAAGTAGGATACAGCCGGGGCCATCCCGGGCCACCGGCGGCGCGGCGCGGCGCGGCGGCAGCTAGCTCGTTCAACCCGGGTTTCCATCACTAGCGGCGCGGCATTTACCCGTTGCTGGTCTCGGAGGCAGCACACCTAGGGGCAGTCCGGCACTTCCGGCCAAGAGCAAGTCATCTCTCGGGTCTTCTATTGGCTCCCCGTCTCTCTCTCTCTCTCTCTCTCTCTCTCTCTCTCTCTCTCTCTCTCTCTCTCTCTCTCTCTCTCTAAGTGCGAACGGAAATAGTTGAAGTGAACCACGTTTGGGCAGTTCGCCGAACAGACCAAGCGTTGGGGCGTGTGAGAGCGTTAAGAAACACGTGCCGTGACAGAGGGTTGGGTCCCAGTTCCTGGTCGTTGCTGCTGCTGGATACGACAAAGCGAACAATACGCGCCATCGGCTTCGTCGGATTCGCGTCGTTGAGGATGGAGAAGTGGGAAAAGAGGTTCTGCCGACTGTGAACGCGCGTCTGTGTTGCAGCATCCAGGGATCAATCAGGAACCAGAGAGGAGAGATGGGATTTGAGTTGAAGTAAAGGCTTGTTACCAAGCATCGGTTGTCAGATGCTTAGCACTAGAAAAGACGAGCACCTCGGAAACCCCCTCATTTCAGGGAGCAATCATTCGATAGCTAGGAAGTCGAAAAAGGCAAAACGGAACTGATGACTCGTAGAAGTGATGTACCCAGACTCTTCGTGAAGCTATCAACTTTCTTCACCCGCTCAGTCATCGGCAATGCGCTCTATCCAACTTTGCTGTTTGCGCCGGATACTATTGCGGCAGAATAGCGGACGAGAACTCGAGGCAGAGACGAGCACATTGATTGAAGGTCAAACCACGCCGGTTACAGACCTCCTCTTCCTCGAACGTGACGGCGCTTCCAATCGGAAGTCTTCCAGCGTCCGAACAATGTTGAGAAGGGGTGATTTCGCGAGCTTCGGTGTCCCAAGCTCCTCGTTCGTTCCTGAGCCGCGGCGTCCGTCCCAGTGTTTAAACTTTCGTGTCTTGCGGGTCAAGACGCAACTTAGCTAGCTTCCCGGCGGGAGGGCGCAACACCAAGCTCGGTGAAGCTTCAGCTTCGTAACTGAGATGGACATTCAAGTGAGCTTTTTCGTGCCGGTCCACCCGCTCCTTTTCAATAGTTCCTTTCTTCGTGGTGTCTAACAGCGCCATTTGAGTCTCTCAGTCGGGCGGCGACTGACAGCGCACCCGTTGTCCTGTTTAGGAAATTTGACTGCCCACAACCAAAAGAAAGCGCCGATCCCTAAATAAGAAGCTGGGTAATAGAAAACCGGCTTGATGGAAGCTCCGTGCTTATTTTCTGGAACACCAAATGTCAACTGTCCACTTCCCCGTCTTACGGATCGCATCTCCGAGAGGACCTTTTGCATCCGTGAAAAAGAGACAAAACGCGTAATTGATCCTCTAGACATCTTCTAGGCTCTAGCAAATGACGTGGTTTTCCTTTTTGTTGTCGCCAGCCCAACTGTCCGGGGCACGCAACTTGTTGAACCTATGATATCGTAGCATGCGACATTGCTGACCTTGCAGCGAGCCGCAATCCACAGTCTTTTGCAACTTTTCTGCGTTTGATGACGGCACAGCTGCGTCGCGCGTGTTCTCTATCTCCCTCTCTTCCTCTCTATCTTTCTCACTTTCCTTCCCTTCCGGAGCCCAATGTCCGCGCCATCGTAGGAGATAACGACAGCACACACACACACACGTAACCCTTGAAGAGTCGATCCGCCGCGTTTCCTTTTCATTCGTTCTTTACCAATTGTTCTGTTTCCTTCAGTTTTTTGTGCTTTTCCTGCCCATGTCGTAAGCACGTCATCCCGCCTATTATCAACAACAGCCTCTACCCAAAGTCCCGACCCCTACCGCCGCCCTACGAGACCCAATATCCTAAAGAGGCAAGAAAAGGGGGAATAGCTGCACTCTTCCTCTCATCCTCCCTTCAACAAACGCACGTCGTCACGTCAGACGCAACAACCCAGACAACGCAAGACCGCACCCGGCAGCAGTAACACGCAGCCCGCATAATCAAAAGTCGCATTGTATTCTGTCCGTCTTACAGTCAGAACCCGTTTGCTACTATCGCAGGGAGGGCCCCCGTTTCAGAACTTTGCGTGTGTCTGAGAGCCCAGTCCAGACCCCATTCAACCCCCATTTCGCATCGGCAATAAACTGGCATCTCATCCCCAGGGATAAGATTGTACTCTGCAGCTACATATTCCATCTCTGGAGTCTCTTCTCTATCTTCCCTTTCTTATCTCTTGACTACCCACACCTCGGCATTTCGCGCCATTGCTTCTTGCATCTTATATGTTGAGGACACCAGCTATAGTATCCCGGGTATCTTGTGCGCCTTCATCCCGCATATAAGACCAGCCAGACCTCATCGTCACACAACCTCCACGACCAGCCTCGAACGCATGCCCACCAACGGAACCAACCCACAAGGATCACCACATACAGCCAAGATGCATTCCCGAGCCGACAACTCAGACGAAGACACCGTCGTAGACGACGCCGGCTCCCCAAGATCCTCCACAGACTCGTCAACAGAATCAACCCCCCTCTTCGCAACCTCCTCACCACCAAGCAAGAGCACCACCAGACCCTCCCAAAACCGCAGCAGAACAGACTCCCTCCTCAACGCAGCAACCCAGCTCCACGTCCCCAAACTCCACAACGCAGACGCCATCGTCGCAACCTTTGTCACAATCATCCTCCTCGGCGCCGGCTTCGGTGGCCTTTGGACCATCCCCACCACCCGCAAGGTAGAAGACATCGTCTGCCGGCAGTACTACGGCGTCCTCTACACCCAGGACGCCATCGACGAGTCCAAATGCAAGGAAGACGAGATCCAGAGCGAGGTGGCCATGATCTTCGCCGTGTACAGCGCGCTGCAGGCGTCCATTGGTGCCGCTTCCGCGTTTCCCTGGGGCATTGTGGCGGACCGGCTGGGGAGGAAGCAGGTTTTTTCGCTGGCGGTGTTGGGTCAGATGCTGGATCAGGCGTGGTTTCTCGTCGTGTGTGCGTTTCCCAAGGTGATTCCGCTCAAGGCTTTGTGGGTTGGACCGTCAATGTTGCTCGTTGGTGGCGGGAACGCCGTGTTGTCTGCCGTCGTCTTCTCGATGCTCTCTGACGTGACGACTTCGGAGAACAGGTTCGTGCTCTTTACACTCTCGTGATGATTTGTGAGTCTCGCTAACACGCTCAACAGAGCCAAGAAATTCATGGCCGTCCACCTGGCCTCCATGATAGGAAACCTCTGCGCCCCCGCCGTCGCAGGCTGGATGATGGAACGAACCGGCCCCTGGCCCGTAATGTGGCTCGCCTACGCCGGCTTCGCCTCCCTCCTCTTCACAATCCACCTCGTCCCAGAAACCAAACCCCCCGCCGCCAAACTCTCCCCGGACCCCATCGCCGACGCCCCCGAAGCCGAATCCCCCGTCATTGGCACCATCCAACACACCTTCAACCGCCTCAAGGAGTCCATGGCCCTCCTCAAGAACCCTTCCCTCGTAATCCTCATGGTCGCCACCCTGAGCTCCTACCCGGTCGTCATGTCAACCTACCAATTCATGACAATCTTCGCCTCGAAACGGTACCACGTCTCCCTCTCGCAGACGGGCTACCTCTCTTCCCTCTACGGCCTCGGCGTCTTCCTCACCATCGTCGCCATCCTCCCAGCCTTCTCCAAGCTTCTCGCCTCCCCAAAAGCCCCGAAACCTCTACGCTACACAGACGACCACGAACGCGACCTCTTCCTGGGCCGGCTCTCCTCCGTCGCCTTACTGCTCGGTGCGCTAACCATGTCCGCGTCTCCCACCATCGGTGCCTTCATCGGCGGGCTGGCGATCCTGTCCCTCGGCTCCGGGTGGGGCAGCTACGTGCGGAGTCTCTGCGCCGTCTACGTTGATGCCGCGCACCGCACGCGGCTGTACTCCATCATCTCGCTCGTGGAAACGGCGGGCCAGACGTATACGCAGCCCATGCTCGCGGGGCTGTTCAGTCTGGGGATGAAGCTCGGGGGCGCGTGGATCGGGCTGCCGTACCTGGGCGTCGCTTGTTTTTGCATCGCTGCGTTGGGGCTGCTTCTCATGGTGAGACTTCCGCCATCGGAGGGTAAGGGGACGCATGCGATGGGGGATGATGGTGAAGATGTTGGTACGAGTTCTCAGTGATTGGGAGCCTTGTTTTTCCTTTGTGAAGTGGTTTTTTTTTTTTTGTGAGAATGCGAGATTAAGATACCAAGACGTAGATTGTCTAAACCCAGAACCTAAGCCTGCGAAAGAAACTTGAGAATAGAGAAGATTTGATATACTAAACATGGCTTGCCTCAGAACAGATGTATGAATGTGTCCAAAGACACCATTAGCGAGTGTCGTATTGTAATAAGATCAGCGCAAGCTCAACGTACGTCGTCCGCGAGAGACACCGTTCCGATGGTGTGGTATAGAACTACGGGGTACTGATACCGCTGTTTAAGCGGGCTTCGGGTGCGTTTTGGCAGTCGCAAACTGTGATCGACACCATTGAAATTGATGATCTGCTTACCGCAAGTCCCAGTTCCTAGAGACATTCTTGGTCCTCGGCGACTCTTCGACGGGACACCGACGCCCAATCAGTCGCAGGCATGCCGGCAGTCACTGACGAATCATCAGATGAGGGACAGTCGCATTGCTGCAGACGACAATGAGTCCCTTGAGACTCGCTAGGATGGCCACAGCTTTGCGAAGCGCAAATGAGTGAGAAGTTGTTTGTGATAATGGGTCTATCAAGTCAGTTCTAAATGATCTATTCTACTAGTACGTCTGGGTACCCAACTTTCTATAATCTAAAGAAACTAAAGATGAGAGTCACTCATTATCTGACTATGGGCTCATCATCTGATATCCTTAACAACACCTTCCCCTCCCTCCCTGTCGTCGCCTCAACCTCCAAAGCTCTACTTATTTCCAAAAGTCCAAACCTCGCCGCAACCCTCGTAGTCAAAACCCCCTCCCGAATAAGTTGAAAAGCCTCCTCTAGCGCATTCCGCACTTCCTCCCGCTCGACAGCATAAACCCAATCTCGTAGCCGGTACATCACAATCCTAACCCCAGGACATTCCTCCCGTAGCCGAAACGACAAAGCCTGTCCAGACAACAACCCGTAGTGAACGATCGTCCCCTCCGGCGTGAGAGCCCGCACAATCTCATCGCCCTCGGATCCGCCTACAGCATCGTACGCCACGGCGATCCCCCTCCCATCAGTGAGATCGAGTAGCTTCTGTCGAAGGCTGTCTTCTGATGAACATACTACAGCAGACACACCCAGCTCCGACAGACGCAACAATAGCTCTCTCGACTCTAGTCGCCTAACGAGGGCGATAGGTTTTACACCCCTCGCATTCAACAACCGGATAATCATCCGCCCGATAGCAGACAACGCAGCATTCACCAGAACCACCCCCGTCTGTGACCCCTCAGGCCTGGGCGCATACTCCCTAACCATCCTCAACGCCGTAAGAGGATTAATATACGCCATCGCAACCTCCTCATCCCCCAAATCCCCCGGCACAGTAAAACACCACTTCGCCTCAACGATCCTCGTCGTCTGCCACGCCCCCGCACCCCCAAGCGGCAACACGCGTTGGCCCAACGTCAAATTGGTCACGCCCTCACCGAGAGACTCTATCACGCCGACGCCCTCGAAGCCTGGGACGTGGGGCAGAGTCGTTCTAGAAGCGTAGGCGCCTGAGATTGTGACCAGGTCCGAGGGGTTGATGCTCGCGAGGAGCATGCGGACGCGGACTTGTCCTGGGCCTGGGGGTGAGGGTGTGTAGTCCTCGATTTGGACTACATCTTTTGCGGGACCAAAGGAGTTGACAATGGCTCGGTGCATTGGGATGCTTGTGGGGTTTGATGGTGAGGTGAGGATGGAAGAAGCAGATGACTTCTTCGAGATATGTGTTCAATGAGTGACGAGTGACAATCGAGTTGGTGCTTGAAGTTCCTTAGCTTCCGTCTCATCACACGCGTTTTAATTATCCAGGATATATCTCCACTTATCAGGGATTCGTGGCCAATAAGCACATGACCTTCATCACGGCTGATGGCTTAGTGAAAGCTGTTTGCTCCAGATCGACAGTTAGAGAGGAATGCGACCACGCAGTACAGGACCTGGTTATAAGCTCTAAACTACATGCTCACTTAATTTGTCCATGTTTGCAAGAAGCACAGTAATTAATGAGTCAAAAAGTCTACTGTTGTTAACTCGTGAGCGGGCTCACCTTCACGGGACATGCAGCGGATAGCAGCCGAGGATTGCGGGGCGATCTGCAGGGCGTTGGCGCCCTCTTTCCCGGGGCCGGGGGTTGAAGGGTGGGGCACAGCCACAGCGACCAACGCCGCCCAGGCGATGGCAGCGGAGCGCTGAGAGCCACTTGTCCATCGGCTCCAAGGGTCTTCCCCAGCGGATGGCCGTTTCAGACGACAGGGGCAGCGCTTAGTCGTACGTCATTTCCATTGGGGAGAGAGAAAAAAGGAGGGCGAAGTTCCTGCTCAACCTGCGCATATATGCAGTCAGAATTCCCATCAGGATCTGATCTGCAATCTGAACTTGGTTCGAGTCCAACCATCGAAGCAGATTAATCGCCATCTTGACGGACCGGCCAGTCGATACTGAGCGCAGTCGATACTCAGCGAGCAACAGACTTGCGTGGCGGCTTCACTCGTTCAGCCTTATCCCTCGAGACGACCCTCCAGTCTCCCCCCTTAAAAGCCGTACCTGTTCTCACCCCTCTTCTCGAAAGAGACGACCACTTACGACAAACTTCTCCGATCCCACCGCCAAGATGTCCGTCTTTGACAGCCCGAATTGCACCGTCGCGGATAGTGCCCCGGTCGCCAGCGATGCCGGCGTGGCCGGCCGAGGCGTGCTCCTCTCCTTCATCATCACCGCCGGCCTCGCTCTCATCATCAGTTCCTCCATCATCTTCCAAGAGATGAAGGGAAACCCGTCAAACATTCGTCGAAAACTTCTCAACAGTTATTCGGATCAGCAGATTCTCCAGGGTATCGGTATCGCATGTGTCGGGCTCGCTCGAATTAACGTCATGGTTCCTTATCATTTCTTCATCATTTGGATGCTTTCGAACCTCTCCATGGCCGTCCACAACGCGACACTTCTCGCTCTGGTCCATGACTTCCGCCGAGATTGGTTTTTGCGATGGCTTCGCCAATTCCTCATGTTTGTCAATCTAACGCTCAACGTCGTGTACGGCGTCTTCATCCTGCAAGGCGTATCGAAGGGCATGCAGGAATCCAAGCTGCCCGTCGCCTGCGTCTGGGTGGTCGGTGACGAGGGAACAGGAAACCAACAAGGGTTGAGCTACGTCGGCACTGTTGTCGTCATCGTCGCCAATGCTCTCGTCTTTGCTCTGGCAAGCTGGTATCTTCACCTGCGGACGCAAAAGTTTATCAACATTATCAAAGTTATTGGCATCCTTCTCATGGCAGCGTCGGCGGTTGGCGCCGCGGTTCGATGCATCATTGCTTCCGACGCCTTTGGCAATGGTCCGTCGTATGAGCTGAGCGACCAGGGCGAGAGAGGTTGGGGCTTCGGTCAGCTGCTGTCGCTCCTCGTGCTGCTCTTCCCCATTGTGTCCATGGTGGAGATAATGCGCGGCGATATCAAGGTTGCGCCCTGCGACTTTTCAGACGGGAAGATGGGCGACAGTACAGAGATGGGCAACTACCGGTCGTCGTATCAGCCCAATCCGTTTTTCGGCTCGCAGACAAACCTCTTCAAGAGGGGAGTCTGAAGTTGGTAAGGGAAAGGGAAAGGGAAACGAAGACACAATCCAGAAGTGGACCTCATCTGGTGGCATCGTCCGCGGTCAATTGAGAAGGCAGAGCCGAGCCAAGGGTCTAATCAGTGAGGACAGAAGAGGCAACGCGCGTGGCTGCAGGCATCTCGCAAAGAGTGTCCTCCATGGCCGCTGCCGAGGCTTGAGGCCGGCCCGAATAAGATGGCCGAGCTGCGAATAGCTAGGGCCGCAGCCTGCTGGTGTTGATTGAAAAGGAGGCAAAGGTGGAGAAAGAAAAAGCAATGATACCCAGAGGAGTGAGGAGTTAAAGTGTGGGACAGACGGCGCGTGAGGGCGGGAATGCGGGAATGAAGGTTATCAAGTTAGCGCGGCTGGACATTTTTCAGCTGTTGGTCGTTCGCCGCCAGCGTTAGCTTCCCTCAGAATTAGGGGTAAACTTGTGTAACAAGACTGTCAGGACTGACATGATTGTATCACGAACAACAACGAGGCTTTATTGGACGCCACGGTCGTACCAAGATGCCATTCTACTGCAGGAGAATAAAAGCGCATTTTCTCGACTTCTCAGCTTCACGACTGGTAAAGAGGACACCTTGAGGCATAGAGGGTACCCGAGAGGTAGACAACCTTACAGAGGGGAAAGAGACGGGAGGGCCTGATGATTGACTTTTGGGATTGGATGACATTGATCGCCCACCCTCTCTCCTCTTCCCCGGTATCCCGCACATCAACCTCCACTACTCCGTACCTACTCCATGCTGCCTTCGTGCCTTCTCGTTGTAAACTCTAAATGCAGTCGGAGTCTGCCAATTGACCGAACTGCGTCACGTGCACCCGACACGACGGCACTTGCCCATCCATGCATCTGCCAGTCGGCACCTGCCCTCTCCATTCAAACACCTACGGAGTAGTAGCAGCCAAGAATAAGTTGTCTCCTTCCCAAGTGCATCGTCCGTTTTGAGGCTAGTCAATCAGCTGTATACTCCGGGCTTGGCTGGGTATCCCCACTCTCGACGCCAAACGCGACATGTTTCGGTGCAGTACTAAATCTATCTCGGACACTTAGGTATCTGCTAGGAAGAGGTTAGGAAAGGTACAATCCACCCACCAAAGATGCACATTGGATCCTCGAGATGGGAGGCGCACACCTGTGGCACTTGCCATCTTTCTAGGTAGGCCTGTTCCTGAAGTACCTGACCAAGTTCTCTTCCACATTTCAAAGTTCCTTCCAATGGCACCCAAGAAATGAACGAACAGTGTAGCTCTTTCCCTCTCCCAAGTATGAGCCAAGTCACTACACCAAACCCCTCGCAAGGGAGGGAGGCAGAGACACATACACCTTTGGCTCCCTGCCCGTTCCTGCCTCGAGAATGCCACTCAGAGTTCAAATGCTGGAACATCATGGGAAGGAATTCAGGGCAATCGTGGCAATCATGCAGTGCAGTCTCGTAAGGTACCTGCCTTACCTTAGTCTCGCCTTCCTTCCACCTTTGAACTCGAGATCCGCACAGGTCTGGAGGGAGGAACCTGGCCGCCACCCCTCCCCTTCCATTCACAATGCTCCGGTCCCTCTTTCCCATCATACCCAACGATGACTGAACTGCCCGGGCCGACCAGAGCCCATCTGCTCAGTCGGCGGGACTTTAAGTAGTCGTCTACAAGCTTCCTCTTGTCCACTCTCCTGTCCCGTCTTCGTCCCGACGTCTCTTCATTCCCGTCATCGTCCCGACGTTTTCGTCCAACCTTGACGTGACTCGTCTCCTTTCCCCTTATCCCCTTAGTCTCCTCACTCTTGCTCTTTCAGTCGCTCTCTTGGCACTACGTGAGAGATCTGCGCGAGTCCACTCCATCCGTCCGTGGCTTGCCCTTCTCCCCGCGCCCAGCTACAGACCGGCGCTGACTGCGTTTCTTGTTCTTCTCACTCATTTTCTCCGTGACGCCTGTCGTTAATCTTTCATCGATACTGTTTCCCTCGATTACGTGTCGATTCTGTCCTCTTCCGCGAGAGTGATAGCTGAACCCCCGCGAATCGACTTACACTCGGATTCCCAAGGATCCTTGAGAAACACCAGCCAAAGAGTCCAATCCCTCGATACCAACCATGGCCATCGCTGCAAACTCCAAGCGCATCGTGCAGATGCTCTGGCTCGCTGCCGGCCTGCTCTTCACCCTCGCTCTTCTGCACTCTCTTGGTAGCCCTGACAGGGCCAAGGAATGGGCCACCAACAAGGTTGGCAATCTTATGAACAACGATGGTGGCCGCAGCACCATGCGCGAGTTCATGACCACTGCCGAGTCCATCTGGGCCAAGACCGTTAAGCAACGTCATGACATGATTGCTGAGGACTACGGCGATGCGTCGCTGATGCCCTTGTAAGCTATCTCCATATTACTACCGCCGTCACTCCCCGCATTCTCTAGATGGGTTGGACGCCAATAACTCCCTAGATTCCATGGCTAATCGATGTTCCACTTCAGGTTCCCTGCCACTGACCCCTCGGCCTACGTAAAGCACCCCTACTCCGTCTGGGACTTTGCCCCGGCCTCGTACAGCTGCCCGCACGAAATGGAGCGTGTCGGACGTATGGGAGACGGCGGCAAGTGGGTATGCGGCATGTCGAGATATGTCAACTTTCCCAAAGACCGCGAATGTGTCATCTACTCCTTTGGTGTCCGTGATGAGTCCAGCTTTGGTCAGTTTTCCGTGCATGCAATCCGACATATATGATCATTTGCTGATAACAGACCTGCAGAGAACGAGATGCTGAGCCGCACCAATTGTGTCGTCTGGGCCTACGATTTCTCCGTCGTCGATTTTGGCGAGCAACTCGAGCCCGCCAATCGCCATAGAGCCCACTTCCTCCAGGCTGGTATCGCTGGCAAGACGGATAAGACCAAGACGCCCCCCTTCTACAGCATCGCCGACCTGATGAAGATGAATGGCCACGAATACGTGTATGTGCCCGTGGTACCGAATTTACAATGGTCGTCCACTAACACTACACCAGTGATATCTTGAAGATGGACATCGAGTTCGCCGAGTTCGAGGCTATGGACGGTTTCAACGAGGACTTCCCCATGCGCGCAGGCGAAGAGCTTCCCATCGGTCAACTCATGATTGAGATTCACTTCTTCGCCGGCATGACTGCTTCTGGCTTCCTCGACTGGTGGGAGCGTCTTGAGTCCCGTGGTCTCCGCCCTACCTGGACCGAGCCCAACCTGCTTGCCGTCACTCTCAACCTGGGCAACAAGGACCCGCTCCTTGCCGAGTACACCATGATCAACGTTCACGACAGCAAGAACGTTGTCTTTGGTGGCAGACATTAAATGGGCTATGTAAACATGACTTTATTATTGATGGCACGTTCAGGAGCGTATTGCAAGGGGCGAAAATGTGCATCGTCACTGGCGTTATTTACAGTAGATCGGTCAACAGGGAATCACGTTTCAATTACTACCTAGATGAAATATGGATGCTTGTTGTGTGAGTGAGCATGTGTGAGGCCTTTGGCAATGATTCTGCGAATTAGAATCGAGCTGGACGAATCGACGATTGGTGAAGGCACAGGCGATCTGCCAATATCCTGTCAACTACTGACAGGGACGAAAAGACACACTGGTTCGCCGAGATGACGAACTCAATCCATCAGCGGCCGTGTAGTTAGTTTTGGTAATGTTCGCAGTCCAAGTGTAGCCAGCGAATCGCAGAGCAGTAATCATTGTGTATACTTTTTCCAGGGGTCTGGTCGAATCTTATCAAGAACGTCTCATTTTGCGAGAGTGTACTGCTGCAGCTTGTCAGTTGGGCATCTTCACACCCTCACTGCGGAACATGGTCTGTGTCTGTGTAAGTGAGGGTGGTTTACAAGAATGGTTTAGGTCTTGAACTCAGTCAGACCTTTCCCGTGCCGTTTTCTATGGCACTGTTGAAGGTTTTGGGTTTGGAGATGAAGTCAATGTTGTTCATATGGGGGAGCTCCCCGATGTTGTCTGCAGATCAAGGTTAAGTTAGCATCCAGGAAACTGGCTCTTGTATCATTCCCAAGGATTGATGCAAGAACATCATAGTCGGGAGAGTCACTGTTTGATTGCAACAAACGGAGAGATATCAATAGCAAGTGAGGTATCATTATTTTTTTCTTTCTTTTTTTCCCCAGGTGGGGTTTCAACGGTATAGTGCAATCACTCATTGCACGACGCACTTGCTCGGCAAACCACACGGGCCGGCCTTGACATCCTTGTCGTCCAATTCCTGAGGAGCCTTTCGGGTCTCCGTTGCCGGGGCCGGCTCCTTTGCCGGAACCGCGGGGGCAGCCGCCGGCTTCTCGGACCCGTTCGCCCCGTTCGCGGCAGCACCACCGCTGCTCTCGCCGCTGCCATGCAGTCAACCAACGTGCTTGGCAACAGTCTGGTAAAACGCCTCGCCCTGGATCGTAGCAATCTCGAGCTCCCGCGCAGAAGGCTGACGGGATCCATCCGCACCGGCAAAGGTACCCGCGCCCCAGGGACCACCACCGTGGACCTCGGACAGATCCGCCATGAGCGGAAAGGCCTTTGCGTAGCCAAAGGGGACGTAGATGATGCCGTGGTGGGCGAAGGTCGACATGGCGGCGATGGCGGTGGACTCCTGGCCGCCGCCGAGAGAGGCGGTGGAGATGAAGAGGCCGGCGAGCTTGCCCCAGTATCCGCCGGTGGACCACTGCTTTCCGGACTTGTCCCAGAAGGCCTTCCACTGGGCGGGGAAGTTGCCGTAGCGGGTTGGGATGCCGAGGAGGAAGGCGTCGTAGGATTCGAGGGTGGCGGGATCGTCTAGGACGGGGACGTCTGTTGCTTTTGGGGGGGCGCCCATTTTGGTGAGGACTTCTTCGGGGAGGGTCTCTGCGACTCTGTTGCGGTGTTAGTCACCTGCTGCTATTTGTGTTCATTGTGGTAGGTGGTATGGGGGGAGGTGTGGGTGTGAGAGACGTACTGGAAGAGGTCGGCGGTGCCGCCGGCCTTTTCGATGCCCTTCTTCTCGGCCTCGGCCAGTTGGCGGATGTGGCCGTACATGGAGTACTAGAGAGATCGTGGTGTTAGCAGGACGGTCATAATGACAGGGGCTATTCTTCGGGAGCTGGGGCTGGGAAGTGATCAGTGTGAGGTGTGAGGTGCGAGGTGGGGTTCAGGGCGCTCTCGTGCGGGCGAACCGCCGTATCATGGTGTCATTGGGAGCTTCGGCAGACGAGGCCGCGCAACCGTACGAGAGAGTTGGGGGAAGGTGAATAGTCATCTTCATTGCGTCCTCTGAGATGATGATTTGTAGGTTTCTAGGAGCGTTGGAGCCTTCAATGGCCGAGATTGCGGTGCGTGGTGGGAGAGTAAAGTGAAGTGAAGTGTGAGGTGGGGGAGGGGGAAGTGACAGGAAATTACCCGATTAGGAAAGAAGTGCTGGATTGTATGGTGGGACTTACGTAGACGATGGCAATCTTGGGAGCCATTGTGACGGATTGATGTGTTGTATGAAGATAAGGTAAGAGAAGGATAAGTCGGTGCTCAGTAAAGAGATGCTCAGCGTAGTCGGAGTAGTAACACGAGGGGAATATCGTGGTCTTATATCAACGTGAACTTGGGGCCATGGCGCGCGCGCAACCCCCGCCGCTGGGCATACGAGACGAGCAAGATGGAAAGAGAGGGGACTGAGACGGGCGTGCTTGCATCATCAATGGCACGCTAGGCTGGGCAAGCCACTCGAAAAGACTCGGGAGACTCGAAAGAGTCGGAAGAGAGGAGGAATGTCGAATGGGGCTGGCCCAGTCAGGTACCCTTGGAGGCACTGGATGGCGGCCATGCGGTTTCATCAGGTCCATCGGCCTAGTGGGATTAGCTACCTACAGTACATAGACCATCGAGGCTACACTAGATATGCTGCCATGGCTGCTCATGTAAGGTGAAGTAAGCAGACAAGCAGACGACGGACGCAAGTTGGAAGAGGTGAGGTGGTGAGGTGGTGAGGTACCCGGAGCTCTTGCATGAGGCGGGGAGCTACAATTGTATGTAGCTACGTACCGCTGGTGTCTTGTCTACTGCGTACCTAGGTGTCTGCCCCTCTCTGCGGGTCTGTGCTCCGCTGAGGGGCAGGGGGAAGGGGTCATCTCCTTCCATTGCCCGTGTCTTAGGAAGTACCTCATTATCCTCCTAAATTGTGTCCATGTAGCTTGGGAAATGTAGTTCCGGTTCGCGACTTTGACGACAGCATCGTAGGTTCGTTCAACGGACGGAAGGACCGATTAAGCATCAAAAGGGTGCGGGCGAGGTGGAATGCGACGGGCTCTTCAAGATCATGGTTTGTTTTGGCGTTGGGGAGTGATGGGACGCAACATGTTACTCAGGTTGCCCAAAGGTAAGAAACGTACTCCGTACATACACTACGTACGTAGTATGTTACCCCATCCGAGCCCTGTCAAGCTACCTTACCGCCTTGTCTTTGCTTCATCTGCACAGCATCCAATACTACCTACGTAAGGTAGTGACAGCCGGCCAGCAGTTCGCAAAACGGTCAGGGCGGGCCGGGGAAGAAGCACGAAGAAAGTGTTGGTGTGTGGGTGCTGAATAAGTGCTTAACAACCCCAGCCCAGGCTATCATAAGCCTTACCAAATACACTACACGGGCAATCCCTTCCCACGCCCTCGATAAGGTATGGAGAACCAAAAAAAAGTCGTTACGCCATGACTGAACGGCACTTGTTTGCTAGTTTACGCTTCTAGATCCTTGTCTTCGGGAAGAGCTGTAGAGTACGGATGGATTTAGAGATTCTCGGATCACGGATTAAAAGCGGAGGAGCCTCGGGTCCAGGGCCTGCCGCTCTCAGGAATGGCGCAAGGCTTTGGTGATGACCAACTCGCGCGCGCTCGCCTGGATCCTGACAGAGAGGAGACGAACCAAGCGGCTCATGAAGTCGGTAATCTCGTTGAATTGAGACTGTGCCGTGACTACTAGATGCCCAATTCAAGCCAAGCCTTGGATAAGACAGGCGATACAAAGTGGCATAGAGACGGTGAAGGAGACACTAGGCTCATCTCAACATCATCACCCGATGTGTAGCACAGATGTGTACGTACTACCTACGTACATGCACAAGGAGCTCCTAGGAACGAAGAGGACGGGATTAGTAGTACCTGACAAATGAACCACCGCCGTCCCCCCACGAAGCTGACAGGTACGGCCACGGGCAACGGAGCCGACAGATTGCTGCATCGAGGATCGGAGCTGGCTGCAGATACCAACAACATCTGGCAGCTGTCAGTACCCACTCTTTGATGTTCTCTTCGCGCGCGCGGGCGGTATCCCTAGTTGGCAGCACAGAGTGAGCAAAGTAAGCGTTGCTAAGCTGCCCACCAAAGCCATGATCCAAGGCTGAATCAGCACCATACAGCAATATACGGGGCAACAAGACCATCTCCGCTGCCTTGATAGGGCGGAGCTCTCCCCTGCTGCATACTACTCGCTGGCGGCTGCATTTCCTACGCCCTACTGCGGTTCCCCTCCCTTCCCAAGGCCCCCACCAGCAAAGGAGCTCCATCTACCTGCAGGACGAACTTCCGACGCTAGAAGCTGGAGCTCTATCATGAATCATTTTCTTTGGAAGAGCAAGGCAAGAAAGAGTCTGAAGACGGTTGGAATTTGCTTGAAAGTTGGACTTGGCATTGAGCAGTTTGTCATCCGCATGCTTTGGTGATGCTACCGGGCAATTAGGATCTGCTCTATCGTTCTCGTTCTCGGGGCATGACTTGATGGGAGAAGAGGGTCAGCCCCGGCAGTGCCCGTGACATTATGGCGGGTAAGATATCTCCCATTGCTGTTGGCTTTTCCGAATAGTTCTTCTTCACTCCTTCATTCTTTTTTTTTTTTTCTTTTTTAAAAAAAAGTTTTTTTTTTTTTTCAATTTTCTATCATTCATCTAGCAGCAGGCCGAATCGTGGTTTATTCTCTACTTTTCTCCATGCGTCTACCCCGGCTGAAGAATAATAGGGAGTTTTCCAGAATCAATTTTCACCAGCCCACGACTACTCTCTCTATATCTCTCTCTCTTGTTGAAGATGAGGAGTAGGTAAGGGCCGAAGAGCCCCCTCCTGATACTGCTCAACATCTTTCCGATCTCTCCAACCCCGACATACCCATAGAAAGTTTTCGTTTCCTCTGATAATGGCAGACTTGGCCCGGGTGTTCTACCACTTGAAGAGAAACGGCCAAGATGTTAATGAGAAGCAATCAGCAAGCTAGCGTGCTTTTCCTTCTTGTTGGCCTTACCTGCAGTTCTTCTGCTCACGCCAAGTCGTCAACCAAAAACCCTGTCCATTGGTTGCTACACCAAACTAGTGTTTGGAGATCGCCGCCAAAGGGCTGACGACTAGGGATACTTGATATTTCCTCTTTCGGCAACAATCCTGTCAACGACAGGTCTGACATCAGCAGAGAAATCTGCATACAGTCCAGCACATTCTTTATCCTCCTCACAGAATGGGTTCAAGTGAACTTGCTGAATTTCTTTTTCTTCCCATTCTTATCTTGAAGTCAATAGCCTGTTACCGAGACTCTATACCATAACACCAGATTTCCAACAAACAAAGATAATCCCCAAGACCAACAACAATGGGCCAAGAAGCCTCCAAACCAAAACCCGGCACCCGCCTCCAAGTAATCGGCGCAGGCCTCCCCCGCACCGGCACCGCCTCCCTCGCCAAAGCCCTCGAAATCCTTCTCGACGACGACAGCGACAGCGGGGCCGGCGCCCCCGTCCACCACGGCGGCACCCAAGTCACCCGCGGCCCGGAATCCGAAATCCGCTCCTGGATAACCTGCCTCGCCCACACGCCCATCCGCGGCCCCCTTGACGAGAAAATCGTCCTCGACACCCTCCGCCACCACTTCTCCGACGGCTACGCCGCCGTCGTCGACGTCCCCGGGATGCTCTTCACCGAAGAACTCGCAGCGCTGCACCCATCCGCGCTCGTCATCTGCACCGTCCGCGACCCGGAAGCGTGGGTGCAAAGTATCCGGCAAACAGGCCAGCGGAGCCTCCAGATCTTCCTCTCGTTTGCGCTGTTCTTGCTGCCTACGATGCGGTGGTTCCCGCGGTATATCGACGCGATTCCCAACGGTCGGTGGGGGGAGCTGTTCCCCGCGCGGGAGGGGGAGGGGGTCTTGCCTACGCGCGAGGTGTGGGATTCGCATCAGGCTTGGGTGAGGAGGGTTGTGGACGCGGAGAGGTTGGTGTTTTATGATGTCAAGGAGGGGTGGGGTCCGTTGTGTGAGGCGTTGGGGAGGCCGGTGCCTGGGGTGCCGTTTCCGAGGGTGAATGATGGGGATGCGATTGATGCGTTTGCGAGGGAGCAGATTGTCAAGGGGTTGGTGAGATGGGCTGTGGTGTTGGCGGGGTTTGCTGTTGTTGGTGGTGGATGGTGGTGGACGAGGTGAGGCTCAACAAGTCAACAGTTGTACAAACAAACTTCATCTATTCGCAAAGGGGGGGGTATATAGTCGAACTGCAAGAAATCTATCCATCTATACCTGGTCGGCCGTCATCAAAAGACCATCAACCTTTCACATCCCTCTCCCCCTTCAACTGAAAGATCTTTGCCAGAGTAAGCACCATCGACCCAACCGTCAACGCCGCCGCTCCATACCCGATCATGGACTGCCACGCAATACCACTATAATCACCCAGAATGGCACCAGCAATCGGCGTGCCGATCAAGATGGCGATACCTGCCACAAAATTAATCATACCCATCCGCGTCCCCACGCGCCCGAGATCAGGCGACAAACTCACAATCACCGTCGGCGAAATGCTCACCATGCCTCCCGAGAACAAACCATACAAAATCGCAAAGACGACAAGACCCGCCATGTTACGGATCCCGAGCCACGCAAACATGAGCACCGCCGAGCCCGCAGCAACAGAAATTTGCATGTACAACGCGCCGACTTTATCCGCAAGGTAATTCGGAATCACGCGACCGGGTATACTCCCCGCGCTCAGCAGCGTGACAAAGTACGACGAAAAGTTGGCCGGACCAATCTCATGACTGACGGCAAAGAGCTGGATATAGAAATACGGCACATACATGGCCAGGAACCCGACAAACGACCCCGCCATGACGAGCATGAACGCCGGGTCGCGCAGCGCGGTGCGGTCGACGAGGGAGCGCTTGTGGCCCGACGGCGGGAGGCGGGTATGCATGCTCACGGCGGGTATGACGGACAGACCCAGCAGGATGAAGGCCATGATGCGCGTGGCCCAGCCGAAGCCGATGCGGGGCTCGAGGTGGCCGAAGAGGATGGGGAAGCACATGCCCGCGATCGGGGACCCCGTGGCGGCGATGCCGATGACGAGGGCGTGGCGGCGGTGGAAGTATTGGCTTAGGATCGCGGTGGAGGGGAGAAAGACGAGGCCGCAGCCTAGGCCGATGCAGACCCCCTGCGCGAGGAGGACTTGCCAGTAGGTTGTGCAGAGGGAGGTCATGAACATGCCGAGGATGATGAGGGATATGCCGGCCCAGAGGAGCTCGCGGAAGTAGCCTGCGTCGTAGAGGGGGCCGGAGATGGGGCCGACCATCATGAGGAGGGCGCCTTGGAGGGATCCGATCCAGGAGATGGCGGAGGGGGTGACGCCGGGGAGGGTGCGTTCGTAGTAGGTTTGATAGACGCCAAAGGTGTTTACGAGGCCCCAGGTGTCGGCGAGGATGACCCAGGAGCCGAGGACTTGGATCCAGGCTTCGAGGCCGCCGTCGGGGACTGGGCCCGGGGTGGATGTTGTGATGGGCTCGGCGCCGGCTGCGGGGGTTGCTTGGGGTTCCGGGTCGGCGGGGGCCGGTGTGAGGGTTGTTTCGGAGGGGGTTGTTGAGCGAAAGTCCAGGCCGGAGCCGGACTTTTCGGTTGTGGTGTCGGCGTCTCGGGCGGCCATTGTGAGAGCGTAATATGTGTTCTGTCTGTATATGTTTGATTTGGCTGAAGCTGTTCAGACGGGTGTTCTTGTTGGATATTCGTCGCTTCGGGAGAGAGCTTGCCAAGGGAAGTACGCCTTGGCGGATCGACCTGTTGTTGCAACGTTGGGTGGCGATCTTTTGTCTGCAAGTTGTAGCGCGCTATTGCGACACGAATGTGAAGGAGTTCGCCTTTCAGGATAGATTAGACATTAAGTATGTGTGTAAGCCCTGCATAAGGCGTTCAAGGGAACCGCCGAGGATGGCCTTATTGTGGTTCCAAGTCGAGAAAACTCAAATATAGAACAAGCAACAAGAAGAAGGAAAAAAAAACGTGCGGTATGGATTCAAAATCTATCGGGTAGCAGTGACGGCAAAAGAGTAAAAGAGTGAATGCGAGAAAGCTGCGTGGCGGACAGTGGACTAGACCAGACACCCCTTGACCGGATATAAACTTGGCTTCACAAGAGGCTGAAAATGGAGACCGCTCATTGCACCACCAAGGTCCACTCTTTCGTACACCATCCTTGGTGTTGGGTCCAGATTGGAAGGGTGCCGACAAGGAAAATAGGAGAAGAAGGCGATGAGAAGGGGGGGTGGGGGGGGGGGGGAAGCTATCAAAGGCTCCGCCACTGGGGTCCCGATAGGGCGGCACGCGGGAAGTGGTGGGTGGAATCGGGGCGTGGTGCCGAACGGACAAGCCCGGCCAACATACTAGACTGCTAGTTGGCGGCAAGGCGCTTATGGGACAGCTCATCAAGCGTTGCTGCGTTGTTGAAGCTGGTAAGGTTCTTGGAGTCTAAATGTGCAGTGGTTGTGCGTGGTGTTGATGTTCTGAGATGTTATAGACTCGTCGCTCGACGGGTGTACATCTGGTGAATGATGGTGATACAGATGTGAGAAGCCGCATGTTCAACCAAACCTGCTGAACATCAAACCAGAACCGACATTTACAAGTATAAACATCGAGAAATGGGCAACAGCAAAGGATGTAGAGATTGCCGACATCAACTCCCGCTCTGGAGCCGTCTCCGCTGTTTCGATTCCCACCGGGCGCTCTGTGCTCCACGGGTCGACGATACCAAGAGGAAAGTGGGATGATTGTGGTCGACGACGATAGCGGCCCGATTGCTGACAGCTTCACAGAGTCAGACATTTTCTTGATCCATCTCGGCGCTTGTGCGATCGCCGAGGCCGGGGTCCACTCCGAGAGATGGATCCATGGATGGATTTTGGATCCGAGATAACGGCGGTCAGCGTCAGGTAGTTCTGATGAACAGCGGCTTACGGATGCATACTCTGACATCCAGCGGCTTGCGAATGTCGCTTTCATAATGAGACGATCTTATGAATAACGTCGGGAATAGTGTTGTTATGGATGAGAGAGTTTGTCGATCCCGAAAGTCAAACAAGAGCTTATTTTCTGCGAGCGGTGCTTAGCGGCTTAGCCTTGACGCCAGTGCCACGGGCGGGCTTACTACAGAAAGGCCGCCGTCGCTAGCCTGCTAGGTACTTATTTTACTTTTTGACCCGCAGAATCATCAACAGGTAACTTGGCCGAGCGGTCTAAGGCGCCAGACTCAAGCTTCAAAAGCTTCATCCGTACAACGGGTGAGCATTCTGGTCTCGCAAGAGGCGTGAGTTCGAATCTCACAGTTATCATTTTGCCGTCTTTCCTTGATAGATGGAATACGTTTTGGTCCCTTGTTCCCTTTTTTGTATTTATTCTAAGTGTCTTCGAGTAATTCGTTCCTAGACACTTGTACAATTGACCTTCTAGAAAAGCCACTGTTCACAGGCCCCACAACTACATTCTCACTAAACACTGCAGATGAGCTTGATTCCCTAGAACTTGAAGCAATTCTTTTTGATCTCTACTTGAACGTCTCTCAGGTAGTCCATACTCGACTCGCCGGTGGGAGGGACCTTAAAGGCAATCAGTTGTGCGATCTTTGCCTGAGTTTGGCTGACAAAAAGGTTTGCTGTTGTTGACAGAAACTCTCACCAAAAAGGGTCAAGAGTGGCCAGTTCGTCGAAACCTTGGCGGCATCCCACTTGCACGCCCAAATCTCGAATTCTATATTACCTCAATATGAAAGAACGACGAAAGATGATGAATGCGCCATGCAAACAACCGCCATCAAAGTCCCCCATCTCTCGGAAACTCTCCCGACGACCCTGACCAGCCCAATGATGATTGAAGCAGCCTGCACGGTCCACGGACCCAAACATCCTCCCACACTCCGCTCACCTCATACACAAAGTGTCGGAGCTCCTTTCAAATCATCCAACGCGCCGCGCAACCAGGCATGCGCCGCCGTCCTCGACATCAGCCCAGGGCTCCCAGATGGTGGTGTTTCAAAACGTAGAATGCAAGGGCGGCGGGTGAGGTCGCACAGTCGCCCCCTTCCCATAGCTCGGCTGAGGCACTCGTAGACGTGACATTCTGCAGATCGGATTCTATAGATTTTGACACTGCAAATCACTTAAAAGTTGAATCCCCAAATACCTACCCTCATCTACTCGTTCGAACAATACCCGTGATCCTCTTTCTCGTCGCATAACCCCCGAGAAACCAGAGCCGGCGCCATGAAATCCAGTGACACACTCTACTCCGACGCCCGTCGAGAGGCAGACATCACCGACGATGCCATGACCGACGTCAGCATATCGCTCCTCAGCGACGAGGGCAAGCAGTGGAAGCGGGCAGACATTGAAGACGGCAGATGCGCATCATCACGAGCGAGTCGATGCGCAAAGACCCGGAACCTCTTCCGACGCTGGCGCTGGCTGCTCGATACGTTCCTCCTGGTCGTCATTGTCGGCCTGCTCCTCGAGCGAAGAGGGCTGCAAACAACTGACACGCCAGACAAGCGTCTCGAGCCCGTCGGCGACCTCACAGGGTTCGCACCCAAGTGTACGCCACGACCTCTTCCATCACTTACTACTAACATCAACACACCAAAACTAACATCATGCAACAGTCTCCCAACAAATAACAACCTTCCACCCAACAACAGACTTCGTCCCCGACGACCCAAAATCCCTCTTCACAAACGCCACCCTCCAGGAGCAGTGGCTCTCCATCGTGCCCAAGGGCCTCGGCTACCTCGAGGTCAAGGACCCGAAAGCCCACGATAATCTCCCCGTGCCTTTACCCGAATTCGCCCCGCGCACCGTCTTCACGACCTCGATGACGCACCAGCTGCACTGTCTATACGCCATCCTCGAGAGCTACGCGGGCATGGCCGTCAACGGCAGCGCCAACGTCGATATGCATTCGCATATCCCCGAGGGTACAGAGGGCGCGGAGGGGCCCTGGCATTTGCAGCATTGTTTTGAATATCTGCGGCAGGTGAGTGATGCCCATTTTTTTTTCTTTCTGACATCTGTCTGGGGGATGGGAACTAATCTTGGTTGGAAATAGGCCATCATGTGTGCCGGCGATGTCGCGCTGGAGGGCACGCAAACGACGTTCCCGCCTGGGTTTACGGGTAGTGATGGGTGGGATGCGAAGCACGTGTGCAAGGACTACAAGCAGGTGTACGACTACCTCGACAAGAACCGGGCGTTGGATGACCACTGGATTTGAGTATCGTGTGAGGGTACATGGCGTTTGACGGATGGATGGAGATGATTTATTTGGGAAAGTTTCCAGCGTTTTATAAAAGATGGGTACTCCAGGGCAAAAGAGAGCGTTTATTAATCAGGGTAAAATCAACATGAGCAGCCTTCGCGCTCATCTTTGGGAGGAATACCCTCATGAGCCTATCTCGTCTGATGGTCCGATTTGAACCCAAATGCAGTGTACAACGTTTGCCTAACCTTGAAGCTCTGACGGCCAGGTCTGCATCGTGGAAAGACTTGTACTCGTTCATGAGCCTTGACGGGTATTTGGATCAGCCTGAAACCTCAAAATCATCGCTCTCAAAGGACTCATGTCAATACCTTAGTAACGGCGTGCTCCGGTCTCCGCTCCCGGCGAGTACCCGTTGAACCGGCCGGCGTAATCCCGCTCCCGCGATTCGTTGACTGCCGGACCAAGGCCCCACTCCTCCACGAAAACACGTGCCTCCGCGACGGCGCGAAATGGTAATCCCTGCCACTCCCCGTCCCCCCAAGAAAAAAAAGTTTCGCCTGGGCAATTGGAAGACAGCAAGGCCAAAAAAAAAAAAAGAAAAAAAATTACCGATGAGCCCCGTATCAGACCATTTGTCCCCGAATGGATCCCGGCTCCCTTTTCCTGTAATATCTTTCCCCATTGCATATTCCCATTCCCTTCACTTCCCCTTCTTTTTTTGTCCGCACACACATTGGTCACAATGAGGGCTCCACGAGCCGTCAGAGTGCCGAATGGCGGTCTGTTTGCAGGCGTAAAGCCTCAAACGGATGCACGACACTTTAGCAGCTTCGCCGCCTGCGCAAAGAAGCCGTCCTCGACAACGAACGCCGTAACGACCACATGGAAGAAGAACTCCGTGCGCGCCTTCTCGACGACCCCGATGGTCAGGGACGCCGCCGCCGAGGCCCTCAAGCTGGCCCAGGACAATGCCTCCGCCCTCACCCCCGAGCTCGTCGCCGCAAAGATGAGCCCCGACGAGGCCAAGCGCCTGTCGCGCGTGCGCAACATTGGTATCGCCGCCCACATTGACAGCGGAAAGACGACTGTCACCGAGCGCGTGCTCTTCTACTCGGGCCGCATCAAGGCCATCCACGAGGTCCGCGGCAAGGACTCGGTCGGCGCCAAGATGGACTCCATGGATCTCGAGAGAGAAAAGGGCATCACTATCCAGTCGGCCGCCACCTTCGCCGACTGGAAGAAGACGGAAGAAGGAAAAGAGGAAACCTACCACATCAACATCATCGATACACCCGGCCATATTGACTTCACCATCGAGGTTGAGCGCGCACTCCGCGTCCTCGACGGCGCCGTCATGATTCTCTGCGCCGTCAGCGGTGTCCAGTCCCAGACCATCACCGTCGACCGTCAGATGAAGCGCTACAACGTCCCCCGCATCAGTTTCGTGAACAAGATGGACCGCATGGGTGCCAACCCCTGGAAGGCCGTCGAACAGATCAACTCCAAGCTCAAGATCCCCGCAGCCGCCATTCAGATTCCCATTGGCGCCGAGAACGAGTTCGAGGGCGTCATCGACCTGATTGAGCGAAAGGCACACTACTTTGAGGGCCCCCGTGGCACCGTCGTCCGCACCACCGACGTTCTCCCCGGAGGCTACAAGGACCTCGTCGAGGAGAAGCGCCAGGAACTCATTGAGAAGCTCGCCGACGTCGACGACGAAATGACGGAGCTCTACCTCGAGGAACAGACCCCCACAAACGCCCAGATCAAGGCCGCCATCCGCCGCTCCACCATCGCCCTCAAGTTCTCCCCCGTCATGATGGGTTCCGCCCTCGCCGACAAGGGCATCCAGACCGTCCTCGACGCCGTCTGCGACTACCTGCCCAACCCGTCCGAGGTCGAGAACAAGGCCCTCGACAAGAAGCGCGACGAGGCCACCGTCAAGCTCGTCCCCTACAACTCGCTCCCCTTTGTCGGCCTCGCCTTCAAGCTCGAGGAGAACAACTACGGCCAGCTCACCTACATCCGCGTCTACCAGGGCAAGCTCCGCAAGGGCACCTACCTCTTCAACTCCCGCACCGACAAGAAGGTCCGCATCCCCCGTATCGTCCGCATGCACTCCAACGAGATGGAGGACGTCGCCGAGGTCGGCGCCGGCGAGATCTGCGCCGTCTTCGGCGTCGACTGTGCCTCGGGCGACACCTTCACCGACGGTGGCCTCCCCTACACAATGTCCTCCATGTTCGTCCCCGACGCCGTCATGTCCCTCTCCATCAAGCCCAAGCGCACCAGCGACGCCGACAACTTCTCCAAAGCCATGAACCGCTTCCAGCGCGAGGACCCCACCTTCCGCCTGCACGTCGACGAGGAGTCCGAGGAGACAATCATCTCCGGCATGGGCGAGCTTCACCTCGAAATCTACGTCGAGCGCCTCCGCCGCGAGTACAAGGTCGACTGCGAAACCGGCAAACCCCGCGTCGCCTACCGCGAGACCGTCTCCCGCCGCACCGACTACGACTTCCTCCTCCGCAGACAATCCGGCGGCCCCGGAGACTACGCCCGCGTCGCCGGCTGGATCGAGCCCAACGACGACCCGGAGGCCAACTTCTTCGAGACCCAGGTCGTCGGCGGCACCATCCCGGACAAGTACATCACCGCCTGCGGCAAGGGCTTCGAAGAAGCCGCCAACAAGGGCCCCTTGCTCGGCCACAAGGTCATTGGCACAAAGATGATTGTCAACGACGGCTCCACCCACGTCACGGATTCCTCCGACTTCGCCTTCAACCTCGCCACGCAAATGGCCTTCCGCAAGGCCTTTGACGACGCCGGCGGCCAGGTCCTCGAGCCCCTCATGAAGACCACCATCACCGCGCCCAACGAGTTCCAGGGTAACATCATCATGCTCATGAACAAGCGCAACGCCACCATCCACGACACCGAGGTCGGCACCGAGGATTTCACGCTCATTGCCGACTGCAGTCTCAACGCCATGTTCGGCTTCAGTTCCCAACTCCGCGCAGCTACCCAGGGCAAGGGCGAGTTCGGCATGGAGTTTAGCCACTACGCAGCCGCTCCTCCTCACCTCCAGTATGTTGACCCCAGTACCCCTTTCCCTTAGCACTGCTCTGGTCGTAGATAACTAACAACCCCCACAGAAAGGAGCTCTGCGCCAACTACCAGAAGGAGTTGGAGGCTAAGCGCACCAAATAAGCCACTGATGAAGATCTTTTCCCCCAAAGAAAGGGGGAAAATCTTTACTTCCGGAAATGTGGTGAAAACCCATGGCACTCCAGTGCCCCCGTGTATCAACATCGAAGCTCCACCTTCCCCATCCACGAATCCTTGAGCAAAGCGCACAAGATGGGATCCAAAGGGGGGCTCATACGGCGCCTACTTGGGCGGACGTATGTAAACATGTATATCTAATGTCACGTCAGGAACCTCTTGATAGAAAAGCCTAGACGTAAAAGGAAAAAATCCCACCCTTCTGTAGGACCTTGTAAGAAGAAAAAAGACAGGGTGTATAGGGGTAAACGCGATTTATGATAGAACTAGACTTTGAACAATACAAGCCTCGTCTTCTCTCCCATGATTACGACCGGATTGGTCCCCCGTCCCTGCTACCCGTGTATACTAGAGCTTCCGTCTATGTCTGCTCGTCACAGGCCGCATACCGCCGTCTCAGACAACCCCTTTAACCTGCCTCTTGGGCGGCAAAGTCGACCGCCGTCTCCTCGAACGCTTCATCACAGCCGAGCTAGACCTCTCGCTCGTATGCCAGTAATACGGCGACGTTTGCTTTTCAGGGGCACTCGAGAGCGCATCTACACCCACATCGTCAGCAAACCTCTTTACCCTTCTCTTAACCCCCCCTAATTCTCGGGCCTTGGTTGTGTTTCTTGTGGTATCCTCACAAATCACACCCGGAACCCATCCCACAAAAGTCAACACAACCGCAACCCCGACCCTCCCATCAACCTTTCCCCCCGCCGCCCCGCGATATACAGCCACAGGCGGACACGCAATCGCAATAACGGTATGGCTATCGAGGCGACGGCCTCGAAGGCACAGACAAAGGGAAAAGCACCGTGGGGGGGTCGTGCTTGTCGGGGGCGAGGGTGTGGGGGGCAAGGTGATGATGTAGCGGACGATGCTGCCGCCTTCGGATCGCGAGGCTGTCCTCGAAAGCAGGGAGGAGGAGTATGTTGTGCGGTTGCTGAGGCTGAGGTGGGAGGAGAAGATGCGTCTGAGGGTGGATTGGGTGCCGGACCAGAGGGTGCGGAGGCTGGTTGATTTGCTTTTGCTTTTGGTGCTTACTGGGGATGGGATGCTTGTGGAGGACATGGTGTTTTTTTCGGCGGAATGATTTGAGATGGCATAGGGTTTCTAGGATGGTACGTGATGAGACAGTTATCTCGAGCTTCTTAAGTAGACGAATCAGTGCCAGCGGAGGAAACACGATTACCCGCCAGATCATGAGGAAGGTATCAGGTCGTCACTGGGCAGGCAGGATAAGGGGAAGCAGCGCCTTCCCTCCCACATTCACTTAACATCCACGCAAGGTATTTAATCCCATTTCCAGCAATCACAACAAATTCATTCAAGTCGATGCATTGTCCCCTGTAGAATCAGATTTGTCAAAGGGCTCTCTCTATTTGAGTATCCTGTTCTAGCTTCTACGCCGTGTATGTATGCACTCACAGGCCGGCCGTATCTTAAGACTCATAGAGCTCGTTGATAAACTTTGGTTACGCCTGCTCTTGTTTCTTTGGGAGATCTTTTCGGAAGCGAGTTATTATACCCAAGTTAGATCAGAAGAAGTTATAACCCTCAATGTCAAGATCCATGAGACGTAGAGCACGACATAGATACAGAGGTCAACGCCGCGGTCGAAGCCATTCTAATTCAAATGTTATGATACTTTTGTTTACGTGTCTATACAAGCTCATTCTACATGCATGTACCCCACCAATTTCCCCTAACTTTATGTCGCCCGTTCAACGATATCCGGCATACTCTTTAACAACATGTTCAATGCCACAGATCCAAGATCTACTCAGAGCTACCCAGAGCCAAGGTCGCTTTCAACTAATTGATGAACGCCATGATTCTGGTTCCGATAGTGAGCAGAGGCCGTCAGGGCTAAGTGATCTTACTGCAGTGGTAAACGTGTCTACGCTAAATAGACATATCAACATATGAACCATTTCACTGCTCTGGCCATACTCAAGTCAAGCACCACCGCAAGATCATCAGTCAAGGTTGTGTGTTCTCTTGTGGACGGAAAAATGATAAGCCATTGCTACGCTGAGCGCGTAGGCTCCAGCTGTACATGGCACAGCAACTTCTCTAACTCGCTGTGGTATCCTTCGTACTCGTTCAATCTGGAACGAGATTCGCCAAACGCCGATATCCGGTGTGCCGGAAGACTATTATACAAACGAGATTCAGCATCTTGCCTCGGGAGGGCAAGTGCCCCATCCAACATGTATGTGTTTTTGCCCTTCAAGACTTCGTATATACTAACAAAATAGCCTCCAGGCGTTCATTCGTTTGCAACAGGCTCATTACTTCCAGCCGTAATCATGAGATTGAATATGGTTCGCGCGATCCCAGCCCAGGCCGTCACCTATCATCGTGAGGTCTGGCGCTGGAGGGTTCTATCACGATTTGCGGCACTTGCTGCAATCGTAAGCTAGGTAGTCGTGGTACTCTTGAGCTGCGGCGTGAGTCTGCAGAGCCGTTCGCAGTCTGCGCATCCGCTGCCATATCGGCCATGCTTGAGGCAATGCTTTCTGTCCGTTGCTGGGCAGGGCCGGGGTACGTCGGCGGGGGCTCGGTGCCAGGTTGGGGAGTGTTACTCCTGGATCGCTCGTCATCAAGCGAGACTTCGTCGTATCCAGGTGGAGAGTAGATGGGCATGCCAGCGTCTCCAACGTCAGCTTCGACATCCGGACTGGACCCTGCCCGGGTATCTAGGCGGGGTGTGTCTGGTCTCGAATTCGCCCGCGATCTTGAAGTAAATCCTGGCGAAGGAAGATCACTTTCGATGCTCATTACGGAGCTTCCTCTCCTGTGATTCATAGCTGATTCGGCCCCGGATCGAATTGAGGTGGCGGCAATACTGGCGGAATCCGACAGCAGTCCCATCCTCTCGCTTTCGTTGCTGTTGGCGCGAAGTCGTGTGCCGTCATGACGAGCAACACCGAGGTCGGCATAGGAGACACTGGAAACAGCTCTCTGACGTTCATTCTTCAGGCGATCATGTTCTTCGCGGAGGACAGCGACAACGCTGTTATTGCTGGCAGCCCGAGCTCTGGACCGGATGTTGTCCAGAGCTACGAAGTCACCACGTTCCCGGGCTTCCCGGCGCTCCACTCTCCGCTCCTCTCGCTCGGCAAGCTCCTGACGGCGGGCCAGGCGGATCTGGTAAAGGGCCTCCATCTCCTGATCACGTAGATCCTCCTCTGTTTCTTCCGTGGGATATTCGATAACAACATCGACACCACCGCGTTCGCCTTCACGACCCAGGACTTGCTCAGTTTCGTTCGGATCAGGTCGGTAAGCAGGGAGCGTCATAATCGAGCGGATCGAGGTATTGCGGTTGACAGCGCTGTTGGGGGAGCGGGCGTCAGCCTGCGACTGATCAGCCGAGGCATCGAATGCCACAGACGTTGGGCGGGAGCGACGGCGATCAGTCAATCGCTCCGTCGAGGTGGAGTCTTCATCCTGAGCTTGGCGGTATCTGTTTCTGCCACCGGTTTTCAATATTGACTTGAAAAAACCGCCGCCGCCGCCACTGCGAGGTTTGTTGCTGTTGCCGCGGGTAGAGCGACGAGATGCGCGCAAGGAAAAGACGACAAAGGCGATAAAGATGAGGAGAACCAGTACAGCGAGAATGACCTATAGTGGCGATTGTCGTTAGCGGCTTAGTTAAAGGTGGTGGAGGACGCGGAAAAGCCCTTCACATGTCTTGTCACTTACAATTGTGGTAATTTTTCTGCCGTCGATTTCTTCACGGCGTTGCAGGGTCGCAGGAGAGCCACTTTGGGAACCGATGGACAGATCGAGTGGTATTCGCATCTTGAGGTACATTGCGTGTAACGAGCGACTGGTTCTCGATTGAGTACCGGAACGGAAGGGTCGGCGGTTTAAGGTCGAGAGGCGCTGGGTAACGGCGAGGCGGATTAAGGCGGGGCGTCCCAGCTGCGCAAAGCGAGTAATAAGCGTCAGGACTGGGACATTGAGACTCGGTAATTGCAGGAACGCTTATGGGAACGCGTTGGATCGGAGACGAGGCGGCGGCAATGCAAGTGACGATCGAAAGTGTCGTGAACGTGGGAGTAGGCGAAAGGTGATGTGGGAGAAAAAGAAGGAGGGAAACACCAGCAGTCGGTTGATTTGGCGGTTGGAGGTGAGATGAGGTGAGGTGAGGCGAGGACTGACGGGACCAGGTCCAGGCAAGGTGCAGGTTGGTAGTATTAGCGGTGCCTCGGTGGTAGTGGCACAGGGTCAACCTCGAAGGTCTGGGTCCAGGTCCAGATGCTGGCGGCGAGGTACGTATCCGTGCCCGTAAACTGCCCTGGTCAGTAGTCGTACCTCTTTCTCTGTGCGCAGTGCTGTGCAGTGTGCAAGGCAGGCCGCAGTGGGACTCGGTCGGTGGTGAGCGATGAAGGGTCCTTTCGGGTGGGTGAGTGGGTTGGATGGATCCGGGAAGGGTGTGAGCCTGTGAGGCTGGGAGGCACGGAGCAGCAGGTCGGTGCCTTGCCCTTGAAGTATGGGTGCTTGGTCTTGGGTCTTGGTCGTGATGCAGGAGGGAGGCGGAGGCGAGGCGGATGAAGGAGAGGCAGCAGCGTTGCTGGATCGGATCACCGCTGTCGAACGTCTCTGGGGATGTCTGAGTAAGGTAAGGTAGGTATCCAAGGCGGGTATCCGTAAGCGTGTGGGACGTTGGACGTGGACGTGAGGATGGCCAGGCCGTTGTATTGTGACCAGTGGAGGAAGTTGTAGATATTGAATTGGTATGGATTGGAGGATGGCGGAAAGACGTTTGATGAATAAGTATGGCAAGACAGGAGGTGAGAGGGGAAAGACAGCCTGAAAAGAAAGGATGGGATCGAGGTTGATGTCGCGGTCGAGGTTGCGGATGAAGATGAGGATGAGGATGTGGATGCGGACGCCTCAGCGGAGTGCAGGAGTAGTTAACTTAGGTACCTTAGGTACGTACTGCTGTGTATCCGTCGAGCTTCAACGGAAGCAGGAAGCAGGCACGACTGAGGCAGGCACGACCGCACGAGAAGGAGGCAGGAGCAGAGGATGCAAAAGTGGATTGTTGCAGCTGCCCACGGCCGGGCCTGCAGCTGCTGTTGCAATCGCAGTCGGTTCGGCGGTTGCCCTCCATTCCTGGACCCCGAGACTCTCTCTCTCTCTCTCTCTCTCTCTCTCTCTCTCTCTCTCTTTCTCTCTCTCTCTCTCTTTTTCTCTCCCCCGTCTTTCTTTCATTCTCTCTGACCGTGTTTCAAAGGTACTTCACCAGCCACCCACTCCAACGTGAGCTTCGAGGTACCTCACACAACAAACCTCCCCTCCCCTCCTTCGAGGTGGGCCACCTTGTAGCTTACCTCGTTAGCGTCGCTCGTGTATGTTCCTTAGTGGGTGCCGGCGGCGGGAAGAATCTCTGGGCTAACCTTGTCCAGGGTCCACGTTGCTCTGCGCGCCGCTCATCCCGTTGCAACTTTGCTGGAGAACGATGCAAGTCGTCGCGTCCTCCCTCTCTCTGATTCTCTAGTTACAGTATGACTGTATGAGTCTCTGCTGTCTTACGCACGCAGCTGCACTGGACCCCGCGGAACGGCTTCGAGTCAATGGCAACGGCCTTCGCTGTCAATGATATCAGACAAGACAATCCCGTCCCGACCATACTCAATGCCGCTCCGGGTAGACATAGGACGGCAGGCCGACCGAACCATCAACTATTTGAGTTTACCCCAAATCAGCAAACGCTCTTCGTCGAATCATTCTCGGTGGTTTCCATGTACGAAGTATCTATCCGTGTACAAGATTGCATGGCATGACCATAGCTACCTTGCTCCGTACTCCGACCAGGAAGACTATCTGCAAACACGGGCTGGGCGAAACATGAAGGAAAAGAGGCCTGTCCGCTGCGTCTGTCAAACTTCACTCGCAGAGCGAACAACTAGCATTGTTTCTTCAATCAAACCCTTTCCGCACAGAGCATTCGATCGAATCGAATCGTCGTTCTTCGGGGTTCACTGAGCAACTGGAGGTTCCATCCACATCACCATCATCCTCCCAAGTACGAGTGCCAAATCAGGACCACTCATCTGCAGTCAACATTCGAGCGAGCCGATGGTCGCTGCGTCAGACACCTCCAAGGGGGCCCCAACTTTCAGTCAGCCCAACCCAGACTATCGGGGCGTGAGGCGGTGCCCTGGATAGGGCGGTGTTGGGGTTGGCGCCAGTCTTGTCAGTGGTAAACCCTCTCTGCACGTAGCACAGGCTACGGAGACATCATACACCATTGGCGCTATCATCGTCACTGGCGATCCCATCGCGCCGGCAGCCTGCCCTTGAGGCTTGACGTGTGGCTTGTGGCTTGCTGCAACGGTGTCATTCGGCCCTAAAACTTCTGGTCCACGAAACGTCGACACCCCATCACCTTGGCTCCATCGACTTCCCCGTTTCCTGTCTTGATTTAGGTCCACGAGTGACATCAGACCAAACGATCTCTCACGCCTGACGAGTCGACGACAGCATCAATCTGTCCTTGACAAAACGCTGTTGCTGCCGGCCCTTCATTTGGTTCCATGCCCTAGGGCAGTGATTTCGCTTCCGTCGCTTGCCGTGTCACGAATTTAAGCATTAGCAGGGGCCTCCTCAGGAACGCCGTCGCCATGTCATGCCGCCATCCGGCTTGGGCTTCTCGATTGAATTGAACCCACTTGGCCAAGAAGAACTTGAGCGCCGTGTGCCCAGCTTAGTTTCCAGTTTTGCCCGGTAACAGTATACTATTTCCAGCAACAAGCATCATGGCCCAGCAACAGTGCAACGAAAACCAAGCAATGTCAACGCACCAGTCTCTAGAGGCTAGAGCACCTCTCACCAGCCACCAACTGCCTATCTACTGCTCTGCCACAGCCCACAGACATGTCAGGGTTCCCCGGGATAGGTGAGATGGCGTGGGCAAGTTGTGACTTGTGAGAAGATTAACCGCCAACACTGAGCTGCCGGGCAGCTCGCGAGCCATTCAAGGAATGGCAGGGATGCCCCGCGGTCTTCAGCACCGCCTCATCTGCATCATGATGACCATGTGGCTGGGGACGGAGGGGCTGCCGCCTGCATGGACTTACTCCAGCGCAGGTTTTCGCTGTAAATACAAGTCAAGTCAGCCCAGGCAGGCGTCTCATCATTCTTCGAAAGCTGCCGCAGCCCTTACCGAAGACATATCTCGAATGCCGTTCCTCTAAATCAGACACACGGGTGCGAGATCAACACTTTCGCAACAGAACAGAGACTGACACACGACCATCAAGACTTCCTCCAAGGCGCAACGCTATTCAGGAACGAAAGCCCAGCTACTATGCAAGTCTAAGACAGATGCACTTCTTGTCTAAGACATTTCTGCACGCCGTCTTAAACCACCCAATCGCCTAGCCGCACCCTCTCATTCGTCCACCTTCGCGAGTAGCGCTGACAGGACTCGAGGAGAGAGAGAGACGACCAGCCATTGCCTCTAGGGCAGCCGGCCGTGCCTCGGGTCGGACGACCTAATAGTTAGGCCCGTTGTGTCAGCCCATTCGAAGGCGCCGTCCGGCGCAACCCCCGCTCGAAATCTGGAATCATTCCGCATCCAGGATAATGCGACGCAACGTTGAATCGGCTCTCTCAAGGTGCCACAATCTTGACTTATACGAGCTGAGGCTTGGTCCCGAGTACTCTTATTTCATCCAAGAAGAGTGAGTTATGGTGTGCGGAGTATCCGTACCTACTTTTGATATTCTGGTTGGCGAAAGACTATGCAAAAGAGAACTACGGTTCAAATACCAGAGGCCCTAATCATAGAATAAAGGCAGAGCGCTATCGCACCCGGCGAGCCCATCCCGCTGTCACGGAGACGTATCCACTGTCAGCTGCACCTTGCGCTCGCAGGATTCATCACCACGCATTGCGTTTCTGTATCATGAATCCTGCCAGCCGAGCCCGCCACCACATGCCGGAGACCAACAAAGCCTCAACACTTTGCCACTTGGGAGAAGCTCGATCTGACGGAGCGGTGTTCCGGCCCCCAAAATGTCGCGAATCCTTCCCCGGGCGAGCTAGGCCACCACGTTGTTAATCGCATCCGTGCATGACGTACAACTGCCGATGGACACGATTGTTGTGGGATTGGTTGTGCTTCTGCTTGCTGCCTACTATTTGATATCGGCTCGGAGATGGAGATTATCCTTGCTGAATACGACCGTCTACATCAAGATTATACTGACGCTCAAGATGCATGGAAAGTGACACCACTGCCTCTTTTGAAGCTACCGCTGGGTTAAGGAATGTTACATTGGTAAAGTGCTTGTAGGCCCGAGGTTGTTGATACCTCACATAAGGCCTACCAGGCTAATACGGGACACTCATGTGAAATCTGCAACCTCTGGCATCAGCATTTCACCATGTCAGGAGAGCAAGCATTCGAGCCTTTCGTCCTGCGATGTTTGTCGTTTTTCCCCCAGCACGTGCTTTGATATAGGTACTTTGAACTTTGGGCTGACGGTGAAGTTCAATTGCAAATACAATCTTGTTCAATGTCATGAGAAGACCTTCCTGGAAGACGGAAAACCTCGAGTAAGATAGGATTGGAGAGATTGAACAACGATTGCCCTTGGCATCTCATCATGTCCATGTCCTGACCCAAAGATGAAGTCGCTACTTCTCTTCAGCTTCTTCGGTTGAAGATAGGGAGGTATGGGAGGGTAAGGACAAAAGTGTATACCGGTCTCGAGGCTCCCTCATGGACCCCTTAGCCTCTCTAAAGATACCTGTATGAAGCTGAGGCTGCCTTGATGACTGGGAATCGGGTAGGTGGCATTGAAGGTGTCGCTCTCACAAGCCAATTTAATGGAGGAAAACATCGTCGAACGCGTATTCACCGAAGTAAAGTCCAAGTAAGCACGCCATTACCGAGTCATCGGTGTTAAGGAAAGTTTTTAAAGAGATCTCTGCTTCAAGATCAACTACCCAGGATTGCTCCCCCACATATCCAACCATGGAATTAAAGAACAATAAAAATTCATCAAACATTATATCCCCCCTTCCCTTCCCTCATCCTACCCCACAACACCAAACCCACCACATCCCCCTTCTCCATTTACCCAAACTTCTTCTCAAACTTCCTAAACATCCCCGTAACGCCCTTCTCCAACCTCCCAACATTAGCCTCCAACCTCCCCGAGGGGTCCTGCTTGCCCGTGTACCCCTTATACTTGCTCGCCTCCATCTCCGTAGGCCGATACGCCTGCTGGTGGATGGAGTAATCAAACGCTCCCGGCTGCTGTTGCTGCTGCTGTCCGTTGCTGCTGCTATACGAGTACTGCGAGAACCCGCCAGGTGGAGGCGACATTGGTGCTCCAGCCGCAGGCGGCGCGGACGCGGCGGAAGTCGTTGAAGGCGGTGTCGGAGGGGCGTGGACGGCGGCGGCTTGCGGTTGAGGTGTTCCCTGCTGCGTCTGCGTCTGCGTCTGTGTCTGCGGTTGCGGCTGTTGCAGTTGAGGCGGCTGAGAAGATGGCGGAGGGGGCGGCGGCGCGAAGCCAGGGGACGAAGGGAACGGGCTTCCGTACGGGTTTGCTAGGCCCGGTGACGCGAGGCCACCGTGTATGGCTTGCGCTGGCATCGTCACCGCGCGTTGGAGGACGGGTTGGCCTGGGGGACCACCGAATTGCGGCGGTGGAGGAGGCGGGGGCAGGCCGATGGCCCCGTGTCCCAGTCCGTGTGCGCTCTGGAACCCGGGAGGGGGCACGAAGCCCGGCGAGAACGGGGCCTGCGCGTCGTAGGCGACGGCCGCGGCGAGCGGGTCCGCGACGCCGTCTTCGGGGGGCGGGGTCTTTTCTCTGTGGCGGATTGTTTCTGGGGCGGCGGGGGCGGCAGGGTTGTATGCCATTGGGACAAAGCTTGCTGGCTGCTCTTGTTGTTGTTGCTGGGCTTGCGGTGCGGCGGCGGCTACGGCCGAGGTAGGTGGCCCGGCAAAGGCTGAGCCGTTCTGCTGCTGCTGTGCAGAAGAGCCCCTTGGGGAGCCGTAACTTGGGTCTGATATCGCGACGTGTTCGAGTTGTTGGACGACGGAGCTCACGGGTTGGTGTTGCGTGTGCTGCTGGACATGTTGCTGTTGCTGCTGGGGTTCGTCGAGGATCTCGACCTGCGCGGGCGGGAGGACGAAGCGGATGCCGTTGACGAACTGGAGGGCGTCGTCGGCCTTCCAGAAATAGATATCGAGGGAGTGGAGCTTGTAGTGGTACTTGTTCTGGTTCTGGGGGTCGTAGGTAGGCAAGTGCCATTCCATCGGGTCCGTCGTCTCGCCTACGATGAGGGTTACCATGCACTGGTGGTTGTAGGAGTATCGTACGTGCGTCTTGTCGAGGACTACGAGGTGAGGACGGGAGGTTAGTGAAGCTCTTTCTGCAGTGGGCAGGACAGCTCTAGCTCATGCTTGAGCTTTAAGCCTCGAGCTCTAGATATGATGGGGCTCCAAGAACGAGAGACATGGGATTTCCACGTACATCCGTCAAAGGCATCTTGATCTTCGCCGCCGGGTTGGTTGGCAATCTCAATGCGCGCGCGGCGGTCGTTTGCGTTCTCAAAGAGGTAGACGTAGGATCCCTTGTCGAAGCGGTGGTGCGGCGGGTTACTCGTCGGCGGGCCGTAAAAGTAATGGACGTCTCCGAAGCTATTGAGCGTTTGAGGCCAGTCAGCAGCCGCCATTTTCTTATGTATGCGCGCGCGCCTCTATATGTGTACGGGTCGCAGAACGCAAAATCCCACGTCCGTGCCGGGTGTGGATGGTGAGAGACTGAGGAAGAGAGGGAGAAAGACCCGAGGAAGAGGGTGTAGTTGGAAGAGATAACACGAGCTCCTTCGCTTCTCTACCACCTGTTCGAAAAGAGAGAGAAAACCAACAAGATAACTTACAGAGTAGCAACATTTTCCTCTCCCGGCCGGGTCGCCATTCTCTATTGTGGGATTGCTGCGAGCAGCCCCTCCAAACCTCAAACCTACCTAACCTTACCTTGTCGAACTTCCAACAATGCCCAACAAAGGAAGCTCTAAGAATAGCTTCCTTGCTCAGTCTATCTCTGTCCAAGGGTTCGGGACCACTTCCCTGGGCCGATGATCCGATGGAACAAGCACCAGAGAGGCGCGCAACTTTCTTGGGATGTTGGGGCAGCGTTGGTAAAATTATTACCCCGCCTCGGTCAAGCAACCCAAGGTAAAAAGGTTATGTAGCCAAGGGCGGCAGCAGGTACGAATAGAGAACCAACCGAGCTCTCTATTGCGGGCGAAATTGGAAAAAAGATGAGTGTGTGTGTGGCACCTGGTTTATTTCAGGAACAAGACACGAGAGAGAGAGAGAGAGAGAGAGAGGTAAAAAGGGGAAAAGAGTTTCGTATGAAGGGGAGGTGGGAAAAGATGGACTGTTTTGCGCCGAGGGTGGTGTCGACTGTCGAGGTTTTGTGTAGCTTGCTTACTACCAGAGCAGACCAGTCTCGACGATCCAAAGTTCTCTTTCTCTCTTTCTCTGTCCTTCTTGTGTGATCAATCACCCAATGACCCCTCTAGCCCTCTTCTCTCTTTATCTTGGTACCACTCGGTAGCCAGACCGCCTCGAGAGCCCCCTTTCCAGACTCCAGTGGCATGAGCAAAAAAACAATTCGCAAGTGACAAAAAGGAAGAATCACACTACCTTAATCTTGGGGTCTTGCGACTTCGCAAACGCCCTTCAACCCAACCCAACCCCCGCCATTCTCTTGCAGGTGCCAGAAGCTCCAAGCTAGACCATGCGCGTGCCAGGCCCTGCTTGCGTTGCGTCCACTGTGAAATGCATGGGTGGTGAGCTGCAGCTGGTCGCATCGAGTGGTCAACTCGGCGCTTACAGGACGTCGGGGACAGCCAATCAGGAGCTCCGGCCGGGGGTTGGTCACTGGTGGGCAGCCGTGGCACGGGAAACTACCGTCGTCGGGGAGTGGAGTCCGACGTGAGCGCCGTGGAGCACGGACCCGTTCTAGCTTGGCCGTTTTTTTCCAAGGTGAGGTGAGATGAGGTGAGGTGATACGGTGAGTAAAGGTGACCGAGGTACCGATGTATTTCTGCCTTAGTCATCATTCGACATCCATCGGGCTGGGCGTGTCCAAATTTTTGGCGATAGCTTCCCTGTGGCTTGACTGCGTGGTGACGGATCATACTTTGCGGTACCATTGGAGCCAGTCGACGCGCAACGCCCACTCCTTTCCAACCTCGATACCCGTACACCGTCGAACCGACCGTTAATTGAACATCAACACAGTAAGCTTCCGCCCGCCAATTGAGCACGTCAAGACAAATCACCAACAACCGTCCTCTAGCATCGCGAACGACTTCAACGACCACACCCACTCCCCCTCGAACCCTTCCGAAAACCAAACACCCACACACACTCACTCACCCGGCGAGCCAAAGGCTCCCCAACTCAAATCCAAAATGGGCGGCCTAACAAACGTAATCAACATGTGCTCTCACCTCCAAAACGCATCCCGCGCCCGCCTAGGAATGACCTCCGTCACAAACACAAAGCAAAACCTCAACCTCGCCCTCGCCCTCCACCGCTCCGGCTTCGTCTCCTCCCTCTACCGCGGCGGCCCTTCCCCACCCGCCCCCGAAGACCTCCTCCGCGACCCGGAACCCGTCACCTCGTCCAACGTCGCCACGCGCCGCCTCTGGCTCGGCCTCAAGTACTGGAACAACGAGCCCGTCCTCCGCGGCCTGACCATGGTCACCAAGCCCACAAGGCCCATCAACGTCCACATCGAGGACCTCGAGCTCGTCGTGCGCGGGTTCCCGACCAAGAATGGCCTCGTCAAGGGGCTTGCGATGGGGGAGTGCCTGTTTATTTCTACGGATAGGGGTATTTTGGAGGCGAGGGAGGCGCTGGCGAGGAAAGTTGGCGGTATGGTGCTGTGCCGGGCGAGATAAGGAAGAAGCAAAAGAAAGTCTTGTTGTAGGCTGGGGGGAAAAGGAAGATGGCCTTGAGAGAAGGGTCGATTATGATGGCCACTCCCTACGAGGAGAGAGAGTGACCGGGCCTCGGAAAAAAGGAGTCCTGGGAAAAAGAAGGCACCACAGGGCAGGCCTCGAAGTCAACCCTCGGCAGCTCTGCAAGAGCCATGTCCTCCATATACTGTACAAAAGTTGTATTCTAGAGAAGACACAAACAAACCATTTTTGAAGCTTTTTGGCCCCGTAGCCAGCTTGCAGCAACGCCTGCCCTTCAGGACCACCTAGGTCGAGCTGTCGTTCAGCTACTCTACAGACACTGATCACCAGGATGCAGGACAGCGTAGAAAATCATTCACGTTTTATAATCACCACGGAACAATCCAATATCCAAGGAATCCATATAATTCTGTGCGAGTGGTATTCATTCTCTATAACTGATTTCGGGCTCCAGACACCAACTTCTCCATGCTCCGGAACTTTGAAATCTCTCACGAAGTAATTTACGCCTTTTTGTCGGTCAGGTATCATGGTACACCCCAATGGTTTCTAAAACTATACAATCACCTCCGCCGCTCTTCGACACAGGTTTTTTTTCATGCAGTCTCAGTCTTGACTTCTGTGTTCGCCTCAACAGGGGCCGGAGCTGACTCCACCTTGTCCTCCGCCGCCTCCTTCTCATCCGCTAGCAGCTCCTCAAACTCATCCGGGCTCTTAAGCTCTTGGTCCTCGGCCTCTTCCTCCTTGAGGTCGAGCGTGGCAGTCTGCTGCGTGATGTCGTCGAGCTCAGGCTCCTCAACACGTTCTTCGGTGACGGCCTCCAGCTCAGGCGCCGCGATCTCCGTGACAGGGGCCTTAACCTCAGTCTCCTTAACTGGGCTAGCTTCAGCCGCAGTCTCCTCGATAATGGGTTCTGGTGTGGCCGGTGCTTTTGCCTCTGGGGTTCTCGGTGCCTCGGCGATGGCCTCGGCCTCTGCGGTCTCAACGACCTTCTTGACGGGAGCCTCCTTCTTGTTGGCGAAAGGGCTGCCTGTGCGGCTTCCCGCTCGCACCGCTGCCGGCCTAGAGAGCGCTCTCTTGGGGCTCCTTGAAGCAGAAGCCTTCTTGGCACTGCTGGGCTTTGCACTCCTGCTTCTAGGAGGGGTAACGGGAGCCTTCTCCGAAAGCTTCGAAGACGAGCTCGCCGTGGGTCGCATCATGCGAGCCAGGAAGCCCTCGTCAACCTCCTTCTCCTTCTTGGTGATGGGGTGGTCCTGGAGGGGCTTCTTTGGCGGTGGGCCAATGCTGGGCCGGGGCCGGTTGATGACTGAGTTCTGGCGCTTCAGAGTCTTGGGTGGTGCCGCAGCACCGGGCGCGCTCGCTCTGCTAGCCGGGCGACCCTGGTTGCCAGAGGCACGCGAGAGAGACTCACGAGGAGCCTCCTTGACTCTCTGCACTGAGGCGGCAGTCGGGGCCATCAGCGAAGCAGGCAGCTTCACGGGCTTGGTGGGCGACTTGACCTTGGGCTTGACGAAGCCAACGCCGCTGGAGGGAGAAACCTGCACGGGGGTAGGTTTCTTGGTGCCTGCCGATTTCGCGCCTGACTTGGGTGTCGAAGTCGCCATCTTCTCGGCCGGCTTCTTTGAGGTATCGTGCGGCGCCTTAGGGGCGCTCGGCTTGGAGCCTGCAGCTCCCGTGGTGGGGGCTTTGGCCGTGACTGGGGACCTAAGCGGCGTCTTTGCTCTCGTGATGGTAGCGGGAGGTGCCAGTCTGGCAGGGGGTTTAGCTGTGGTCTTTGCCGAGTTCTTTGTAGCAGCGGTGCCATTGGAATTGCTGTGGTCGGACGACGTCTGCGTCGGGTCGCCTGGGAGCAGCTCTGGTGTAGGCGTTTCGATGTCTACGTGTTTATCGGGGTTGTGGCTCGGGTGGTTGTTCAGGGCACCCAAGTTACGAGGCGAGGCTCCATTTGTCGGCTTGTCCGCGTCGGGGCGGCGAGGAGACTCGGGAATGGGGCTGCCGACAATATTTGTTTTGTAGCCCCCAGAAGTATCCTCGGTGGCCATTGTCTTATCAGAGAGGCCAGACACGGATGCCTCTCCCTCGGTGTGGCTGCTGAGCCTTCGCTGGGACACACTCGACTCGTTACTGGGATCTCGGCGGAGGCCTACTCTGCCGTCCTTTTCGACGGCAACAAAGCTCGTTCGAATCTTGGAGAGTGGGCGGGTGAATGACGGAGGGGGGGTTTCGGTGCCGTCTGCAGAAAGTATTAGGTTAGTTGAAAAGCGTACACAATGGATAGACGGTGTCTGAAGAGCAAAGCTGGGTGGTCCTTGGCCTCAGGAAGAGGTCAAACCCCGAAAGAAGCTGCGTCTATGGCCATGGAGCTAAGAACGGCGGGGGAACTTACTGGAGGAGAGGCCAGGGGACCTTCCCCGATCCGGGGGGCTCGAGTCGGCTTTTTGCTCGAACATGGCCCGGAGGTTCTTAACGCCTGACATGGCGGCGGTATTGGGTCGCTGACGAGCGACTCCTTTCAACCAGGGTGTTGGAGGAAGCTATGAGGGATACGTGGAAGTTGCGACGGGTGGATCGTTTTTTGAGACAAGAAGTTTAGAGGCAAGAATCGCGTGCGCCAGGCGTGGTGGGTTACAATGGTGGACTTGGACGTTGGATGTTGCCGGAGAGAAGGCGCATACCCGGGTCTGTCCTCGTGTTTGCAGAGGAGTCGGGGCTCAAGTCGGGATCGGAGGGAAAGCAGCACACAATGTCGCGACGCAGCTCTCGTGAGTCGATGCAGGACGGCGCAGGGGGGCGGAGGGGGCTCGTCGCGGCGGTGTCAGTGCAGTGAGGTAGACTCTGCCCAACGGCTGGAGGTTTTTGAGTGTTGGGCAAGATATGGTAGAGGAATAGCGAGTTGCTATGACAGCTGGAGATGCATGATCAACAGTCGGCCGGGGGATTTTGGTTGTTGAAGCTGTCAAACAGAAGATGGTAGCGGGCAGTATGGCTCTTGGCAAGCGGTTGTTGCGGTGGGTGGTGTTGTATGCAGTTTGTGTTGGGTGATGTGTTGTTTGGATGTCTCAGCCAAAGTCTCGTTCGTCCCCAGGCCTCGGCAGGGTCGTAACTTGTAAGGTGGTCAGTCGCAGTCGCGCGTTTGCGTGTCCGTGCCGTTGGGATCAGAGTGATAGTGCCGGTGATGTATGGGGGAGAAAAAGACGAGAGTCGAAAGGTGGGTGGTTCGAGAAGGGGAAGACCCAGGGAAGTGAGGTTGCTGGCCTTCAGGGCTGGCATTTAAATTACGGACACCCCATAATCATAATCAGAGGCGGAAAAGGGACGGCCGACGTGGATATTTGGGCAATGGGCGTGACTGGATCGATCCAAACGAGCCAAAGGAGCCCACCACCACTACTGTTAATCGCTTTCCAACCTCGCTGTCTGTCTATGCTGAACTATCCAGGACCAGTTATTCATCTGAACAGACACTTCACCATAGGGGGCATTGGTTCGAGGGGTGCTTGAGGGACTGGACTGGTATTCAGGGGTTCCCATGAACGCACATGCTCGCTCTGCTACCACGCTACCAAACCGTTCCCGACGCGCTTGCCAGCCTGCCAGATGCAAGTTGCACTCCTGACACCTTCACAAGGCGGTGGGATGTTATGTAAGGCGCATGTATCCGCACTCACACAGAAGCTAAGGTACGTGTGCTGTACAAGGTACTTGAAGCTCAAGTGGAGCCGAGATATCCATCCTCAAGATGCCTCAAGTACCGTGTATCCATAAAGTACTTATGCATCTACACAGCACCGTTCCGGACATGGGCTTCCTCTATGCAGGACGCCTGCAGCAGTGCAGCAACCCACCTCGTGTCACTGGCCCTGGACCATCCTCTCTCGCTTCTCGAATTCGACTGCAGGGACCCCGAGTGGGAAATCCATTGGCCCAGCCGGGGTCAATTTACCAGAGAACATGGTTCTGGAAGGCAGCTCATTTCCTCCGGGCCACTGCTGTGGTATCGAGATGCAGCTTCTCCAGACACGACGAAGACGACTGGGTGAATGACAGTGATTCTTTGGTTTCATCATTTTGAGTGGTGGGTGGTCACTGGTGATGGGCCCTGGGATCTCATCGAAGGCCCCCTTTTTCGACGGAGTAGCTTGGGTACTCGTGATTATCCATCCTTTGGGCCTCAAGGCTCAAAAGTCCAAGAGTCGGGAAGAGAGAAGAGAGGCCAACTGGCCCCCAATGGTGCCCCTCCCACCTGAAATTGGCGTTCTGAGCTGGTCGGGAGATTTGTGTCAACGACGGCCGTGCTAAAAAGCCTCAGTGAGAGGAGCCATCTGCTAGTGTTCGGGGCCACGGGCAAATTGAATAAGATGGCAGACTTCGGAATCAGCTAGCCGGAGAGCAATGACTCTGTTCGTACCTGACTACCTAGGTGGGTTGGCGTGACGGGTGTTGGCTATTGATCTCGAATTGTCAAACGCCCCCTCGGTGTCTATTCTCTTCTCCTTTGTCCGTGTCGTCTCCAGAACAGCTTCTTTGTGAGATAACTTTTCCTTCTTGCTCTCTTTCCCCTCTCGAATAGAAAGCTACGTATCGAGATACTTATGCACGGCCTCCTGTTTCAGATAACCTCTCCAACTTCCTATCCGTTTTGTGCATTAGTGCGTACCCATCTGCAGAGCCCTTCGTGTATCTAGTAGCTGCATGTGGTTTGGCTTACCGCCTTTTGTCGTCTAACGTAACTTAGCTTTGGCCCGTTATCCAGGAACATAATGCATTATTCGCTCAAAGAAAGGGGGTCCCCCTCAGGCCCCTCAGACACGCGGGGACAAAGGAAGACAAAAAAGACGCGCAGGTATCCGTACAGGAAGCGGAAGGAGAGAGAAAAAAGTTAGCATTGTTGACATTGAAAACCAGTCTCATCATTGCTAGTATATCCGGCTGCTCCAGCAACTGCAAACAAAGCCCCATCTCCATTATCAATCAATAACCGCAAAACTCCCATCGTCTTCATCGCCTCGAGTGCTTCAAGATTCAATATCCGTAGTGAGGAGAAGTTGTGTATCTGGAACACTGGAACCTGGAACCCCTCTTCTTTCTACCCGGTCGTCAATCATTCCAGTCTCGATCCCGCCTCCGATATGTGTCTAGTCGTGTCCACTAGTAGTGGCAAGTGAACATCATCTCCCATCTCGGGACGGAGACACGGAGCCTGGAGGGGAGGCAAGGACTCAAGGACTCCAGCTTCTGGGGGTTGTCATACCGCTCCCGGCGCGAGGCGAACCTTCCGTCTTCTGGAAGCTCGCAGCAACAGGGAAGAACCGGGTTTGGGGGCCCTTTTCCCGCTCTTCAACTCGACGATTCCTTGGGGGACCGTTCTTCTCCAATACGCTAAGAAGTGTAGAATGTGGGGAGGAAATTTCTCTCGGCCCTTGCTCTGCCTTTGGGCCACTTCTCCCTCTTCCGTGAGCTCTCTCATATGCCGACTGACCGGTTTCCAGCGTGTAGTGCGTTCCATGGCCGAAAGTCGGCGGCGAACATGCAACTACCTTACACTCCCTAGGTTCCGTCTCAGAGGATGGTTCTCGTCTTATAGCCCGCAGTAGACGGCAAGTTTGCGGCATCAAACATGACAAGTGGTGAGGACAAGGTGGGTGCAGCATCGAGGCTGACAGCGCATAACGACCCAAACCTGCCGAAAGTCAAGTTCCAAGTAAGACTCCAAAGCCACGACTCGGGCCATTGACGCGAAAGCGAATCAAACAGAGTCCCAAGACGCGCTTTCGGTGCTACTATGCATCCCAGATTTCCCAATGTAACCGTGACTTGACGCAATAGTGCGGCATCAACCGTATTTTAGGAGCTCCGATAACCACCCGCAAAGTACGTACCGCGGCTAAGGTAAGCCAGTGAGGACCCTGGGGGATCTTGTCAGTGCCGACCACCAATTGGTCGCTCGCCGGATCGGCCCTCGGTGTGCATGGCCCGTACCTCCGATATCGACCGTGCAGGTGGGCTATTTTTTACTTTTGCGACTCATTCTCCCAGAGCTTCTGTCTGGACAATCCCTCACCCATCTTCCAAATCAGCACTTTGGACGCCAATTGACGCCCGTCATGTCTGTCAGAACTCTTAGAATCGGTAAGACTGCCCTCGATCGAGTTAATTGACTTGTTCTTCGTCCCGTGCTTAACTAACACTCCAACCCGCAGGCCTCATCCCCGGTGACGGCATCGGCAAGGAGGTCATCCCCGCCGGCCGCCGTGTCCTCGAGGCCCTCCCCTCCTACCTGGGCCTCAAGTTCGAGTTCACCGACCTCAAGGCCGGCTTCGAGACCTTTGAGCAGACGGGCGCCGCCCTCCCCGACAAGACGGTCGAGATCCTCAAGAAGGAGTGCGATGGCGCCCTCTTCGGCGCCGTCTCTTCCCCGACCACCCCCGTCAAGGGCTACTCCTCCCCCATCGTCGCCCTGCGCAAGAAGCTCGACCTCTACGCCAACGTCCGCCCCGTCAAGACCGTCCTGACCGCCGCCAAGCCTATCGACATGGTCATTGTCCGCGAGAACACCGAGGACCTCTACGTCAAGGAGGAGAAGACGTACGACGGCCCCAACGGCAAGGTCGCCGAGGCCATTAAGCGCATCTCCGAGAACGCTTCCCACCGCATCGCCGCCATGGCCGGCGAGATCGCCCTCCGCCGCCAAAAGATCCGCGACGCCGGCGCCGCCAGCATCCACGGCCGTCCCCTCGTCACAATCACCCACAAGTCCAACGTCCTCTCCCAGACCGACGGCCTCTTCCGCGCCACCGCCAAGGCCGCTCTCGCCGACCCCCGCTTCGCCGGCAAGGTCTCCGTCGAGGAGCAGATTGTCGACTCCATGGTCTACAAGCTCTTCCGCCAGCCCGAAGACTACGACGTCATCGTCGCCCCCAACCTGTACGGTGACATCCTGTCCGACGGCGCCGCCGCCCTCGTCGGCTCCCTCGGTCTCGTGCCCAGCGCCAACGTCGGCGAGGGCTTCGCCATCGGTGAGCCCTGCCACGGTAGCGCCCCGGATATCCAGTTCCAGAACATTGCCAACCCCATTGCCACCATCCGCTCCGCCGCCCTCATGCTCGAGTTTCTCAATGAGGAGACTGCTGCCGCCAAGATCTACGCCGCTGTTGACGCCAACCTCGAGGAGGGCAAGCTTCTCAGCCCCGACTTGGGCGGTACTGCCAAGACCACTGAGGTCATTGAGGATATCCTCCGCAGACTGTAAGAAGGTGGTGTGATATTATTGGATGGAGACTTTTTTTTTTATTCTTGAGAGGCTAAACTCATGAGGACTGGATGTGGCAGTCGACGCGGCAGTAGTCGCGCCTTTGATACCTACCATATTACCCAAAAGCACATGTTTCTTGATCTAACTTTGCCTCACTGTGTTGAATGTGCAAATATTAATGTGAATTGATGTTACTGTGCTGGAAGGGAACAGCTTTACGTCTGGCTCTACGCCCCCACTCGAGGGACAACGAGCTCGTTTCGATTGCAAAGGTTCTTCCCTCAAAATAAGGGCTGGAATACACACTGACGAACAAACCACGATCATTCCGCTCCTAGGTGTATCAGGTAAAATTCCTTGGATCAAAGGCATGAGCACCATCTGAAGTGTCCATGACCTAGTGGAGGAAGTATCAACGCGTCATTGGGTACTGCAAAGGTTGCGATTTCGAATATCGGTGGTTCTACATAAAGCCACAGACAGCTCATTTTTTGGGTCATGTTTGGGATCGTTCCGTCATTTTGGATACCGTAGGAGCCTCTAGATTCTCGCACCAAAGTTTGAACTTCTTCGCAAAGACGGCAAGCAATCGTCTGGATCATTGCCATGTGATGAAATGGCACAGGGATGGAAGACATGACATTGGATCTGGTGTTTACTTGCAAGGAGAAGTATTACATCTCGACAGCCTTTACTTTCGATGGGGACCGTCGCCTAGAATCTTGAGCAACATCAAGCGAGAGACGGTAGTGTCGCTTCAATGATTCTTAGATGAAGGAGGGCTGACATTGGTGAGCAGATCTACCATTGCCTTCTAGATCATACAGATCTGTCTGGACATCGTACACAAGATGCGCGTAACACACCGGATAAGCGTCATCGCATCATAAAGGGGCTTCTAAGTAGCATACCTACTTCACCTGATTCCCCGAGGACAACATGATGACTTCAAGCAGATACGCATTACTCCGGGAATGCTACACGCATATACGCCTCAAGCTTCTCCAAAGCCTCCACAAGCACCTCAGTATGACACACATACCCAATCCTCACATACCCCTTAAAATCCCTCCCATGACCAAAACACCTCGACCCCGGCACGAAAAACACGTTCGTCTTCTCAAGCACATCCAAGCAAAACCTCACATCATCCACAGCCTCGCCACCCCTATGCGTGAATCGTACAAACGCAGTCGTCCCAGCCAGCGGCCTAACCCACGAACACACGCCCCTATGCCTCTCCACAAACGCCTCAAGTAAAGCCTTATTCTTAACCGCAAGCCCGACGTTCCGCCGCAGAAGAGGCGCCCAGACGGGTTTTGATAAGGCGTAGGACGCGATCTGGTCGTCGATTTGCGAGACGCTGATGGTGGTGTAGTCGCGCGCCGAGGCAACGGCTTCGATGATGGCCTTGTCTGGCGAGGCGATCCAGCCGATGCGGATGCCGGCTAGGGCGTAGGATTTGGACATGGAGCCTGTGACGATGACTCTGGGGTAGTTGAAGGTTGTGAGGGGCGGGGGCACGTCTGGGACTGCGCCGGGGGTGAAGAGGTTGTGGAAGAGGGGCCGGTAGACCTCGTCTGAGAAGAGGATGATGTCGCGGGCTTTGGCGAAGGTGACGAGGGAGGCGAGGACTGGGGTGGGGATGGGGATGCCGGTTGGGTTGTTTGGGTTGTTGATGATGATCATCTGGTGTTGAGAGTTAGTTCCGAAGAAGGTGGTGAAGTTGGAGAAACATACCTTTGTGTTGGGCTTGACGAGGGCCTCGAGTTCTGTCACGTCAGGCACGAAGCCATTCTCCTCCTTCAGCCTCCATAGGGAGACATCTGCGCCAAGACTCTCGGGGACGCTGTAGAGCTGCTGGTACGTGGGATACACGCAGATTACGTGATCGCCGGGGTTCACCAAGGTATACAGCACCAGGAAGTTGGCACCGATGGCGCCCTGGGTGATGAGCACGTCGTCTTCACAGAGCACGCCGGGTTGTGAGTCGTCCGAGTCTGGCCCGGCCCCGCCACAGAGCGCCGCGACCCTCTGACGGAGCCGGGCGGAGCCGCGGATGGGGCCGTAGACTAGCTTTGTGGAGAGGTCTACGGGACCGGGCGCGTGCTTGTCTTCGGAGAGCGCGACTAGGTCATTTACGGAGACGGAGGCAGCGCAGGTCTCAGCGATGTTGAGGCAGCCTGGGGTGGTCTCGTACTCGTCCATCCATTGCTCCACGTCGAAGGCCGATATCCGGACCATTGTTGGGGGAGGGGCAATGCGGGATGCGTTGAAGGTGTGAATCAGGATGATGACAGGTGAGCCGAGGAAAGGATGCCTAGTGGGCAGCAATATTGTGGGAGTGAGAGGGTGGTAGAAACGTGGAGGAGCGAGGCTTTTGCGATTTGCGCCGGGTTGAATTGATACAATGCCAAGGCTGGCGGGATAATGGGAAACTGAGATCTCAAACAAGAGTCATGGTCACTTTTGCTCATGAACACGTACACTCACACACTCGCACAGTTGCTTCGACCTCGTTCATAAGGCGACTAATGGCAATCCCGCGTATCAGCACGGACTGGATGCGTCTTCGGACTGTTCAGAGAACATTGGACACTTTGAGCACACGGCGGCGTCCCGGGCCTAATGCATGTCAATGGCCCGTCAACAGGGTGCGCATGGGAGAACCGTCTGCCACTAGGAAGACTATCCGCGGGCACAGATGCACGGGATTGTGCTGTTGGAGAAAAGCATAATGCCGTGGATGTTGGGTACCTGAATGTTGTTCCATTCAATGCGGAGAGCAAGACCAAAGGTACGGATACAGCAATGAGATTGATTGGACTTGAGCTGAGTTTAGTCCCATTGAGCTGTGGCTGGAGCTGCTAGCTTCGGAGAGGAACGAGAAGAACCATTTCCAAGAGTAAGGTGGAACGGGGGTGGACTAGATAGCTCTTGGTTCTGACTTGTGCCCCAGGATCTTATGTACCAAGCAATGTACCAAGCAATGTACCAAGCAATGTACCGAGTATAGAGTCGTGTTGTGTCAGTGTCACTGCCAGTGTCAGTTCCTCGGGCCAAAGTAGTCCTGAGACTCCTGACATGTACAAGATTCCTTGGAGCTATTCTGCTCGGCCTAACTGAAGGTGATGATCTGTTGTGGTGAAGGGACGACCTGCAGCTGTACTGGTTGAAGTCCCTGCTCTAAGCCGGCGTCTGCAGCCTGTTGAATTGATTGTTCCATGTACCGCATGTGAGAGTGTACCTCAGACCTCAGGCAGTTCTTCCGACCTGTCGAATCGTGGCTGTTTGTACTTTGCATGGTTGGGAGGATGGACTGCGTACATCACAACTGGCAGCTCCGCCTACCTACACAGTAAGCGTCGGATGAGTGGGATATGGACATGCCTGGTGCTTGACTTTACGCTTAGATCTACGATGGCATTGTATCGATGTGTTTCAATGGCGACGTCGTCAGTAGTGAGTGCAAGGTCACAGAGTGTAATGCTCATGGATCTCGTAGCTGGCAGGCGTCTTCCCTGTATGTTTGTCTGCATTGGGCAGGGCCTGAGCTAAGCTATCGAGGTTTCTACACCAAGTAGGTACCAAGAATTCGAGGGAGGGGGGAACAAAGAGGAACTATTCTTAGCGGCTTGTCTCGTCCCGTCCCAAAGAAGCGGTTGACTGAGCAAACGGCGGGGGTTTGAGGGACAAGAGAAGAAGTCTGACAGATTGAGCTACAGGATGCTAGAGGAACCGGAGGTGTCATCTCTGGATACGTACTTGGATGTCTACCGTAGTACATACCTTACGGAGTGCTACCTAGAGAGGTTGACCTGAAGACTCAGGCACAAGAGGCTGCCAGGCCCTTGGGTTGGGTTCAGCCACCCCACGGGACGCTGGTGCGTGTTTCCAACTGGCACAGTGGGGTCCCCAGCCTGTCGAGGTACGTACTTCTTACACTTATCCACGGTGACGCCACCGCCACCTCACGATTGGACCGTTGAGCTGGAGACACCTCTTCCTCGGGTGGATACGTACCTGAGCCAGGTCGCAGCAAAGCCGCGTCGCTGGTTGCTGGGTGCTCAGCTTGCTGCTACTGCTGCGGGTTATTATCGGCCGGCTCCAGCGCAATCGGGCGGGTGCTCCTGATAGGTACTGACTGCTACTCGGCTCAGTGCCTTGGTCTGTCGCTGCCGTCTGTCTTCACACGCCTCCTCCCGCAGGCCAAGAGCTTCCACTCTCATCCATCCTCCGCCGCTCTGTTCGCAGCCGTGTCCATCTCCGTTGGGTCCTGTCCATTCCATGATCTGACCTTCTTTCTCCCCTCTCCGACCTGTTCCCAACATACACCTTCCTTCGACATCGACATCTCTCCCGCCGCCACTGTTCAACTGCTCGCATCCGACTCGGTGTCTAGCCCGCCACTTCAACCCGCCCATCATGGCTCCTCCCGCCTTGAGGAGCCTCCTTATCGGGGCTCTGGCATGTCTTCCCGTCCTGGCTTCGGCACAGCGCAACTACTCCACCACGGCCGATATGCTGCGTGCCCAGCTTACCCTGCTTGACGACCGGCCCTCTGATTGTCCTCCTTGGTGAGTGCCTTGCTCGAGAGGCCCCATCTCGAGAAGCCGCCGTTCGCCTGTGTCGTAACCTCCCCAATGCTAACATACTTCCTTTGCGCAGCTTCAACTGTCTTCTCCCCGCCCACAAGTGCACTCAGTTTGCCGGCTGCAATGACTACACGGGCAAATGTAACTGTCCCGAGGGCTTCGGCGGCGATGACTGTCTCGAACCACGTACGTCCAAACGCTCCTCATCCCTATAGTCGCACAAGTTTGGCGCATCACTGACACGTACCCCGTAGTTTGCGGATCTCTCTCCCGTGGCGACAACACCGATAGACCTCGACGAACCGGTGACAATTGCGAATGCGACGACGGCTGGACCGGCATCAACTGCAATGTCTGTACAGAAAACAAGGCCTGCGACGCTCTCATGGAAACCAAGGAGGGCGGTGTTTGCTACCAGAATGGCGAGGTTATCAACCACAACTACCAAATCTGTGATGTCACCAACAAGAAGATCACCGATCTCCTCGGCGAGAAGCGTCCCCAAGTCACCTTTACCTGCAAGAAAGAAGAGGGCAACTGCGATTTCCAATGTAGGCTTGTCCGTACACTCTTGACGACCACCAAGCTAATCTGCTCTAGTCTGGGTTGACGAACGTGAATCCTTTTACTGCCATTTGAACGAGTGCACCTCAAATGCCGACATCAACGACAGCCAGAACAGCACGGACTACAAGTGCAACAAGATCGAATGCAACTGCATCTCCGACCGCATGCTCTGTGGCGAGAACGGCTCCGTCGACATTGGCGACTTCCTAGTGGAGGAGATCAAGGGCCCTGCCGAGTTCCAGTGCTTGCAGAAGAATGGAGGCGTCAACAACTGCGCCTTTAAGGAGCCTGCCATGGACGACCTGATCCTGTCCTTGATCGGCGACAGTAGCATCCAACTGAGCTGTCGCTCTGGAGAGTGTCTGTACCACACCGAAGTCCCTGGTTACGAAAGGCCGGTCAAGAAGATCAACACCCCGCTCATCGCCAGTATTATCGCCGCATGCTCCCTTTTCGTTGTTGCCGTCATCCTCCTCACGTGGTACCTTTCTCGCCGACAGTTCAAGTATGGCGCCATCGTGTTGGACGACTCTGACGACGAAAGCCTGAAGCTCATGGCCGACCACAAGCCTGCCTCTCTCTACTTTGAGAATGTCGCCTACGAGCTCAACGGAAAGCGAATCCTGAACAACATTCAGGGTATGGCCCATCCTGGAGAGGTGACCGCCATCATGGGTGCCTCGGGAGCTGGCAAAACCACTTTCCTCGATATTCTCGCACGGAAGAACAAGAGAGGCCAGGTCTCTGGTGATTTCTTCGTCAACGGCGAAAAGGTTACCGATGTTGAATACAAAAACGTTATCGGATTTGTCGACCAAGAGGATACCATGCTGCCCACTCTGACAGTGCACGAGACCATTTTGACGAGTGCTCTCCTCCGTCTACCCCGTAACATGGGTCGTGCTGCCAAGGAGCAACGTGTTTTCGAAGTTGAGAAGCAGCTGGGCATTTACCATATTCGGGACTCTCTCATCGGCTCTGAGGAAGGCAAGGGCCGAGGTATTTCTGGTGGAGAGAAGCGCAGAGTCGGCATTGCCTGCGAACTCGTCACGAGCCCCTCTATCCTGTTTTTGGACGAACCTACCAGCGGCCTGGATGCCTACAACGCTTTCAATGTCATCGAATGCCTGGTTACTTTGGCAAAGAACTACAAGCGTACTGTCGTCTTCACCATTCACCAGCCGCGGTCCAACATTGTGGCGCTTTTCGACAGACTGGTCTTGTTAGCTCGTGGTGGTGCGGTATACTCGGGTCCTTTCTCTCAATGCCAGGCCTACTTCGACCACATTGGCTACTCGTGCCCCCCAGGCTTCAACATTGCCGATTATCTGGTCGACCTCACCATGCACGCTGGTGCCTCTACTTCCGAAGACGACGGAGCTCTGAACGCGGATGCTGCTAGCCTGGGCCCCAGCAGCACAACTGCTGTTAAGTCTATCGCAAGCATTTCTGGTGGCTCCATTGGTGATGACAGTGGTGTTGAATCTTCGTCTTCCCGTCCCAAGAACCACCGCCGTGATTCCGTCAAGATTCGCCAAGAAAGGGAGCTCTTCACTCGCCGTAAGAACGCCGTTGATACGGCGGCCTCTTCGGATGCCGGCGGCGAGGATGTTGGATCGTACAAGCTTCAGAATCAATCGGGCTATGTCCCGCCTGCCAACGTCGAAGATCCCCACGACCTCCCCCCGGCTGCATATGACGGAACTGACCTGGACGTCTTGATTCGATCCTTCGCCGAGTCGGATATTGCAGGCTCTACGCACGACGAGATACAGCAGTCTATCAGTGCCGCCCAGGGTGCCAATGGACAGAATGCCAACGGTTACAACCCTGAAGGACCTAACATCCACATTAGTGCCATCGGCAAGGGCTATGTTCGCGTTGGCTACACCCGCCAGTTCATCATTCTGTCTCAACGCACATGGAAGAACCTGTACAGAAACCCGATCCTCATGCTTACACACTACGCTATTGCCATTCTGCTCGCGGTTCTGTCTGGTTACCTGTTCTATGGACTGACAGATGACATTCCGGGGTTCCAGAACCGCCTGGGTCTCTTTTTCTTCCTCTTGGCCTTGTTCGGATTCAGCACTCTGACCAGCTTAAACGTCTTCGCTACTGAGAGGCTCTTGTTCGTGCGAGAGCGCGCCAACGGCTACTACTCACCAATCACCTACTTTGCGGCCAAGATCTTATTCGACATTATCCCGCTGCGAATCATCCCGCCGCTTCTCATGGGTGCCATCATCTACCCGATGACTGGCTTGGTTCCCGATGCTAGCCACTTCTTCAAGTTCATTCTTGTTCTGGTCCTATTCAACTTCGCTGCAGCGGCGATCTGCCTCTTTATT